AGAATTTGCTGCTAATAATATCGGGATAAATAAATACTTTGCATGCTATCAGTCACCAACAGTCCTGGTAGGCTGGTTTTAGTATCTTACTTAACGTTTCCTTGACAGTGGTCTGTCTAGAATTTTCTTATATGTTACAAGCATTGCTCTTTCCTCAAGCATCCTGGCAGAAACTCTGGCTGAACAAGACATCACGTGAGTGAACATGCAGGGGAACACATGCTCAAGCCTGTACTTGAAGTGGAAGAATTGATCAGAGGCTTTTACTGAACAAGAAATAAATAAAACTGTCCCAAACCAAAAGTAGGTCTGTGCGCTCCTCTTCACCTTCCCAATCAAATTGATGACTGGAGTCTAGGTCATGAGTGCTCGAGTCTAAGTCAAGTCAAAAATCAGGGCATTAGTCAGACTTGAGTCAGAGTCCTTGACTCCAGATCTGAAACACTGCCAGCAGGGCCCTGAATATGACCTGATGTAATTTGGAGTTGAAAGTTTTTATTACTCCTTTTAAGCTGATCTGATACAGACCACAAAATGTGCTGCAGTTATGTTGGCTGCAGTTTTAACTTCAACAGACAACTTATAAAACTTAAAACTTATAAAACCCCAAATTAACACCATGTCATCCAATAAGATGATCTCAGCCATGAAGTTACTCCAAAGGATTGTCAACACATGGTTTGATGAAAAACACAGCATGACTCTTTGATTAAAGAAATGACTCTAGCTTCACTTCTTTTCAAGTTCATTTAAAATACCTGAAGCATCAGGAATAAAACTAAATAGCACTCCGTAGTTAACTAAATGTGACATGGTCAAACAAAGACAGCCGGGCTATCAAAGTTTGTGACAGGGTTGGGATGGAGACAACTAGCCTGAGGGGTGTTTACCTTACTCATTTAGGAAGGGAAGGTGACAGCCTTTGTAAAGGGGAGTGTTTTAATGACCCCAGTATCCTCGGGTGAGTTTCACTTTGTTTTGAAAAGACCATCTAAGTGTGCCATTAATTCCTGATCCTCCCTCTTGCACTCTGACCTTCCTCCCCATGAAGTACAGGGCATAAGTGGAGCTGAGTTACGTTGAGCTTGTCTGTGCAGGTGTGTGAGCGACAGCAATAAGAAGATCTCTGATTCTTACTGCATCAGTTTCCAGCCAAACCAGGTTTATCAAAGAGTATGGGAATCAAAATAGGAGCTCCGGGGGAGAGCTGTAGCGTGAAGAAATATTACAGATCATAAATATAAACCAAAATGAGCTTGAGTGTCTGTGTTTGCTCATAACATTATTATTGTTCAGTGGTGTAATATAGTCTTATGGATCCCATGAGCTGCAGGCTACTTGCAGACAATATTGAGTCAGAGTAGAGCGCTTCTTCTGATCCGGGCTAACTCCAACACAATATACAATGCAACAGATTGGCAGACTTCATACCAGACAGAAAGGGAGCCAAGCATGATAGTACTCCGCTGCAGATTTGGTTAATTACTCAATTAAACAATGTAGCTAACATTGTGTTCTCAATAATGCCTTGTTACATATTCAGAGTGGGGAAGTTCAGTGTGTCCCCTCTGCCACCTAATTTGATTGTTTCAAACAAACAAGACAGAATATTCCGATGTGATTTGAGTTTGACCTTAGGTTAGTTTGTAATGCATCTTTGAAATAAAGCATATCATTGACACGACGGGGCCTGACATGTTTTTCTTCTTTACAAAAATGTTATTCACATTGACAGGGCTTTATATCTAAAGGACGTGGCGGCAACTTGAAACAGCGAATTCTCCACAGAAGTAGATTAGAAAACTAAGCCCTCATTAAGAATCATTTAAACCCATGTTTACAACACTCTGAGTGCTCATACTCAATGGATCAGCCATAATGATGAAAACAAAATGATGAGGTTACACAATGATTCCCCATTGATTGGAGACATGAAAGCTACAGACCACAGTGGGATGATTGGGGATGGCAGGTTGGCCGCTCAGACCCTGTGTGATCAGTGGCAGCACGGCAGAGCCATTGAACACCGAGTTGAAGAGGTTACAGACAGAAATAGAATAATAGTGCATGTAAGGATGTTTTTTGAAGGCCTTTGTTTATGTTTGTATGCAGTCAGAGGCATTACCAGAATGTGTCCGCTCACTGTAACAGTGGCTGCCTTCATCTTTGTTCACCCGCGGGTCACTTTAGACTATACATCTATGGGCACTGTGATGAGGCACCCAAGCAGAAGAACATGAGGCTTGGACGAGGCTGAGATAAATGGATTTGGGTGGGGAGAGGGAAGGGGGGAGATCAATGAGATTTGCAACTTGGAAAGCAGTGGCTGTGTTGTGTTTGATGCCTTGGCAGAGACTGGCGCCTGACTAATGTGGCGTGATACACTGGGTACTGAAAGCAAGGCCAAGGGTTCCTTCCTGGGCATGAGTTTCTGGGTTGGAGCTTCTGCTTAATTGGACAGCTGGACCATTTTCCCCACATATTCTCACAGAAGAGGATGCTGTAAACTCCTCTTCCCTTCCGCACTCCTCTTTGCTCTTCTCAAGTCTGCTTGCCAAATATTGACATTATTTCAGTGTGTAGTGCTTGGTATCAGCGCTGAAATCAGAGATGGAGAGACAAATCTGTGCTGTTCCTCTCTTCTCTCCACCTTTCTCATTCATCCATGACAAGCCCAGGAGTTATTGATACTTTAGCTAAGAGGGTTTTACAAAAATACTCTCTTCTCCTTCTGCAGGTTGTAGGGGCTCTAATTTGGTGCAGAAATGCTTCTAAGTCAATAAGTGCCATATATTACCTTACAGGAATGTAGGCCTTCTTCTTGGAAGTGAAACTAAACTCACCATCCTTTCATGATGACTTGTTTTTGTCTGCGGGGCACTCGTTTTGATAAATGCTGTTCATGGGACATGAAACTTGATCCGTTGAAAACATGTTTGCATGAAGTCTTCGGCTATATCAGTGAAAGATTAGGGTCACTGCAAAGGGTGCATTGAGCAAACAAAACAATAATGCTAAATGCTACTTGCCACACGATTATTTATGAGCCGGATGTCAAAAAACTTGTTAAAATTTAATAGCTGCACCTGGCAGGCAGCAGAATTTAAGTGTCTGTGTCTGAAGACCTACCTGTGAATGAGAAAGAATGCAGCAGGACAGAGGTGGGATGAAAGCGTGTGCTGGAAGCCTAGAAAAACAAAAGAGCAAAACGTTTCTTGGAAAAATATGCTTTATTTAATTTTTGAAAATTAATCAACTCTACCCTTATAACTCTACACTCACCGTGTTAAGTGTAGAGTCAACACCTGGGCTGATGGGCAGGATGAAAGACATGTTGTGTCACATTTCTGCTCTGTGTCCAGCAATAAGCTAAAATGAGGCGCAATTTCCTCTTGACTAATTGCTGTGGAATTGGTGCTGTTTTATCAACCTCCCCAGGGCTTTGGCTGAGTGAGCTCCTAGAGCTGCAGAACCAGAAAAGTTATCTGAATGAGTATAGACAGACACAGGCATTACAGGAAGGGAGAGGTGTGAATAAGAAAGAGGATGTTGTCTGTTGGTTTGATACGGGGTAATGGGGGACGAAACACAAACCCTTTTGTTGGTGTCATGGTTCTCATAGAAATCCTCATGATGAAAGGATAAAGATTCTTTTCACTTCAGGTTTTGTAAATACAACAGATTTTGCCAATATTTAGCATTAAATGTTTATTGACACTCACCTGTAGCCAAGGTTGATCCTCTATTCCTTGAAACCACAAACTGACACCGCCCTTCTTTTACTCTCCTCTAACAGAAACTTCATGGCCCCTCAAAACTTTAGGTTTTTACTCTGTTGGTTCCTACCTGTCTTGTGTGTACTTGCTCTCCGTGTACCGTCCTTCTTGTACACTTTTACCTACCTACATCTTTTGCGACCCTTGGGGGGTTTAGAGCGGGTAGATTGTATTCGGTGAGGGCAGAGCAGTCCAAGGCTGAATGAGAGTTATTGGGTTTATGTCAGAGTCAAGGTTCTGACTGGAGGTATAAATCTAGAGTAGAAGTATGGAGGCTCATGGATCCCTTCTGTTTGACCTCAGCTTAACACAAGAGGCCCCATTAAAAGAGACGCCCCAGATCAATCAATCAAGTCCTTCCTCTACCCTTTAGACTGGCCTGCTATTGACAAGGTCAGTTAATCCATTGTTAAATGTCAGAATGCACAATGTTTATGGGCTCACCTGACGCTGCTGATGTGCACATTCAGGGGTCAGCAGTGGTAAGCAGGTTGGCTTCATTAAAATTCAGGAGGGAGCATTACATTGATGTTCAGCATCTTTGGTATAGGAGGTACAACGCTTTACTGCTTTCTTATTAAATTGATTACTTTGCATGAAGGATCTTTATATCAGAGCCCATCTGGCATTCATTAAGACAAAAATATGCCAAAAAGGTGCCAACCAAAGATGAACAAAAATATGCATTTCAGCAGACTGGGAAAAAAAAAGTATAACAACTTCCCAAATGGACTGTTTTTTTTTTCTCTGCTGAAATAACAACTTAAGTTTGGGTCATTTTTTGATACTTCAGTCAAAGAGGTTTTGTTCTCTGTCCACTGGAGTTCCAGGCTCAGAGATCTGGCTTAACCCAGTGTGACACAGACTCTTATCTGACCTGCTTCTTTTCTGATCTGAGACTCAGCAGGAGAGTAATCCTGAGTCTTTGGTATTGTTTTTTAATGAAGTCTAACCTTTAACCCCCAGTAAGCCCCAATGTGCTACCACTAAAGTTACTGAGTGGTGACTGTCATACTAGCTCTTCTAAAAAGTTACAAAGGGTGAAAGTAGTTCCTTTTTAACAGCCATAGTTTTGCTTCTCTTGGTGCAAAATCCAAAAATATTTAATATCGAATATATTTTCTAAACTGTGTGTAGGCTGGCACAGCTGGATGAGCAGGGAAAGAGACTTATTTCTTGATAATAAGTAGTTTGAACTTCTCCTAATAGTAGCTCTGTGTGGCCTCTTGGCTACTTTTCCATTAGCACTACCTACAATGAGTGGAAAAAGAGGTTTGAGTCAGTTGCATGTTTGCCTTAAAGAAGTTATTGTTATGTCTACTTCCAGCAGGTATACCATTACATGCTGGGTCTTGGTTTAGTGTTTCTCGGTTCTTTCTTTCGCCCTCTCACTCCTCACATTTTCCTCTTCACACCTCATGAGCTACACTGAGTTTACTATATTAACCACCGAGAGCGCGACTGAGAGATAGAAAGTAAAACGCGTGGTCATTTCAGTTGGGTCTGTTATAGCCTCGACCAAGTTTCTGTGTGATGTCTAGACCGCTGCCACATTGAGCTGAGTCAATAAACAGCATCGGTGATGAGTTTCAGCTTGTCTGACTCCACAACATACACTCACACTCTGTCAGAGACACTAATACACATTATAACTCATACTCTCGCTCTCTCTTCCTTCCATCTGGGAAGTGCGACGACTCTGTCACTGTGCGAAGTGAAGTCTGAAGTAATTGTTTGCTTTGCTACTGTGAATCTGCCAATCATTGTAACAAACCATGTAAAGTAGACAATTATGTAGCAGATTTCGGATGCTGCGATGGAGTAAATAAGCCTGAACAAAATAGGACACCAAAGTTTTTAGAAAGTGCAGGCTGCCTGTCAAGTGCCAAAGTTAATGTTGGGCCCACAGTTGCACAACAAACTGTGGTCAATTTCAGGGGTCTAATACCCCTGAAACTGACCACTATACTGGCCCTCAGTCAGAGACCACACAATCATCAGATAGATTTAAGGCCTTCAGCTTGAACACGGGTCAGAGAGAGCAGTGTTTACACTTTAATGACTGACAGAAAGCACAAAACACAAACATGCATCATATCATCAGAAAAATGAACACTTGGATAATAATCAGCATGATGCGATTTAAGTTCAATGATTTCTTTGTAAATCTAAATCAACTCATATTCCATCTGTTAACATGGTGGCACAGTTCATGAACTATTACTGCAGCTGGCCAGTAGGGGAAACTCCAAACCTTTTAATGTCAAAGTTTGTGAACACTAATTGTTTTCATTTTAATGTATGGTCCAGAACAGTTTAGCAGCGAATGTTCAGTAAAAAGAGAAGCAGAAATAGCTGGCTCTTTCAAAATAAAACTGCAAAGGAAAAGTCTCTGAAAATCCATTTTTCTAAGTGTAACAACCTGCTGTGCATGATCTTTCTGTAGGTTCAGTAAAAAATGCATTTCTACATATCTTTAAACAGAGCCATAAAGGGATGCATGCATAAATATATTTGTGTACTGTCAAGATCAGTACAACTTTTTAATATTTAGCTATTTCTTAATAAAATATAATTTACAAGAGCCTCATTCATTTCCTGGAACAATAAACACTCACAGGCAAAGGGGTTGATGTCTTTCTTACAATGGCAGAGGTATAATTCTTCAGTTAACACACAGGTAGCCATGACAGTAATGGCTTAAGCTGCTCTGTATACAGTACATGCATGAATTGTATCTACAAACCACAAAACTCTGATGGGGTAAAGACAGTTTGGTTTGATTTACCATGATAGCAGACAACTATGAAAAGAAATACCTTAAAATGCATAGTTATGGAAAAGACTGCCAAGAAAATTAAATGTGCTGGCCAAGAAATGCTCTAAAACTACCTCTAGATACTTGGAACCACAGTGGGGGAGGTTTTGGTGGTGAATGTCTTTGTCTTTTAAGAAAAATACCATTAAATATCCTGCATTCTGTGTTCTCTGATAAAATATCACTGCAAGCCAAAATCCCTGAGCACTCTCAGTCAGTGCCCAAGACCCAACACAAACAAAACATCTGTCCCATCGAGACTGTGTGGCTCCTTCAGATATCATGGTCAGAAATGTCATATTGAATCCATTCTAAATTTAACATGCTCTTTCATGCAAACCATTCACATAGTAAAAATGAAGGTTATTATTTTACACATGTCTTTGAACACATGTCGGCTGATAGTAGTGTGACTGTATTTCCTGCAGGATATGACTGAGAAAGGTGCTGTTATAGCCTCCGTCCTCCTTCCTGTGATCTCTGAGTAGCTACACGTGAGTCAGAGAAACACTGTGTGGTTTTGTTGTTCCCTGCAGAGGTGAGAAGCAGGTAGCCTGTAGGTTGAAATATTGATGGATGATGATGATGAATTCAAGCGGAAAGTAAAGGAGCGAAGCACATCTAAGTAGACGCTGTGTCCTCTGATCTTAGTGTTCATGCCATCTATGGCAAACGGGTGCTGTCCTCTGGAGAAGTCATGCTGTGAATGAAATGAAATTTGTATACTCATCAATATTTAATCAAATTCAAGGAGGCTGTATACATTTCTCAAATTTTGATGCACATATTGAATGTATTTTTACCTGCTAGATTTCATGAACTGGTAAAATGTACACCATCAGTTTTGTCATATTGGACCCTCTGGTTGCTGCCATAGGGGTGTGGTCGCCTTTGTGTCGAAGATGATGCACTGTTCTCAGTAATTTATTCATAGCTCAGAGGTTTTTGCCGTATTTTCATCCATATTTTATAAAGAAAGAGTAAATCACCAACAGCGTGTGGTTTAGTCAGTCATGAATAGTGCACAGCACACTCTGTCTATTTATGCCATACTCTCATGAGCCTACACAGAAGATTCAGAGCTGAAAGAGTTTTTCTACACTTTCAAGACAACAGTGACAGATGTGCTAAAGTATGGTTTTACTTTGTCTAAACTAGTGTTCTCAACAGTAGCACTTGTGTTCAGCATAGGTAGCTCTGATATGTTTTTCTTGTATATTGTCTCCCAGGTGCCCCTGAGGTAGGTTCAGAGAGGACGGATGCCAGTAGCCCTTGTTCCCTTTTCCTCATACCAAGTCCTGTCTGCTCACACAGCTGGCTTCCATCAGAGCATGTGTGTGTCAGTGTGTGTGTGTTTCATGGCCGTAATAACCATAATGCCAATTTATCAGTCCTGTCATATGGGCAGCAACCCAATACCCAGGCCATGCTGAGTCACTGCATTAAATATCCCACCTTGACTGAGGCTTGAGAAGCCTTGCATACAATGTTACTTAAACGCTCTTTCTCACATGCTGCTCATAAAACATCGAGAAATTTCAAGAAGCTCTGTCTCTGAAAATTTCCAAAGTTGTATGTTCACAAATGCTCTTCACCACCAATACATTAAAATGTTGTTCAAAATGGACTTTTGAAATACATGTGAACAAGTTAGTCCAACTGAAACCACATAAATCCAATTTATTGTAGTCTGATTCACATACCAAGATAATCGATAATTTTCTCTTCTATTTGAACACCCAGATAGGACAAAAACTGGACTTAAAGTTCTGCAACACTGGTTGGAGCACAGATTTATGGACATCTTTAGTTACGGAAAATGTGTATATAAATGCATATTTGCTGACAAAATTTTCTTACCTTTGGTGTAATTAAACTACATGAACAAAAATTCAAAAAAGTCAAACAAGTGCTGATGATGATACCAGTAATAGCAAACAAGAGTGGGTTATCTCTAAACTCGTGATTTGCACCTGAAATGCCAATGCCATGCAAAGACAGACTGATTCAGCGACTTTTCTCCTGATCTCGTTTTTACAAATGCCTGTTCTTGAACTTTGGATGCTCATATTCATCACATTTTTTTACCAATGCGAACTTTTTCCAAGTTTGCGCCAGTCCCATGATGTATGTCATCAACCCCCCAGGCCACTTACTCCCAGTGGAGTTTCCTGAATGTTTCCTGCTGTGTTCTCACATCAGCCCACTCAAACTCCTTGCACGTATTTTAGGGTGAAGATTTCGGCTGTTTGTGCAGCCCAACCTTAAATTTTGGAAGGTTTGAAAACAGGTTTATTGCAAAGGTCAAAACTAAACACAGATGAGATCATTTTGAAGAGGCTGGTCCAAATCTGCACATTTTTCAGTAATTCACTTCTTTCTGGATGTGAGTGTTTTCTCTCTCATGTGCTGGCTGCTCCTATCACTCAATGCTGCCTTCTGCAGAGTTAATCTGAACTACAGCTGGGTGGGTGGATGTAGGGGTGAACTATGCTGGCTGGTATTGTAAAGGGTAGGTGGGTGGCAAATGTGGTTAATTTGCTTGTCTTGGGCTTGTGCTTCATTTTGCTGAGCCAAATCCTCTCATTTAGGGGATTAAGTTCCCGGGCTTGTGGAGAGTAGGTGGAGGTCAGAACGGATGAAACAGAAAAGGGGAGGAGTGGACAGAGAAATAGAGAAAGTGTTGGAACAAGTTTTCCATGTGGGGTAGAGGTGCAGAGGGATTGACGGACATGGCAGCAGTTGGGGGTTGATGTATGGCTGGAGTGGAGAGGGGGGAGGTGATGCTCAAAGTGAAGCAGAGGAGGAAAGCAGCTTGTGTGTGGAGAGATCTGAGGGTTGGGGGTGTACTTGTGTGGGCAGGAGGTGTGGTGAGGTGGAGAGGGTATTGTTTAAGGAGGGCTGAGTGAGCTGTGATGGGGGGCTCCAGCTTTCAAGGGGTACCGACAGATCTGCTTTACTCATGTTCTTCTTCATAGCACTTATTAGCACAACGTCCGCACATACCACACCTCAGCACATGTTGGAGAAACCCACCCTCCTTCAGCACTTGTACATGTGAGTTGATGAACTCTGTTAGGACTATGAGGGAAGAACTGGTGCTTGAGGAAGGGGCATGTCCTCAAGCTCCCTAGCTGCCCCTGGGCTTCGTAAAATCACATGCACAGCCGGCTAAGTGGAGTGTGAGAGGCAAAAGAAGACACAATGATGAATGAACAAGACAACTCTGAAGCAGGGAAGAAAAGACAGCGAAAACTTGTCCAGACTTAAATTCTGAGAGCAAGTCAAGAGTATGGAGTAGGGAGGAAAATATAGTCAGAGAGACGAAGAATGGATGAGCTGGGTCAACATCGGTATTCAGAGTGTTTAGTGAGGAGGACTCTTGAAACGGAACTGTTGACTTTATATCAGTATAGACATCTTGCTTCCATCTCTTCCCTCTGCAAAAGAGTGAGGCCAAAGTACCACCTATATGAGTGCTGACATGTTGTGTTGGTATATTAGAGCCAAGCCACAATATTGTGTAATGTACCTTTTTAATATGTTACTTTGTTCTTGGAATCTTACGCTGCGTTCCAATTACCTCGGAAGTTGGGAATGACGTTACACCGGAGTTGACGGCGTTCCAGTAAAAAAGTCGGAAAACCAAGATGGACGCCTACAGTTACTGGTTGTTAGCTGTTGATTACAATTGTCAGCTGTTGTTAGCTATACCAGTTGTAAACAGCGCATAACACAGTATTTTACTCTAACAAACACCATAGCACTGTGTTCACAGTTAGATGTTGGGCAGTACAACATATACCACTTATTTAATTTCACAAAACAATAATACATTACGAGAACTTTCACTGTTACTCTTTGTTGCTGATGCACTACGCTGCCATCTTGGATTATGACACTGTTGTCAAGTCGAGGTTGGCGAGGATCGTCCGACTTTCCAAGTCAAAAATCTGACTTCAGGGGGGTGTTCCAGATGAATTTCCAACTCATAGCTCAGAGATCCCGACTTCCGAGTACAACTGGAACGCAGCATTAAATGTGAGATTGTACAGATTTTAATTATAAGTTTAGTCCCAACTCCAAATCGACAGTGAAAAAAGTTTCGCATTTGTTATTGAAACTGTCAGCTTTATTCATAGAAGTTAAAAGTTCTCAGTCTTGTTCCCTTTTTATTAAACTTAGACTAACAAATTTACAAAGTAACATAACTTTTATGACTGGTGTTGATGTGGCACACGAAGACTAAAGCTGATGTTTTTCCACTTCAAATTTCAATGCAAGAAAACTAACCAACATGCAGCGAGTACAGCCAGTTGAAGTGTGGAATAACATTCTCAAGTGGGTCATTCACTCCTAAATCACTCCAAAGAATCGCTCTGTCTGGCCTCAGTTATGGCAGATTGTGTTACATGATCCCTGGAATAATGAACTAGTACGTCAACACTGCCAATCCCACACAGCAAAGAAAGGGACCTGTCTGTTCCAGCCCCTAATCCAGTCTGTTTGGGAAGCAGGGACTGTGGCGTGACACTTGTTCTCCATAGTCTCCAGTGTTCTCCCTGGAACCTCCGAGCGCCAGCTCGCATTAGCATAACCGAGAGGCCCATCCACTCGTTACAGGATTAGTTCAGCTCTCCTCCCACTGTCTGATGGCTCTTTATCCAGATGGATACAGCCTGTTAGAGGTCTTAACCACACCATTGCCACTAAAGTCATTATCATTCACCACGAGGAGGAATCAGCTCACTGAGGGTCCGCTGTTTAGAGAGAGATTGACATCTCATTTGGAATGGTTTGAAAGAAAAGACGGGACCCTCCCCTTTAGACTATGATGGAGTAGCACACAAACGCTCTGATCAATCTGTCTTTGTTCTGAAGTGACTTTGTCAGATTGAATCTGGTCTGGTAATGTTTTTGGAATAGTAAACTAATTTAAAATGTGGACTATTTTCCACATTAAGGTTTACCCCCTTTGACCAGCTTTGACTGCCATTTGAGGGATGCAGACTTGTCCAAGTCAGTGCCCCGATTTGGTAAAAGTTAAGTTCCCCTCCTCATTCCTGGAATAATGTCTTATGTTCAGACGTCTTCCTGTTTGTCCACAGAATGATATCCATCACACTTCAACCTATAAGACAGGTTTATCTTGAAAATGAATGTAAGCTTGTCATTCATTCTAGGAACTCCTGTGTCCACCCATGTGATTGTTGAAACTTAAGTGGCGCCATCAGCAGACAGATGGGCCTGACAAGATGTGTTTGTCTGTTACCCTTATAGCTGCTCATAGAGTTTGAGCTACTTCAGTGTGATGTCATCTTCAAGCACAAATCAATCTGTCCCAGATGAGCTAGACTGCTGATACGGATGTACAGTACATCGCAAAGGAGCCAGTTAAACAGCATGCAGTTTTGTGAAGGCTCTTTGCAGTCTGCACTTTTCGACCAGGGCAGACAACAACGCTTAACTTGTAATTATTCATGATACTGTTTGTTCCCGGAGTATAAAAACATTTGCCAAAAACAATTCAAGGGACAAACTACAGGATTCAGGAGGGATTTTTTAGCAGATGAGATCATCTAAAAGGCTGTTCTTAACACATAAAATATGATGTTAGTTTTTCAGTGTTCACCTCATTTGTCAACTGTCTCCAAAAGTTGCAAAATCTAACAAAAAACATACTTGGGGTTTTATTTTTACTGAAATCTTCTCAGAATAAGTTTCCCTAGGAGTTCTTCTGCTCACATGTTCTGCTGTGTGTTTCGATCATGCTCTTCCCAGCCTCTTGCCCTAACCTTTCCTCCTCCTCTTGCACCTTTGCTTTCACGGTTTTCTCTTAGCTTTCTATGTTCTCTCTCACCCTCTCCCACCTACACCACACACACACACACACACACACACTCTCTCTCTCTCTTCTCGCTCTCTCTCTCTCTCTTCTCACTCTCTCTTACTCTGACTGTGCTGTCTGCCTCAGCTGTTCTCAGTTGCAATGTGTGCCTTGTGCTGTGGGGACAGGGCAGAGCTGCGCTGAGTGGGGCTGAACTAGTCCGGAACAGTGTTAAGTAGAGTGAGAGAGAGAGAGAGGTTGACAGTAAAACAGAGTGAAAGGGAAAGAGTGAGTGAGAGACAGAGCTGGTGCAGATTGTGCTTACCAAGCAGACTGGATTAACAGCTGAAACAAACTGGACCTGTTTTTCTCTTTTTAGCCTGAGGAAGAGACTCAGCGATAATGTGGATGTCTGTTTAGATAGAACTGCATGCTGGATGGGCACCAGGACAGGAAAATGGCAGTCGAACCCAGACCTTCTCACTCTTTCTAGTAATTAGAATGGTGAGGCTCTCGTATCTGGCTCACTTTGGTTAAGTTTACGTTGGACTTCACAGTGTGGGAGGCTCTCTTTGCTGTGACATTGACCCATAACCCCAAACTCTGCTTTGCAGGTTCTGTCTCTCCTGGAGTTGGACTTTTAATCTTGGCTTTTGACCCCTGGAACAGGACAGGGTTTTTGATATTTGAAAAGGGACGAGACCTGCTGAGATTAGGTCTGGACTGAACCATAAGCTGCTATAAATCATCAGTGGACAGCAGAAATTATTACTTCTACCAGGACTTCTTCGGCTACACTCGATCTAAGACTGACCGCACTGGAGGCGTGTATTTAAAGGACCTCTCTGGCCTCTATTGCCCCAGGACCATGGGCTCTCTCTGGGGCAGCATTTTGCTGCTGTCTGGGGCGGTTCTCCTCAGGGCGGAGGGCTACGCAGCCCAAGAGACCAAGAACAACGTCCCCCGGCTAAAACTCTCCTACAAAGGTGGGTTCATTTCTTTGTGTTGACTCATTAATGCTAAAAATCTTGATGATTCAGCTGTTGGGTGCTTTGTCTGAGGTGGAGCCGAGATGTCCTACAGCTACAGCTTATTCATCATGTAGATTCTAACCCTCAAACCGCATGTGGTGCGCCGATGAAACAGTGCCTAGAAAAGCAGTTCCCTCTAAAGTTGTAGTAACTGCTGTGTCACATATTTTTCACGAGTTTTTCAAAGAAAACTGAGTTGAGGAAGAAGACTCTCTTTATTGATTATTGGATTAGTGATAATACAAATTAGCTCTTTCGGAAACATGTTGGACAACGAGGATGCATTCAAAACATGAAAGCAGTTTCATTTGGCAAAAATGTCATATATATGTTCCAAAATAGGCTTCACACCCCACATTAAATCAGTCTTTTATACTGTAGAGAGCAAAGAATTGATGTTTTATTACAGTTAATGGAGTTGTAAATAAGGTTAGCAAAAGAAAGCTCTTATGGAAACCATGTGGTGGTGCTTAAAAACATTAGCTAAATTGGGTCCGTAAAGATAATGGGTTAGGGCTTGTAAAAGAAAATTTATATCAATTAATAGATCACTCTATAAACTCTAAAGCCAACAGAGGAGTTTAATGGTATTAGGAAAATAACATCACTTGCCAAATCAGAGGAAGCATTCCTGTCTGATGTATCCCTTCAGTACAAGTAAAATCTGTCTCTGGTGCTCTCTATCTTCTCGTCCTTGTCTTCGTTTTGATCAACTGTAGTTGTCAGATTTGCAATGAAAAGTGGTGCCAGCCATGGACTCGCTGCCAATTGAGCGTCATTTACCCCTCTCTCTTTCTCTTTTTCTCTCTCTCTCTTTTTTCCTGGATGTCATTTTTCCGCTCTGTTCTTTCCTGCATGGTAATTACACTGAGGATGAATGGTGCAGGTCTGTTTCAGCAGATGGCTTTCCCAAAGAGAAATGTCTCTCGCTCGGCACAGGGAGATCCATAATTATACACACAAGCATGCACGTACACACACATCAATGGATGGCCATCTGTAGATACCTAATGATACCTGTGAGTTTATCAGTCATTTAAAACAACATGCTGTCAGTTTGGTGAAACACGCCCATGCAGTGATATCTCTATTAGAAGTCAGACTTCAGGTAGCAGCTTGGACAGCTGGGTTATTAGACTGCCACTATTCACATTGAGGCTTGTGGGGACAATTATTGGCACCATTCCTGGCATAGACTCTCTAGCCAGAGGATAGTGTGCAGGTATCGTTTTCATGCCTGCAATGTGGTGGAAATATTATTCACATAATTCTGAAGAATTTCATCAAACTCCAGGTCCCATTAGGCAAGTGACATGGGATTATTGCACTATGAATCATTTATACTGCGGTATAAATTATGTATTACCCCTGTGATAGGTGAAGCCGACTTAGATTTACTTGTGGAAAAGAGGAAATCAGAGGATTCGCTGCGGTGAGTTACAGAACAAGACCTGCAGTGACAACCCGAGACACTGTCCCGCACTGTCCTGAGCAATCCAGACCTCTGATCTGTGACACATGGGAACCCTGACCCCTACAGGTCACTGGAAATACTGGGAAAATCTGCCCATGTGGGTGCAGGAAAACACTCTTGTTTTTGACTCAACTTAAGACCTAACTCATATGAACACAGCAGGGAAGTGTTTATCTGGAAAGTGTGAACCTTAGTGGTAGCCTGCTCCCCCGCAGTATGAGCCTTGAAACATTCAGAGTCCCTGACCAACCAAGAGGCACCCACACACTTCCCCAACCTCCCTGCTGAACCCTGGGGGACTCCAACAGATCTTTGAAAGCAAGGGTGGAGGGGCAGAAGGGCAGTGGAGTAGGGGGAAAGATAACAAAGGTACCCCATGGCTACCTAAACATGAGCGAAGGTCCAACTGTATCAACAACTAAAGGAACTGGGTGATAATGTGGAAGTGGGAGGAGATGGTTTTACGGTGGACCATAGTGCTATAAGTGGAGTCATTTCACATAAATTACTTTGCCGTGAACTGATCTGAGATCGATTGGCACCCCTACGGTAAAAGGATCCTTAAGGGAGTAAACAGAGATGCATATGGTTTGTGAGTTTATGGGCAATAAAAAGTAAAGCACATGTTGTTGACTTTATAGGGAAGAGAACAGAGGGTACTTCAGTTTTATAGGATTTGGGTGTACTGCCAAAAGTACTTCTTCTCTTCCACCTGTCCACCCCTTCCTGTAAAACAGCCAAGGACTTGAATACAAGCAAATACGCTTATTTACCAGCACACATTCATATGAATATAATTTCACCAGTGCAATGAAATTCATTTTTTAAATGCAGGAAAAGACTTGGTTGTGTTAACGCCCTTCCACACTGACGCATTCAGCAGTTTCAGTTCTGTGTTATTTGTATCGATGACCAAAGCTGGAAACGATTCTACTGGAGATGTATAATCCATGAACACATTGAAAATCTTTTCACCTCCTGTGCACAGTATAAACTCTGAATGGGCCTGAATACTCATGGAAGGTATGCACCCCCAGTGTTCAGATGCTGTGTTGCGCTCTGAATAGTTAAATTTCCTCAGATTTTTCAGATGTGGATGCCTATCTAGACTTTTTTTCCACTTCAGTCCCGAAGAGAACTTTGATTAAAGTGAGATACTCTGACATATGGCTGGTGACGTTCTCACAAATGGAGTTTGATTGGCAAATTTAGCACCAACTAAAACGGTTTGAATAAAAAACAAATTAAAACAATCAAATTAAAACTCCAGCAACAACTTTTAAAAAGTTTAGGTTACAATAAGAATGTTATAGTCTGTAAATAAAGTACTTATGAGATTGATTTCAACTACATAAACTTGTGAGTAAGTAACAGGGTAAGGCCAGAACTACTCTAGCTTTAAGATGAAAATTATTTAGTATTATATGTCTGCAGAGCTGGGTGCTGCTGTTTCAGGACTGCAGTTCTTGGCCCACATCTCTAGAACCCTTGTGTTGTTGCACCAGTAAGACTCAAGGGTGGAGTTACATACTCTTCTTTCATCATCCATCTTCACACTGAATGCATTCTTTGGTCATCTAATGCACGACAATGGTCTCAGAATTGTGGTCCTGAATCTGCAGCCTACATAGTGTTCAAATTATTACACTAACTTCACTACATTACCAGAGTACCCTGACGCTTTTCTCAACACTTAAGCCATTACGTTCAACTTTAAACTGGTCTGCAAATACGTGAGACCAGTTAAATAGCTGTTTTCATTCCTTCTTGACACTAAACAAATTACAGCACTGATGAGGCTTTGTGCTGTTTTCCCCTCAGGCATGAATGAATCAGTCACTGTATACACTTTGAGTGTTTAGTCAATGTGCAATCACACACTCGGCCTTGAGTATGATGAATGTCAGTGAAGCTACTGAACCTGGGCCAAACATCAGTGTTCCCATGTACAGTGCAGCCACACGTGGGTTATTGTTAGGATGTGTTTCTGCTTTTTCTTCGCAAGCACTTAGATAACACTCGCTGTGCCCTCCAGTCGAGAACGAGAAAGAGAGAAAGCTGGAGAGAATGTAGGCTAAAAGAGTTTATTTTTATCAGTCTCACATGGGACTGTTGATTCTTTGCATCCATTCCATCTGCCCCCTTATCTCCCTCCCGAACTCTCTTTCTCTCTCACTTTCCATTTTTCCTCTCCGCTCTTTCAGCCCTTTCCTTACATACCCATTGTTTCAGAGGAAGAAGTGGTAAATGAGGGATGGGCTGAAATGCTCTAAAAGGATGGTTGGTAATCTGTTCAGATACAACTAGTGAAAAGTGACTTTTTCTTTATTATTTTCAGACTTGCACCAACAATAAAAAGAGAAATTTCATAAACATGATGGCGGGGAAGCAGCTGACACCTGTTCAGGGCCGCTCATTTGCCTCAACATGTCTTTATGCCTTCCTGTTTGTCTGTCAGTCTTTCAGTGTTTCATCATACATACAGCCGTTCATGTTGTACACATGCATGTTTGCTAAAACTTGCCGAACTGGTGTATATATCAAAACCACTATGCAGAATTTTTTTTTTATGTAATGTTAAGTCTTGAAAACAAATGTTGCTCTTTCCATGCCCAGAGTGTCGACCCATCCGGTATTTAACCACAGGGGACACTAGCTCAGACATGTAGGGGACACAACCTCTGCTCTGTCTTAGAAACATCCTCTTTCTTTCCAATAACATACAACACGCTCCATAAACATACAGCTCCACACACAATACCCGTAGAGTATACGTCTCTGGGTGAGTAGCTTTTAATAACTTAGCTGTATTCTCTGTTGAATGGTCTGTTGCCATGGTCACTACTCCCATGGACAATTTCCACAAACCAGAGTCGTGCGTGTGTATATGTGTGTTTATGCAGTAACACATCCCTCACTCTAACCCAGGGATGTGGTTTGAGGAAAATGAAGTTCTCACGTCTGCACGATTTCACAATTTCTCTGCAGCCTCTTGACACCACGCTGTCCATGAAATATTAATATTTCCTTTTTTTACACTTACTAATTTCATTTAAATAAATAACTTGTGCACTCACATGAAAACACACTGATTCACTTTTTGCTCTCAGTCCTCACAGTCCAAACCACAGTGCTGCTGAAAAAGGTCAGAGGTAGCAGGCAGGCGTTTTAGTGTTGTCAGCGAAGGGCTTACAGTGTTTCCACTTATGATTGATCACCAAAGGTATGGAGGAACGTAAATCTAGGACACAGCTTTGGACTGGGCTCAGAAATACTTTTGCAGAAACTTTCTAAGACCTTGAGCTCCTTTTGCATTGTGTGAACAGAGGTTGCGTTTTGGTTGGCGGCCAAGTAGCCTAATAATCTTTTATGAATTAAATTGTCAGAAGTCGTAACAGATTGATCTCTGCAAACTGTCCTCAAGTATCGGGGCAATCATTGAACCATAATTTAAACTGTTAGAGGTAGCTATTTATGGATGAAATCTTTGTCTTGCAGTGGTATTGTGAGTCTTGGCCAGCTTTGGGTTTGGCCTCGGTCTCACTGTGTATCAGTTTAAGGCTGCACATCTGTTTTTTTTTTTTTTTTTTTTAACAACCATACTAATTCTTGGAAGTTCTTGCTTATTGAGTTAGTTTTAGATCTCAGTTACATTCAAGGCTTCGCAGTGTTCATTTACAGATCATAAAGTCTGAATCACACAGTGCAGTATTAGTTACATCTTACTAACAGTCTAAGTTTCACTCTCCAACTAAGGAGAGGCCCACGCAAGACAAAGGCAATAACGACAGGGTGTTAAACTATTGCATTTTACAACTCTGTGCAGTGTATGAATGTTAGCCAAACTTTCATTTGCATGAATTTATGTGTACAAGAGTGGTTAGTGCTGAACCGAATGCTACAGCCAAAGTGTTACATGAGAGCAAGAAGGTTTGTAACCAAAGCTGATGGTTTTTTTAAGTATTTTTCTTCTCTCTTCCACAGCTGTGTTTGGTCACTCTTGTTAAATGTTCTTCTTTCTTTACAATATAATGAATTTTCTATATGGATTTATCTCACCACTCTGTACCTTTAACTTCATTTTCAATGCTTTATTATGAATGAAGAATTCTTACTTCACAAGGAGTCATAACACACATAAAACTATCTCCCCTAGCAGCACTATTCTGAACAACTGAACTACATTTAAAGGCAAAATATTGATTTAGTTTGATTTGTAGTTTGGTATAAAAAATTGTTGGGTTGGGTGCCACAGCCTTCATTCTTCTTTCTGGTTATTTCTCATGTTAGACTGCAGTGGTCCACCCCTATATTTCTGAATTCATTAAAAGTATCTAAATGTAAAATCTATCTCAGATTGCAGCGGTAAAAGTTTTGTTGATAACTTTCCTAACCCCTGGTTTGACCTGTAATATCTTCAGAAAACTGAGAATTTATGTATGCATAAAATAAGCTGATGTGATGCCCTGCTTTCTCCAAGTTTATTTGCCTTTCTGCTGCAGCGTGTGTCCTCTCACTCTCTCGGGCTCTGACACACTTCAGAGAGGGGGCATTCTCCTCGCTGAAACATTCATGAACATATTTGTTATTTACTCCCCAAGAAAAGGGTAAGAGAGAGAGGGAGAGAGAGAGAGAGAGAGAACGCCAGAAGAGCCTCTGTACCATCGCTCTCCACCCTCTCACGTGGGTGGTCTATTGGAGGGGGTCGTGAGATGGTCAAAGCTTGCAGGTAGCAGTAAAGTGTGAGAAGGACAGAGCATAAATATGTGTGTATGCACATTTACACGAAAGGTGCTATAGTGCCATGTCTGTAATGTCACTTTGAGAGGTCGTTACAGTAATGACATGTCTAATGTCTGTTTGTGACCAATTTGGTTTTCTGCTGTGAAAAGCCAATGTGCCTCCTCTGCCAGACTTGGCGCACCGATGAAAACCGTGAGCTGTTGCCCATGGTAACGTGTCCCAATAGCAAATGTGGTTTTGCCCAGTCCTGCAGTTTGTAAATGAAATATTTGCAGAGACTTCTGACATGACATATTCCCTTTAGTTTTCCACTGAATCTGCACCAAGTTCTGCTTGGCTGCTCTGGTCAAGGTCACTACCACCAGGCAGACAGTTTGGTCACTGGCTCCCAGTCCTGCCGTTACCTGCCCAGTCCAATTTGGCTTGGCAGAGGTTCTTGACTGTCTGTCAGTAGTCTAGCTCAGCCAAGATGTTTAATAGAATATGAACTGGAGGGGATACTTCAATATTTTGGCCAGAATAAAAGCATTAAAAAGCTGTGGAGGAGGTAGACAAAGGACAGCCAAAACATCCAAATTTGTAGTTTTCAAGGCTAAATTAGATTTTGGCCTGTGGTCACAGAGACTTTAGAGGGATGGAAGTGCTTGGTGTTCTTAAACTAAAGCTATGCATCTCAAAAACACCTGGAGAATCTATTTTAAATCATGCAAATAAAAGCTGACCTGATGGTTTTGCTTCCACCTACTTACATGCTGCCCACAGTTACAGGTTTTCACTACTTGAGTATCACATCATGCTGACCACTGCTTTTCTTTCCTTTTTCGTTTGCAGAAATGTTGGAGTCTAACAACCTTGTGACGTTTGAAGGCCTAGCAAACAGTTCATCTTACCACACGTTCCTGTTGGATGAGGAGAAAGGGAGACTGGTTGTTGGAGCCAAGGACCACATCTTCTCATTTAACCTCATCAATATCAGTCGAGACTATGCACAGGTAAAACCCGTGTCTGGTTTTCAGTCTGTCTGTCCGGTGGTTGTATCCATTTATCTGTTTGCGTTTCTGGCCAACTTAATATCCATCCTGAGTGTGCCTCTCTATTCCAGAGTGCCATTCAGAGGCTCAGGTATCTCGGGACTCTCTTTTCTGTTTCTACCGAAAAAGTGCCTCGTGAATATTTCAGATCAGGGCTGTCGCACACGATCACACGCTGAGCCAGGCATGTTAGCTGCTCTCTGCACACCTGGATGAATAATGGAGTAAACTGAAACAAAGTGGATAACAAATCGCATTTGTGACCCCCTCAACCCACATACACACACAAGCATGCACACAAACTGTAGCCGTGTTGACTCAGTGTGTAAAATTGATTCGAGGAGGGGGTGATCTCATCTTACATGCACAAGAACTGTGTTTGTGTTGCAGATCCCTTGGCCGGCTTCTCCCACCAGAAGAGACGAATGCAAGTGGGCAGGAAAAGATCTCTCGGTAAGAGCTAAAAACATCTATCTTCCAAGTGGGTGTCAGCATTTCACCCCAGCACTCCCACAGATGTTTTAAAAATGTCTTTGCTCTACTGTACTGTGAAAGATGAACAACTGTGCAGATCTTAGAGTAGCCCTCGGTTATAGCTGCTGTGGGATAACACTGGTTATGTGCTAGGGCCTTTCCAACGCTGGCAATCTGATGTAAACATTTTTTTAATCTCTCAGTTTGTTTACACAAGTGTGTTGACATATCTAATCTGTCATGTGGACAATGAGCATAGGTCTGACCATAATCTCAAAGCCAAGACTGAGACCATCATGACCTTAATCACGTATCAAGCCTCTGGGCGCTCCATTAGGTACACTGAGGTCTCAGAAATCTCTGCTTACCTACTAGTATAACCACAGCATTAATGATAAGAGCTGTCATACATTCAGGGATCACAGGCATTAGTGTTTTCTTTATGTAGGACTCATTTCTTTTCCCCATGTTATCTTTGTTTTCTCTGTGTCCCTTCTTTTTTCTGATTGACCTCACAAACATCAGAACTTGGCTTGCCTGTAATATTAATCCCTCAGACAGACTAGAAGGAATTAATAACCTGTTGATCAATTTAAAGTCAAAGTTTTATTACATTATTATGCTTGGTATGCTTGCTAGAACTCAGGCCATGCAACTCAATATGTCTAAATAATGAAGTTAAAGCTTTAAACCGCTTTAGAAAATAAAAAATGTCCCTTTAATACTCTCTAGTGATCAAACGGAGAGTCCAACACAAACACTTAGAGGTTTGGTTTTTTTAAGTCTGCGCAGTGTATTTGTTTCTTTAGCATTAGCATGCTTTTCTTAATTGACTACAAAGTTTGAGAAAAAAATTGACACAAAAGCTGATTTGTTTTGCCGCAGGGTTCAAGGGTTCTCTGACTCTTGATCCAAGTCAACCCTTGCCAGACAAGCTAAGCGAAACATCCATCAGTACGTGGTTGAGAGCGGTTTTGACGTAGTTTGTGCAGAAGAGTGAAACTCCAAAGATGTTGGCAGCTTGTATCTACTCTCTGTAAGCTATGTTATGAAATCTATCTTCAACAAAGCCCTCGGGCTACATGCTGGAATATAAAATCGTTGCTTTTTTTATGCCTCACTTCACGGCTTGGACATTGGCCAGAACAGGACAAGCCCTCCTGTCTTTCCATAGCTTATTCTAAGCGCCTTGAAGCCCTTTGTGTGTTTTCTGTAAACACTCCGGCTTGGATGAATGAGGTGCCCTTGGGGGTGGTCTTTCTGTTATAGAGTCAGAGGGGAGTGAGAATTAAAAGGAGGCAGAGAGAGGCTGTTGATGTCCCCCGATGTACCATAAGCAAACACTTCTGGAGATGAAGCAGCGAGGAAATAAGGAGATAGATGAGTGTGAACGGCCTAAATGTTCATCCACATGGGGAAAACTGTAAATATCTTTTGCGTAGAATAAAACGTGTGATATCTCCATACTATCAATTATTCTGTTTACACTTTATTCTCTTATGTTGAACCCGCTGATGGTGTAAACAACAGATGTACCTATATGTGCTTTGGCCTGTCTGCATTATCTTGCTTAATAGCCATATGGAAGCAATGAAACAATACCCCAAAGATACTGAGCAGCCGTGTATTTCTGTTTGCAACAATGATGCTCATTACTCAGATAAACCCACCTACGTGCAGACCATAGAAATCTAAAGAAAGACAGATGCTTGGATGTCAACAAACGCTCACACAAACAGAGGCTGCTGTCTGCCGATGACCCAGTAAAGCCAGATGAACTTCGCCATGCATAATTTGTGGTGGTGTTCTCTCCATTTTTTTCTTCTTCTTCTTTTTGAATATGTGATGACACATTCAGTTTTATTTGAGGTCAGATCTGCTCAGGCACGTGCTGCTCGAACATGAGGAAATATGCTCTGCCATATGGTAGCAGAGCAATGCATACAAAACAAACTAAATAACACACGCACAGACACAAGGTAAGGATTAGATAGACTACATCTACATATTAAGTTATAAGTAATCTCTGCGTATTAAAGTCACAAGGTCAAGAAAAGTGCATTTTTCCATGTTCCAGCCATTAAATTAAGAAGTAGAAGCCCATCAAAACGCTGCTCTTTAACATCTTTTATTGTGCTTTTAACTGACAGACTGGAAGAAATTAATGTTTATTCTGACTCATAAGGGATTATAATGGTCGGCATTGTTGCCAATCTTCTCTGTTATTATGGATTTTAATCCCTCCTGTAGAAAATCACATTCACTGTATGGGAATGAAACAGCTGACGTAAAGCCAGCAGTGGTTGATGTCACCGGGTTCAATGTGCTAGAAAAGCAGACGGTCCAGTCCTTGGTTACTTTATGCAGATGAAGTGGAAAAAGTACAGAGTCACAGATGATTATACTCAGTCTGGGCATGATATTATTTTCTGAGGCATTACTCAGCACATTGCCAGGGTGCGCAGGCCATGCCCTTGGGGATTACAGCAGATTACAGTCAGCTTTGCTCCCTGCTATCATCACTGATCTTTTTAATAAAGAGTTGGATTTTTCCTCTGCTGAGACTTGTGCTATTAGTGACACTTATCCAGCACTTTTGCCACCTTTTGTCAGAAGAATTACCCTAAAAGGGCAGTTGTACGCTTCAATAAGTGATGGCACCTAGAGACTGTTAAAAAAAGAGGTTTTAATATGTTTCGGTCTGACAAGGTTGATTATTCTTTCTGTTTTATGTCTTTTTCCATCAGAGGGAGTGCTCAAATTTTGTCAAGGTACTGCAGCCCTTCAACCAGACTCATCTATATGTGTGCGGGACAGGAGCCTTCCACCCAGTGTGTTCCTATCTCGAAGTAGGGAAAAAAACAGAGGTACTCGTATATGTTTCATTTTCTGACATATATCGTTGCCCTGAGTTACAAAAGTTATTCTAAGTTTTACACATTGACTGCGTATAAATATGGACAGCACACCTCCATCTTCTCCTATTCAAAAATGAAGCCAAAGTGACACGAGAGCTGACACACAGTGTTATGCTGGTGAGCTATTGTGGATCCAAGACTTGTGAACAAGCAATTTGGACACTAATGCTAAAAGCAGATCAGACACTCAGACATGCCGATCAGAATTTTGTGAATCCCCCCAAAATAACACTTTCTGTTAAATAAGTTTGACATGAATTAACAAAAATGACAGGAGGCATGCTTAAGGAAAATGACCAATACTGCAGTCAGTCACTCTAAAAGTTTTGGCTTCACTCTAGGAGCTGTTGTGCTGTTCATGTTTTTATAAAAGTTGATGGTCTGATATCATGGTGACATAATAAAGCTGTAAAATCCTCCAGATAAATGATTTTCTAAGTACAAACAAATGGTCTCATTTCGCAAAATAAGCTTGAAAATCGAACTCAGGGTTTTTTTTTTATAGTCTGCTGGCTTTTCAATCCATCACTCTAACGTGGGACTGCTGCATGTGTATTCATTAAAAGAGTGAGCAAAGGAAATTGCTCTTTTCTCCTCCAAATGTCACTGAGTCAGCCTTATAAATGTCTCTTTCCTACTCATTAGAAAGCTATTTACAGACAGTTGGAGGCAGGAAATTTCTCAGAGAATAGATACACTCTGCTCAGAGATCGTAAAATAAGAATGTAATTTCTCTGATGGATGCCTGTCAGTATCAAGAGTAGGAACAAAAACTGCCTTACTTTTGAAAAAGTCAGATTTATCCTTAGTCTACAGAAAAAAAAAACAAAAAAACATTGTCTTTAATTTTGTCTTTAACTGTATATTAAAACAACAAGACGGTTCCCATAAAGTCAATGTTGATGGATACCTGTTCAAAATGAAATTCTGCGGGTTGCAAGAGTGCTGATTTTCTTCAAATACTCTCCTCTAATGTGAAGTTGTGATGTGCTGACAGCAGAATGAATTCCCCAGACACAAATCCCACTCTTACTGACTTGTCTATTTTCTGCCTTTGTGATTTAAGCACCCATCTCTCAGAAATAATGGGAGTGCTTGGTTAAGATCATTCACTTCATCAGGTCTGACTCTCTAATGTGTCTCCTCGTGTTTAGGACAGCGTGTTCAGACTGGAGCCTCACATAGAAAACGGCAGAGGAAAGAGTCCTTATGACCCCAAGCTGCTCACTGCCTCCATGCTAATTGGTGAGTTTCAGACCGGATACGCTGAGCTGTTCTTCAGTGTGTTTGGGCACATAAAAACATGGGAGTCCAGAAAACACCCTACGCCTTGCTCTTTCATTTCAGCAGATATAAAGAGTGTAAACGACATGTGGATAACAGAACAGTGCATTCCTTTCATTCATTACGAGTGGATCTGCTCTGTAGTTCATATTTACACCCCTGAAACCCCTTATTGGCGGGATTGTAAACTCTATTTCCATCCAAATTTGCCTCTTTTAAGTGTTGGGCGTACATAGCAGATGACACTTTATTGAGTTTCTTTACACTGAATCAAATAAAGCAGGACTACGTGAGCATGTCGTTCCTCTCTAGCCCCAATTATTGCCAGTCACATTGTGTTATATCACAACGTTTAACCCAGCAGATGGCCATTTTCCAGCCCATCACACCTAATCTCCTCGCCCCTTTTCCTCTCCCTTCTCACAGCATTATTATGTACTCCCCCCTGTCTCACACCTCTACCCTGTCCCTCCATGCGTTCATCTCTACCTTGTCTCCCCCTTCAAGCCCTGCCCACTGTGATAATGTCAATTTCACAGTCCTGATGTTCATCATGTCCGTCACTGTCTGTGCTCTCCCTGAACTTCAAGTCTGCCCTTACTGCTAAGCTCCTGAACAATTCCTTAGACTTTCACACCTGCTCAACGAGGGAGAAACCACTTCATACAGTTTTCTCATCCACTGTTAAGACAACTAACACACAGCTAACGCACTTCCCTTGTTCCTCAGATGGGGAACTGTATGCTGGGACATCAGCTGACTTCATGGGGCGGGACTTTGCCATCTTTCGCACTCTTGGCAAGCATCACCCAATCAGAACAGAGCAACATGACTCTCGGTGGCTAAATGGTGAGAAGGAGGAAAATAGTTATTAGTATAGTAAAATGTGTTATTTTTGGATTTTTGTACATTGATTTCTAAGACACTGATATCTTACTCTTGGTATTTGTGCCTCTCTCATGCCTTTATTGTGGTGCTTTTAATGCTTTTGTCATGCAGATGACACTCAGCTGTACTTGTCTTTCCACCAAAATAAACTCAATGCAGTTTCTAATGTACAGGGATATCTACAAAGGATATAACCCTTAAACTTTATCAGTTTAAACAAAACTAAAACAAATGACAGTAGTCTTCAAAAGACCCTGCACCACTCTGTGACTTTATTCCTCTGACACCAAGATCATAAACTAAGGTTTAAAATTCCACTTTTGACTTTATATCCAACATTTCTGTACATAATAAATAATAAGTCTCTACGTGGTAAACCTTGGGCACATACATGAAATGCTTTCCCTGTATAACAATATTTATCCCACAAAAATGACTAACTTACCTTACATTTAATTCAAGTTAAAGGATGGCCTTATAGACGATTGAAAACCATTGAAACTGTTGCAGTGCAGAACAGCAGTGGTTTCCATGCTCCTTTATTATAAACCAGTAGCTCCAAACAAACTTTTAAATGATGGGAATGAAGTTTATGTACACCATATCTCAATTTACCTCTGTGTGTTGCAGATCCAAGATTTGTGGGAGTTTATCCAATCCCAGAGAGTGACAACCCAGAAGACGACAAAATCTACCTGTTTTTCAAAGAAAACGCCATTGATGGAGAGCACGCTGGGAAGGCCACACACGCTCGTATCGGACAGCTCTGCAAAGTATGAATATTAAAGATTAACACAGCCACTGTGGACACACACCATCACACAGGCCTGCTTCCACACAGGAATATTCCCAGAATCAAAGACACACACCTTTTCGCACAGACATTATGTGAAATAGCTTCTGTATCTAGAAAAACACTTGACGTGTGTCTGGGTGGCTTTCATAATGGCAGGGTTTCAGGGGCTGTTATCTATGATTATTTTTAGCCTGGGGAAGGGAGAGCTTTGTTGTGTGTGGTACAGTTGCCCCTGAAGACAGAAACCTGAGAGAAATGTTAAATGTCACCAGAACCTGGGCGGCAGACTCGCTCTCAATGGCTGCACTTCTATTCTAATGCCAGGCTTTGGCTCTGATTGGGTCTGCCACACCCCTGGGCTGCAGGGGATAATATATGTTAAATAGCTGGCCTTGTATCAGCTTTCACCCTCCAAATCCTATTCCATTTCATTAAGCAGGAATCCACCCAGCTGACTGCAGAGCAGAGTCTTGCCTCATCCTCACATTTAGCCACATATCGGTCCTCCGTCATAGCATCCTGATCACCCAGAATGTCAGGAATCTGTCTTGCTCAACACAACCCAAGTCATCCATAATGGGGGGGAGGATGTGGTATTAATTTGGGCTTGTGCATATTTAGACACATGCCGAATCAGTGTCATAAATCAAAAACCATGTGGGAGAAGCTTTTATGAGCACCCGCTGTTTGTGTGACTGTTCTGAAAACAATCACAGTATTGTGAGGCAAAGACATACAGTGTAAAGTTGTGTACTTGACCGGAGACAGAAAAACTTCCTATCTAAAAATCCATAATTCTTTTTGAACTGTACATTTTAATGAGGCAAATTGCAGATAAACCAAGTGAAACAATTAATTACTTTATCTATACAGCATATGGAATCAATATAAGACAATGAAAACTCATTCACAGCCCAGCAGACCTTCATAATGTCTTCCTTTATCATATAAACTAGTATGTACTTTAGAACTACAGCCTTATCTTACGAGACTTTATAAGCCTGAAGATGATAAAAAGGTTAGAGTCTTAAAAGTTATCAACAGAAGTTTTGAAAGACAGATATAAGCCCTATTTATACATGTATCTTCAGTTATTCGGTGAAAAATACCATCTACCACTGATTTTCTAACAAACTTCCCAATTTAACTCTACATTTTATCTATCTGACAGAATGATCTAGGAGGGCACAGGAGCCTGGTCAATAAGTGGACCACCTTCCTGAAGGCTCGGCTCATCTGCTCTGTACCTGGCAGCAATGGAATTGACACACACTTCGACGAACTACGTGAGTAATTACTCTTGAACTTTAAACAAATCAAATCAAATTTTATTTATATAGCGCCAAATCACAACAGTCGTTATCCCAAGAGTTTCCCCTCCAAAAAAAGGGCAGGTCTAGACCACGCTAATTGTTTAACAGCTTTTTGTTCATCCAGCATTAAATACAGTCGGTTAAAATTTTGTGTTTCTGTCTGTTTGGCTTACAGAGGATGTTTTTCTTATGGGCACAAAGGATCCTAAAAGCCCGATCATCTATGCAGTGTTTACAACATCCAGGTACTGAGGCTGATTCTGAATCAGTTGAATAGACTGTGGTCAGTGATTGCATGGACCTTCTCTCCAATAAAATCCTGCTATATCGGTATCTGACTCCTTTTCTCTGCCCATTAGCAACATCTTCAAAGGTTCAGCGGTGTGTATGTACAGCATGACGGACATAAGGAGAGTATTTCTGGGTCCCTACGCTCATAGAGATGGACCCAACTACCAGTGGGTGCCCTTTCAGGGACGTGTGCCCTACCCACGGCCTGGCACAGTGAGTAAAAAAAAAAAACTTTAACCAGGATATCTAGGTATTATGAAGGTGAATTTTCACTTGTAACCCACTAAGGTTATTTTTTTCCCCAACAGTGCCCAAGCAAGACGTTTGGAGGGTTTGATACAACAAAGGACCTTCCTGATGAAGTGGTTACCTTTGCCAGAAGCCACCCAGCCATGTTCAACCCTGTATATCCCATTAACAATCGGCCAATCATAGTGAAAACAGATGTGGACTACCAGTTCACCCAGATAGTGGTGGATAAAGTTGAAGCAGAAGATGGTCTTTATGATGTTATGTTCATAGGCACAGGTATACACTTTTTTACATTTATTCACATGCTGTAAATATTTTAAATGGAAGCATTGTCGCTGTAAATAACGATGAATGAATAGATTTGTTTTATGTGCTTAGACATGGGGACGATACTGAAAGTCGTATCCATCCCCCGAGGCTCTTGGCATGACCTGGAGGAAGTCCTATTGGAAGAAATGACTGTTTTCCGGGTAAGTCATACTCTTCCCTCCTGTATTAATTTCCCATTTAACGTCTATAGAAGCAGCAAGAGTTTAACTAAATCTGTTTGACTGTCTCTTTTCTTACAGGAGCCAACAGCTATCACAGCCATGGAACTCTCAACCAAACAAGTAAGGCTTTCAGCTCTTTACACACGTGAAATTAAACTACAGCAACACATGTAGCCGAGCAACTCTCCCCAACAAAGGGGTATTATTCTCTTATCAAGATATCATACAACCTACAGAGGCTAGAAGCATCCCCCCAGGTGACACACGAGGATAGCTGCACACATTCGAGTTCACTTTCTAAACACTGCGAGGTAAAAGACTTAATCACACAATGTCTCAATTGTTTGCTTTTGAGTAGCAGTTAGCTTGTAAATCTTAAAGACAGGTGGAGACAAAATGAGTCAGTAAATTGACAGGTAGGAGGGTACTGGGTGTCTGTAGGAAGATGGTCTGTCCACATTCCTGACTTGTATGACAGCCGCAATGACAGACATGCCAAACATGACCTCAAGTGCTGCCAATCCTGTGTGTAAACTTTTGTTGTAGTGACGGATAACAAACAACGCCTCACTTTTGTTAAAAATTGCGTCTTTCTTTCTTTTTTTTGTCTACACAGCAACAACTGTACTTGGGTTCTGACATTGGCGTGTCTCAGATGCCTCTGCACCGGTGTGAAGTGTATGGTAAGGCCTGTGCTGAATGCTGCCTGGCGAGGGATCCTTACTGTGCGTGGGACGGCACCGAGTGCTCCAGATACTTCCCCATGGCCAAAAGGTACTCCATTCACACCTTGCATTCATACCTGTCATCACATTGCCTTCCAGCACTTTGAGTTTTTACAAACAACATTTGTTCACAGCTCTCTACAACACTGGAAACATACTCTGAGGTTATGCAATAGGATTATTTTAACCTGCACAACATCAACCATCTCAACCTACCAGATAATGTGTAACATTCACAGTTTGAATCCACACTTTAAGCTGCACTGTTTGGATACTCACACAGACAGTTTCATCAGAAATGTCTAAGCATTTTGCACAAAGGCAACCCGCTTTAGATTTCAGCATGCCTAATTGAATTCAAGTGTTTAAACCCATGTGATAGAATCCCCTTTTGTGTGACAGATTGACCATATTTACAGAAATGTAAACTAGATTATATAGAAAGCTTTCAAACAGATTGAGGACATATGCGGTCAGGCTGTGATTCAGAGCAAGAGCTATGCACACTTATAGTGCAGGCTTTGTATATTTGCCAAAAATCCCCTAAAGGACTGGTATCGTGTTTCTACCAGAAAGTTGGAAATATAACCTGCCTCATGTGTTTACTGTAAATGAGAAGCAGTGTTGGTGATGTCTGGAGGCTGTCTGGGTGAACCAGGGGTGAGCGGTTGTTAGAGGTGCGGTGGTGCTGCGGTTGTCGATGTGGACTTATCTGTAAGCGTGCATGTATGTGCGTACTTGTGTGTGCAGCCTCCTACTCACAGCTCCGTGGGGTTTATTGATTTGAATGCTAGCTGTACAGAATCCGGCTTTTGCTGTTAGTTGGGCCCCAGAGTCTTACATTTAAAAATAAGACAGCTGGAGCAAACTGTGCTAACACACCGTGTCCAGAACAGTGTGATACAAAAGAAGGAGAAAGTCTGAGTTAGCTTTAACGTCTCTGTAGTTTCTCCAGTCACTGTCAATCACAGAAATATCTTGACACTGCTCTTCAAACTCCATCGCTTGCAATTTAATCCAGCAAACATGACAGTTAGACATGATTGATTAAATTCCTCTGTCGTGCACACCCTATAATTATGGTTTTTATGTGACGCTATTGGGTGCTTGCTTTTAGTTTATCTATTTATTTTAGTCTGTGCATCCAAACCGCAACCAAATACACACCTACACACAAACTTCCTGACAACATATTCTGAGAAAGTGTTGTGTCTGCTGACTCATGACGCTTTCTTGATATTTGTGTCCTGCAGGAGAACAAGACGGCAAGACATCAGGAACGGAGATCCACTCACACAATGCTCAGATCTGCAGCACCATGGTACGAATTTATACACCCTTTATACAACTTCACTCATAAATTTACACTTTCCATGGGGAACATAGAGACAAATTCCAACCTAAGCTTGTTAATTTTCCCAAAACAAAATCACAAAGAGCTTCTGTTTAGCGAACATATTTCTTCTTTGAGCAGTGAAAAGGCTCCGAAGCCGTCCAAACCGTCAAGTAGCCGCTAGACTGTGTGTGGTGCTGTGTCTTGTGTTTTATGTCTTTCTGGTGGTGTGAAGATTACAGCTGGTACTTTTAAACCTTATAATTAGTATGGGCAGGATTCCTCCAAGCCTCCTCTCTGTCGCCAAACTCTCCGCCCTGTTAGCAGTCTTTCGCCAAAAACAAGACTCATATGGTTGTCTGATGCACTTTTTTCGTCCTCATAAGTATGTGTATCTATCGTTGGACTGAAAAGACGGAAACATATATTTAGTCAACTCAAGCTGCTGATTTGAGAAAGAGGAACTCAGATAAAATAATCTCACTTCATGCAAGACCACATATATAAATTTAATTGCACATCTTATATTTTAAGTTACAAAAAAATGTGTTAAAAATGTGAGTTTTTAGAGAGTGGAGAGGGAATAATAATCTGTAGTGGTTTTACCCAGAGTCAGTATTTAAGAGAACAAGCAGGGAAACTCTGACCTTTAGGTGCCACAGCTTTCTGAATGATTATTGCACCTACTTCACTTTATAAAACCCAGAGTTTGGTTACAGCCGATTTCCCTCAAAGACTCCTTTGTGGTGGTGTGCTTCCTATTCTGCTCGAGATTGAGTGTGATAAGAGAAGAGACAGGGTAATGTGGCGAAAGGATTTAAAATGCATTCATTGGAGAACTTCAGAAGCAGCAGAAGTAGGAGTGTTGCACTGATTTTTATGTCTTAAGTCTTTAAAGACCCTTTCAAGACCCTATATAAAAAAAAGAACTGTTGATGAGCAGCAGAATGGATAAACATAGAAGTAGCAGATTTCACCTTTAATCCCAGTAGTTCTCAACTGGTCTCACTCTGGGACCTACATTTTCCTATGGTCCTTAAGTCGTGACCCACTTTTATAAAATTCAAACCAGGCAGATTTATTTTTTGTAAAAAAACCTTCAGAGTCTCAAATGTTTGACATAAATAAACCCATTTAATTGAATAAAGTGCATTTTAGAGCACATGAATTGAGGACGACAACTACTTAAGTTGCATATACAGAAAATATCAAATTGCACAAAATAAAGACAAAAAAAAAAAGAAAAGAAAAAAAACCCACGTATTTTTACTGCATTCAGGCCAAATTGGTAAGAAACCGAGGAGGACATAACACGTGCCTTTCAAAATAAGCTATTTTTCAAAATAAAAGACATGTCAAATTCAGATGCGCATTAAATATTTACTTTTTTGACCAGCCGTTCACGACCCATCCAGAACATGTCCGTGACCCACTTTTGGGTCAGGACCCACCAGTTGAGAACCACTGTTTTATCCCACATTTAAACAAGGCTTTGAACCATCCATTCTCTGCATTTGTTGTTGAGCTGAATTTCCTTGAGCTTTGATTGATGTAGATTTGATAATGTGATCAAACAGATCGCAGTCATCCAAAATTTAAGGCCGCTTACATGTAAAGATAAAACATTTTAAGACATTTCATGACCCTGAGTTCAATATCTAATTTTGTACTTTTTTTGACACTGCAGTACTTTGAGTATGAAGTAATTTTTATTTTAATGAAGTGCTTCACAAAAAAAAAAAAATCCCACTACGTTCAGCTACAACCACATATACCAACTCTGTTTTTGCACTACAAAAACTACAAAACAATTCATCATCCTCCCATAACTCCTCTGCTTTTGTTTCCCATTCAGATGAACTAAGTGGGCAGACAACCCTCCTGGATAAAACAGTGTACGGTGTGGAGAACAGCAGCACTTTCCTTGAGTGCAGTCCCAAGTCCCAGAGAGCCCTCACATATTGGCAGTATCAGCGCTCTGCTGACGACCGCAAGCTGGAGGTTGGCACTAACCTTAGGACTCAATCTTTGAAAATGGACTCAGATATTAAGTGCTAAATGACTGTTTTGGTATTAAGGTTTTGAATTTCATCAATATTTCATATTAAACTTCAGCACATCAAGATAGTCATCGGTGGTCACTAGATTTGGATCTGATGTCTCATTTCTCATACCACTGTCTCAAACTTCTCATTTTCTATTTCGGCAGATCAAATCAGACGATCGTCTCATCCGCACAGACCAGGGCCTCCTGATTCGCACTCTCAACAAGAAGGATTCTGGGATCTACCTGTGCCAGGCAGTGGAGCACGGCTTCATGCAGACACTTGTGAAGGTAACCTTGGAGGTGATCGACACAGAGCGCCTGGAGGATCTGCTCCATCGTGACAAAGAAACTGCAGCCAGTGTGTCCGCCCAGGAGCGGTCTACGCTCCAAGAATCGCCAAATCAAAGGCTGTGGTACAGAGACTTCCTGTCTTTGGTCAATCACCCGACTTTGAACAGTGTGGATGAGTTCTGTGAGCAGGTTTGGAAAAGGGAGAGGAAGCACAAGAAGCAGAAAGCTCACTTGGTGCAGCAAGTACAAATACAACACCACCAGCAGCAACAGCAGCAGCAGAAGGTTGTGGTGAACCCTCACCCACACATGCATGCTCAAGGGCTGGCTGCCAAGTGGAAGCACCTGCAAGAGAGGCAGAAAGGGCGCAACCGCAGGACCCATGAACTGGAGAGGGCCCCCCGCAGTGTCTGAACCTTGACTTATATCACCCAAATCTGAAACCGCACCCATTTCTCACCCTGTAATCCTATTAACTTATCCTCTTTTCTCTGTGAAAATCAAGAAATGGACTTGCTCCACAAGGATACAAAAGTTGAAGTGGTAAGATGCAAAACCATCCTGACCCACCTGTGGATGCTTCCGTGCGTGGGCAGCCATGTTTACAGATTGGCGGTACAGGAGACCGCAGGAAGCAGGATGTTGTATGTCACCAGATCATCTGAGCATATTATCTCAGCTGGCCTCTGTGGCCTGAGCACTGCAGATGGACAGTGTCAACCAGCACAAGACCAGGACACACATATACTCATCCTATAGACATGACTGACTGTGTCGACATGGCTGCTTCTACGGCGTTGTCTCATGGCGTGCAAGATAGCTGCCCTTATTTTCATCAGTGTGAAAATAAGTTGATAACTTAAAGTAATTTCTTTCTACTTCACATATAGGAAAAACAAGGAGGATGAATTAAATTGCAAACATTGTGCAGAGTGAATGGACTTGTATCTAGATTCCAAGCACAAAAGAAGTGAAACTCATGAAAAGCACAAGGTGGGATATTTGGTCAGGTTTTCATATTTTAGTTCATCATTGGAAAGAAAAATGCCCAATTGCTGCAAGAATCTTTGGACATTCATTATTTGTCAACACATAGTATAATAATGTAGCTAATATGTGTAAATATTGTACTCTAGGACTCCTCCTCTTGGTAAAGGGAATGGTTTGCAGTTGTCTTGCTTTTTGTTTTTCCCTCAAATAGAAAGACTATATTTAAGAAAAAGTCTCTGAGGAAAGCAGATGTAAACAGGGAAATTTTGTACAAATCTGTGTGCCCACGCCCTGCATAAGCTCGCCAAACACAGTCAGGTTTTAATATTGTTCTTGTGTTTATCTGTTTAATTTGACTCAGATCAGATTCCTTCCAGAGTCAGCAGTCATTAAGTTGGCTGTCACTTTTAATGGATGTCTGCAGGCTGCATCATCTCGGTGCACAAAATGTCTCGCTGGGTTCTTCCATGTTCATCCTACATGTTTCCTTTTTTCCAAATGTGTATTTATTGATATTCAGTTGTGTACTTTAAGAAAATATTTTTCATGTGCAGGCAATAGTTTTCTTTAATTTGATCACTTTTGGTTTGATACCTTCTTATCGACACCATCAGTCTCCTTATTAAACTGTATCATCACAAATACTGTAGAAAGACTACTGTAAGTTATTTGGTCACTATGCATCACATATCATATCCACGAAGCAATAACCCAGTATCCAGATTGTACGTTCCCTCTATAACCTTCATAGGCAGCGCAGTGTTGAAAATTCATCTCACTACATGTAACACAACAGACTTTTTTTTTTTTATGGTAAACTGCACACAAACAAACCTGGAATGTAGCTGTGAACATGATGTAAATATAAATACTATGATCTATGTCCGACAAGTATGACACTGTTTACTGGTGCATGTGAATACTATTGTAGTGTTCCTGTTGTTGCTATAGTGATAACATACTAGTCCAGTGTTCGTCTGTGTTATTTGGTTGTTTGCTTATAAAGTACCTAATATTAAAGGTGTACATACTATTTCTGTTAGGACTCTAAACTGTAAAATATATTAATTCTTGAGGTAGGTATTCATTAAAATATTATAACGAGATCCAAACAAGGTCTTGCTAAATGATGAGCAAAGTCTAACCACACATCTGCAATCTGTACTCTGGAGGATCTTGTCTAGTGTGCGAACCTCATCTGCTCTTGGAAGCCGCGACAGAAGATGATGAGAAACAGGACAGAGAGTCTTTCTGGGCCACGAACACTGAGTTGAACACCAGAGTTTTGGGACTTTCAGTAGAGATGGACACATGATAAGATCATCATTATTAAAGAGAAACAGGATGCCTCACTACATCTTTCTTGGACATTTAGTGAAAGCGAGGGAATGAAGTGCTGCTGCTGTTGCTGCTGCTGCTGCTTTTTGGCATGATAATAATGATGATGATGATGATGATGATGATGTATTCTACTGATCTAATAAATGTCTCTTCATAAAGTGCTGGTTTCTTTTAATCTATTTTTAATATGTAATGTCCTGCTGCTATCATGGTTTGTGCTTATAAAGGAAAAGCTTCCTGTTGTGTCGATGATCAGATTAGATCTCAGAGTAAAATGAGTATAAATGAGAATAACTTTAATAATCTTTTATTACATCCTGAATAATTGGTGGTGGTGGTGGTGGTGGTGGTGGTGGTGGTGGTGGTGGGGGGGGGGGGGGGGGGGTATTTGATGCTATCCTCATCTCATCTATCCTGACAGTTATTCTACTGTGAAAACGGTTTTATTAGTCAAAGTTATCACTGGAGTGAGTTTGGATTTATTAGAAATAAAAGTGCTCACGGAGGATTATCAGTCACCAAAAGGACTTGAAACTGATATGAAAAAGTGAATCTAGGCACAGTGGTGTGCCTCAAGCACCATTTGAATTACTGGAAGACCCTCATGTCTAATGTGAAGTGAATTATACATGAGATCCCCTGCTGTCTCCTACTGAAACCCAGCTGTCGTATTTGCATACAGACTGGACATGATCGTAAATGATAACTCTGGCTTTCACAAGAAAAACACCATTTAACTAGAAAACTAAAATCTAGCATTTGTGCCATTAAGTCATTTTGAGCTCTTTCTGTGAGCAGCATCATTATATGAATTATGTTTAACTACTGCCCTCTGCTGGCTCTACAGAAAAGGCCCAGGGTTTTATCACATGAGGGGAAACAATTCTCCTCTTTCTCCATCGGATCTCAGAGAATACAGTTAAATAAATAAAGCTTTAGGTGAAGCAGTCCTAAACCTCCAAAAAGCACAAAAAGGCACTATATCATAAGAAACCCGACTTCACACCTAAAGGGCCCCTTTGAACCCGGGTCAAAGGTCAGTCTGCGTATGTCTCGCCTGGGCATTGGCCTTCACCTCTGGAGCTGGTTCAAGGGCTGCTGTGGGAGCTCATCAGCCTCAGCAGAAAATGCTCAGACACTTCAAAAGGATTATTACTGAGGGCTTCGTTTATTGATAGTGTCAGCTGGGACAGAGCACACGGACACCCAAAAATACACGTACACAACAGCAGTATGAACACAATAAGTAGTCAGGTCTGCATCTGTAACCGTGCTCTTTGTAGTAGAGGTATGCAATAGATAAGAAGTCAGTCTCGCTTTAACTGAAAGAGAAATGAAAAATAAACCAAGTAGAGATCAGTTATAAAGTGTTTTCTGACTGTGATCACAAAGCACTGCACCTTTGTACAAAAGCATGTGAGGATACAAAGGATTTAACCTTATTTCATAAAACTAAAGCAGATATTCAAAACCATCAGGTGGCACAGTGCAGAACACATCAGTAACATTATACTACATCAGATTTCAGCAGCAACATGCAGCCCTTCAATCTTTACATGCAAACTCTGAGATGGTGTCACCAGAATTTTTCAGTCTTTCTGCTCAGAAGTGTGAACAACCTTTATGCACTGCAGTAGTCATACCTGTAACATAGGGCATGACTGCCCTCCAGTGGCTAAAGGGATTTATTTGAAACTAATTCAAACGTAAGATCCAACAGCCGTGTGCTGGAAACAAAACTGCAGCCGTCCCTCCCTTTTACTCTCAGCCAAGGACATGGATGAGTGAGAAGAGCTGTCTTGACTCAAGGGACCAATACGCTTACTGGAAAAAGTGACACACAAACAATGGTGGTTATTAATGTTTTATTTTCCTTCAGTATGACTCGGTGTTATTAGACAAGCCTTTGTGTTAAAACACTGAATAAGAGTCACATTCATAAAACAAGTCATTACCTTCACACTTTTTAATTTATTTTTAATATCATTTAGTTCCTTTTCTCTTTGATTTGTTTAAGGCTGCTCACCTATGAAAGTACCACACATACTAGTTTAGAAAACAAATGCTGACAGTGGGTACTGCTGTATAATATATTGAACTGAATTCAAAGAAGAAACTGAATAACTCAGAAACGTTTACATCATGTAAAACTCCTCTTGCCCTGTACTCTTAACAAGAAAGGTGTGGATTAGGAGTCATCTGGCAGGCAGCTGGGTGAGGATATGTTACAAATGCGTAAACTCATACTGCATTAGACTCTTTCCCACAGACACTCATCATCTTTTACTGCAGCTGAATCCTTTACAGCAGCTATGGGAGAGAGGCATCAGTGTATTCCCTCCTATGAGGAGGCTTGGAAGAAGTGAAATGGTGCAGAGATGGAGCCATTTATTTTACCAGGGACAATACGCTGGGTTGATGCTTCACGAGGCCCCGTAGGGTTCTACTAGAGGCATGTACAGATCACTAGTGTGTTCCAGCTGCTCTGCTCTGGGTCACCTAAAGAAACAACACATTCTTCTACCTGGAAGATTGATGGAAATTTCCAAGAGGAGAGAATTCAGCACCAATTTTTGCACACACATCTATATTTGTTGATGTTTCCATGGTGATACGCACCATAGGCATTAGGGGCTACATGTGGGCTGTTTCCATTTGGCCACCAATTTTCTGAGGTCTATTCACCAGTGAAGGGAAACTATTTGTGCCAAAATAGTCACCAAATTTAAAATATCTCTGCTGAGTTTTTGCTTCATTTTGGTGTAGATTTAGCTCCTCACTCTTCTGCTATTCTGCTGTCTGCATGTAAGAGCTTCACAGGAACATATCAGTTGCTCCTGATATACTATATGATACTAACTAAAGGCCCAAGAGGCTTGATAGTTTTTTTTATTTTTTGTTTTAGAGAGAGAGATGACATAATCTACTCTCACTTAATGAGTTCACGCTCCCCTCTCTTTGCTCCTCCCACTCCTCACTGTACTTAACACACAGATAATAACCACAGGTGACCTCTGTTTTAATTTACAGCATACAACTGATCACAGGTAAAAATAGGACTTTGCACTCTTTATTTTTGAGAAAGTCCCAGTACTCAAACTGGTGTTCATCTATCAGTAGCCAAGTTGGGCTATGCATGTGGTCCATGCTCTCGTAGAGATCTTGGATCTGCACCAAGCTAAAAGTACTGCACTAGTGAAAGTATCTTAACACCCCGAATAGACATGAATAATCCCATCAGATTGGATTATTTTCTCAAAATGGAGGGAAAATTGAGGGAAACCTGACCCAACAAGCCATGCATTTAAGGGTTTGTGTACATAATAGCTAGCTTTTTGAAACTTCTTTAAGTATGAGCAAGTACTTCAAATCCTAAATATTGTCACTCAATATTTCTGAAAACTTTGATGATATAAAGTTTGAATCGGGTGTGGTTATGCTTATGATATTTATTATAAAAATTACCCTATCAGTTTGTATCCTACTTGGACTCAAACAGTAACACAGCTCCTGCTAATACTACAGAGGTATATATTCAGAGTTACATAGGCATCATATCTCAGAGAACAAATGAGGGTTTCTCAGAGAGAATGTTTATGTTAAATGCTCAATCTTATGTGCAGAGCTAAACATTATGTAACTCACCGTTCAGCGACTGACTGACATACCGAATTGTTGGCTGGTGGGTTTTCAGTTTCGTTTGACTGACTCAGATGGCAAATTGTTGTTATGGTGTTGTTATGAGCCAAAGCCACTCCTAAATGATACTTTTGGCTTTCAGTAGAAGTAAGCCATTTCGCTGTTTCAATCACAACTCCATTTTTTAAATAAGATAACAGGGTACAGAACTTGGAGACGAGGCATGATAAGCTGCATCCCCCACAAATCCCCAGAGCAGCCAAACACGACTTACTCAGCCACAACATGTCTGACATTCACTCAAGTTAAGTGAATGCTGACAGCATGCAGCTCATTAGAGAGACAAGAAATAGCATTCTTATGTCAGGGCTCAGTCCTGTTACCTTTCTGCCTACAAGTTGTGTGGTATATCACAGCTCCCCCTGAGTGAGGTAATGATCTACTGTATTCTTCCCCCCAGCAGAAAGTCCACAAAGGCTTTCCAATTTCCGGCAGTGTCCCTTTCTGCACCATAGAGCCAACACTGGTTGTTAAAACGTGTATGACAGCGCGAGTTTGAGTGTTTGGGAGGTTAAATCTTGTTATCTAGAAAATCTAATTTAGAAGGAAGAGGGAGATTTACAAGATCTTCCATGGAAAATGCTTTGAAGCACGATCAAGTTTGTGTTACAGCACATGTATTTTTCGCAACAAGGTTTTGTAATGTGTTAGCATTGTGTTAGCATGCAGGGGCACAGCCCTTGCTTGGGGTAAAACAGAGGACAGCATATTTAGCTGGGGCAGCTTGGCAGCTGTAGTGCTGGTGGTTGGCAGGCACCCTGACTGCTTCTCTGTGATGATAGACAGAGCAGCACAAGAGGCTAAACAAGAAGTATGACAAGACCTTTAGCTCATTTCCTCTTGGCACAAGACTGCTTTAGTGTTTTTCTTATCTCTGACACAAAGTCATACACACTTTGTGTGAAGAAATGTGCAGTTATATCACGGTTCATACCATTTACTTCACACAACATACTTTCATGAAATGTATCTTAACCTTTACAACTTTCATTCATACATTTTACATTAAAGAAAAGTTATCCATACATAATACGAAGAGGACTGACACACAAAAATCCAGAGCTGAACCTTAAAATAGAAAATACTGCAGCTGGGCCAGAAAAGCTGAGCTGACAAGTGTTGCCATGTATCATTCAAATCATAATCACTGTAAATGTTTTCTTCCTTTTCCTTAAAATTACATAGTAATTTGCCAGCTGTCATGTCTAATTGTTGCTAATTCAGTGTTATTAGTCACCAAATATAAACACATATCTTAAAAAGAAATCATTTATTCCCATCGCAGATACTGGATGACTAGAGGCAGTTTGGGATCGTCTCGCAAATTAAGTAAACAAAAGAAACGTGAAGTTTTTTTCTAACTTCACCTCTACAAGCCACCACTTGACTCATCCAGAGCTCTTCTAAACATGCAATTAAAACAGAATAAACCTCACTATGAATGGTCAATCATCATAAGTTTGACTGTAAGCTCTGTGAATTGTTTACCCAGTGGCACTGACGTTGAAGTCAATCAGTTTTAGCTCTGTGTAATGTAATTGTCTACACCACATCATAATTATATGAGCAAGAAGGTGAGTCTGAGAATGTGGCTGTGAGCGTTTTTCTGCTTCATGCTGAGACTGTGGGGGGAAAAAAAATGTAGGTTCAGTATGTAGACATTTCAGTTTCCCCACTTTGTTCTCTCGTTTTATCAGGTTCCAGAGAAAATGCATGCAGGAAATTTCAAAATCAATGTAGAGATGGCCAATGATATTTCAAGCCCCCATGGAGAAAAGGTTGTTGTCTGTGGCAGATATTAGACTACAGGCCTCAGAGGAGGCAATAAAAACACTGACATGAAAGCTGCTGAAAGCAGTGAATGAGATAGCATCAGACAATGGATAAATGAGGCTTAAAAACCAACCTGAGCTGACCCCACAATGGGTCAAAGGTTTGTGCAGTGAAGAGCAGGGGTCAGTTTACCCTGAGAAGTATGTCTGGGTAGCCTGCTGTGTGTCTGAACGTGGCCTGGTTGCTGCTTTCCACACTCTTAATCTGTCACTGATGGAGGGTTGCTTCAGAGAGGCTTGGCTGGAGCTCCTGGAATGCATCATCCAGTGTAGGGCTTAGCTCTGTCGTGCTAGCTCAGCTTTTCTAACTAAATATTAGGAGAAATAAGCATAATTTACTCCTTATTTGAAAGCAACAGAGGCATCACAAAAGGTCAAATTCTTGATATTTATTTTTTCCCCTTAATTAATTAAACTTTCCAAAGCTCAGCGAAAATTTGAAAGTGTACACAAATAAATCCCCATCTCCATCTCTGCTTCCTTTGTTGATGTAATTTAAGATGAATCGCAGACATGGAAACTTAAACATTCAACACTAAAATTAATCTTTGTCAGAGTAGATTAGTTAATGCAGACATATTATGTAGGGGACACATAACAAAAACTTTATCATTTTCAAAATGACGGTTAAATGACATAATTATAACCTTTTCCTAAATATACCAGCATATATTTACATTCATGAAACTTCTGTTCAGACTTAAATGAGGTTATAGAGTAGTGCTGCTAATACACTGAGAATCAAAGCTTTGCTGAATCAATTTTTTTAACACTTAACAGCTGTACAGTCACTGCATTCCTAAAAAATTGAGCAAAATGAATCCCAAACTTTTTATTTAAAACACTCGTGATCTACTCAGTCCATTTGTTACCAACAAACACTCACTAGAGAAATCACAGATGTTTATGAGTCCTTCATCAATGCTAGTGTCCTATCACTGATCACTGGAAAAAGATTCGGTTTACCCTCACCTCTTTGGAAAAGGTGTTTTCTCTCTGCAATGAAAAGAAAACCAGAGGAGATTTATTTTACATATAATGATCCAGGTGCTGCAGACTCTTTACATGGTCTACCAGTTTATTTGACTCTGCTCTTGTACAGTCAGAAATCTGTTTGTTTCAAAGTATTTTGATATATTGTCACCTGTCAGGATGAAAAGACAAGTTTTCAGAAGAGGAGCTGTTTGACGGGAGCCTTTATTGCAGGTGTTAACTTTAAGGTGTTTTCTCTCGCTAATTAAACCTCAGCTCACCTTTTCATGTGGTAAACACATAAAAATAGCACATCTGTTTTGAGCTGTTGCCACATTTTCCAATTAGTGGTCAAGAGAAGAATTTTCCTTGCGACCGCAGGATGTATTTTTCACAGCCCCTGCTCGTTGTGTGAAACTATGTTGATGACTACACATTTGTGGGTGGAAATATGTGACCCAAAACAAGCATGTTTTGCTCCTGTTGGTGTGTTTGCCAGCGAGGATGAGGTGTTGATTTTATTGACTTTGCAAACCATAATGTTTACCTCTTCTTCTCTTCAAAGAGTCAAAGTGGATCTCACCCTGGTTTTTGTGTAAATGGAAGTCCGGTAATTATGGGCACATGAAGTGACAAATAAAGGCACTGGAAGTTATACAACCCTGAAACAATCAAAGACTGTGGATACAAGCTTTACTGGCACTGCTCTCATTAGTGCCACATTGACGTCAGTCTGAAACTGTAACTTATTTATAGATTTATTGCCTTTTTCTGTTATTGGAGTAAGACTGTTTGGGACTGCATTTGAAGAGAAGCACATGGTGGAGTTATGAACAGCTTTTAGTTCAGAGGGAATTCAGCAAGAACATTTTCTGTTTTGCCTTTTAAAGAAAGTTTGTTAAACATATTGACACCGGAGTAAATATGAAGCTTGGTACCATCAAGTTTATTTGAATGGATGTTGGAAAAAACAACTTTAGCAAGCAAAAATGTTAAAAACTGGTTCAGCAGTTAGGTAACCATTATTATCATTTTTACCTGAGTTATTTGTAGAGGTTGACTCGATGTTTATGTTTCTCTATCATCCAATTTGGTTCTCATCTCTAGGTTACCTTGTTCGGCTTCATTATACATGAAAATATTGCGTATAATAGTTTTTACTGTGGTCCTCTGGGCCTCTCTTTGTCAGTGTACCCCTCACACAGACATCTATACTAAATTGATCTCACATGTCTGGACATGCCCGAGGTTGTTTTTTTGTGCAGGGAAAAACTGGGCAAAATAAGAATTTCCTAAATCTCACATGATTTGAAGAGGATCTGACTGCCAGTGTGCTGCCTGACAGTGAACTTGTAATTTCAGTTTTTGCTCGAATTATAAAACATTAATCTAACCGGGTCAACAGCGACCTTATCACGACATGTGCCATCATTTTAATAAAAGCATTTTATAATTAAGTCAATTTACTATTTTTTTTTTATTTTAATTTTCTTGAATTTTTCTTGAAATACAAGAAAGTCAAAAAGTCTTGATGCGAAAAAGCTAATTTATGTGGTTCTTTTAAGCATAAAACAAAAACAGGTCGGTGCAGACCCTGCCTAACACAGGAGGAGGGTTAAGCACTAATATATGTGCAGTCACCATAGCAGGTGATCTTGGAGTAGAGCTACTATCTTACCAACTTTTAAAGGAGATCTTGTAGTCTTCCTTTTACTCAAGGCCACTCGAAACTGACAGTTGTTTGCCAAAAAAAAGGGCATTACATGGTCAATGCTTTTTTTTTTTTTACATAAAACAGAAAAATTATTAAAATCATAAAACAAAAATGTTACTCTGATCCTATAACTGATCATTTGAAATGAATCTTTCTTGTATGGTTAAAGACCGGATGAAAGTAGGTCAGACATTCAGACCTGTTTTTAGCCGGATTTTAATAACGAAATCCTAGTTTGTGCTGATTTCAAAGGTGATTAAGAACAGGACAAAGATACCCTGTAAAACTACAATAAGTCACACTTGTACAAATGATCAAAAAAGTGGTTTGGGAAGTAGATTTTGTTACTCACGGTGAGAGCCAGTCCGGCTGTTTCCTCTGTTTCTAGTCTTTGTGCTAAGATAATACAAATAGCTATTAGCTAGATGAATACTGTTTACCACACAGACTTGAGATTAATACTGAACTTACAATACATGAAACAGCAAGAACATGTTTCTCTCTCAGTGTTCAAGTATTTGTATGAGTTTTTTGTCCATATGGGTAAATGCAAATGCTTTCAATGTTTTAAAAAGCTGCTGCCTGCTGCACTTGTTTATATCTCCTTTTACTCCATTGTCAGTTTTCTTCTCCAGAGAAAGATTACTGAAGGTTGTTCATCAGAGTTTGACTGAAATGTAAACTCAGTGACAACTACAAATGGATAACCAGGAGTTTTTGTGACAGGTCGGCGTGGAGCTGTTTAGAGCAGTCAGAGTGATAAAGAGTAGGTTAACAGGTTAACTGATAGCTCTGCCAGGAGGACTTGCACATCTGTAATAAACATTATCCCTGATATCCTCCACCCAGTTCGCTTCCTCCCACCCACATACTTACCAAACTCTGACACACACAGACAAGAGCATTCCAAATAAGTTAGTAGTGAATGGTCACATCTGACCAATGTCCTCTGATTTCACTCGAGGACAATGTGAAACATGTCAAACTTTTTTTGTAGGAGAAATGTGGGAAAAGAGGCACACTGGGATATAATTGACAAAAATGGACATGCCAGCTTACAGATACACCCAGAGTATGACTCAGGCTCTTAATTCACGGATGTGGATTCTGTATGTACTTCTGTCTAAAGCATTTGGTCTCAATTAAACTTTTGTTCAAAGTTTTTCACAACAAGGAGGATTTTGTTTGCATGTGTGGTTGAAATTTGGTAGACGTTTATTTGTAAAAGTGGTTGAGAATTAAATGGCAGGATGTGAACACGGATTTCCGCTGTTTATGGTCACGGACAATTGATGTGTATAGGATTTTGATTGACTTCAAGGTACTTCAAAGCAGACCATCAGGAAATGACGCTACAGTGAGTGAGAGAGAGAAAGAGAGACAGAGAGAGAAAGAGAGAGATTTTCTAACCCTGGCTCGATATATATGTGTTACTATACATCTTTCATACGCATGAAGATGTGTGCCTCTATCGTTGGCATCACACAGACATCATTCATTCACCATCACACATCCAAGATCACTGCATAAATTTTCAACCACATTCACACTATAAAAAAAAATCACAGTTTGGTAGGATTATGGGAAATGCTTCTCCTTCAGCAAAACCCAAATGTGAACTGATGCAATGCACAACTCCAGTTTCCCCACAAGTGATCCCAATTGCTTTTCCACACAGGCCTATCCACCCTTGTGCTTTAGCTTTGGTGCCGAATGAAATGTGACTGACATTTCACTGTGGGCATAAATCAGAAAACCAGAGAGCTTGAGCAAAAAAACTGCCATGCGCACATGTTGAAGACAGATGTTTAGTCTATACTTGTCATCATTAGTATCGTATCAATCTGTATTTGTCTGCTCACAGTGATCATAACAAAGAATGTTTAGGAAAAATGGTTGAGAGAGAGAGAGAGACGACACGGCGTTAAAAAGCTGCCTGTCTTTCCCATCTGAAACTTTTCTGCATAAATACGGTCATGGCACTCGGCCAAGCATGTTGAAGGATCACGCACAGGAGAGTAAATGCGAACTTCCACATGTGACCGAGTTCTTTTGTCCGATGCATATGTGCAAAAAACAAAAACCACAAACACTGCACATGCATCCACACCTGCACCTACTCACACCTGTAGATTATACGACAGTTACCATGATGATGAGGGACAATACGCTTGAGGCCAGATGGTCACTTGCACACACCACCCTAGATGCGTGACCTATTCCTCCTCTTAACCATCTGTGACTGCAGAGCACAGGCCTGAGCTGGGTTTCCCATCACTGACTAACAGAAATATGTCCGGGCAAGTAAAGACACTCAGGATACTGGTTTTGTAGCTTTTATGATGGTCGTGACAGTATTTTTCAACCTCCTCTCTGGTGCCATGGAAACTCATGCTACACCAACTCCAGATGTATGCTTCACCTGAGGTTATCATCACTTAGTGAGGAAGATGTCAGGAAAGAATTAAGTTCAATCAATCAATCAATCAGGTTCTATCAATATATTCACAAGTGTTATCCCATGACGCTTAACAAAAAAGCTGGTCAAGACCATCCTCGATTTACAATGAGCCCCTGAAAAGATGGGATGAGATTGGGGTGGAATGAGCACTTTGCAATATTTAGCAAGAGACAGCAGAGAGGAAAAACTTCCTTTAACAGGCAGAAACCTCGAACAGAACCAGACTTGTGTAAAACAGTCATCTGCTGCTACTGCACTGGGTTCAGAGAGGGGATAGTAGGAGATGGACACAGACAGCAGCAATCCAGAGGAAGCTACAGCATGATGGTGCACAGGGACTCTCTAAAGTTATGTTACAAAGTAGAAGACATTGTGTGCATGGAGATAAGCACGGTGGGCTTTAGACCATGAAGTTTACACTTTGCAGACTAAGCCAACCAAAGCACACCTGACTTCTCAGTCAGAGTAAGCCTGGTATTAAACACAGTGTAACACAATCTCCCTGACAGAACCATCAAAAATATGACGAACATTTTTGTGACTGGGTTAGCCAAACAAGCTATCATCTGCGATAATCACCCATATTTGATAAGGAAACCAGTTTTGCTCTATGGCTACAAGCTCTGATCAATGTCTCTGTATTCAGAGTGTGTGAATGTATGTGTGCAAAGAGGACAACCCGTACAGGCCATATGATAGCCACCTGTGTAAACCGTTTGAGTATCTAGTAGCTCTGAACACTAGATCCTCAGAGCACTGCTGGGAGACCAGGGGCTTGACCTTTCTATAGCAGAAGGTAGCCCTGCAGGTGGTCAACAGTAGACATACACTTCCACGCATTAGCGAAAACTCTCCCAGTAAAGTCTATCTTGCTTTTAATCTCCGTATTTCCTCTCTTTTATACTGTCTCACACTATTAAATTTTAGTTTAGTGCACATAACTAAAAGATACTTCCATGTGCAATAACATTGTGAGGGGGAGGAGGAGCGAACATGTCCGTCTCTGCGGGTCAAACAGGAGGTGAGGGGGTTTGTGTCAAACAGGGGCGGATATTGACACAGCATTAACATGAATGAAAATATTTTCTGTGTTCAGAGAGCATGAAAGGAACACCGCCAGACGTTTGGACATGGCCTGTACAAACAAACCAGAGACATCAGCACTCAATCAAAAAGTCTTTTACACACCCTAGCCTCCTGAAACAGCAGCATTACAAAGGGGCGTAAGGATCATTAATGTCACCATCTTTTAATCTTTTACATTCATAAAGCCCATAGTGCAGACAAATTTCTCTGCAGTGCGGCACACACTCAATAAATATTCCAGGAATCTGTGAAAACCTCGGGAAGCTTGTAAGAGGACAGAATTTCAATGGAGGTGGGAAGAAAGCGAGTGCATGGATGCTGTGTAGGAGTGCGGCATGGGAGACCCCTGGGTAAAAGCTACCGGCGCAGTCAGGATCATACTAATGGAAACATCAAGAAGCTGAAAAAAAAGAACACAAATCAAGAAAAGAGGCAGGGAGCGGGGACGGAGGGAGGGCGGGGTGGTTAAAAAGAGTGGTGGCGGTGGGGGTGGGGGATTAAGTTGTTGCTGTTTCTGACTGATTACTGCTATTAGGCTGAATGAAGGGAGGAGAGACTTCTTCAGTCACTGAGGGGCCAGTGTGTGCGAGTGGATGCTGTGCCCACCAGTCTGTGCGCATTAGCTTCTCTAAATGGCTATTAATCTGCAGCAGTGGATTTAGAGATCGGAAATGGAAACCTTCCAGGGCCACCTTTCACCAGGGTGTAAGACTCTAAAACAGGCTCACCCTGATGCTGAAGGTCAGACTGATGAAACTGTGTGTCACAGGCGGTCAGATAGTGTCAGCTCGGTGGAAAGCTGACGATGAACAGTTGTCTCACCCTCAACAACAGATGAGTCTGTAATTGCACCAGGCAATGGAATAACAGGGATAGTGTATGTTACAAGACCCCCCACCCCCCTCTCTCTATACGCACACAAAGTCCGTCTGTTCTGGCAGGGAACAGGTGCAATGTGGGAGTTGGAGTCATCAGATACCAGGGTGGTGCCAGGGGGTGGGGGTGCAGCTGCTACAGCCAAATGAAATCATATAAATTCCATATTATACAGTGAGTCTTAATTCATAGGCGTGCACTTTCACACAGAAATGTGCATATACTCGTATCGTCTGATAGGCGTTTAGATTGTTTTTGTTATGTTCATGCTTTTTCTCAATGTCTGAATCCAGTACAAATTATGCTTACCACAGGGAAACGTTTCCATTTAATCCCTGTTTTATTAATTAAAACAAAATCTCACCACAATGTGAACCAGACACGAGTTTCTGGATCAACAAAAGGGAGATTTTTCGTCTTTGCATAGTGATGGAATGCTTCCATTTGAGGGATCAACATGACTCAATGTTGTTGTCACCACACAGTTATGAGAAAGAGACACAGAGAAACAGATGTAATACAGAGAGATTTACCGGAGACAGACGATGCTGTGCTTCAGTAACTGGGCGCCTTGGGGACTTTCCTGTGGGATGTGCACAAATTCAATAACCAATCCAGTCACATCTTGTCCGTCTTTGAGAGAAGAAAGTGTGTGCTTGTTAACGGGATCCAGACAGATTTAGACCTTGAGACATAACATGAAGCTACAAGGACAAATTTGACAGATGCATGCCAGTGAGTTTTATTCAAATCTTCCTCAATATGAGCAGTGCTGTAGGCTTAAAGCTGCAAACATTACTGGAAACATTAAAAAGATACCAGCTTTTAGACAAACTGTAAGCTGAAGCTACAGAGGATATGCAAAAGCCGAGCCTACATACAGGCTGCACTGGACACAAGGGCGAAGTAATAACCAGGTTTTACTGAAATGAAGAGTGTGAGAGATAGGTATTCAGATAAACACAGGGATGGATTAAATTGGAAGGGAGAAGAAAAAAAAACCTTGTTCTTGAAAATCCATGGTAACAGCGATAATGACTATCCGAATGGAAACAAACACGAACACAGCAATAATTGAAAATGAAAGAGGTGCTGGAGTTAAGAGGCTGAAAAGCTTTGGCTCGGGTCCAACTTAATGCAGCTGAGGACTGAGGCAAAAAGGAGAAGGTGGTGGTGAAGGAGGAGGGGGAGAAGAGAGGAGAAGCGAGGGGTGGTCTGTGGAGTGACATGAGAGGCAGGAGAGAGTCTTACTGCCTGGGAGACTCGGCACACTTAATCCAGCTGCCTGGAGGGGGGGTGGGGGGTCTCAAGCAATCTAGAGGAAGGAGCAGGCAATTTTCAAGCTGACACACACTCCCTACCTTTTCAACCACACACAAACACACAGCAGCTTTTCCTTACACACTCCCCAGCATGGCAGGTGGCCTCTGCCCAGATCAGTAGCATGTGGTAGAGGCCATCTTAACTGACTCACTGAGGTTTTGAGCTGAGGTTTGGGATCCTCCCTGACTGTTGGAGCGTAAGCAGAGTTTGGAGCCTGAGCTTCACTTTCTTCCCCCAGTGCAGAGAGACGGCACGCCAGGCACGAGGCTCCCTACTCCTCCCCTCTTCCTCCCCTTCTCCCACTCTGCCTTTTTTTTCCCCCTGGGCTTCTGTCCAGAGAATGACTGGCTCTAGTGGACTTTAGAGGAGGAACACCGCCTGAGGATACAGTACAGGAGCTGCCTGTCTGCCTGCCTGCCTGCCTGCTGGGACAGACAAATGCATTGAGGTTTTACAAATCAGCACCTCCTTACCTTTGAGAGATTTCTTTTTTTCCTGTCTGTCATCAGATCAGAAGGACTGGATCTAAGCTGGGCTTTCAGACAGACGGACTGACATATGGACAGAGAGCAGTGGGCACTGCGGCGTGAATGTAGCAACTGGACTTCTTCTCTCCCTGGTTACTAAGACCAAACAAGGATAATAGTCAGATCACTATCCTGTCCACCGAGTTGGTGGGTGGATGCAGCATTCAGCAGACTGCTATAGGGGAAAGCAGAGACTGTATAGAAGCTGCAGAGAAACATCAACAGGGAGGAAAAGGGTTTCTTCCTCCAAGCAGACTTTTGTTGGATTGTTTTGGTTGGTAAGAACTTTCAGGGCAAAGATGGAGGACTTTCTTTCTTTTCATGGACTTTGCTGCCAGTGTTAAGTGGACTTATAGGATTCCTGTATAAATGTACATGGAACATTTGTCTTAACTATGATGGCAGAGTGCATAAGGACTGTTTATCTGACACTGATGCTGCTGGGTACAGCTTACACAACACACAGCATCTACCCAAGGATACGGCTCTCCCACAAAGGTAAGAAATAAAGTGTAGCTGCTGCTTTCTTTTCCACACCTTAATCCCTTTTGGCAGAAAAGCAAATATCAACGCAAAGACAGTCAGCCTTCAGGTGATGCAACATTTTGTTTGCTGTCCACAACAGTTAATGCAGCGTCAACTGGAAACAAGCATTTTCCGTTCACTGCCTTCCACGCAGGTTGAGAATAAGACAGGTGTAACCGAGCAGGATTTTATCATCCTTTAGACTCCCATGCCAAGTTTATTCAGGAGCACTCATTGCAACACTTTTATTGGGATCATTAGGTAAAAGGCTGTATTTCTAACTGTTATGTATAATTAGTTCCCTGATTTAACAAGGTGAAGTGCAATGTGTGCGTGTGTTTGTGTGCCAATAAATAAATAAGAAAATGAAAAATGTAAACCCTAAAATTGATGAATATAGAAATTATCTCCAAACTAACTAAGGACTGTGAAGCAGCATCCTTCTGATGACCTATAAAAAGCTGTGTCAGTTAGTCTTGATCCTGAAATAAAATGGTCATGTGGATTTAAGTCTTGGAGAATAAAAACATGCAGGAATGGATCAGACAGGGCTGACAGCTGTTGTGTTTTTGTGTGTTTTTTTCTGCTAGTAGATGTTAAAGGAGCCTCCGTGCAGTTTGTTTTGAACCCTCAGCCATGGTGGCTGAAAATCCACAATGTGGCTTTCTTCCGTGTCATAGTGGCGGAGAGATGGAGGAGTTTTTTTTTTTTTTTTTTTTTCCAAGGGGGGCATGGGAATGAGAAAGTGAAAAGTGTGTTTCTGTTAATGTGTGTGTGGGTGTTTGTGAGATATGGATGTGCATGCACTGGTATGCCGTCTGATTCTTGTGTATCTCTTGGATAATAATGGGGGTTTTATCTTTCGACTTGTGTAGATAAAACTCCTGAGTAAACATCACATTTTTTTTCTCACAGTTTCTTTGATCTCTATGGCAACAGAAGGTGTTGATTCCGCATAAGCCTGTTAGTCATGGTTGAATATAGGTGTGGAATTTGGATGGTCAATAACTCATAAATATGGCGCTGCAAAGTCTGTTATGACAAGTCTGTTTCATCAGTTATGAGGAGGGTTTGCCGTTCTTCTTCCAGATGCACTCTGTTCTTTATTTATTGCCTTTTTGAAGAATCGAATGTGACAGGGGATGAACAGAAGACAAATAAATGGAGAAAGAGCTTTTCTCCTGTAAAAAAATAAATAAATGAATGATGGCAAGAGAAATGAAACTTGCACAACATTGCAAGATTAATTGAGAGAAAAAAGGAGAAATGCACAGCCAAAGAAAGAGGGAGGTTACATTTCAACAAAACTCAGCGAAGCGGGATTCATGTGCTGAGTCATAAATGCCAAATCAGACTTTGGTCTTATTCTTGCTTTCATATATCACTCCATTCATTAACTCCCTAAGGGTTTAAGCTGCTACACTGATTGACATCCCACTGCTCACTCTCTCTCTCTCTCTTTTTCCTCTGATACATGTCCTGGCTAGCACATAGTGCCATGAGAAGACTGCAGTTGGATCCTATCATTATGGAATGAAAAACATCTCAGCTTTAATATATGCCTCATGGGCTCTGCCGGTGATTTCTGCACACACCCTTAAGTCAACAAAATCTCAAACACACACTTGCATGCACGTTTAGAGGCCAAATAGTGTAAATTCTTCACGTGCCAATGACTTGGATGCGGTTTAGGGAGATGGACAGGGATGTGGTTCTTTTTACTCATCTTTAGGACAAAAGAAATATTTCCAAAACATCAAGTATCAAAACTGGATTATTCTCTTTGATCAAAACACTGGCCAAAAGGAAAGAAAACTTAATAACGTCAGTGATTAAAATCTCTTTCTGCTGTTTAGATTAATGATAACAAGTGCTGGATCAATAGAAATGTCAATAATACACCAGATCAACTTTCTCCTGCTTTCTGGGAATGAATTCCTCTGGGCACATCATCATGTGTTTCAGAAATAACTGTCCTCCATCTCTGCATGCTTTGATGTTAGCATCGCCTCGCACACACACGATGTGGAACTATCAATCTGTCTTTCATCTTCTCCTCTTGTTTTTGTCTAGACTGTTGGACCGGTGAAGATTATTGCAAATTTCCACAATTGTTCTGCTTTCATCCTAGCCAACCTTTGATTCATCTGTGCCAATTAATTCCAGTTTTCTTAAGGTTGAAGCTTTGATCACATGAAGTCCTGGTTTACAATCAGACACTTTATGATGTCTGTGGGGGGAACTGACCTCAATCTGACTGCACAGCTTCCAAAGATCTCAAAAATATACACAGCTTCAAAGTTTCTGTGTTATGGACGGTAAATCATTTTGCTGAAGGGAGATTTAGCATTCAAAAGATAAAAAAACAACATATCACTGCAACACAAATTTAAAGTGCACAGAGAAACACATCAAAACCAGACCACATCAAATCAGATGGTACTTTTGACCAGTTGAACTCCAACCCCCACTGGATTAATAGATGTAGAAATGCCCTCTTGAGAAATGTGCTCACTTAAAACACATACATTAAAATATTCGTTTGGTAATACACCACATCATCAGCATATGCAAATGGATATATGGGTTCTTCTTGGCAGCAGCTTCACATCCAGACCTGTGGAGTGAAATGAGTACTTCTTTTCAGGACCGCTATTAATTCTGCTGCTAATGAAGCTGTAGCACAGCTTGCATATGTCAGAGTGTCAGCAGGCTTCAGGTAGATTGCCAGGTTTAGATTTATTTCACTGCCTCTCCAGCTCCGTCATGCTTGGCTAGAACTGCACAAACTGTGATACAGCAGTTTGTGTGTTAGTGATGACCTAATCAGACCAAAGTCACTTCAAAAACTCATTATTTTAGCAAAGTTTATCATCGTGACAAATCAAGCCATCTCTTTACTTACTTTTAAAGGTGAAGCTGTGATGTGTACTAAGCCCGTGCTGATTCTGCCATCTATCCATGTATATTTTTATACTAGGGATGTAATGGCATGAAAATTCTACCTAACGGTTATTGTGTCCGAATTAATAACGGTTTTCAGTATTATCATGGTGTTTTCGAAAATGTATGCAAAGGCACTGATTAAAGCATTTTTGATGCTTCTAACTTGTTTTCATTGTTTCATCATGTCTAGACAGGATTACTACCTTCAACTAAGTGTTCCCTCGACATTCCTACAAAACCCAAAAAATGCCCATAATTCAGACTTGGTTCTCATAGAGGGCTAATGGTTGTCTTTGGTGCTGTCGCGACCTCCTTCCACTATGATTCTATTTCAAACTTGATAGAAAGTTTTAATGCAATTGCAGGCTACACAGTGCGCCTGTGCGGATACCGCAGAACACTTGGATGAAGCTGGGATGATTAACACAGGGTTTCCTCTACATGCCATTGATTGTAGCACGGCTTAAAAAAGGCTGCCACACCTTAATAATGAGTTTTTTTCTTACCTGGCTCTACCTCGGCCTCATGCGCATCAGTATACATTTATGCCGCACAGCACCGAGCACTAGCATTAGTGAGTTATCGTCTGCGATCCATTACACCCTGTGTTGAAATGAAAACGGTAATTGTTATCATTAACATTTTGATCCCAATTTACCATTGCACCGGTTACCGTTACATCCCTATTCAATACAGCAGTGTTTTTGGATGAATTAAGGCAATGCACTATGGACTTTTGGAAGTGGAAAAATTCCCCCCACCTACGCCAAAAGTGCCTGTCCTAAACTGCTCCTGCTATATGCACTGTGAAGACCATTATCTGGTCTTACACTAAAAAATGGTTCCTCCTTGTTGGCAGACTCAGGTTCAAACAGTCGGCTTTTCCTGCTTTCAGTGTAACATTTGGAGGTTTGTACAAAAGATCTGTAGACCCTTTTCAGTGTGTTTACATGAGTGAGACATAAATAATCTAATTAATGGTCAAGAAAGAGGGCCATTAGCTTCTAAGTGCTCACCCTGTGCATAGTTCTGTATCCTCAAGTAGACAGACCCCGTTCAATTACAACAAGAAGTCTCTTTCCTGCATGTCACTCCCCTCTCTCTTTCCCTATATAAACTGCTGGATCCTCTCAAAATAAAGATGCAAAAGCATTATGGGTCAACAAATGCTGAACATTCTTCAAGCATTTCATTTCCTCTGCTCTTATTGAAAAAATAGGGAGGTTTAAGCTGAAGGAGCTATGGCACCTGCATGCATGAACACAGGGATTACTCAGGTAGCAATTACTGATGTATGAATTCCCCCTTTTTCAGATGTAATTTTAAACCTTCCTCTCCAGACAAGAAAAAAGCCTTCTCTACTTTTTACAGCCTTGAAATGATGTGGCTGTAGGTGACTTTCCTCTGAGGGGAAGATGGGGAATACCAATATGGCCTTAAGTTGTCTCTGCCTGAAAGCTAATGTGCAAAGCGGAGAGTCCTATTAAATGTCTTCCGCCCTTGTGTGCAGAGACCTATAATTAACATTTACCACATTGGATCATGGCCACAGGGCCGTCATAGGTCTTATATCATGCCAACGGAAAATGGTGGGGATGGTGAAGATTAGATAAATCACACCTTGTAGGTCAGCGAAGGAAAAACGATATTTTTCTACTGCTTCCCCTTCCCTACACGCTCACTTCTTTCTCTCGGTTTCTCATTTTGTCTGTGTGCATCTCAGCTCCTCTCCTATTGTGTTATGTGTGTGCTCTGCAGTCCATTAATGAGATGTCCAGAGGGGAAGGCAGCTGGTGGAAGTCTAATATCCTTTCTGACCTTTTCCCTGTGAAGGGACCGGGGAGAGGAGATGAGTGAAGTTTGTAAAAGGGAAAAGGAGGGAAGTGTAAAGACTGTTTGTGTCCTTAGAGAGTATATATTGTGGTGATATCACAGAAGGGGGAAAAGGGGGATATGAGATGGCAATTAAAAGCCTCTGTTATGTCTGTCTCTTTTGCGCTCGGTATAATGTTTTCCATGTGTACATTGACCCACTTACATCGTGGTGAACAACACTTCTCTATCTAAAAATAATAACCTAATTTGAGAGGATTACTCAGAGATTACTTAAAGCAAACATGTAGGTATTACTTTCAATACTCAGGTGATGGAAATAAGCCTCAAGTAGCCTAAATAAATACCTGCATTGTTTAGTAAGGGTTATTGCTGCATCTGTTGGGGACGATAAAAATACAAACTGTCAGTTATTGAGATTTTTTTCTGATTTCAAACATCAATCATGTTACCTACTTACACATGGTCTTCAGCACGAGACACATGTGTTATTCTCTCTTCCTCTCTTTCAGACACTCCATGTGGCTTTCATTTAGCTCATTGACATCATTCTGCACACACACACACACACGCACACACACGAGGATACGGGAACCCAAGGCTGTGTACCGATAATGGCATGACACCCCAGTTCTCCGTCTCATGACCCCACCCCCAGGGGCTCCACACTCTCAGTGCAGCCTTAACAGCACCAGGAGAACAGACTCTCTACTTATTCTGGACCCATTTAACTCCAGTTCACTCCAATAACTCTCTGCCAAAGTCCCATTACTCAATAAGTAAACCTATGTAGGGTTATTACTTTAGAAACATGAGACTGCTTACTGCTACTTTAATTTGTGACATGACATATGTGTAAAGTATTGGCCATAGATCAGAAAGTGAAAATTCATTCAATCTTTGTTTAAAAGCTTTCTGAGGGTTTCATTTATCTTTGACTAAACATGAACATGTACCCCTATTGCTAACAGAATTACAATCCAAAGTAGGTTACTGCTGAGCGCACACCCCTACACACACACATTGTTCTCTCAGGCACAGTTTCCATACATGGATAAAGAGGAGATCTCAGTTTATTTTGATTCCACTTCCCCAAATCTTCTCAGGCATCTCTCAGCACTCCTCAGACAGCCGATGAAAGTGTCTGTCTTGAGGGAGTCCTTTTTTCTCTGTGTTTTCCATTTGAAGTGGGATCACAGTAGGGCCGTGTGTCTCCCCGGCTCACTTGCCGATGGAGAAACACCCTCCCCCACCTCCTCTTCCTCCTCTCAGTTACTTTGCTAATGGGTAAGCAGCCCTGACGTGCTGCAGACAGTTAAAAAACTTGGAGAGAGACAGAGAGGAAGAGGAGGTGAAACACGGAAATCCCCCTTTCCCTTCTTCAGTCTGAGCAGCGGGTGTGACTGTGCGCATATAATGACAGGGGGAGACCCTTTAAACAGCAATGTGCCTGCTGAAGCGTCTGTCACTGTAATCAGATCAAACCATTGTGTTTACCAGCTCTGCAATTATCTGTAATTAAGCAACACCCTCATATATTATTGAAGTGATTGGAGTTTCTTCTTGTGTGCAGGTGCGAAATGAACCAGTGTTACACGTCTGTTGAAACTCATAAGCATGGTATGGATGCATTTAAGTTTATAGAGATATGCTATATATTCATAACATTACATTAACAATCCTGTGTCCCATTTTAAGAGTAATCTGGACCCAGTTTGATCTGAAGTTAAATTATACATACCTGGAATAGCATTTTTCTCAGTCAGTCAAAACTGTGAATCATTTTTAAGACTCATAATAATATGGTAAGCTGTTGTAACATTCAGTAGCTGGACTGTGTATTAAATATAGACAAGTGTAATTCAACTCTACACAGTGAGCATTTCACATATCAACATGACATCCCTCTAACCGTCATGGTAGATATCATTCTACCCATCTATAATGAATACTTTAAACTTTCTTACATACGAAACCGATCTTACCCACCGGTCTTATACGTCCACAAAAGTCTAAAAGTCAGCCATTGTAGCTTTTTGCTCTGCTAGACTGACAAGCCCACCCACCAGGTTACATGTGCAAAAACATGTGTGTCAGCTGCACAGGTAAACAACAGTCACCCGGTCAACCAAGCATGCCGTCTTGTTTGTTAGAAAAAAATCGGTATCGGTGATCAGTGCATCCCTAGTAGAATCTTTCCCAAAGTAAACAGTCCCATTTTAGACATCTACAATTGAGTTGTTACTAAATTTGGATATCCAAATTCCTGTCCATCATACAGTTCTGAATAATCAAATAATGACTAATTGATGGTGTAACTGTATTTACCTGAATTGGGTGTTTTTGCTTGAAAGAAATTCATTACAGATATCTGGAATATTTGATCTGGCTGGGAAAGCAGACATCATGGATATTGGAAATGAAAACCACAGGACACATGAATGTTGAGAAATAATGTCAATTATAGAAGTAAGAATAATATCATAGATTTATTGTATGATGTTAGTGGATAGTAGGGATGCCATTTTTGGCATCACCATTAACAATTATCAATCGAGAAATAATGCTCTGATAGATATTTAAAATATCATCACTGATAAAAGTATATTTGCTTTGAGTAATAAAATGGCTTAGCATAGCAATTAAAGCCATTCACCAAAGTGGAAATGTTCCAAAATATCTATAAATTCATTAATTTCTCTTGTAGTCAAACTTCAGCTCTAATATTTTTAGCAGCCAAAAGTACAATTAGTATTTTAATATTTAAAGGCTTCACTGGTTATTTATTACAGATATCTATAATTCAAGTGTGGACTTTGGATATTCACTGTAACATTCTTTCTATCAGAGTGAACATTTCAAAAATCATTCTTCCCATTTAAGACAATAACAACCTATCTTTTCCTGATTGTAGTTTGGGAATTTTTATTTCAGATAGCCGACATAAAAATACCATCTTCAACAGAAAACATCAATTCTCTGTATAAGTGCAGTTGCAATATGTGTCATTTTTGTCCTGGGTATCTTAAATTGCATTTTACTATAATACTCATAATTACAAATGTGGATAACGTCTGACATTTTCCAAGTCGTCATGTATTTTGGACATGTAAAATTATAGTTTGGATATCAGGAATGTTTTTCTTTATTATTATCATTATTATTAAAATTAGAAACAGTATCCATTGAATGCTGTAAAAAAAGGTTTGTTGTGCTTTATGTTTAAGTACAATTGAATGTAGCTGTGTCAGGTTTGTAACATGGCATGTGCAGCTTATGTTAACATGTTAATCAGCTGCCCTTTACCAGTATCCACCAAGACAAGGACAGACTGATGGAAAAATAGTCAGCATATGAGTTGTTTACTCCCTGACTTTAAATAGCTGTTGAAGTCTGTCTTCTGAATAAGTGGTAGCAGACTTGGCTTCATATAAAGAAGGAGCTGATTGTTGGACAGCAGACCTAACACTCCTAGAAACGCTGGAGAGGAATGTCAGAAAACTCGCCTCGGTCTAAGTTTGGCCTAAGTTAGAGCCAACTGTCATAGACATGGAGAGGCGCTCTTTGTATGTGTGTGTGTGTGTGTGTGTGTGTGTGGGAGAGAGCGAGAGAGAAAGAACTCCAAGTGTGTGTGCGGATTAGATAATTACAGGAAACATGTCTGAGTCCTGGCAGAAACGCCGCTGCCACATCCCAGCACTTTCTGCCACCTAACCAGTCGAGATCTAATACTCCTCAAACAAACAGTCCCTCGTCTCCAAAATAGAAATCTTAATAGCAACGAAATACAAACATTCACCCACTCCTCTGCTGACACCTAATCCCACATTAAACAAATAAAACCCTCCTTTGAGTGACTGTTGCTTTGGGTAATCTTCAGAAATGGGTTAAACACCTTGTCTGACAATTTGAGTGATCAAGTTTCACTAAAAAAATACACATGCCAGGAAAGCACATCATACAATTACCCCCTGCAGCCTTAGCATGTAGAGTCATTATGTAAAAAAGCAACACAAGACTTCTATATTTTCTTTCCAGATACTAGTTGGGTGGCCTGAAGTCTCTATAGAAGTCATACAAATGCAGAAAATACTGCCTGTTACACATTTTCTTTCCTTTGCAAACCACAGCTTGTCTGCTTAAATCAATTTGAGGTTTGGGGAAGGTTTGGTAACACAACCCAGATCCCCTCTGTCTCCTTTTACGAAGACACCCTGCCCAACTCAGTCATGTGTTAATGAAAAGTTTTTTCAGACAAGTTCAGCCCAGAGGAAGTGCACACCTTCAGCCCCTTTAGCACTTTGTTTAAATCCTTCACCCTCAAACGCCTCCAGAAGCTCACAGAGAGCAGCGCCATGTCAGGTTGGATCAGGTCGACTGGCTTGCTGCATGTTTACCTACGTGGTCTGCTGTTACACTGATGAGCGTATGCTTCATATTTAATGACATATCGGTCATGGGCTGTTGCTTCCTTTTTGTTGGAGGATTTGAAATCACCTAAGGCCATGTCTGACAGGGAGTGGCAGCTGATCTTAAACTAATGGCTGATAAAGAAAGTTGCTCCGTTTCCTCTTTGATAACAGAACTTCCTCCTGATCAAACGGACCATAGGCCACACTGCGTACATCCTCCTCTGGTTGATAACAGCATCTTTCCCATGACATTCCCTCTTCTGAAAAGCACTTTCACTGTCACTAAACTGCCCTCTTAGTAAAGCTTTCTCTTCTGCTTTCAGTAGCATGGAGCGTAGGAGGTCTACCTTGAGCTCCCTGTTCCCTTTTATCCCACGGAAACTTTTAGTGCGATAGAAACAAGGTGTGCAGTCCTTCAATCAAGCTAGTGACTCTAAGAAATGAAGCTGAATTGAGAAGGAGGTATAGGTGCTACATGAGAGGAAGAGATGTGATAGAAAGATAACCCCGTTGTTGCTCTTTGCGTTTTCCCTTGGGTGTGCTATGAATCAGAAACACATGTTGCAATCCGCCTTTAGCTATGGGACCAGATGAGACTCAGCCGCAAGTAACCGTAGCATCAGAGACCTCTTGAGAAAAAGGCTTTGGTTTAATTCAATCTTACTGAAGGCAAGAAACTGCCTTTGAAATAAAAGTTCAGCCAGCTAGCAACCTCTAACTAAATTACAGTTATCTTATTTCCTTAAATTTTTTATCTTTACTCTGCAGAACTATGGCAGCTGAATAGGACCTGGGTGTTCCAGGGACATGGAGCTACCCTTCAGCCTCAGACCATGCTGCTCGATGAAGGCCACGAGAGGCTTTACGTCGGGGCCAAGAACGCTCTCTTCTCTCTTAGCCTGGGAGGGGTTAACACACACCCGAGAGAGGTAGGCGAGTTTTCCTCTACCCTGAGCCGCGGGGATGGGAGACATATTTAACTCACACACTCATAATGCATAAGACATCCAAACTGAGTGTGCATATGCGCCTACATAAGGTAGACTATAAACTGTGATATGGTTGTCAGTCAAATATTCAACTACACACTCAGCCAGGCACACGCAGTATATTTCACATCTTCCTTTCTACCTGTCAGAAATAATTATGCATTTTTGTTGTGTCTTCTGTCAGATCCAGTGGTCCAGCACAGAATATCAGATAGAAGAGTGTTTGATGAAAGGAAGGGAGAAGGTAAGAGACACTCTCTTGGGACTGCATACAAAACATGTTTTTATCTTTGTATTGGTAGTGCATCTAAGATAGCAGAGTGTAAATGATAATGTGAATTAAAATGCAGTTTCTATAGCGTGTAAGAAATGTATGATCAAATTCATCTGGTCTGTAAGCATTGTTTTTTCTTATGGATCTTCCTGTGTTATTTAATTAGTGCTTCACCCATGTATTGATGCTATTGACGATGCAGTGAAAGCCTGGCATTTCTCCACCCCACAATTAGCTTGACCTCAAGTTGCCCTCATGACCTTTCTCCTAACAAAACGCCTCCTTCCCCACCCACTGTTTCATCTCTGTATCTTGTCTTGTCACAGCCGGAGTGTGCAAACTACATCAAGGTCTTGCAACAGTACAATGAGACTCATTTGCTGGTATGTGGAACGGGAGCCTTTAACCCAATCTGTGGCCTGGTCACAGTGGGAAACACAGGACAGGTGAGTCCCAAAGACAGAGTTCCATTTTAATTTGATGACAAACCAGTGAAGTGTTCATTAAACAGATGCTTCCTTGACAGCCAACAGGGTAGTTTTTGAATATTGATGATGGAAAGGTTATACTAGATACTGCAGTCACTTAAAGGGATATTATGGCGTAATATTAATTTAGGGTCAAACACACTGTAACACTGAATTAGACACCCCCTCGAAATAGAGTTGCTGGAAGAGAGTAGGTGAGTTGTGTTTAGTCTCTTTGCGAAAGAAATTAGGCAAAGTTAAAAAGATGTTTGGTGGCCAGTACTATGGCTGGGACCCTATATGTACTGTTGATGAAGTTAGGTGCTGTTCTGAACATTATTTGTGGCTATAAAGTGACGTTTTGGTTGAGGTTTGTGTGTGGTTCCATAGACCACTGTGTATTGCTATCGTGCGGTTGTTACCAAAGTTGGTATAACTAGAGAAGCAAGCGGTCGGCAACATTCATCTCTCGAAGGGGTGTCTAAATCAGTGTTAGTGTATTTGACCCTTAATTAATTTTACACTGGACTATCCCTTTAAGGAGGCCCTTCTATCTCTATCTAGGTGTTGTTTTGGAATTATTATGGGGCTCGCCATCGACTGGTCGGTTAAAAATCCCCCCCCTACATCCCCTCACTCACATAAAAAGAGCTGACCAGGTAGCTATTTAAGACGTAAACTGATTCATAGCTTTTGTAAGAAAACTCTGTCACTTCCAGCTAATTACATCTCAACTACAACGGCCAAGCTTTACTGTTATTGACCTCATGAGCTGGAAGTAGAGTCAGCATAGCAATAACATCAAGCTTGCATGGGGGAAAACCTTCACTCAGTATCACTCACTTTTCCTCCTGCATGTAAATGTACACTCTATTACTTTTGGTTGAATTCCGTAAAAACAAAAGATTTGAAAAACAAAGTTATTACAACTAAAGTGTCATATAATCTTAAGAAAAGTGTGACTTAATAGCATAAGTCAAGTTTTCCATGACTCCTGTTATCAATATGTTTACCCATTTTTACCAGCTGGGTTGCATCGGCCTAAGAATTTTTTAAAGACTAGCAGCAAACCAGAGCTCCATTCTTAGAAAAAAGCTCATATTGATATTTAACCACTTTCTCAAAATGAAACCACATGTTTGAAAACTTGTTAGCCACCATCGGACAACAGCTCATGCTTTGTTAACCGCTGCTTTCTTGCTTGATCATTCCAACAAAACAGTCCCGTTTTCTTCAGAACACAGTCAGACACATTTCCCATGGATCACCTCAGTTCTGCCTCCGCCCTCTTATCTCTGGAGCACTGTAGTCAAAACCTTCTTCACACTGTGAATGTTTTGGCTGCAAGCTCTTAGAACTGTTGGTTCAGCTTGAAACCCTGAGCAGTTAAACTCTCAGCACATGCTGCTGGAGTTGAGTTTATCCTTCTGGCAACAAAGATCGATTTGTGATAAAAAAAAAAAAGGATGGTAAGTAAGACAGGGTGATATTTTGGTCAGTAGAAGAGAATTATTAAGTACAAGCTGCTCGTTTTTTTATTTTTAAAAAAAGCTGAGACGAGTTAAGTCCAGGTAAAAAAAGGAGTACAGGCCAGGTGCTGCTCTGCAGGAGTAGGTTTGAAGTCAGAAGATAAATGTTCTACCGTACTCAGGGGTCACTTCACGTGTGTGTATCAGCTGCCTGAGTGAGATTTGAGCGAGCAGGAGGGTTTCATGTGCATGCTGGTGTCCATGCAAAATTACCGGCAGACATTTGGGTGAGCGTGTTTGTCTGACACACATCTCCCAGATGTCAAATATGGAACAGATCTAAGTGTGAGTATGCTTGTGTGTGTGTGTGCTTTCCAACACTGATCCAGTAGGTCAGCCACACCTCCTTAAACAGGAACTACATCCAGCCATTCCTCATATCTTTGGAATGCTCATACTGCGGCTGACACTGGATCAGTATAAGCAACTGAATCCCTTTACAAGATTATTTCAAATAAATTTCATACTTCGTGTATGAGATTACATCAACCAGTCAGTGAAAGCTTAGCAGTATTTCGACAAAGCACCTACGGGACATTTCTTCAAAAAGACCGCCCAATATCAGGGTGCTACTGCAGATGGAGTAATATTGTTTCAGCCTATTGTATTTTAGCCATTTTCAGTTTATGTTTGATAGATCACACTAAATGATGGATGAGTTTAACCCACACTCTGACTTGTGTTACAGTCATATGCTAGGCAGTAGTCACAGCACAGTAGGGTTTCACTACGACTCATAAATCAATACATGACACCCCTTCTGATCTACCAGTGACAGTCATAAACACTGTGGTGGACCAAACATATGAGCCGTGTTCTGCAGGGAGTTTGGTGTGTGTGACTGTGTGTGTGTGTGTGTGTGTGTGTGTGTGTGTGTGTGTGTGTGTGTGTGTGTGTGTGTGTGTGTGTGTGTGTGTCTGCCACCTGCCGTGCAGGGCAGCCAGATCAGGAGAGCAGAAGCAGAGACTTGTCATGATAGAAGAGCTGAACATAGTTGGTTTTACAGATTCAGACGACAGTTTCTCTTTGGTCATCCATCACTCTGAGTCTCATTTATCTTCTTGTCTCCTGCTCATCCATCACTCTCTTATCTCCCCTGTCTTTCTCAGTGCAAAACAAACATTGGTTTGTCGAGATATTTTCAGTGCCATTGCAAGACTGCAGCTGTCATGTATTTATATCCATGCATACATATTAATAACTATGCCTACATCTGTGTGTGGTGTGTGTTGCCCTCAGGACAGGCAGTTTGCTCTGGAAGAAGACAGTATTATAAGTGGCCGGGGCCGATGTCCATATGACCCCAACAGCCCCTGCACATCAACGCTCTCCAGTAAGAAGCCTCTCATTCCATCACTTACCACCTAAACAGCTTAAAGCACATTGTGAGACTGTGATGAATGAAGCTAAATGGGTGAATACTGGGTATTTAACTAAGAGCTCAATTTGACTATAATGGATCAATGCTGCCACCTTGTGGTCAGTTTTCATGCCGATATTTTACATAGAGTCAAAAAGGGGGATGTATTAAGTAACACTTCCTGGTCATCAAGATGTTTCATTAGTGTGTGTGTTTCTGTATATTTATGCATTTCTATGTGTGTTTGTTAGGAGGAGAGCTATACATTGCCCTGTACACTGACTACTGGGAGAATGATGGTGCTCTATGTCGACTTAACAACCAGACCTACACTCGCACTGAGAGAGACGACAGGCAGCAACTAAATGGTTGGTGAAAAACATAGACAGTAAAGGTAACACTTCACAGTCCTGTCCCCACTCATGAGCATTTATTGATGCTTTGTAAATGGTCAGGCAATCATGAGTTCATATATGACTCATTCATGCATTAATGATTATCACATCATTAACCAATAAAGAGCAGAGTTGTAACGATGCTCACAGCACATGAGACAGGGTAAGATAAAGGATCAAAAAGGATGTGATTTCAAAACTTTTACAGATTGGTTACAGAAAAAAAAAATCTATTATTATCACTAAAGTGACATTCATCACAAGATGAAGACTGGTTAAACAAACAGTTAAACAAACTGTATGATCACCCTAACTCTGTCAGTGCCAGCGAGCAGGAGAATGCTTCAGGTGGACAAAGTGATTGTGAATATGGACATAAAAAAGATAAATAAATAAAATAAAAATAAATCAAGATATGTGACCATGGAGCGTTGTGTTGTTATGAAGACAAACTTTTACCTTTCTTCTCCTTTGGTTGTATTTTTCCACTGCACTGGGCTGATTAAGATGTAGCACTGCGACCACATTGGTGTAAAACAGTAACTGCAGTTCAGGGAGTTATGCTAAAAAAAAGTGATTAAAAAACAGGGTATGACTTTGTTAAGAGCTGGAGGTGAGGATATTAGGTTGAGGTGGCTGTCTCATAGCTTTCTATGTTGGATTAACCCTGTGTTAAAATGTATTATATATCACACTAGTTTTTTAAAGAATTGTATATGATTGGTGGTCTGAGTATCATTTGATTTACTATTAATGAATTAGTTCAACAATATCTAGTATTATTTAATTTTGTTAGTTTGTGTTTATTATGAGGCTGATTAAGATTCACTGAAAAAACAAAAGCCAATGATAACACTCAAGTGAATATACTCAACATTTCACGAACCAAGTGTTACCAACATATTTGCATGTCGCTTTAAATGAGGGACGGTGAAAACAGTGTGTGTGTGATTGTTTATGAAAACAAACACACACACATACACTTTATAAAAGTGTGTCAAAACATAAGAAGCTATTGATGAGATATTCTCTTTTATACTGTGAGTTTTTTTAACCTCTCAAAGCCCAGCTGTGAATCACATACTGTATATGCACTTAAAAGTGGCAATACAACTGTTCTCACACAGAGCGGCTCTGCTAGGATACAAAATCATGAGTTGTTTCAAGTGTTAATTAGTTATAATAGTTTTTAAAGAGTTTCCTGCTTTAAAAATTTAATGAGTTAAAAATAGAATTAACACTTTATAGCAGACATCCACTCTCCACTGACTAAAGCCTTAAGTTTCCATCTCTGTCTTTCTTCAGAACCTGTATTTGTGGGCTCAGTGGTTATTCCCGACAATGATGACCAGGATGACGATAAAGTTTACTTCTTCTTCACTGAGCGGGAGACAGATGCCGAGGGAGCGAACAAGGCTGTGTATTCTCGTGTTGGCAGAGTCTGTGCGGTGAGAAAACAAATGCTGTAAAAATACTTGTGGACATGAGTCAGCCAAAGAGCGGCTCTCACCCTCTATGTCTGCCCTCACCTCACAGAATGACCAGGGAGGACAGAGGATGCTGGTGAATAGATGGAGTTCCTTCCTCAAAACGCGACTGATCTGCTCTGTGGCCGGGCCAAACGGCATTGATACACACTTTGATGAGCTTGGTACGACAAAAATAGGAGACTGTTTGCATTGTTAAAATCCGACTAAGCTGATGTGTTTAATTTTTTCTTAGGAGCGTGATTTTAAAATGTCCTAGAAAAGCCCAGCTCTCCTTAAATAAATTAATGTTACAAGACTAGCCAACAGAAGTATGAGCTAAATGCTTCTGTCAGCATTCTGACTTGATGGTGGGAATATTATCCATCATATTCGTTCTGTCAAGTTAGACAATAAATGCAAAAATATGAACTTTCTCTACATTTTATGTTCTAGAGGATGTGTTTGTTCTGAACAACAAAGATGGGAAAAACCCTGAAATCTTTGGCCTCTTCAGCACAACAAGGTAAGTGAAGGATGACTTCAGCTTTTCAGTAACAATTCATTATCCTTCAAGTACCTAAAATGAGTATTTGTTTTACAGCGCTGTGTTTAAAGGCTATGCAGTGTGTGTCTATCACATGGATGATATCAGAGCGGCCTTTAACGGTCCCTTTGCCTACCGAGAGAGACCCGAACATCACTGGACTCCTTATGAGGACAGAGTTCCCTACCCTCGACCTGGATCTGTGAGTCTCAGAATGGAAAACTGTTTGTGGGATTTCATTAGCTGATGCACCGGTATTATGCATTCACAGCACTCCCATAGTCTATGTTCATGCCAGGCGTCCTCTGAGGGGGACACTGTTGAGAGCGTGTCGGACAGCTTTGGTGAATGTCAGCACTGTTGTAGCTACCTCAGCAGGTCAAACAGGGACAGTCTGCGCCACATTAAATTATGTCAGCTATTTTTCTATGCTGCACAAAGTGCTGCTGCAATTAATGGCCCTCTCTTGTCTCCGCACTTCCTTTTACCCCCCCCCCTCCATCTCTAACAGTGTGCCAGTAAAGTTAACGGAGGGGGCTTCTCCAGCTCCAAAGAGTTTCCCGATGAGGTTTTGCGTTTTGTTCGTGCTCACCCTGTGATGTATCGCCCAGTCCTCCCCAAGCACCGCAGACCCGTGCTGCTGCAGACAGAGCCCGGCAGGAGGAAGCTGACCCAGATCGCTGTGGACAGAGTCCAAGCTCAAGATGGACACTACCATGTTCTCTACATTGGCACTGGTACACGTTTAAGAATTAGTACTTATCACACTCGATCCTGAATGTAAATGCAAGACTTGTGTGTGTTACTTTCAAAATAAAAAACATACAGGAGGTAGTTTGTGCTACCAAATATGCTAAACGCAACATTTAAACCAAATACAGTTAAAGTTAAAATACATTAGAGAACATTTGTTGTACTGAGACTGTTTGGAGCTGTTTTGCTCTGATTGTGAGAAAAAAGTGTCTTGACATTTCCTGTAAAACTCATGATATTTTTTTCCTGAACAGATGACTCCATTGTGTTGAAAATTATCACCATTTATAACAAAGACACAGACACTATGGAGGAGGTGCTGCTGGAAGAGCTGCAAGTATTCAAGGTACGCTATATTTAACCACGAGATGTGAAACCAGAGAAGACTTGGTAAAAATCTGCATTTACTGCTCACATCTTAGAGTCCACAGTTACTGCACTCAGACACTGTCTGTTTCCAAAATACTGAGAGCTGATTTGCCACATTTCCATTACCAGAGGGTCACAACTGTGATTGTGCGGCCAGCCTGCTGAGAGATGATTTGAGATTTGAATACATCAATTTTTCTGACTCAGATACATTTGAAAGTAGTTTGTAAGCCGTCACTGCTGCTGTTTTAATCAAGAATTGATTAGGGATGGAGAGGAGCATGGCAGGAGGCCTGCGGGGACAAAAGGCTGTGCATCTGCACTCATTTCATTATTAATACATATATCATACAATAAAACATTTTTACATCTTTCAATAATAGTGCAATCTGTCTGATCTGCAGGTGCCTGTCCCCATAAAGGAGATCATAATATCACCTAAAAGGGTAAGAGGAGCAGATGAATCGCTGCACCACCGTTTAATCATGCAATTCTATATCTGAGCCACAAGATGTTAACATTGCAACACTTTCCATTACTCATAATGAACATAATGTTTATGTACTGTTCTCTACTAGTAGCTGTCTATACACATTACCAATTTCATATTTCAATCAAACTGTATCTTCATATCAATGTATTATTTTTGGCTCCACAGCAACAGCTGTATGTGGGGTCAGAAGTGGGTGTGGCTCAGGTCAGACTGCATCAGTGTGACCTCTACGGCTCAGAATGTGCTGATTGCTGTCTGGCTAGAGACCCTTACTGTGCCTGGGATGGTCTCACTTGCTCCAGATACTACCCTGCTGGAGTCTACACCAAAAGGTAACATCACACACTCTCAGAAACCGGAGTGTGTGTGCATGTGCGTGTGATACCAGCTGTTCACACCTTTAGAAGTACCTCTGCTCCATTATGGCATCTTGCCCTAAATGTCACCCTGCTGCGAGGCTAGTTTATCAAGTCATTATCATTGGCTTTAAGAGACGTGACAGTAAGGTGTTATGTAATGTCTATTAGTATGCACTTGATCATCCCTCTTCCTCTCTCTGTTTTTTTCTCTCTCTGGTTCTGCCTCTTTGATTTCTTTTGCTTCTGCACTTCCATTACATTTAAAATTACCCCGTCTTTCTATTTCTTTCGCTCCTATCTCAGTAGACGATTCAGGCGGCAGGATGTTCGCCATGGCAACGCCGTCCAGCTGTGCAATGGGCTGCAAATTGATGGTAAGGGTATAATGACTGGCTGATGGGGGTTTTACTTAGTGTGCAAAATAGAAATACTGGTGTGTTTGGACAATGAAATTTCGCAACACACACACACACACGCTCAATTCACGTCAGAAAATGGTTCAGTTTCTCAAAAGCACTCAGCTGAATATGAAACACTGAACTCTTCATGTGTCAGTGCAGTTGAATTGGGAAAGGTAGATGTGCGTCTGCCGGAGATCAGGGTTGAACAAACTATCAGTGTTTTCCAGACAGTGAAAGTTATCAGCAGTTCTTTTATGTCTCTCTTGAATCACCATCTTTATCTTGATGTGTGTGTTTGTGTGTAGATGAACAATGGAACCGAGCTGAGGAGAGGTTCGCTTACAGTGTGGAGAGCAACAGCACTTTACTGGAGTGTGTCCCTCGATCACTTCAAGCCAAAGTGCTCTGGTTCTTACAGAAAGAGGAAGAAAAACATGAGGTGGGTGAAAAAAAAATGCAACTACCAATGTTAGCATTTGGGAATTATTGGTATCCATTGCTTAGAGGAAGTGATTATTGGTATTTACAATTAAATTCTCACTCCAAAAAGCAAAAGAAACAACATGTTCTCCTTCTTAACTGTATGATTTGATGACTAGGGTCCTATTTCTTTCTAAAACCCTGAGGAAATACATTAAAAGTGATGAAATAAATCAAAGAGTTTAAAAAAATTACGATCAATTGTAAAGATTTATGGTTTAACAGGTGGCGTACAACAAACAGATAGCTGGAATGGTAATAAACCAGGTCAAGTAGGAGAGACAGTGTATTGAGTTTGCTATTGAGTTACTTCCAGTCCACTAATGTATTCTCCTCTTAATTTGTTCTGTGGGTTTTTAAATGAAATTCCTCATGGGAGTAGTGCTGTGGAAGTCTGAAATGCCTTGTGAATCATTTGACTATTTTCTTCCTGCAGGTTCAGGGTGATGAGCGGGTAATCGTGACTTCCCACGGGCTGCTGTTCTTACGAGTCAGGAGCTCTGACGCGGGTGTGTACGTGTGCCAGACTGTTGAACATGGCTACGTGCACACATTATTACGTATCACTCTGCACGTGCTCAGAGGAGACAGGGTAGAGTCGGCGATCCGGAGAAGGAATAATGGGGAGGGAGAGAAAGCTGCGGCTCCATGCCTCCACTCCTCCCTCGGTAATCACCCCAACCCCAGCATCAGCCCAAGGGCTCTGGTCCCCTCTTCAGTCCCAGGCCCCCACTCACGGCTGTGGTACAAGGAGTTCCTCCAGCTGATAGGCTATGGGGATGCCCAAAGAGTGGAGGCATACTGTGAGAGAGTGTGGTGCTCTGACAAAAAACGTAAAAAGACCAAAAAGAAGTATGCCCCTCCTGCTGGTGAGAAAAGAGGAAAAGGGAAGGGAGAGGAGAACTCCCACCGAGCGCCCAGGCACACTTTGGACACCTGAGGAGAATAAGCTAACGGCACATACACACATGTACACATACACACAGTCTAAAGGTCAGGTTTTCTCAGTGTCTGCATCACGTAACAGGGTTTCTGTTTGCTTTAAACAAGAGCAGTAACAGTAAAACAATAGCAGCAGATTTTGTTGCCATTGTAGCTCCATTAATCAGCCTGTAGTTAGTATTTTACATCCAATGTTTGCCTTATAGTGTGTTTTCAACTGATTATGTGGTGCAGACTCTGGGTAAGTACTTTGAGTGTCAGTGTCAGGGCAGAGCAGAGGCTCTTGCGGGAGATGGACGACTGATTAAAGGGACATCGCCTCTGATCTGAAAAGACAGAATACAACAAATCAGCTCCTGTGGACTGACCCAGCCTGACTCTGCTGTCGATCAAAACGCACACAGAGACTGCTACAAAACACCTCTACTCCAACTCTCATTCCTTGCCTCAATATGACAAACTCACATATGTATCTATAATGACAGAAAACAACTATGTTTAAGAGAAGACCCTCTACGCTCTTTTGGTACTATGCTAACTTATTTTCTTGGTCTTTATTCTGTAGCTGGTTAGATGTCGTAAACTGGAAAATTTAGTGCTGATGTTTTTTTGTGCAAGAAAAAAAAAAGTGCATTGAGCTTTATGATACTGCTCATCTGAATACGATGAGGAGATGTAGGGTAACATTGGCCTTAGTGCATACCATTAAATGTTGCAACGCCACTACTATGGATATTTGAGGCATGTTTTAGTTATAATTATGCACTCAATTGAAAAAAAGTACGATTTAAGCACTTGTAAAAACAGTTAGACGAAAAGTGGTTCTGTAAGTGGATATTATTGTCATTGTGAATGTCTGCATTTACAGATACAACTGATCAAATGTATCAGCAGTGTTGTGTGTATTGTATATTTTATTTATCTAAAAAGTGGGATGGCTGTTGAGGGTCCACCTGTTAAGTTAAACAACCCATCACACTCTCCCTCTTCTCCCTTTTTCAATTCCTCTGTTTCTCCCTCTTCACTTATTTATATTTTTTGCTTGTCTGTGACCACGTCGCAGATGGGCTTGGTAATTACCACAACAAGCTGCACATTTCCTTTTGTTAGAAAGAAGGAATAATGTTAGGTTGGCCATCCAAGCATGTTATTGGAAAAAACAAGAAAAATTACAGAGAGAGAGAGAGAAAAACAAAGAAAATTCAGACGTTACAGAGAGATCCATTATGCTGGTTGGGTTGATCACTTCTTTTCCATACTGTGCCTTATTTTATCACAAAATCCAGATGTATAGTTTTGACCCTGTGTAATCATAATGTCACTCGAAGGAGAGGTAAAAAAAAAAAACTCAATGTGTTGGTGTCTGTCACTCATTCTCCTTGGAAATCCTTCATCTAAGCCTAAGGTTGAGAGTGTTGTGTCTGCTATACCCTTTATAAATAACTGCCATTAAAAAAGATGGGCCATCTTTCGCCAGTGTCACCTCTGTGGTTTAGCAATCAATAACCATGCACACACACACACACATGCACACACACTCATCCATAAATGCATTAAAGCGAGACGCCAGTGAAGCAGAAGAAAAGAGGTAGAGCCTTTATATTTACTTGCTATGAACAGAAACCAACCTGAATAAATTGAGGAATTGTTCCAAAATCATTTTTTTCCATTTCACTAGACAAGAAAACATAAAAGCAAACGTTGCTTTCTCTTGATCCTGTTCAATACACCATTTGCAAGTGAAACATGAAATCTAACACAGCCATTAAGAGCTAGTTAGGATTTTTTTCCTACATCAGATGCCTCCCGGGACTCCGCTCTCATTCAAATTCTGTCTAGGTTTACCTGAGTCGGTGGGGTGCTGAAGGCATCTGAGAATTCAATTCATGCTGCTGATTTATTCCACATTGGCTACCATAGCAACAGGCTCTGAACCAGTTCAGCTCCTCTCCTCATCAAAGCTCTCCCGTCTCTCTCTGTCAAGTTTCAACACTGTTACTGCCCCCCCCGCCCTCCCCAAACCCCTCTGGCCACAGGTCCTTGTTGCTATACATCACACTCTTTCATATGAGACTGGTCCTTTTAGTTAAGCTTAGAAAGGCCTCCTTTTCTCCTGAGTCTGAAGTTGGGATTTCACTGGACGGAGCCTCTTACCTCACATACAAATGCCCTCTGGTCAGCTGGGGAACTGCTGCTAAAGTAGAGTATCAATCTGGAGCTGCACATTTTTCCCACCAGGAAATGTTCATTTCAGGCTTCAAGCAGCCAATATAGTGTAATGAAATGCCATAAATCCATTCATTGATCTTCAAAGGGAGCAAAAGGTCAAAGGCCGCTCTAATAAACAGACTTCTGCTCTTGCTTGTGTCTCTGTGTGAAGATGACAACGCTTATCCTCTTTCCCCTTTTGGCATCCATCTCTGTTTTTCATGCTGTCTTTGTTGTCCCCACACAGCGCTGGTTCTATCAGAAACCAATGCACCAGAACGCTTTATTACAAGAGAAAATGTCAGAGATGGAGGGAAGGAGGGGTTGTAAGGCAGTGGAAAATTAATGGCGGAGGACAAGCAGTGAACAGTGCTCTGCAGCTGGTGACACTCGACATGTCGTCAGTGTGTACAGTGCTGCATGTACCGCAAAATGCTGAATGTGAGTTGCATAAGGAGACGCAGACTGACGTTTTTTTGTTGTTGTTGAGATTTTGCAATTGAAAAGGTTTGAGTGGTCTTTCTATGTGAAGTCCCCAACAAGCAGTTTTTGCTTTTCAGTGATGTAGTTCGTCTTGTGCTGCAGTATCTGTATGTAGAAATTGTAGCCCGGTGAGCTAACCTCAGTAAACTCAGCCTACAGTAACTTTGAAAGTTGTGAAGTACCGACAAAATTACTACCTGTGACCACTTCACCTTAAGTTACATCACCACCTCTCACGTGGTCACTTGTTGTCTCAGATTTTTAAGTCTTTTCGATCTAACAAGCACTCCACAGGGTTAATTTACATAATAGTAAACCACTGGTCCCTTGAAATGCATGACTACGACTAAATGAGGGAGGAAAGCTGTAAAGTGGCATTGACAGCCTGGTCTGAATCGCAATTTACTTCACTTTGCTGGAAGATAGCAGCTGCTATCTCCCAGGATCACATCTTCGAAGTAACACAATAAAATACCCCCATCACTGCTTTTAAACTGGTATTTTGGTCGTACCAATATAGAGGATGCAGCCAGCTATTGAGATGGAGAGATACTTAAAGTGCATATTTAAGACCAAAATTACAGTAAGTATGACTACATGTTGTGCCAAAGAACATGTGTGCTTAAGTTGCTTAAAAATCCTATAGATGCTTATTGCAGTGTCCTGTAACACCACAGCCTTTCAGCATTTTCAATAACATATACATTTAACAATCTATTTATGCATTCATGTAAAAGCTCAGTTTGGATTTTGAGGAGGCACCCCAAATACGTGTGTGTAAACTTAAGTTTCCCAGCTATGAGCCATGTCCCCTTTTGATCATATACTGCTAACACTCCCTCAGAGAAAACTGGTCATTCTTATCGCTTCATATATGATAAATATTTGTATCCCAAACATGAGAGCTAAGGAAACATTAGACCATACATGACTTAACTGAGGCATCCGAGCACGTACTGATATCTCAGGATATCAACAAATATCCTGAGATTATTTTTATTAGATACAAGTTCAGAAAGCACTGCCCCATCCCAGGTTCCCACAATGAGGCCCTGACAGCTCACTTCACTGATAAAGGGTGAGATAAAGAAGGAGACAGTAGGGGGATGCCACAAAAGGATTGTCTTAGTCATTGTTTTTTTTTTTACTCTCCAAAAATAATGGAGTTGGATTTAGAGTTGATAAGAACCAGAATCAATAAGCAGAGCTGGAACTGGAACCCAAATCAATAAAATTGAACTTTTACCAAACTCGACTTCTAAAGTTAAAAAAGTATAGAAATGCAACATGAGATTTTGATGACTAAGCAGGAGTAGTTAAGCATTTCTTTTACAGCAGTGTTCTGTATAACATGCTGGTTTAGTAACATCTTACAGTCAACCAAATCAACGTTTTGGATTTGGCATCTAAAGCAGATATGAGAAGTAGTTGATAAATAAATGGCATGGTATGAACCCTAGCACTGGACCACGGTAGTCAGTAAAGTCTAGAAAAGCCCCCGAAGAGCAGTAAGAGAGGAAACATAGATGAAACGGGATCACTGAAGAAGTTAAAAAGCAAAAGACAATGAAATAATTTACTTCACATTGTTGGATTAAATCAACTCTGTGTCCATTTTCTATCAAGTTGTGGTTTTTCTTCATGGGTTCACATAAAATTAGCCTGTAATTCCATCTGTGGGATATTTTGGCCATGTACTGCAGGGGCGACAAGTGAAGGTTAAACATCAAACAGTTCTCCCTCATAAAAAAAGTGATCTGATAAGCAAAAAAGGGGAGCGCGCTATCAGCGGTGGAACAGACCGTAGCTCGCCCTACATATCAGCTTATGACAAAAAAGACTCCGGCTTCAGAGAGAGGTGTATATTTATCGCTAATAAACATAATGACTGCATACACATAGATAGATTAGCACACAAAATGTGCAAAATAAATAAAGGGAATCTGGAATAATACAGACATCATCCCTCTGTAGACTCGAATGATGCGTCAACATGTGCTATGTGTTATCTCGCTCAACCAGCTGTCACTGAGGCGCAGGATTTCTCTGAAGCAGGCGGTATATTGAACTGACCCATGCAAAATGTGATTTTTATACAGGTGTTTTTTTGTTTGTTTGTTTGTTTGTACTCATAATCTCTAAATCCATTAATAATCCAGGATTTGGTCGCACATATGCTCTCTAAGGGCATACAGGCATATGTGTAGCTCTCTTCATGGATGAAAGATGCTCAGATACCTCACAGCACACAACAGTCTCGCACAGGACGGCCGAGGGAGTGAGAAAGATGGGAGGTGTAGATCATCTGGGCTTTTTCTTACTGCTGAGAGCCAAGGGAAAGCCGAGAGGAGAAAGAGAGAGAGAGAGAGAGAGAGAGAGAGAGAGAGAGAGAGAGAGAGAGCAAATCAATGAGAGCGGTTGTGTAAAGAGAGTGAAGCAGTAAAAGGGAAACTAAGAGGAGAAGGAAAAGAGGGAATAGAAGAGCTGGTATTCGAAGTGTATGATGTAAAGCTGTGCTCTCCGCACTTTGGGGGTTTGCCTCTCCTGGGAATGACACATCTTTGAAATTCTGAATTATGTTGCTACTCTATCTGGCAACCTTGACTCTGAGTCTGCCAAGAGAAGTGAGACAGGTATCTGATGCAGTGAGAGGCACAGATGCCCTAACACAGAGAAAGCAAACAAGTCAGACAGATATAAATAAACAATGTGTGACAGAAAGTGAAAGGAAAGTCAATGTCAGGGGTTTTTATTTTTGGAAAAGCATTTTTCTGTAAACTCCATGAATGTAAACCCATCTGTGCATATTTGTTTATGTGCATTTTTGTGAGTCTCCATGCATCTGAGTACACCACCTTCACTGAGAGCCTGGGAACTCTGGTTCTGGGAATCTGTGCGCGTGTGTGTGACGCAGTGAGTGCTGTGTCATTAATCTGGGTGTAATCACTACATTTGTGCCCCTGCGGGGGTTGATCTCTCCTCTAATCCGCCTCTTTATCCCTGCATCTTCACCATTACATCATTCTGACCTTTGCACCCTGGCGGGTAGTCTCAACAGCTGGCTGAGGCTGTTAAACAACAAACAACCATGGCGAACACGTGCAGTGGAGTAACAAAATACACAGACTCCAGGAAGTGTAGCACAATAGATCAGAGTATTTGAGGAGCTAATCCCTGCCACAAACACAGCTCTACAAAAGTGTGGTTTTGCTTGCAGGTTCTGGAGTATTGAGACTGGGGTGTGAATGCTCTTGCATCTAAGAAATGCAGTAAAATATAACTTGAATTTCTGCTGGAGATCCCAAAAGATGTCTTTAGTGGGAAAACCTGCTTGTGTGGAATAATGAAAGCTTTGCACTTGATCTACTGACAGTGTTAGCTTGTTCTTCTGCCTGAGCTTCTCTTATAATCAAATCAATATTTCTACCGTGAAAAGCTTTCCTCCCTCCATATCTTGTTAGTCCACTATCATCGTTTGTCTGGATGTTTTATATCAAGATTGTGTTTACATACACTCGTCAGCCAAAACATGAGGTTCACCTGCCTCAGTCAGGGCCATAACAGCCTAAACCTGATGGGACATGCACCCAAATAAACCACTAAAGGCACCAAACTTTAGCAGTAGATCTTTAGGTCCTATAAGTTGCCTCCATGAATTGGACTAACAGCCGGCACTTCCACTGGGTATGAGATCTGTGAAAGTCTGAGACCAAGTCTGCAGAGTCATGTTCCTCCAGACTACCTACTTCCATTGACTGGTGGTGCAGCTCCGATGCTCAAGTGCCCATTTTAGGCACTTTTGACCATGATGAGTGTGGGCACCCTGACCAGTCACCCTCACAGATCTATATGCAACAAACTTTGATGCACCTAGTTTCATGACACCTCTGTTACATTATCAGCATTAACTTCACTGGCAGTCTGGCCTCCAGTAGCCCACACAGGCCATCCTTCATACACATACAGAAGCCATCCATGACGCTGTCACTGATTTTACTTCCTCAGACCACCACAGACTGGGAAACCCCCACAGGAGCTATGTTTCCATACCCCACCCAGTGACACATACCCACCACTGCAACAAGATAAATATTACTGTTGACTTCACCTGTCAGTGGTCATAATGTCATGATTTATTGGTGTGTGTGTGTGTGTGTTTATTTTAAAGAATAAAGTTATATAATATTAAAGAGCAAAAGGGAAGATTGAAGATGTTGTACGTTTAAATAATGCACCCCACTCCCTGTCCTAAAACATATATAAAAGAAAAGCAGATCCAAATTCCACACAAGTTTCTAAGAATTGCCTGAAATTTGTCCACTGCAAAAAAAAAAAAAAAAAAAGATGTAATCATCTGCCCCGATGTAATCCATAAACCGCCCTTGTAATCACAAATAGCTTAGTCAAAGGAAATCCCCAAAGAGCACAAATAAAGTGTAAAGTTTGGATGACCATGAATGTATATCCCTTCCACTGAGATGAAAGATGAAGCAAACTAAGAGTGACACAGCATCTTACCAAACGCTGACTCACTTCTCTGACTCAAAGCTGCATCAAGACACACTTTTAAACAGCTGTGAGCAGGAGCTGGGACTGGGAACACATTTTTTCTTCCACAGAATGTGCCTGGATTTATTTGAGTGATCTAATTAAAGGTATTAGGCAGATTGGTCACCTTTCATGTGACACTTTCAGGGAGATTCCTCAAAAGCATCTCACACTCTTACAAGTGATTAAAAAAGATTTGTCCTAAATATAATAACTCACTTAGCTTCTCCTCATCCACTTACCACACTGATAGCTGAGATGTAGTAAACCTGCATCTGTGCATTCATAGAGCACATCACATATCACTGCAAATTAGTATCACCTGTATAAAGTGTGTTTGAAAGTGTGTCCTCTCTGGCTGTCCCTCATGCAAAACAGTTGTAGTCGCAGCTGCAGTCAGAGTTTTATAATGATATGAAACAAGTTGGCTATAAAATTAATTCTCTCTGTCAAATATTACTTTGACAAAGCACCAGATTCTGTGTTTTTTTTCTTTGAGTAAATCCTAAAATTAGCTGAATTGAAAACAGACAGATTTTAGTGGTTCATGGACTGCATCTTTTTTCCATTTCTGAGTTGATATATGAATTATGGCACAGTATCCAACATCATGTAGTATTAGTTTCAAGTCACATCCAACATCTTTTTTCACATGCACTGCGACTGCATAAGTGCATGAAAGAACGAGTTGATTAAATCAAAGCATACATGTGGTCATTCATAATGAGGACAGCACAGACATAATTGCTTGCATGTGCACTGACTTTTCTACATTTTTAAATATGTGAATTTATCTTGTTACGTTGTTCATCTAACAGCACAGCAACCTGATAAGTTTCTGCATAGAAACTCATGGTGTGCACTTTAGGGTGGGATGTTTTACAAACAGCTGCAAAATATTCTGAAAGCACATGAGCAGAAACCTGAGAATTGCTGTTTCACAGTTTACCAAAGCAGCCAGCTTGCACTGAAGTGGATGATTTGCCGTATCCAGGTGTAGGAGTACAGCAGTTGCACTTGAAGCTGAGCTGCATAAACTTGAAAAATGATCCTTGAAATGAACTGTTCAGACATTTTATGGGACACTATTTTTTTCAGTGAATACATAAGGCACCAATAACACAGTGATGTGTGTGCATGATAGCAGTAGGCAGCTGGGAGCCTGTGGTTGCTGGTGAATATTTGATGAGAGAATGGATCCTCTCCATGAGCAAGTTGAGCGCTCTGTGCATACTCAATCGCTCTCACACAGACACATACAAGTACACACATGTGTACACACACGGCAGGTGGTACAGTTTCTCCGCTGTTAGACGCTCTTACGCCGAGCAGGTGCCAGTGAAGGTGATTTAAGAGTATACCACAACTCCAGATGAAGCACACTTGAAGTAGTGGTGCCATTCATACTTGGTGGGCTTTTTCTCAGAAGTGATCAGGACACACACACTCAGGCATTCATGCAAGGTCATCTGCTCTTTTTGACTCTGAGCTTTCAAGTGGCGAGAGAGGAATACTGAGAGGAAGTCGAAGACAATGACGGGCTACAAAATGAGCAATTATGAGCGCACTTATCCGTTCACTCATATTCAAGAGTACCTCTATTATTAATATTCAATGCCACATGAGCGCTTTTTACCTCATTTCACTTATACAAATCTAGTCCAGAGGGTTGACTAATCAGCAGTGCAGGCATTTTGGACACATATGGCCTTATATCTGCAATGGAAAAGTGAAGCACATAGTATACTAACAAGAAACCAGCCCTATAAACACGTCATCTAAAACAGGGAAGGGCAATTAATTTTTACATGGGGCCAAATGAGAGACCTGAACTGTGTTGGAGGGCCGAACCAACTTCAACTTCAAATACGGGGGGTTCACACATCCAGAGAAGCAAGCCCAAATAAGCAACTACTAGTTAAATACAAGCCCCAAAAAAAGCACACCAGCTACTCACAAGTTTTACAAGCGAATTCTGAGAGAAACAAGCCTAAAGTCGTTTATAATAAGCAGACTTGGCAACTATAAGGCGTCTACGTATATTTTGCCGATGTTTAAACTTGCAGGTTTAAACATTCGTCTCTGTTCACGAATGCAGATCTAGGATGTGCGTTTTCAAAATAAAAGCAACACACTTGTATAGCATGTTGATGATTTGATTGACGGACCTCACAAAGGGCCGGGCAGGGACATCCAAAGGGCCGGATGTGGCCCTCGGGCCGTAAAATGCCCAAGTCTGATCTTAAACATAAGCCTTCTAATTACATATACCATTATTAAGAGGCTGTGAGAGTGCATCTGATCAATGTCAGGTGCATTTATTTCTTCTGGATAATCCTGAAATTATCCAGAAGATGTCAGGAGTTTATGACAGTGAAGTAAAATGTGTGTGTGATGTCAATGATAAAACACTAGATAGGCTTCAGAGGTGGGGAAAGTTAATCAATGATGGAAAGCCTGGTTATGTTCATTTGTTAAACACTCCTGAAAAGCACTCCCCTTTAAACCTAAAAACAACATTTACACGCCTGTATTTCCTCCAAAAGAAAACATACACCAGGTGAAGTAGCTGAACAAAGTTTTCCTCTGACACTGTACACTGAGGAGGGAGGATACCTCTGGTAGTCTCAAACCTCATCTTCTTTTACACCTCTTCAATTATACAGCCAGCTGTCTAGACTCCATCAAAGCAGCTCTGCAAATATTCAGATGGCCTCCTTCCTGCCAAACATCAAGCAGCACTTTTTCGCCAATCAGCAGTTTTCCTGCATGCTCACACTCGTCACAGTTTTGGTCTGTGAGGTGGTAGGGTGAATACAATGTTCCTGCGATTTTCAGCCACATGCTAAGAATTTGTGTTTGTTTATCAGGCTTCTTGCTTTGCCACAGAAAGAAAAAGCAATGCTAGGAACACAATGCAGATGTCTGCACTTTGTTGCTTTTGAATAATTCAGGCAACTAATGGCTACCAGTATTAGATGTGTCTGATTAAAGAAGGACAGTTGGGACTTCTAGCTAAAAGCATTTGCCAGATCTAATAAAAGATTACATAAGTATTTAAGCAGCTGCATCTCTGCTGTGTCTACTGTCCTTTTCTCTTTGGACCATGCCACTCCTTTTTCCTCTTCTTGTATCTGCAATGACTCCCATCTTAATATGTTTATGCTTATCTTAACAATCAGAGATGTACTGTTATCCTACCCGTTGTTTTCTATTTTTATTCCCTTCCATCCTTCCCTCTTTCGCTTGTGTGACTTTGATCAGCGCTGATATCCTGCTCACTGATTTGTAGGATGCAGGGGCGTGAACCGTGTTATCCCTTGAACTTCCCCCCCTGACACGGCAGCAGAGGGAGGGGCTGGTGGGAAAATCAAGATAAGAATGAAGGGAAATAAGGGTGATGTCTAGCAAGCGCTGTTCCTTTAAGAGTATTTTTAGTTTGGCGAATAGCAGTGGTCACTCGTCAGGAAAAAAAAAAAGAAAAAAAGCCTGGGTGGCTTAAGAGACTTGTACAGGATTCTGGCGTGATGCTGAGTGAGGAGAGGGGGAGGCACAAACCAGGCTCTCTTCAGTGACACGCAGTAGACCGCCATGGCTCAGTAACTCTACCTGCATGTACATTTGAGCACGATCAAGTTATCAGTTAGTCAATTACACTGTTGGAGTGGTAATGCGTGACAAGTTCAGACACGAATTTGTCTGTTAAAAGAAAGCGGACATTCAAATGGAAAAAGGTGAACAAACCTCTTTCATTTCTGTTCTCTACTTCATGACGGCCAATAAATTAAAACGATATAAAAGAAAATTGCCCCACACAGTTGCCAATCTCTATGATTCAGCAGATAAAATGCACAATATGACACGAGTTATCAACTATGACACTAACTTGCATTTTATCGTTTTGGTGCATTCCTCTGGTCTTCTGTAGTCACGAGTCCATTTTTTTCCCCTCCTCAGGGCAGGTCTGTAAATTTAATGACACTGGCAAAGTGTGTGTGATCAAGTTACTGTATAGATTACATGGTGACCCTAACAAACACACCGGCAGAGAGAGAGAGACCTAGAGACCCAGAGAAGACAGTAACACACCTCAATGCAGGTCACCGCTCCACAGTGCTCCGGCTCCGCTCCAGAGAAAACCATGCCGGGGAAAAACTGCTTTGCCTTCCTCAAGGGTCACAAGAGGTGTGTGTGTGTTAATGTTTATGTTTAATTTCTTGATTTTGTCCACCAAATTCTAAAAGAAAGGGCATGAGCAAGTCACTGTTATTGAGCTGTTGTTGTGAAAGTTGCATTCTCATCAATGGGAGTTACAGCTTAGGGAGTGAGAAACTGCTAGGCTGCATTATGCTTGAGTGTGGTGGCTTAATTAAAATGTGAGCGAGATAAGTACTGCTACTGAGCTCTATTTGTTTGAGTGTGTTTGTGTGCGAGAGAGCAAAGAGAGAGAGAGGGAGAGAGAGAGGAGAAGAGCGAGAGGGAAACTGGGTGTGTGGGTGCTGGCATCATGCTCACCGGTGCAGAGAAGAATACAAATGCTGTGTAAATGTGATGTCTTTCTAATGGTGCATGTCTGAGTGAGCAGAGAGGCCATGCTGCAGAAGAGAGAAGCACAGAGGCACCTGGTCCACTGTCAGACCGGACATGACCTCATGTCTATATTAATGTGGAGAAAATAGGACATACACTAAAAGTAAGCATGGATGGCCTATTTAAAAAACTTAGCCCATATTGGTGCCCTCGGCAAAATAAGGCACTGACACCCCAGAATCTTGTCTAGGAGGGTAGTAATGGGTCGCTTAGGCTGCCCTTGAAATCTAGATGGCCACCCTTGATGTTCCCAAATCTCCCAAAACAAGGATTGATTTGTCTTTCCAGATGTGGGGATAATGGTAAAACTAGCTAGCAGGGCTTGTGACACAAGAATACTTCTAACTTTAAACAAACTTCTAACCTTTTACCCCTATTTCAGTTATGAAACTGTCAGCAGGGAGTGAATCTAGTGTTTTATTTCCAGGACCTCAGTGCTCAGACAACCTTCCTCTTCTTCCTTCTGTAACTTGAGTCTGCTCAGTGAGTAGTGGCTGAATGAGAGCGAGGAGAGAGTTCGCAGTGACTCGGTCTGGACAGTGGAAATAGTTTGTTTGAAAGATGTTAAGTCTGGATTTTCAGGATGGGAGGTGTTCCAGTTTTGTTTGTAGTGCATTTGAACTCTGAGTAGTACTGACCAGTTATGTTTCAGTAGGCTTTGATTTATTTGAAAAAAAATCAGTATGGCTCCCACTGTTGGTAATCTAATGATGATGACTACATCTTCAGAAACACTTTTCAAAAATTTCAATACTAACAAAACTGTCAAAGTCTGTGTCACAAAAAGCCATTTCTTGGCATCCTGGAACTTATCATAGAGACCTAGAAATCTGTTGAACATACAAGATTTTAAGAGTTGTTCTCATCTCCTTAGACCTGAAAAAGATTAAAATTGCATTTTAATTTTCATGAATCTTAATCATGATGCTGCTGTGTCCTTAGACTTGTGGACTGCTGATTAGTTGTAAGTAAATCACAATAGGCTTGTTTTTTCTCATGCCACTGAAGTAAGCTGGAGAAAAGCCTCTGTGGTAAAATAACTATTTTTGTTCTGGGATGTACTTGGAACGGATAAAGGGGCGCTACTCAATCAGATATAAACGACCACAAAATGACACACTCAACCTATCATCACCAGACAATGATAGATGATGTTTCTTAATGGTCATAAGACTAGCTGATTAGTAGATAAATTGAAAAATGATACGATGTCATCTGTACTGCACATATTCTTCATAAAATGTGAAAGCAGTTGATCATTTACACAATTTTGGGTGTCCAAAGCTTTCTGGTTTCTGTTCGAAGCCCAACTGAAGTTGTCCCCCTGCCTTTTAGTAGGTTTTGATTGTGGGCTTGAAAGTATAACATGTGGGGGGAGCAGAATGAACAGAATCCACAATCCCACAAACTATCATCTGGAGTCCTTTTAACATTTTACTATACACTTAAAAACAGGACCAGCTAACAATCTGTTCTCTGGCTGAGTGCTTTATCTCCAAATCTGCTGTTGTTCCCTGGGTCGCTAGTTAGGTTGTAAACACTGGCAACACCGGGATGATTTCTTTGCTAAAAGTCTTTTATTGCTGGGAACTTTGTAACACTGTAAAGTTGGTCATCATTCTGAGAAGGTAAACCATATTGAGATAGAAGAGTAGGGTGGATAAAATTCATGATTTGGGCTGTCTGCTGTTTTCTCAGCTAAATCCTCTTTCCTTTCAGTGAGAAGCTCTGGGGATCAAAAACGTTTGTGGATGTCTTCTTAGAGTTAAAAGATTTCTATGTTAGCTGGACTGCAGCTTAACTACTGAGAGGCCTGCATGTTAAGATGATGTTGTGCCCTTTATTAGACGAATGGCCTGCCTAAGATGTTTCTTCACCTTGAACATGATAGATTTTCTCTCAAGGTGATCAGCTTTCAGTTTCAGCCTTAAAATCTAAAGCTGATCTTGTTTCATGTCAATAATGACTCCCAATGCCAAATATCCAAGACGACAAAAGAGCTGACTGAACAATACACGTTGATAACTCTATCTTCATTCATTGATCAAATAGCTTTATGTGGTTGTGGATTTTAAATGTGTAATGTGATTTGAGGAGCTGTATGAGGAAAGAAAAGCTCCTGTTGAATTAAAGTAGGTTTTTTTATCTCCACCAGGACCAGTAAATCACACAAGAGAGCAGAAAGCAGAGACTGCAGCTGTTCATATCATGAATTTCCTGCTGGGAATACAATACTGTTTTCCATGGGAATACGTTTGAATGGACGGGCATTGTAAGAAAAAAAAAAGATTCTTCCTTTGAAAGGAGTTTTATCTCACTCCTGGTGTGAATTAACTCAACACACAGTGGTAAATTTAGACAAAGACACCCTCAGGTGAAGTACTTTTTAATATTCAAGCTTTTCAAGCTTGTTCCCAACGAGCAGCTTGAGTCCTAGTCACATCTCAACACACACAGGACAATCCAATTCATTCTTGGGTCCATCTTTACAAATGAGTGATTCTGCTAAAGTCTGTGATGCTTCAGCTGTATGAGCACGGATTAAAGTGTGGTCCAGCATTATCAGAGAGTGCGTGGGAGTAAAAAAGGATGGTGACAGTGGAGATTGTAGTTATTGCTTTTAAACTGACAAGCAGGGAGAGATCAGAAGAAAAGAACATGATGGCAGTGCATCTGGTGATTGCCTGCTGTCTTACAGTCTTACATAATATTGTTGACTGACAAACACGACTAAGTCGAGGCGCAGGATGTAAACTGTTTGAACATCAATAAAAACAATGATGAGGCAGATGAGTGTGTTATTTACTGCAAAAATAACAGGCCAGAGAGTCACTGTTTGAGATTCAAGGATAGATACACAACACAGTCCATATCTCTCACCAGATAATATGTGCTGCCATCATACTGTATGTTAATCATTCAGCTTGTGTTGACCAACTGTAAAACTCTGAGAGATGATCAAGACATCTAGAATCCAAAAATATTGTCTAGTACCTTATTGTTATCATGATTTTAGCAGTCTGAGATGACTCAAAAGATTTCCGGTCCATTTAAAAGCTGTCAGCAAAGCTACTGCCTATACCCCCAGATGGAGATTGTGCTGATGAATATTTCCTGTTTGTGTGTCCGTGCGTGTTTGTGTGTGCGTCTGCGACGAAGCCAAATCTGGCGCTTTCCAAAGAGAGACCACAGCGATTCAGCCGCTCACACATCATGCATGACGTAACTTCCACACGCCCACACACCACTTGCTCCTCATCCTTCCCACACATCTCACACACACTTGCCACATACTGAATAGGAATGTATTGACTATGTGTCATGTGCAGATCTGCACGAGTGTGGGGGGATGTCATTCATTCTTTTGAGATTTTTTTCTTCTTACTTTGTGGCGTGTCCTCCCCTTGTTCTTCAATCATGTTTTTGTTTTTTTAATATCCAGACTGAATTCTGTGAAGCATTTCCAAGCAAGTGTAAAAAGTAGATGATTTGGTTAACACTTCAGGGCTTTGTAGTGTGATATCATGCTAAAGATTCAAATGCTTTTCAAGGATCATGGTCAGGCTCACCATGTCTCTTCATCTGGCCTATGCTGGAAAGAGAGAAGAAGAATGCCAGCCAGTTTTTTTTATCAGTCTGACAGTGGCACCAGATAAGATCTACCAGATTGTCTCTTCACATCACATCTTCCCTGTAGAAAAACCCTTGTTGGATGAACGCCAGAACAAGGAGGCCAGCACAGAAAGAGAAAGGGTACAGAAACCTTAGAGGTGCTGTGGGCCTGAAGGCGTTCACTTCCTATTATATACATCTCTATTTAGTCTTGTGTAATTTAAAAATGCAACCGACAGCAAAAACCTTTATTTCATGCCCAGGAGGAAATGTCTAGACAGTGCATGCAGACTATAAGAAGTACTGCAAGAGAAAAAACAGTTTCTAGTTAAGAATACATCTGTTTAGGCTAAATAAAATGGTCCCAGTCTAAAAACAATGTATGCCTTTACAACCAAATTGACTGATATCCAAATCTAGAAGATGTGTGGATTAGTATAGATTGTACCTGTATTGTATAGATTGTAGTATAGTGTACCTTGTCTTAAAGCATGTCTAAACTGATAGTTTTGCTGATTTTTAGTTTGCCAAACTGACGTGAGAGGAATAAGGTATGACAGGAATTTTCACTGCTAATTAAGTGATGCTTCTCCAGGCGTTCACATTTACTCTGAAATGAATGATATGTATTGTCTGAGATATGTAAAATTGACAAAGATTATTTGTTGATGCATGTATATTATGTTTTTGCTCTATTATTGAAAACATTGGTTTAACACGCTCTAACAACTCTGAGAGAGTAACTAGGGCTGGGGAGTTTCAATCAGCTTTTGCATTTTTGTATTTTAATTGAAAATAGTGCAGAGACAACAGATCAAATGTAACTTGATGCCAGCAATGCATCTAAAGTTAGGGCAGGGTCAGTAATACACTGAAAAAAAATCATATTTTTAAACTAATCTTGTTCATTTGCCTTAGAGAAGTAACATAACCTGGTGAGAGACTGTAAGAAAATAGTTTCAATATACTGTTCCTCCGCATAAAATTGCAGCCAGTTAGGAGATCTGATCATCTGGAGTATATTATTAAAACATCCTAGTAGCCTATTGATTTATAGCCTTGTCCCTTTTGTACAGTAATTTTGCCTGATTCTCTGTATGACACTGATTTCAGGGTTCTCAGGCAGCACTGCATTAAAAACAGACATGACTGAGTAGAAATCACTGCATGGACTTGAAATCACTTCCAAATATCCTTGCCTGGGAACACAGTTTATAAAGCTACATCCACAGATGCAGGGTAAAACTGTGCCGTACAAAGAGGACAACATATATAAGCATGATCCAGAAATGCTAACAACTTTGCTAGGACTTAGCCTGTATGAGATGGGCACAGACAAAGGAGGGAATTGTCCTGTGGTCAGATTAAAAACCGGCCTTTTATTTTGGAAACTGTGGACACAGCTCCTCTACTCTAAGGGGAGCAGGGTCTATTCAGCTTGTTATCAGTGCACAATTCAAAAGCCAGCATTGGTGATGCTACGGGAATGCATAATTGCCCTTAACATTGGTGCACTTTCACATCTGAGAAGACACCATTTATTCAGAACAATATAAACAGGTTTTGCAGCAAAATATGCTGCCATCCAGAGAATTCGTTTTTCAGGGAAGACCTTGACTAATAATCGCAAAATAACACCGGACCGTATTCGGCATATATCACAACAGCTCCATAGTAGAGTCCAAGGTTGCTTACCACCACCAACACTGAAACGATAAAGAAAAACGAATGAGATCCCAGACTGTTATGCAGCTGAAGTCCTATATCAGGCAAGAATGGGACAACAGGATATTATCAAAAAAATAGAAAATGGTCTCATCTGTTCCCAAACCTTTAGAGTCTTGTTAAAAGAGGTTGTGGATGGTTCAGGTGCTCCTGTCCCAACTTTGTTGTGATAAAACATAGCCACAAACAAGAAAACTAAACCAAACACTATATATGGGAGGAACAACAAGCAGTAAGATCTCCGACTCAGACTGATGTCTAGCTAGACTGATAGATGAATTAACTTGACATCATGAAGGGATAAAGCTTGGTTGAAAAAAAAATGGGAGTGATCTTTCAATAAGAGTGCTGCAAATATTATAAAGCGTGGGGATCTCATTTCCACTGCTAATTTAGCATTTAGCTTAACTGAAAAATAGCATGTAGATCTGTGTTCACTGAATTCCTAATGCAAGGAAATGGAAGTCAGTGCTCAGTCAATGAATCAGCCTCTATAGTTTTCCTGCTTGGTTGTTTAGTGAATCATATGCCAGAATATGGTGCTTCAAACTTTTTTCCAAGAGAAAATACACACTACTAGGTAAAGATATAAACACGTGATCTGCAAATTGGTATTCCCCACATGGCTCTCTCCCCTCTAGCTAAGAATCACACGGTCGTTTCCACTCTTCCCACGATTATTACGGTGACATTTTATGTTCGTCAGCGTCGAGGTGAAAATACAATCTATCATCATGAGGGTAAATCTTCAGGTCTTCGCCGCTGATCACACGTGACTCCGGGGGAAATAAATCGTCTTGTCCCCTTTAATTTCAATTTCCGTGCGTGATATATATTGTGATCACCTGTCAGATGCGGCGCCTGCGCACTGGAGAGGGAGGCGGAGTGGATGCTGATCGCTCTCTATCTGCTGCCCTGTGCCCTCCATCCCTCGGCGATCAGACAGACACGGACAGGGAAATATCTGAGGAGGTTTGGGCGAGGACAGGGATACAGATCTGCGGTTGATGAAGGTACTTCTTTCTCGGCTTTCACAGGAATATACGGCGGTTCAGTGTTTGACATTGTGACCATGGAGGGTGAAGGATGCTCGGCTGCAGGATGGGAGGAGATGAGTAGGGGGGGAAACACGGTGTGGATAACAGATGGTATTTCCACAGATGCCGCCGTAAAAAACAGGGATTTTGGTGGGTTTCCTTGGGGGATTTGTCCGGTTATGAAGGGGAAAGAATCGGTTTAGGTGAAGACTTTTCTGAAATCTTCACAGGTTCCTTGTCAAGGGCATGGAAAAGGGTGATAAATTGCTTTATCCCTCTATGCTGAGAGCTGTCACCACTTGGTATTCTCAGAGGACTTGCATGTTGGACTGTGTGCTGTTTTTAGCACGATAAAACGCTGTATTTACACCGACCCCTTGAGCTGCTTTTTCGGGTGCCGGTGCTTTCTGCAGGCTGGGTGGAGTTAATGTTAAACCCCTCTATTATACAGTTCAGATCTCATCGCATACCTATACTACTCCGGATTCTGCTTTTACTAAGGGAAAGTATCACTGGCAATTCACTTTCCATGCATAATCTGACGGGCCCCTACCCGGATGTGCCCGCAGTTTTCTCCAGAGAGAGCGCTAGATTTCCTGTGTTTACTCGTCTTGCTGCTGTAAAACATGTCCTGCATGATATTGCTCACTGCACGACACGCGTTGGTTTAGGCTACGGGCGAGGAAAACACGAGAACGTGATCACTGGAGGATGGTTTAGCGTCTGTCAGTAGCAAAAAAAAAAGAGTAATCCGGACCCGTGGGCCCACACTGGATGGTTATTTGTATGTGATTTGTAGTGGCTGGGTGGTGTGAGAGAGGTAACCGCCTCCTGTGCTGCACATTGCTGCCTGGCTTGAAAAGGGGTTTGTGTCTATAGGCTGAAAGCAGCAGAGCGGCTCGGACCCTCTCCATGGTGCTGAAAGCAACAGTCCGAGCGGAGTAAATCAAAGTGAGGCAGAATCATTAATGCCTCTCTGTGTGTAGGGGCGACGATTGCAATGTAAACGATAATCATTTCAGCCTGAATAAAAGTCAATTATAAATATCGTGATTTAGGTTGTACCACAGAGGCAGATTTACAGTCTTCTCAAGTGTACAGATCTTATTAAAGATGAGTGCTGAAACCAAATGTAGGGAAAAAAAGAGCTCTCTTAAGAGGAACTATTAACACACCCAACTAGATTGAAAAAAAAAAAATTCTTAACATATTCAAAGACCCACCTTAGAGTGTAAAACACTGACTGGATAAGGTTTCCTCTTCATCACACTTTGTCATGCGGTTGCTGCAGTAGGGGAGAGTGGGGTAAGATGAGCCATTTTTCATATTTTGGATCACTACATCAAGGCAATCATAGTTTGGTCTAACTAGTGTATCTGCATATATTTCAAGATGTTGTGCATCCCTGCCAACCAACAGAATGAGTGTAAACATAACTGTCTTGAAAATATAGCATGCCAAAAAAAGTGGTCTCCTATGGTCAACTTACCCCGTGTATGGGGTAAGTTGACCATAGGAGCGGGGTAAGTTGAGCCGTATCCATACTACCACCCCACTCTCCACCCCGGCCCTCCCTCACCTTCTCTCTCCCTAAATAACAGTCACTTCTTCACATTCATGTGTATTTTTATCTATTATACGCTATTCAACTGGTACAATAATTCTTTTTATTATTGCATGTAACTGCTAAAAAGCCATTTTGTAAAAAGTCATTTTAACATGAGAATGTCTTTAAGTGATTCAGAACATTCACAGCTGTATTTTTGAAAAGAAAAAGTGACACATTTCAACAATCTGAACTGAAACTCTGATCCTCTCATCAGACTCCTTTACTTTAACAGTTGAACCACTGGATCAACTTACCCCAGAACTACTATTATGACTTTATTAGTCCTCTGAGCTAAAATGGTGGACTTTAATCATATGTCTTTGACCTCATGTTGTAGCTCATAGATACCACAATTGATGTATACAACTAATTTAAAATAATCTTTTTTGGTCTGAACACAATTCTAATCAAACTTATGACAGACTAAATTCACTTTCAAGAGTGATTTTGTTGTAAATAAATGTCTAACCTCTTCACTCATGTGCTTCTAACCTTCACAGACTCCATAAATTGATGCCCATCTCCTAAATATTTGGTCACATGATCAATTTCTTTGACCATTTCCAAGCAACAGGGGGTGGCTCAACTTACCCCAATCTCCCCTTCTGTATTTTTCTAAGACATTTTTACAAATGTCCACATCCTCTTTGTGTATGTCTTGGACTTGTCTTGTTACCTGCCGACTCACACATCACCTCTGTCTGTTTCTCGATATTTAGGAAGTCTGATGTTGATGCCGAGCCAGAGGAGAGCCCAGGAAGCAGCAGCAGCAGTAGCAGCAGCAGCATTGGGACTGTAGATGCCCTCTCCACAGCTCCAGCCACAGCCCCCCCTCAGGCCTCTGCAGGAGAGGCAGGACAGAGAGGAGACAGCTCCTGTTCTGACTCAGACAGTCCTGTAGAGTCCAGCTCCTGTGAGGAGGAGGAGGAGGAGGAGGAGGAAGAGGAGGGGGAGGAGGAGGAGGAAGACCCCAATATGTTTTCCTCCAAGTTCCTTAGCGGGGCTAACCCCCTGAATGCTGTGTCATCAGCTGTGAATAAGTTTGGATTATTTGGGGATGAAGGGGAGGGCAATAAGAGTCAGAAAGCCCCTCCACAGCAAGGGGCGCCACCATCTGGAGGACAGCAGCCAGGAGCAAGCCCTGGCAAGGGCCCTCAACAGCAGCAGGGACCCCAAAAATCAGGCCAGGGCCCCTCTATGCAAAAGGGCCAGCCTCCCCCAAAGCAAGGACCACAGCAGCTGCAAGGGAATGGACAGCCAGGGCCACAACAAGCTGCTCCGAAGGCGCAACCTGGAGGTCAGATTAAAGGAGACCCACAGAAAAATCAGCCCAAGGGCCAATCACAGAATGGTTCACCTAAACTTGGCGCTCAACAACAGAGCCCAGCTAAAAGTGGAACACAACCAGAACCTTCAAAGGCATCATCACAAGTACCACCGAAGTCAGGGATGCCAAAACAAGGGGCTGTTAAGACTGGGGCGCAAGAGCCTTCAAAGACTGGGTCACAAAGAACGGGCTCACAGCAAGGGTCACCTAAACTTTCCCAGCAACAACAGGGGACAGCCAAGCCGGGACAACAGCAGCAGGAAGGCACCAAGGGACCTGGTGCACCTGGCCTGTCTCAGACAGGGTCTTCATCACAGGGAGCAACCAAAGCTGGCCCTCAGTCCAAAGTAGCAGCTAAGTCCCTTTGCCCTGTGTGTAAAACAACAGAACTTAATATGCACACCAAGGAACCACCAAACCATAAAACCTGCACACAGTGTAAAACAGAAGTGTGCAGCTTGTGTGGCTTCAGCCCTCCGGACTCCAATGTAAGTACTGGCTCAGTCTGTTGATTTTGTGTCATATATTATCATACATTTTTTCCTTTCTCTTTGCTTTGTTCAAGACAAATTTTACATTCATTTCAGTCTTACTGTTTGCTTTTAATTCTATACAGTCATTATTGGCCATTGAAAACTATTTCTTTATGTCGTCCAGCCTGAGTCATGAAATTACTTGAATTTTCAATGAGCCAGCTTGAGCCGACTTTCACTTGGAGAAATTGTTATTGTTGATTTTAATCTGCCTTTAAATGGTTTTATAATTAATGGTGTTTTCTGAACCAACATTTTTCTTTCTTCAACTTTGAATGTCATTATTTTTTCACTGTCCAATTACATGTTTTTCTCTATCTGTTTGTATAGGGGCGTGAGTGGCTGTGTCTTACTTGCCAGATACAGAGAGCTCAAGGAACTCCTGAACCAACAGGACCATCCATGACAAAGCCCTCACCAAACAAAGGTTCTGCTGCTCAAAAACAACCCCCATCTCCTTCTCCAGCTGTGAAAAAAGAGATGGCTACTCCAGGTTCACCTCAGAAAATGCAGTCTACATCCCCCAAAGTGCCAGTCAAGGGTGAGGTAGCTAGAGGGCCAGACAGTCAAAAACAAGTCAGTCCAGCGCCTGTTCAGAAAACAACACCTGTAACTGAGAGAAGAGGGTCTCAAAAACCAGACGAGACTAGTCAAACTGGACGTAAGCAAAGCGGTGCGACCCCAGCTCCCCAGCAGGACTCAGGAGGTTTATTTGGCTTTGGTGGCTCTAAAACTGGAGCTGCAAAGCCTGAAGAGTCTGTGAAAGGAAAGATGTTTGGTTTTGGTTCCTCTATTTTTAGTTCTGCATCTACTTTGATATCCTCAGCTGTTCAGGATGAACCTAAAACCACACCGCCTATTTCTCCCAAGATGCAGACCAAACCAGTACAGGACAAGAAACAAGAGCAAACCCAGGATGGTAAAGCTCATCCAGCAGGACAGAACAAGGGGGACAAAGCTACAAAAGACACTCAAAAGGCAGCAGCAGCACCCAATAATGTTTCCAAACCAGGCCAAACAACGTGTCCTATCTGTAAGATGGTCCTAAATAAGGGCTCAAAGGATCCTCCCAACTACAACACCTGCACAGATTGCAAAAGTACTGTTTGCAACCAATGTGGATTTAACCCCATGCCAAATGTTAAAGAGGTAAGACATGGTTGATATTACTGTATAAGGAGGAAGGAAGGAAACTTCAACACTCAAACACAAATCCCCATCTCATTTGTTCATTCACATACAAATGGCTTTTGTATATTGAGTGATCTGGTCATGGAAAAACCAATCAGCAGATTCATTCTTGGTTGTAACATTATTATCTTATTAAATATTAGATATTCAATACTTAGATACTGCACAGTAGGGCGTTAACGCTTCTTGTGAACAAAGTGACTGATATATGTTTTATTTTTAGTCTTTTTCCTGGACTGTAGCTAGCTGCAAAGCTTTTTTCTATGTTTCAATATTCTCCTCACAGTGTAGTCTCCAGTAAGACTGTCAGAAGTCTGTGTCAGACCCTTACATGGAAAAAATAACAGCCCCACACATCTCCTGGGTCACATCTTTCCCTTTAACTCTTAGTAAATAGTATTAATAATGTTCTTGTCATCCTTTGATTACATGCAAAAATGTTGTGAAGGCTGTATGCAGAATACACACACACACACACCAACAACAGAAATATAGCACGTGGGGATTATCTTGCAGGGAATACCACACACAGGGCTAATGGATGTGGCTTCTTTCAGGGTATCTCAGGCACAAAAGACTTGACACTTGACTCTGTAATTCAATGCACTGTCAGTACGTTACCTTGGCCAAGGACAGTGTGTGGCTACTTGATCATGTGATACTGCTTAAATTCATGTTTAAACCAGGAACAGGATTGGTTGATTTGTCAGTGCTTTTGCAAACACTGTCATACTGATATATAGTATTTTCCTTAATTTGCATATTGTAAACAATATCATCAGTAGGGGCTTACTTTATGAAGATGACTTTTGCACACTGATGATGACTGAATGATGCGAGTTCTTTATTGAAATACTAAATTTAAGTTTGTTTACCCACTGTGTTTTATTTTAAGGGAAAGGAGTGGCTTTGTCTCAACTGTCAGGTGAAACGAGCTACTGCTGGGATTAAAACTGAAAAAGAGAAACCTTTGGTCAACTCATCAGAGAAAAAAGCTACTCCGGCTCAGCCTGCTTTACAAAAAACTTCCGCACCAGGTTCTCCTCAGAGAAAAGCATCCACACCAGCAGCACAAGCAGTCAAGGCAGAGGCCCCCGACAGTAAAAAACAACCTAGTCCAGCTCCTGTTAAGAAAACGCCACAAGAAAGCCAACAGAAAGGACCTCAGAAACAACCAGTACACACAAGCCAAACAGTGCAAAAGCAGGGGAACGTCCCTACACCTTCACAGCAGGACTCAGGAGGGATTTTTGGTTTTGGTGGTGGTAAAAGTCAGGCTGATGCTGCAAAGCCTGCTGAGTCAGTCACAGGGAAGATGTTCGGCTTTGGCTCCTCTATCTTCAGTTCTGCATCAACGTTGATAACCTCAGCAGTCCAAGACGAGCCTAAAACAACCCCTCCAGTTTCTCCTAAAATCTCTGGTGCAAAGGATTCCAAATCCCCCTCTGCCAAGAAACCAGATCAGGAAATAAAATCGGAGCAACTTCCTCAGACCAAGGGACCTGCCCCGGCACATTCAAAGGTAGAAAAAACCCCATCAGACCCATCAAAGAGAGCTTCAGTCTCTTCCAAAGCAGGCCCATCTACATGCCCTCTTTGTAAACTGGAACTCAACGTGGGCTCCAAAGATCCTCCCAACTACAACACCTGTAGTCACTGCAAAAATACTGTCTGTAACCAATGTGGATTCAGTCCCATGCCAAATGTTAAGGAGGTAAGCCTATAAAATTGCTGTTGATCTCAGAAAAATTACTCTAGCATGATTGCCACACTGACTTTCTTATTTGCTGTGTAATTAATTTAATTTTGGAAATTAACTACATCCACTTACTCCACAACATTAATCTTAATTTTATGCATGAACTGTTTATTTTTCTATAGGAGAAGGAGTGGTTATGTCTCAATTGCCAGATGCAGAGAGCACTAGGAGCATCTGAGCCTCCTGGAACTCCCATGATGAAGCTACAGGCCTCTCCAAACAAAGTCACAGCACCTGCCAAAGACAAAAATAAGGAACCTTGCCAACAAGATGCACCTCAAAAGAAAGACTCTTCAACACCTGCTGGACCTACAACAACAAAGCCGACATCTACGCCAGGTTCCCCTCAAAGGAAACCATTAAAACCGGCAGAGCAGCAGGTTAAACCTGAACAAATGAAAGTACCGGAAAGTCGCCCAACACCTGGTCAGAGGAGTCCTCAGGAGAGTCGAAGGGCAGATCCTCACAAACCACCAGACCAGACGAGTAAAACGGAACGTAAGCAGAGCACCTCTTCGGCTCAACAAGCAGAATCTACTGGGTTCTTTGGATTCGGTGGCCCTAAACCTCAACCTGATGTTGCAAAACCTGCTGAATCACTGGGTGGGAAAATGTTTGGCTTTGGCTCCTCAATCTTTAGCTCTGCATCAACATTAATGAACTCAGAAAAGACACCACCTGCTTCTCCGAAAATGTCTGCCACAAACATATCAGAGAAAAAACCAGAACAAGTACAACAGCCCAAGACCTCTCCATCGCTACAATCCAAGGTAGACAAAGTTCCATCAGAGTCTCCAAAGGATGCAGCAGCTTCCCCATCTGTATCCAAGAAAGGCCCATCTGTCTGTCCACTCTGTAAAGAGAAACTCAACATTGGATCCAAGGAACCTCCCAACTACAACCACTGCACTGAATGCAAAAACACCGTCTGTAACAAATGTGGATTTAATCCAATGCCAAATGTTTCAGAGGTAAAAGAAAGATGCCAATATCTCTCAAATAGAAAAATACCTCAAAACTATAAAGATTAAAGTTACATTATACTGCTTGTAGCACATACAGTTTACGAAGTGCATGGTAGAGCAATTGCATAATTTTTTTTTCACTTTTTATTTTACAGGTAAAGGAATGGTTATGCCTCAACTGTCAGATGCAGAGAGCTCTCGGGTCATCGGAACTTACAGCACCTCCTGTAAAACCTCAAAATGCAGCCACCAAAATTTCTCCGTCTTCTGCACCTGAGAAAATAACTACACATGAGAAAGAGGAAACACTTAAAAAGGAACTAACAAAATCTGATGCAACCCCAAAGCCAAATCCAGTGGCTGATACACTCTCCAAGAAGGGAAGTTCCACACCAAGCTCTCCCAAGAAAACACAACCAACAGGAGTAACACCCGCAGCGAAGACTGCAAAGGAACCAGGTAGTGACACACAAGACAGCCCAACTCCTGGCAAGAAAACAACACCAGATCAGGTAGGGGCATCACAGTCTCAGAAACCAGTGTCCAAGGCTGATGAACCAGGAATAAAACAGAAGACAGTCTCCCCAGATCCAAAGCAGGAAACAGGGAGCCAATCTGGCATAAGTGGTCTAAAAACAAAGCCTGACAGTTCAAAAACAACTGAGTCAGTGACTGGGAAGATGTTTGGATTTGGTTCTTCCATTTTTAGCTCAGCATCCACTTTGATATCATCTGCTGTTCAGGAAGAATCACGCACTACACCACCAAGTTCCCGTAAGATGTCTGCACCAGCACATGTTTCCCCCAAGTTGTCCACTGGGCCCAAGATTTCTCCAAAAAGCACACCAACAGTTTCTCCCAAAATGTCACCAGCAAGAGAGCCTAAATCACCCATTCGCAATCCAGAACAGGAGAGGAAAGCAGAGCTATCCAATCAAAGCAAAGTGGACAAAGCTCCATTACAACCACCAAAAGCAGCAACAGCTGCCCAAACATCGTCTGCTGCAGCCCAGTCCACCTGTCCACTATGCAAGGTTGAGCTTAACCTTGGATCCAAGGACCCTCCAAACTACAACACCTGCACCGGATGCAAGACCACTGTCTGTACTCAGTGCGGGTTCAACCCAATGCCAATGGGAGAGGTAAGTGATGTAAAACATAAGATTAGAAACCAAAGGAAAAATGTCTTCATTCAGTGCACACTATCATAGTTCCTGTCTGTTGATTTGTTCAGTGTTTGTTATTCTGTAAACTGTGACCCATTTAACAATGCTCTTATTAAGAGGAGTGCATTAATGAGGGATTTGATTTTTTGTCTGAATGGATACCATTGTGTCTGTTTCATTTTAGGCGAAGGAGTGGCTATGTCTGAACTGCCAGATGAAAAGAGCAGTGGAAGCATCTGAACCTCCAGGACCTCCTTCATTGAAATCCCAAACCTCTCCAAGTAAAGCACCGCCACCTGCTGCAGTCCAAGTAAAGGACTCTTCTAAACCAACTATGACTCAAAAGAAAGAAAGTCCAGAAATGGCTAAACAGAAGACTGCAGAGCCAGAGTCACCTCAGAGAAAGAAGTCCACAGCATCACTGCAGTCTGGGAAGCCAGAGGCAGCCACTCCACTGCCAAAGAAAGACAGCCCAGCTACTGCTCATAAAGTACCTGAAGAAAGGCCAAAGGCAGGTTCAAAGGAGACACTGAAGCAGGAAAACCAAGCTCAACGCAAACAGAGTACTGCTTCAACATCCTCACAGCAAGAATCAGGTGGTTTCTTTGGTTTTGGTGGTGGTAAAAGTCAACCTGATGCTGCAAAGCCTGCTGAGTCAGTTTCTGGAAAAATGTTTGGCTTTGGTTCCTCTATCTTCAGTTCTGCATCTACTTTAATCACCTCAGCTGTTGACCAGCCCAAAACTACTCCCCCAGTTTCTCCAAAGCTTTCCCCAGCAAGAGAGGTCAAGGCACAGGATGCTAAGAAGCCTGAACAGCAAAAGAAACCAGAGCAGGTCCCACAAACCAAGACAACACCATCTGGACAGGTTAAAGATGACAAAGCCCCATCAGAGCCACCAAAGCCTACAGAAGCGCCACAAGTACTTGTCAAACCAGGCCAGTCCACCTGTCCACTCTGCAATATCAAGCTCAACCTTGGTTCAAAAGATCAACCAAACTACAGTTCTTGTACTGAATGCAAGAGCACTGTCTGCAACCAGTGTGGCTTTACCCCAATGCCTGCAGGAGCGGTGAGTAAACAAATGCAAAGACATTTTCTGACATATTTCTTACCTGCTATACACATCTCCAGGAAAAACACTGTTGTCACATTTAAAACCTTTTATACATATTTACAAATAAGTGCAACATTTTCATGATAAATGACAAGATTTTTTTACAATTTAAATAATTTTGTTTTTCTTGCATATTTAAGATTGGTGCCCATTTTGTATATTCCAAATTCGAATGTGCCATAAAATAAGCCTTCCTCTGCATTTTAGGTTAAAGAATGGCTATGTCTGAACTGCCAGATGAAAAGAGCAGTGGAAGCATCTGAACCTCCAGGACCTCCTTCATTGAAATCTCAAACCTCCCCAAGTAAAGCACCGCCACCTGCTGCAGTCCAAGTAAAGGACTCTTCTAAACCAACTACGACTCAAAAGAAAGAAAGTCCAGAAATGGCTAAACAGAAGACTGCAGAGCCAGAGTCACCTCAGAGAAAGAAGTCCACAGCATCACTGCAGTCTGGGAAGCTAGAGGCAGCCACTCCACCACCAAAGAAAGACAGCCCAGCTACTGCTCATAAAGTACCTGAAGAAAGGCCAAGGGCAGGGTCAAAGGAGGCACCGAAACAGGAAATCCAAGCTCAACGCAAACAGAGTACTGCTTCAACATCCTCACAGCAAGAATCAGGTGGTTTCTTTGGTTTTGGTGGTGGTAAAAGTCAACCTGAAGCTGCAAAGCCTGCTGAGTCAGTTTCTGGAAAAATGTTTGGCTTTGGTTCCTCTATCTTCAGTTCTGCATCTACTTTAATCACATCAGCTGTTGATCAGCCCAAAACTACTCCCCCAGTTTCTCCAAAGCTTTCCCCAGCAAGAGAGGTCAAGGCACAGGATGCTAAGAAGCCTGAACAGCAAAAGAAACCAGAGCAGGTCCCACAAACCAAGACAACGCCATCTGGACAGGTCAAAGATGACAAAGCCCTGTCAGAGCCACCAAAGCCTACAGAAGCACCACAAGTACTTGTCAAACCAGGCCAATCCACCTGCCCACTCTGTAATATCAAGCTCAACCTTGGTTCAAAAGATCAACCAAACTACAGTTCCTGTACTGAATGCAAGAGCACTGTCTGCAACCAGTGTGGCTTTACCCCAATGCCTGCAGGAGCGGTAAGTAAACGAATGCAAAGACATCTTCTGACATATTTCTTACCTGCAATACACATCTCCAGGAACAATACTGTTGTCACATTTAAAATCTTTTTATAGATATTTACAAATAAGTGTAACCTTTTCATCATAAATGACATGATTTTTGTACAGTTTAAATAATTTTGTTTTCCTTGCATATTTAGATTGGTGCCCATTTTGTATTTTCCAAATTCAAAAGTGCCATAAAATAAGCTTTCCTATGCATTTTAGGTTAAAGAATGGCTATGTCTGAACTGCCAGATGAAAAGAGCAGTGGAAGCATCTGAACCTCCAGGACCTCCTTCATTGAAATCTCAAACCTCCCCAAGTAAAGCACCGCCACCTGCTGCAGTCCAAGTAAAGGACTCTTCTAAACCAACTACGACTCAAAAGAAAGAAAGTCCAGAAATGGCTAAACAGAAGACTGCAGAGCCAGAGTCACCTCAGAGAAAGAAGTCCACAGCATCACTGCAGTCTGGGAAGCTAGAGGCAGCCACTCCACCACCAAAGAAAGACAGCCCAGCTACTGCTCATAAAGTACCTGAAGAAAGGCCAAGGGCAGGTTCAAAGGAGGCACCGAAACAGGAAATCCAAGCTCAACGCAAACAGAGTACTGCTTCAACATCCTCACAGCAAGAATCAGGTGGTTTCTTTGGTTTTGGTGGTGGTAAAAGTCAACCTGAAGCTGCAAAGCCTGCTGAGTCAGTTTCTGGAAAAATGTTTGGCTTTGGTTCCTCTATCTTCAGTTCTGCATCTACTTTAATCACATCAGCTGTTGATCAGCCCAAAACTACTCCCCCAGTTTCTCCAAAGCTTTCCCCAGCAAGAGAAGTCAAGGCACAGGATGCTAAGAAGCCTGAACAGCAAAAGAAACCAGAGCAGGTCCCACAAACCAAGACAACGCCATCTGGACAGGTCAAAGATGACAAAGCCCCATCAGAGCCACCAAAGCCTACAGAAGCGCCACAAGTACTTGTCAAACCAGGCCAGTCCACCTGTCCACTCTGCAATATCAAGCTCAACCTTGGTTCAAAAGATCAACCAAACTACAGTTCCTGTACTGAATGCAAGAGCACTGTCTGCAACCAGTGTGGCTTTAACCCTAATCCAACTGAAACAGTGGTAAGCAGTATTCCTTATTTGATTATTTATAAATCGGTACAGAGAATATTAAAACCAAGATACATTTGTATTCAGTAGTTTTCAGTGACTTTCCTGTGCATGCCTTTTGTAATTTATTTCATGAGTGAGTTATCTGAGGTCCTTCTGTTTGTTTCTGTTTCTTCATCTACACATCAGCTTCTGAAGTGCTCCGATAATTACTGCATAACACATTCAACTAAGACTAACTTCACAAAGAACATTACATAAAAGTGTAAAATTATACCCCTTTTTTATTTTTAGGTGAAGGAGTGGTTATGTCTCAACTGTCAGATGAAGCAGGCAGTGGGAGAAACACAGCCCCCAGCTCCTGCAAGCTTACAGATAACTGCAAAGCCCCCAAAGAAAGAGGTCCCTGGCACAACTGAGCCTGAGAAGACAGAGCCATCAGGAATACAGTCACCTAAGAGAAAACCATCTGTAACAGCAAAGCCAGATACATCTGAGACTGCTGAAGAGCCAAAGGGTCAGAAAAGGCCACAAGAGGTCAGAAAAACATCTGGCCCCATCAAAATACCTGACCAAACCAGAGCAACTGAACGTAAGCAGAGTAACGCGACAGAGGCAGCTCTGCAAGACACAGGTGCAAAGGAGGCACCAAAACGGGAAAACCAAGCTCGACGCAAACAGAGTACTGCTTCAACATCCTCACAGCAAGAATCAGGTGGTTTCTTTGGCTTTGGTAAAAGTCAATCTGATCCTGCAAAGCCTGCTGAATCAGTAACTGGGAAAATGTTTGGCTTTGGTTCCTCTATCTTCAGTTCTGCATCTACTTTAATCACCTCAGCTGTTGATCAGCCTAAAACTACTCCCCCAGTTTCTCCCAAACTGTCCCCTGCAAGAGAGGTTAAATCTCCTGCTGACCAGAGAAAAGAACAACAGAAGAAGCCAGAGCAACCCAAGCAAACACCTCAGTCAGTCCAGGCTAAAGTGGACAAGGCTCCATTAAGTGCTACAGCAGCCCCCCAAGCCACAGCAAAACAAGGCCAGTCTGCTTGTCCACTCTGCAAGGCAGAACTCAATGTGGGTTCCAAAGACCCGCCTAACTACAATACCTGCACTGAATGCAAGAACACTGTCTGTAACCAGTGTGGATTCAACCCCATGCCAAATGAGTCCCAAGTAAGTGAGATTAAAGGAAAGGGATTAATGAGGGAAAGTATAATGATATCCTAATTTATGACTCAAACTATGAAATACCAGTCCAATTGGATGGATGATGTATTTAATCTAAAATTAGGTCTTTTTGTGGTTTTAGATCCTACACTTCAGTGTCATCCTTTAAACTTATACTTCTAGCAGACACAAACTTAATGAAGCTTGTGTTTCTTTCACAGGTAAAGGAGTGGTTGTGTCTCACTTGTCAGATGCAAAGAGCTCTAAAAGCATCTGAATCATTGGAGCCTCCACTGATGAAACCCAAGGAATCACCCAACAAAGTGTCTTCACCTGCTACTGCTCCGAAAGATGCAACTGCAAATAAGAAGACAGAGAGTATTTCCTCACAGAAAACAGTGCCTGGCAAAGAACAAGACAGTCCAACACCAGGTGCTCAGCATAAGAAAGAAGAAACCAAACCCCTACCTCACACGGATATCACTCAAACATCGAAAGCAGACCTACCACTTGCAAAAGATTCCAAAGAAACTGTCTCGGCCCAAACTTCTGATGGAAAAGCTGCATCACAAGTTCCTGCCTCTGATGCACCTCAGAGTAAAGAGATGAAGACCATGGTTTCAGACTCAAATAAACCCCAGCTTGTTCAATCTCCTCCTGTCAAAACTGATTCTGTAACTTTGACCCAGGAGAAAAAGGAGAAAGTACCATCAAGTTCTCCTGCAGTTAAAGAAGTAAATGAAAAGAAAGAGGAGAAAGCTGCCATAGTGCAGAAATCAGCTGTTCAACCAGTAACACCCCAAGATAAAGTACAGCAGCAACAAGCCTCAAGCACAGAGTCTAAAGCTGTTGAAAAACCTCTTGACAAATCTACTCCTTCAGCATCACAGCCTGCAAATCAAGAATCTGGAGGTTTCTTTGGCTTTGGTAGTCCTAAATCTCAGCGAGCTGCCTCAATAACAACCGAAGCAGTGACTGGAAAGGTGTTGGGATTTGGTTCATCCATCTTCAGTTCAGCATCCACTTTGATAACATCTGCAGTTCAGGATGAGTCACGCACAACACCACCAAGCTCGCGCAAAATGTCTGCTCCAGCTCAAGTTTCTGACAAAATGTCTGCGTCACAGAAGTCCAGCCCTCCAGTTCCTGTTAGGAAAACTTCATTGAAGGAGGAAAAACCTTCTGCCGCAGTGGTACCAAATCAAGAAAAGAAGCCAGATCAACTTAAGCAGACTGAGGTTCTTCCATCAGAAAAGGCCAAGGTGGACTTATCAGCAGCCCCTCCAACTGCTCCTAAAGTGGGAATGTCTGCTTGTCCCCTCTGTAAGGCAGAACTAAACATAGAGTCCAAAGACCCTCCTAACTACAAAACATGTACTGGATGCAAATCAACTGTCTGCAGCAAATGTGGATTTAGCCCAATGCTGAACGCAACAGAGGTAGTGTAACAACTTAAAACTGCAGTGACATCAGTCTCTGTATTTCGTATTATTTAAAAAATATATATTTCTTAGCCTGTTTCACCTCATTATTGTTAGATTTGTTGTTTTTTTTCTTCTCTTTCTCAAAAAGAGAAAGGGCAGTAAAACCAACTGAGTTCCATTTTCTCTCTCATGTTTCTGAGTTGAAATTAATGTAAATCCCAAAAACAAGAAGGTATTTGGACTGCTATATACTGTATGTTGTTCTCTTGACAGTGTGGTTGAGCAGATGAAAGACTCTCACTCATATTCTGTGTTTGTGTTTTCAGGAGAAGGAATGGCTTTGCCTCAACTGTCAGATGCAAAGGGCCCTTGGAGCTTCTGAACCTCCTGGCCTCCCCATGATAAAACTCCAGCCCTCACCAATCAAAGAGGTTCCTGGCACCACACAGAAGAAGGAGACACCATTGCCAACAGCTCAGGAAGACATCACTAAACCATCTGCAACTGTGAGTGAGCCAGTACCAACCAAAGAAACTAAAGTTCAAGCCCTGGATGCAGCAAAGATGGAGGCCTCTTCGGCTGCTCCACTGCCTGACAAAATTGCTCCATCCCCAGCAACAAAGGCTGATGTTTCACCGTCTGCGCAAACACCTTCTAAAGAGGCAACCAGGGGACCACCTAGTGCACCCCAACAGCAGCCACCAAAAGTTCCCCAAACAGATCCAGCGGCAGGAAAGCCAGCACAGCAAAAGCTGCCACAAGCTGTGTCTTCTATTGCAAAGCCTACTCCTCCACCCAATCAAGAAGTGGGAAAGCCACCCTCACAACCACCTGCAAAAACTGGTACCTCTCCAGCAAAATCTGCCCCACCACCAACTCAGCCTGCAAAGCAAGATACAGGTGGCTTCTTTGGTTTTGGTGGTCCTAAAACAACACCTGCTGCAAAGCCTGCTGAGTCAGTGACTGGAAAGATGTTTGGTTTTGGGTCATCTTTCTTAAGCTCTGCATCCACTTTGATAACCTCTGCTGTCCAAGATGAGCCTAAAACTACACCACCGACTCCACGAAAGATGTCCACCACTGCCCAGGTCTCTCCTAAACCAACACCGCCAGCCTCTCCCAAAAAGTTACCTGCAAAGGACATCAAGACCCCTCAGGAGAAGAAAGCTGAGGAAACACAGCAGAGAAAGACTTCATTAACCGAACAAGCAAAAGCGAATAAAGCTCAGCCAGAGCCTGCCAAGACACCGATACAGAGCAAAGGGGCTCCCAAAGAGGATGTCTCCATCTGTCCACTCTGTAAGGTTAAGCTCAACAAGGGCACCAAAGACCCTCCAAACTTCAACACTTGCACAGAATGCAAGACAACTGTCTGCAACCAATGTGGGTTCAATCCCATGCCGAATGTGGCAGGGGTAAGTCAGTTACTGCATTTAAAATGCATAGTACAGTTTATAATGAGGTGTGTTTATAGCTTTGGTCAATAAATCGCACACACAACACAGAGATGCTTGAAGTAGTTGAATGTTCTCTGCACAGGAAGTAAACTAAATGTAACCCATGAAATGATTTATCCTTGACTTACTAATAGGATCAATGTTGCTTGTTTTTAGCAGTGTGTTACATTGAATTTCTCTTTTTCAGGTAAAGGAATGGCTTTGTCTGAACTGCCAAATGCACCGAGCCCTAGGAACAGCAGAGCCCACTGTGAGCCCTGAAGTGAAACCACAGTTAACCCCAGGAAAAGTTCCTACGCCTAACAAGACTGAAAAGAGGGATGTACCAGCAGTTATCCAGAAGGACAAGCCCTCAGAATCTGAAACAGTCACAAAAGAGGTCCCTCAGACAACTCCACAAAGGAAAGAAACCCCCAAAGCAGAGGCTCCCTTACCAACTGCAGTTGCAAAGACAGCTGAACCAGGACAAGGTCCTTTGCAAAAGACACAGGTCCTTCCAGGTACTGAGAAAGGAAAAGGTCAGGATGTGGCTGGACAGCAGCAGAAGCCTGCTCCAAAGGCACAGCCTCCTCAAACTGCTGTACCAGCAGTCAAAGGAGGTCCTGCAAAACAAGAAGTTGGAAAACCGCCACAAGCGCCCAAGAGCCCTACCCCTCCTGCCAAATCCGCGCCACAGCCATCACAGCCAGCAAAACAACAAGATTCAGGGGGCCTCTTTGGCTTCGGTGGTCCTAAAACTCAACCTGCAGCTTCAAAGCCTGCTGAGTCAGTGACTGGGAAGATGTTTGGCTTTGGTTCCTCTCTCTTCAGCTCTGCATCTACATTGATCACATCAGCTGTCCAGGATGAACCAAAATCCACTCCACCTACCCCACGAAAGATGTCTATGACAACCCAGGCCTCTCCGAAAACTACACCTCCAGTTTCTCCTAAGATGCCCCCTGCAAAGGAGATCAAACCCCCTGCTGCACAAGTATCCAAGCCACCTCAACAGACCAAGCCCACTGAACAGGTCAAGGAAGAGAAGACAGCGCCTCCTAAGCCAGAGCCCTCCAAACCTAAGGAAGTGGCACAAGTTGCTCCTAAGGCAGTTCTGTCCACCTGCCCTCTTTGTAAAGAAGTACTCAACATTGGCTCCAAGGATCCACCAAATTACAACACCTGCACTGAATGCAAGAACACAGTGTGCAGTCTTTGTGGATTTAACCCCATGCCTCATACATCAGCAGTAAGTAGAACAAACTTTTTGTTTTGCCTTATTTTAATTTTCAATTTGTACTTCACCTTAAAAAGGTTTCCTCGTGGTTTGCAATTCAAACTCTGCATCTCACTTTCTAAAAAAAAAACCCACTCAGTTTGCGATGACAGGAATGCTTTTATTGGGGTTTTATGTTATTTATTATACTCTAAATTTGACTCAATTTTAGTGTTACTATATGATGCTGAGTGGATGTTTTGGCTTCAGTTGTCTATACCAACTTTTTTTTCCACACAAATTTTGAGACATCAAAGGTATAATGAAACAAAACATAAAACATATGGAAATGTAGGCTTATTGCAGCTCTTTCTTTACTAGAGTGGTCCGAGACATTACATAACTGCTTATGAGAGGAGTGCATCAGCAGACGGGCAGCTCTGGAAATATATTAGAGTGATTGAGGGTTGTGCAACAGCATTAGTGAGATGGGATCTGCTACCACAGCAAAGCAGGGAATCTCCACCCCCCTGGGAGATCTGAGATGTCAAAGCCCCGTGATATGCCAATAAGCAGAGGTGAAAAGGATTTGGTCCAATACAACGCAGTGCAGTACATTAGAGCCACAGACATTTCCTATCAGGCCATCTGCTCTCTCCTAGACAGTGACTCCATGTAATTCAACAATTATCACCTCATGTTATGTGGGTGGCAGTGGCACATGTACCTGCTTTGTCTGTGTAAAATAGGCCTTCATTTTTGGTAATAAGTACAGAAATGAAGAGGCCTTTCTGTGAGTTTCAAGCTCATACTCTAAAAAAATGAAATCTTATACAATAGATAAAATGGTCACATTTACATCTAATAGGATGTATTTGTTGAAGAGATGTGACCTTTTGTTGTAGTTTTGAGCACTTCCTCGAGGTATCCCTGACAGACAGCTGAGAGCATGGACGGTGCTCTTAAATACTGTTGACTCTTAGTAAACAATACCAATCTCTGTAGTGACTGAGTAAATGTCACTTTATTTTGTCATTGTCAATTCTGCATTCACGTGGTTTCCCAGAGACAGATGATCACTTGCTGAGCCAAAATGGTGCGTTGTTGTGGAAAAATAACACTGAAAGAGATTTGCCTGTTATGTAATTGACACTTCTCACGTTTTACTCAGACACCAGAGATGGGGATGAGCCACAGGGCAGGCTTCAGAAGGGGGGAAGGGACAAACATGGATGATTACGGCTGTGTGTACACAACAGATTCATGCCTGTTAATAGCAAACAGAAAGCTTTGCCTAAACACACATGGAAAGAGTGAGCCCTCATACATATTGTTGCCCTGTTTAATTTGCAAGGCCTGTGACTGACCGTTCTTTTTCATGATTGCGGGTGTGATAGTGCACACATTTAGAGGGCAGAAATACTTAAAAGGACTTGTGCAGCTAAAAAAGAGGTAGGCCACATTAGACAAAGTGAGTGCTAGCAGCAAGTCTATCCATTTCCTTTCGCTCGTTCTGCTTGAGCTGGTGCCATCAAAAGCCAGTGAGTGACTCTTGTCCGATAAGTAGGACACACGTGTGTCGTGTTTTTGCCAGTTTGTGCTCTGTGTCTGTGACGAAGAGGCCAGTATGAAAAATATTTCCTCAGTATTTTTAGAGGCTTACCTTGTGACCCATATCTAATGTGGTGAAGGTAGTGTTTATCTCCACTTGTCTAATTTACATGCTTTAAATACACAAACTGCGCATATACTGTGTCACATACATAAACAGGACTGTCTAGAGCAAATAAAGGTTAAAGAAACTGACAAGCATCCTCAGATTTTTCATGAAAGACCTTTTTTTTTTCCTTTGGCAAGATATAAGATCTGACACACAGGCCAAAAATGTATACAGTATATAATATACATGTTCCGGATAAAAGTACAAGATGTTTGAAGCTATGAGCCACATAGGCACAGACTGTTGGCCACACAATAAAAAGAAGACTCCTCATGGTGCACTGTGTTAAAAATAGTCACTCTTGGGAGAGACTCACTGCCGCCTACCTGCTGCATCTCTACTACTTCCTAACAGCTATTTTTTGGAACATTGAATATGACAAACATTTACAGAAGGGAACGGGCCCGTGTTTTATAAATACACACCTTCCTAAAGCACCTGAGAGGAAGTTTCATTTGTATTGATCTTGGCACCTCTGTGGACAAAGCAGTCCCTTAAATCTTGTTGCTGATCTCTCACTGAAGAAAATAAAGTTGTCCTCTAGCCAAAGTTAATCTTGCTCCCAAACAGTATAATGTATGACTGACTTTGAATCTTTGTTTTGAAAAATGTGCATAAAGGCAATAACTGCCTGGTCTTACAACTGGGTATAGGCATTGAAATATTTTATAATAATCAGTTTTATTCCTTATAGATTTATGCTTTTGTAGCTCAGAAAGAGGCCTCAGTATTTGTTTCATTGTGTTTCATAAGCAGCAAAAAACTCAGGAAGAGAAGCTTTAAATTAGTCTAAATTAATGTGAACAATAAAATAGTTTTTACTGATTCAACTGCTTTTGAATGTATTTCAATGCACACAACTGCAAAACTTAATTTGCCCCTGGAAGACCATCTCTGTAATATCAGGATACAGACAACCTTTAAAAACAGGGGCAAAAAAAGCACAGTGCTTTGACAAATGAGCACATAAAACATAGCTAAGAATAAAGCATAGGAACCCAACAGAAAAGTATGTAACCCCGACATCATAAGAACCAAACACAATAGAACTTAAACATTATTATAACAGTTATCGTGGGAAACCAGAGGAATGCAATTAACATGAGAACCCAACACCATAAACTGAGACCAGAAGAACCCCGGAGGTGACATGGTCAAAGCAATTCAAATAGAGAGGAACAATTTAAAAAGAGAGGTCAAACAATTAAAACGAGTGAAGCAGTAAAATAAGGGTTGAAAGCATTAGGGCAAGATAAAGTCAATAAAGAGAGAAATATAAAGGCAGATAAAACATTTTAGAATTAAAGAAACAAATACATAAATTAAATACGATATTAATGAGATTTTCACCTCATGGTTCTGGTGGCCATAAAATATCACAACAATGCCACTGTGATATTCATGAAAAAATCAAAAATAAACAACACAACAAGTTCAACTGATGAAATGCAAGACAAGGGTGATGAAAAATATTTCATTAACTTAGTACACAGATTCACCAAACACGTTATCATCCATTTATACATGAATAGTCATAAATAGACATTTGAAATAATGTCCAAGTTTCTGACTTGTCCACATCACCCGTCAATAATTTAATTTTTATATAGGATGTACAATTATAAAATGGATTAGTCACCGGGAGATGTACCTGCTTTATCCTTTTTTTTATTGATTCACACTAAATCTTGGAGAGTCCGTTTTTTAAAGCCTCATCATCTCTCAAAGTGCTGCTACAGAGAGCTTACTGGCAGTCTGCTACTGTCTCTTTGTCTGGCCTCTGTTGAAAGAAAGACCACTACCATGAACTTCCATTATAACCATATGTGTATTTGTAGCACAAGGACAATATTTTAAGTTTTAAAAAGACAGATACTGTCAATACTTGTGTATTACAACAGCCCTTCGAGACAGCACCGTCAGAAACTAGAAACAATAAAAGAGATAAAGTAGTATAAGAAGATAAAGCAAGAGCAATGAATAAAGCAATTAGACAAACAAAGGCCACGGAGAACGAAAAAGAAGAGGAAAGGATATTAAGGAAATAAAGCAGTCAGAAGGAAAATGAAAACGAGGCAATAAAAAGACAACATCACATTAAAGCAAGTCTGTAAAAGTGAGAACTCATTTAACATTCCCCCCTCTTTTTCTCTAAAGTCAGGTCAGTCCTAAATTTAGGGGTGCTGATTGAAAGTTTGGTCTCCTTTAGACTCAAGCTTGACTATGGAAATACTAGGAGGTTCCCGCTCAAAGATCTGGGGCTGTGGACTGGCTCATATGTTGCCATCATGTTGTGGGCTAGACCTTTAGTGCTTTAAAGATGATTGATGAAATCTTTAAGTCAATTCTAAAACTGTCAGGGAGCCAACGTAAGGAAGATAAGACCAGAGTGATGTGATGTTGTCTTCTTTTAAAACCATTAAGAAGGTAGCTGCTGCAGTCTGGCTGAGTTGGAGAAGTGTGACTTTTTCTTTTTCTTTTTTTTTTTTTTGATCTATGATACCAGATAGGAGTGAGCTCTGAATGGGAGAGAATTTTCTTTTTGTGCTGAATCATAGCTGGAAGAAGCACAACTGAACAACTTTGGTGTGTCAAATGTAAGGTCAAAGTCAAACACTTCTTGATTTTTGCAGTTGGCCTATCTTTCAGTACGATGAATTGAGGATATAATGGCATTTAAAAAGAATCTAAGGTTTCCTTAATGTGTGACAAGGATCAGTTTTCGAATTTTGATTCATGTTGTAGGTCTCTATAAAAACCATTGAGATCCCACCGATAAGGTAACACTTTTTCTGTATTCTCATGTCTTTGCTGTCTGCTGATGCGTCATCTCGCTCACACAAGTCTACTTCAGTCTTCTTTTTGTACCCTGCAATGAAAGGAAGTTTGCGGATGTGATATTTGTTAGAGCCGTCTGTGTGTTTCGTTTTTCTGTACAATGAGGCACTCTGCTTATTACAGATTAGTAGGTCAACATTCTCCATTATCAGGGGGTTTGATTTATAAGGAGTTCTGCTCTGTGGGGGCTGCTGAAAGCCAAGTATATTAGCCAGCTACAGCTTGTGCCAAAGGCATCTGCCAGAAAATCAATAAGAAACTTGCCCGCTCCAATATCAATAGCAAGAAGGCACAGAGGAGAGGCTGGAAACAGTGTTGTAGTCTGCAGCCCAAGGGCCATACCACAGTACAGCTATCTAAAAATGTACATTTCAGCAGCTCTATGATACACACTGACCTGTGTTTTTTATGAAAGTGCAGGTTTGTACAAGTAATATAAAACCGCATCGCTTTGATTGATCAGTTTGGAAATGCAAGAATGATGGACCCTTCCTGGTAAGAGTGGATTGATAGATGACTTTGCACTTTTTACTCAGTTGATTTACAATGTTTTTGTCTAACCGCACTATTCTTCGACCAAACACCAATGCAGCACGCTAGTGTGTGAAGAGCATAATTTCCTGCCTGCTGCCGTAGTGAAGGTCTGGTAATCCAGCTCTAAGGCTAATCACAGGGAGCAGCCTCTCCCACGGATCTTTGCTCGGGGCTTCTGCTCTTTGCTCATAAAACAGATTTAATTAGACAAAAGGATGATGGCCACTTTCCAGACCCCGTGGCTCTGATGCATGGCTCTGAGACTGTGTGGCCTTGAGGCAATGTTGGCGCTGAAGGGAAATGTGATGGGATTAGAGCTTTTTTGTTGATTAGGATGTTTTATTTCCAGTCTTGTTTAGAGCTATCAGGAAGTACAAGGTTTGTTCAGTGTTGTGGTGCAGGTTTATCTTAGCTGCTTTTTTGCTTTGGTTTAAGATATACGTTTGTCTGCATACTTCTGTGATCTCTTTACTTCTGTGTTGGGTTGAAATGGACAGTTATTATGCTGAGGATGAGGCTCAGACCTCTGTGATATCAGCACCTGGAAAGTGTGAGGCTAGGGCCTTTGGAGATTACAGAAAAGAGAGAATACATTAGACCAGCAGAAATACTCAGGCATGCATTGCCATGTCTCATCCATCTGGGAACACTGCTGTGCAATCCTTTTGTATCAGTCTCACCTGGTAGCTCTGCTAAATTTTGTCCTACCAGAAGACGGCAAAAGCAGAAAAGTCAAGACCACAATGTCTGATTTCAGTGCAAATGTGGGATTTGAAAACCAACTTCCCAACACTTTGTATTTTTAATATACAAACTTTCCCTGTTTAGGTCTTCTTAAAAGAATTGGAGTTTGTGATCGATAATATATCATGCAAAAGGTCTATGAATTTACAAGGTATCACTGCATTTGGACAAGACAGGACAGGAGGATATTCCTTGTAAACTGTGATCACATTCAGAAGTGATACAGAGGAGAGGAAGGGTGAAGCAGAGGGGTGTTAAAGACAGAATACCAGAGCTTAAGGGTTTTGGGAATCACCAAATGGATTAGGCTGAATAAGATTATGCTCATGCTATAAGTTTTTAGCTGGTTAGAAAACAGACTGGGATTAATACTATTGTGTTTTATGACCTACAAAGGCAAATGAGACTATAAGGAACTAGACTGATCATTTCTGTCTTGCTATCACCAATGCCTGATACTGCTGCTGCACTGCTGCTGCAGGATGGTCACCAGACAAGGTGATTTACTGCACACTGACAAAAAAAAAAAAAAATCAATGGTAAATGAATTTCAAGCAACATAAGATGTTTTATTCAAATAAATAACATGAAAAACAAATTAAATAAATGCATATGTATGGATTGTAATTAGCCAAGAAATAAAAGTACTAAGGCTGCACGATATTGGAAAAAAATAATATTGCGATTTTTTCAACCCTGCGATATATATTACGATATTAAAAATACAGTATTTTCACCAGATGACCTGAATAGCACTTAATGTTATGCTGCACTGCTGAAATCTTGAGGACAGTTAATCTGCTCTTATCTTACCTCTTTTTGTGAATGTTAGTAGAACGGCTTCTGTCTGTCTCAGAGATATTTTTAGCTTTTATTGTGCTGGGACGTTATTGTGGCAACAGGTGAACACAGAAGACGTGTTTTGGTCGACATCATCCTTCTTTTAACCGAAATAATTCAAGATAACTGACTTTCCTTTTCTTTTTGGCAACAAATCTTCATTTTCGGTGGCTTTCGCTTGTTCGTTGTTCATTTTGCGATCGTTGTTGTTGTTGTTGTTAGCGGTGTTGTGCCGAGAAACGCATATCCTCCGAGAATTGCATGCACCTCACAAAACGCGCACTGCTTATAGTAGGGTGGTCCACGGAAATGTACAATTTAAAACCCATACAGTTCTTATTTGTTGGGCTTAATAGTCATGAGTAAAGTTCCGAAAGTAATTCTCAGCGGACACACGTCTCCCTCCATGTGCAGAACATGTGCAGGGGTGGGTTTTCTCCTCCCTGATTTTGATTGACAGCTGGCAGGGTAGTCTGATTGGCAACTGAGAAGTGAGTCTGATTGGCAACTGAGTTAAGGACGAAGGCGATTGGTGGATCGCTGCACAGCACATGCAGAGTCACATGGAGTGTATCTCAGTCGGTTACCCTTGAAATTAAATGAGTTCATTCACCTCCAATATCGCAGGCTCTGCGATGTGACTATCGCACACACGTACATCGCGATGACGATAGTCAAACGATATATCGTTCAGGCCTAAAAAGTACTGCTTTGACCACAGGTGTCACCGAGCCAACACAAACACTTGTTACAGGAGCTTTAAGGGACACTAACCACTGATTGAGTTACAGTGTATTTTGAATTAACTCAATATTAAGCGTCACTAATCCCCATAAAATTTAATGAAACTAACTTTTACCTGGAGAAATTTTAATTTTTTTCATGTTTGTCAGCATTAGGCACTATGCTGATCAGATATACTCTGCTATTACAGGAATTACATATTCCAAACACTGTGACAGCTGTCTAAACTAAAGCATCTTAGCATGAATAAAACATCTCTCCTCCTTCAGCATAAGAAATATATGAAGATGACCACATCTTCAAATACTGCATGTAGGCAGGCATTCTTACAGTGTTGCTGCTGCCAGCATACTTGAGGAAGAATTTAAGTGTGTGTTTTTTCGGCCATGCAGTAGATTTATGCTTATGTGCTATAATGCACCAATACCTAGTTTTTTAAAAACATGTTATAGCGTTAAGTTTTGATTGACTTTGACTCATTGTTCTACAAAATGTTCAAATTACCTCTCAAATGTATTTCAGTTTTGATTGACTACATTTTAATATTCCTCCTAGCTTTGTCTTGTTGAGCTAATGTACACTGACTACAAGCCTTTACAGTGTCATGTTTCTAGGGGCAACAAAGATTACAAGTGCAGGTGGATTGTTAAAGCAGACAAAATTTAAATCAGCATAGGAGCCTTTGAACATTTTACTCCGGTACATCCTTAACAAGAGCTGATTTTCAGGACAAAGCATGCATTGAGAGGCAGGTCCAGACACTTCTCTGTGTTAAGTACTTGGGTATTAGTGTAGGCTTGTGGCTGTATTTGTACTGTAAGATTATGGCATTGCTGTTTTAAAGTATAAAACTTATCTCTTGGGAAAATAAAAATAAAACACAAATGGTGTTTAGCAAACAGCATAAGTATGCGATGCAATCTCCTCCTCTGCCCTGTGTATCAGAACTGCTCTCCCGAGCTCTGCAGAGGCAGGCGCATTGCTGAGATTTGGTCTGCTAGGCTGCTACAGACACACAGTTTATCTATTGACAGCTCAAGTCGTCTTCTCCTCTTTAACTGTCCACTAATGGAGCTAAGATGTGATAAGAAATGTGTCTTCGAGGATTCCTTTTATGATTTTTTTATGCTTTTGATGTATGACTAGCTCTGTTGCAAGGTAAGAATTTTTAATGCTGTCTTACGTGTGTCGTAAATAGTAGCAAAGAGCATTTAGAATCAGGACAGCAAGCCTCTCTGAACAGGATTATTCTTTTGGGGCTGATTTTTCTAGAAACACTTTGATTCCTTTTAATTGTCTGGAGTTAAAGTACAAGTTTTGTTTGTATTACTTTGAGTGCTTTGATATTTGTCAGCATTAGACTGGCTATGTGGTGTTTTGTTTCATGATCCTGCCTGCAACAAGCACAATATGTTTCAAGTACTCAAGACTTTAGGGATTATGAGTTTCCATGCCACACAAAGCTATACCTCATACCTCAGCATTTACTTTGTGACATTATCTGAGAAGGTTGGATGCATATTTCCACTAGGATTTTATCTCCAAGTTATTCCAGATCTCCAGACAGAGTGCTTTTGGGTCTCTTGGTTGTCTGAAGTAAAATTATGAAATTAAGTTTCATAAGGTTTAAGTGGTCTCAAAAAAGTAAGTAAGTAGAACTTGTTATTAAATTGTCCTCTATAAAAAAGTGCAACTGTAGCAACACGACTTTGTGATGAATCCAGTTCCTAACCAGGCTTCTCTTTAGTGTTCATCAAAACCAGGGACAAGGACCGCAAATTAGCCATCGCAAATTAGCCATGGCTAAAGGTCCTGTATACACAGCATTGGTTGCTCTTTAAATAAAAGCAACAATGCATGCATATATTGTCCCTGATTGAAAAAATAAAAATAAACAGAGCTCTGTCAAGTTAGACTAGACAAGGTTTGGCTTCAGTCCCCCTTTACTAAAACTTTTTCTTGTCTTTTGTTATAGGAGCTTTAATCTTCATAAAATACACATGCTTTAAAATATTTTTTTTGCACTATATTGTTTTTCTTATGCATTTCAATTGAAAAAAAAAAACCTTGATACAACAAATGCAAAATACAAGAACTCACTCATAACTTGGTTGCAATTTGTCACCTTAATAATATTAGTTGCAGGTTACCAAACTTTGCTTTTTACCTGTTTGGACACAAGTGTCTGCTCTACTTAACTGATCGCCAAGCAGCTGAGGGATAAGCTACTAATAGTGAGGACAGAGTGATGCAGTCAATGGTAATCAGCTTATATAAGAATGACTTCAGTGCTCTGCCTCCTTTAACAACAACAAAAGTATACTTAAAAGTTCTTTTGCAAGCAAATAAATATAGGCTATAATCACCCTGATCACAATAGTTCAAAGCCAGCATTAAGGTTGAGCTCAACCATGAATCATCAAGGAAATCAGATTCTCTTGAGGCATGTTGTAGTGAGCTGCTTTTTCTCCTCCTTTACAAAGTATCCCCTGAAAACTTCAATTTGAGCTGTGAATCTGAAACTTACTAATTAAGCATGCACTTATTATCAAAGCCAAGTCTCCAATTTAATGTCTCATTAATCAAAGGTCAAATGTGTTCATTTACCGTGGATCTTGGATGTGGTTTGACTTGTGTTTGCTTGTTTCGTCACAGAAGGAATGGCTGTGCCTGAACTGCCAGACACAAAGAGCTTTGTCAGGACAGTTGGGAGACGCAGGAAAAATGCCCCAGCCTACACCTGTATCTGCAAAGCCAGACACCTCTGCCATGCCTGGGACCACAAAGGAAGAGCTCAAAACTGTTCTGCCAAAGACAGAGCCCACATCTCCTTCTGCAAAACCGCAGCCCACACAAGATCCCATCAAGGCAACACCAACAGTCCCAAGCCTAGAAGCAAAGACAAAACCTACATCTGCCAATGTAGAAATCACAGCCACAGCAGCTTCCACAGAGGTAGAGCATGAGACATCAAAGGCTCTGCCCTTAACATCAGAAAAAGTGCCCAAGACTGCCCCTGATGCAGAAGGCACTGCACCTGTGGCCCCAAAACAAGAGCCAGTAGAAACACAAATAGAGAAAGTGCCGAAGACAGATGTCACCAAGACTGAAACAGTTAGAGATAATGAAGAGGCAGTTAAAACAGAGTCCAGTGTGACAGAATTTGTCCACGCCGAAGTGTCTAAACCTGATCTTTCAACAGTAAAAGTTGAAGCTGGCGCTCCCGCTTTCCCAGTGGTTGCGGCTACAGTTGTACCAACTCCTCCTATTACTGCAGAGAAAGCTGTGGTTGGAGTTGTTCCAGGGACTGAAACAAAGCCAGAACCATCTGCCCCACAGAAGGCTATTGAAGAAGTGGTGCAGGATGAGCGAGTCAAACAGACACAGCCAACAGATTCTTTCCAGAAAGTTGAGGTTCAACCAAAGTCACAAGAACCCAAGAAGGTACCAGAGGCAAAACCTGTCCTCAAGGAAGTGGCAGATAAACCGGCTGAAAACATTGCTGATGTGACCTCAACTCCAGAGAAACTACCAGTATCTACAGCGGATACACTGATAAAAGTAAGAATGTCCTCCACTACTTTTTTAATATATATTAAAAAAACAGATCAAATGGGAGAGACTTTGTGAATGCTACCATGCTTGCTATAAATTCACAGTGCTTTTTTTTTTATAATGACACAAAATTAAAATATCTAATTGATAGCTGGTTCTGAAATTTACAGATTAGTGAAGCCACCTATTATATCAAATATTGACAATGAATTACTAAACCCTGAATATTAAACAATCCTATTTTTTTTCTGATATTTTTGTGGGAAAAAAGTCAAACATTTAGGTTACTACTTTAATTTAAACTGCTTGAATAGCAACAGTACAAAGCTGGGTTTGCCTTGACACTTACCCTGATTTAAGGGTCTTTACCACCAGTTTGTGGCCCAACATCAGCAGACATACCTCCATTAAGTGCCACTATGTTTTGTTTAAGAGACATTTGGCTTTTTGGATTGCTTTTGAGTTTTTCAGCCTCTGCATCTGTCTGCACTCTCCCCTTCTGGCAGCATTACAACAGCCAATCATCACAGTGCCTCATTATCATGGCAACACCGCCCACACAGACCACTGCATGTTAACGTGTTTAAAATTTAGAGACTTAATATACTCTGCAGAGGCTGAATTTTACTTTACTTTTTACAACCCAATTGAAAATATTGTGTAAAAGACTGTTTTGAACAGTAAAAAATGGGACCTTCAAGATATAAAAACACTGTTGTGTATGTGTTTTACAACTCACTCACAGTTTCATTAATATTAACATTCTCTACATTCAGGGTCTACATTCTCTTAAGCTTGCAAATATGATGTGAGATGTGTAATTAAAAACAAACAAACATGGAAATAAAAGAAATGAAAATTGCAGTTATAATAAGCGGTGGAAATACAACAATGAATATAAACTAGACAATTGATTTAAAAAAGTTAAAGTTAATGTTCAAAGTTACTTTCTGATGTTATTCTTACAACAATTTGTTTTGTAGTGTTGATGTATAAATTTAAATTTGTGAGTTTGTATTTTTTCACTTTTCAGATTTATGCTAACATTTCTATTTTTTGCTGAATCTGATCTTCTGATCTACTTTACTTACATTCATCAGAAATTTTCACAACTGCATATTTTTTTTCTTTCAATTCAAAATTTTTCCCTAAGATCTGCATCCATACTGTTCAAAGTAAAATGATGAAATACCTGGTCTGGTATTCCCATAAAATCTTGCCTTGCTCATCCTGATGTACACTCCTGTCTATTTCACTTTTTAGGACAAAGAAGAAACCAAAACTGAACTGGACATGGGGAAAATTGAGCTGCAAAAGGCAGCTGTTCCTGTGACAGCTATTATGTCTGAATCAAAAGACCATGATGAAGATCAACCCCAGATATTACCTATATCACAGGAAATAAAAGATGAGCAAGTGGCTGGTGATACAAGTAAAATTGAGGTCAAAACAGATCAGACCACTCCATTTAAAGAAGAGGTTAAAGTTGAGAGAAGGCGACTGAGTTTTCGAGCAATGGATGAGAGTAGTGAGAGTGAAGTGACACCCTCACCTTCACCAAAGGCCCAGAGAAGACGTCTTAAGGTCAGCAATGTTTCATCCAGCAGTGAGGACATCAAAACTGAAAGTGCTGACTCCACCGTAGAGGATGAAGAGTTTATCCGCAGGCAGATAATGGGAATGGGTGATGAAGAGGAGATGTCTCTTTCAGAGGATGAGAAAGAAGAGACCTTGGACAATGAGGAAGCCATCAGAGAGACAGAACTCAAAAATGCTTCAGAGGCAGCCCAGTCACTGCCGAGAAAGAGCACAGAAAATGAAAGCAACCTCGCAAAGACAACAGTCCCAGAAACTGATAACACAATGAAAGAGGTTCCTGAAACATTGCCTACTTTTAAGAAAGCTATTCCTGTCTTGAGACAGAGACAAAGCACTGATGAAGAAGTAGAGAGTATCACAGAATCCCTGTCCAAGGGATCATCAAGTGTTCAGGTATCCAGCTTCACTCCAGCATCTTCACCTACATCAGCTTCATCACTAGAAGAGGACAGTGATAGCAGCCCTAGTCACAGGAAGGTCAAAGGGGACAAACAGCATCGCAAAGGGAGGCACAGACAGCCAACTGAACCTCTCCCCACAATTGAGGACTCTTCTGAGGATGAAAAGATGAAGGAGGAAGAAAAGTCTAAGAAAGATAAAGGGGAACTGAGGGCCCTTGGCAAATTACCATCTCCAACTGGCGATCGCTTCTCCACAGAGGATCTGAAACAGGTCACAGTCATTGATGACACAACTATAACATCTGTATCGGAGTACTTGGCCAGTATGGAATCAGAAACAGATGCTAGGAGATCTATACAAAGAGGACGAAAGCCCTCACCCACAGTGATACCATACACTCCCCCTGATCCATTTGAAGATAAGTTTAGAGGAGTAAAATCCTTAAAGAGTGCAGAAGAAACATATGAAGAAATTATTCAGAAGACAAAAGCTATTCCAGGAGAGAGTCCTCCTGACATTGAGCCACTTTACGGAGGAATGGCAATAGAAGATTATCTTTATGAATCCTTAGTTGAGGAGCCTGAATTCAAGATGAGTGAGACTCAAGAGGAGGAACTCGAACTCGATACTGGTTCTGAAAGTTTCAAAAAACTCAGGTCTCCGGAGGAGGTTTACGAAGAGATGATGCAAAAAAAGAGAGAATTAATGATGATAGAGCAAGAGTTCCAACAGGCACAGACTGCCATGGAAACTTCCCCATCTACAGTCTCTGACCAGTTGGCATTTGCTGACACCTGTGTAGTGACAATATCCACAGAAGAGATATCTCTTACTGGACAAACTGATAAGCCTTTTACAAGCACTGAAACTTCTAGTGAAGCACCGGTGAAGAAAAAGAAACGACCAGCTCCACCACGCCCCTCTGAACCCCCTAAGCGCTCAGAGGGGAGCACGATGCCTAGTACTCCAAGTGGATCTATAAGCTTTATAAGACCTATGGTTCCTCAAGATCCAGCTCTTAGAAAGGCACTGTTTCCCATACCAGATCTTAAGATTACCCAGTGTTCTTCTGGGGAGGAAGAGGATGATAGTCTTGCTGAAGAATATGGTGTTGGTGTGTCCTCTGACATTACCCCCAGTGATGACTCTGAGACCAAAGAAGATCCATCTATAAGTCCACCTTTATCTGAAACAGCTGAGACTGAGCCTATCATGGTGGTTTGTGAAATTCCAGAGCCAAAACCTATTCCAACACCAATATCAGCTCCAGAACTAACCACAACACCCTCCCCTGTATCCCCAGTGTCTCCTCCAACTTCACCAGCAACTCCTGATTCCAGTTTGGCTTCTAATGCTACGTCTTCATCATCATTTCAGGCTCAAACACCTCTTTCATCAGAATCAACTCCACTGTCCACACCTCCAACTTCAATTTTAACCAAATCAATTCCTGAAATTTTGCCACCATCATCTGTCACAGTTGGAGCAGTAGCATCCAGTGCGGGCTCAGTGTCCTATCCCGCTCAAGGGACAGTTGAAGTAACTATACCTGATGTTGTGTCTGGTCCATCCAAAGCTCAGACTGCTCAAGGTCAACGTGTGGCTTCTGCAGCTGAAGCCCTGGCATTAGTCCAGTTCAGTCAGGAACCTGTTATTGTTCAAATGCCAGACTTGGTGTCTACCCCTTCCCAGGTTCCTTTGGAGGCACCAGCTGTTATACAGGTCTCAGCCCAGAGTCCTGCTCCTCTTACTGTCTCATCTCAACCTGCACCCCTCGTGGCAGCAACATCTGCCAAATTCTCCACTCCAGCTTCAGCCCACATTGTTTCTGAAACTGCCACTGTGGCCCCATGCCCTAAGCCAGTCATAGTCCAGATGCCTGATCTGGTTTCAGCCACATCTCCAGTCACTGCACAAGCCCCACTTCCAGTTTTAGCACTTGTAACTACCCCAGCACAAGCCCAAGCTAAAGTGGTGCACTCAGTCCCAATACAACCAGCTGTCCCATCGATGCGTCCAGTGGTTGTCCCTGCACCAACTCAAACAGCTCAGGGGCCAGTGTCAGCATCAACTACTGTGGTCAAAAAGAAGGTCCCACCCCCACCTCCACCTCGGTCTACCTCAGTGTCAATATCTGAGCCTACCCCTGAATTGCCACTTGTCAGGGCTGTTCAGCAGGCCCAAACAATCACCACCACTTCAGCTATGACAACAACAGCAGCTGGCCAGCCAATGCAGTCAATTGTTGTAGATATACAGCCAAGAATGGATGACATACAACCAGATAGTGTTGCTGTACCTCAAGTAGTAACTCAAACAAGACAAGGGCATGTGGTCATTATAGTGCCTAGTGGTGAACATAGATCTTTGCTTGGACAAACCCCACAAGACTTACCAAGCACAGAATCAGTAACTTCCACTCCTGCTCTGCCACAAACTAGTCAAAAATCCCCTCAACCTGCATCCTATATACCAAGTACAGATATGTCAACTTCAGCTCCACCACTTCCACCTAAACCTATGACAGCACCGCAAGTTTTAGACACAGTAGAAATACCAGTAGCAGATACACCTCCACCAGATCCTAGTGCTTTAACCAAATCAACTGTCTATCCAAAGCCTTCACTTTCTGCCGTTACCACTACTGCTACAGCAACAGTAGCACAAACTTCTATCACAGCACCTGGCTCTAGCCAAAACACCAAGCCTCCTCCACCCATACCACCAAAACCTATATCAATCCCAGCTGGACTAGTTTTTAGCCACAAGCCAGGTGAGAGTGTCAAGCCACCTCCTCATGTAGTTCCAAAAGCTGCAACATTGCCCAGGACTAAAGAACCTCCAAATGCTCTGTCACTTAGCATGACACGCCCTGTGGAGTCTAAATTGGGCACAACATCACCAAAGTCACCTTTGTCCCCAAGACATGTCAAATGTTTACAGACCTACGTGGTCATAACCCTTCCGTCTGAGCCTGGATCACCAACTGATGGAATAACAGTCCAGGCACCTGTAAGACGTGGTTCCATCCCATCTACAAGAGTAGCAGGAGTACGGACCACACCTTTTGAGCAAAAATCAACAACTGATGTATTTTCAGCACAGGCTGCAGTCAGAAGAGCTTCTGTCCCCACTGTAAGGCACCAACCTCCAATAATTGCAGCTCCTATTGTAGCAGCAGAACAAGTGACACCTTCAGATGTAGTAACTGCTCGCACCAGGAGGGACTCTGTGCCCTCTGTAGTGCCATCACCACCAGCTGAGGTCATCTCTGGGTCAGATCAGGACACATCTATTAAAGCACAAAGTGTACCTGCTCCAATTAAAAAACCATATGCCCAACAACAACAACGACAACTGACTCAGCCAACTCCACCAACTACAGTAATCTTTGATGACATGCCAGTGCCCCAAGAACAAAACATTTTTATTCAACCCCTTACCCTCCAGGCCACATCCGAAGTACAGTCCAAACCATCTGTAGTCCAGCATCCAAGCACGGCAATGGACATAACAGGTCCACCTGAGGTTGCAGTCATCACAATAATTCCCCAGGCCCCAATTCCAACTCCTCCTGTACAGCAACAACCTATAACAGAAGCTGATGCTGCAACAGTCCAACCTGAGAAACAATTACATGGACTTATCTCTCAAGATAAACAAGCTACAGTCACTGCAACTGTTCCTTATCCTCAAGTCGAAACTCAAATTGAAATACCAGAAAAAGAACATGAAATGCCTACTGAAGTAATTATCAGTGAGGCAATTACAATACAATCACCAATGCCAGGACAGAGACAGCAAACTGCTGCTCAACAGCAACTTCCTGTTACTGAAGCAACAACTCACCTTACAGAGCAAGAATTACCATCAGGTCTTATCATAAAAGGCATGTGTACTGAATTTCAGTCAGCACCACAAGCTGTTCAGTACTCAGAAGGTCTTCCCCAAGGGACAGAGCAGCTACCTTGGCAACAACCACTTAGTGTGACTGAAGATGTAACTCTCCCTGCCAAGTCTGAATTGCCTTCAGAGGTTATATCAACTGACATTGCTGTAAGAATACCAGCAGTGGCAACGGTATCCTCTGAACCCTATCCTTTACATTCAGTGGCTGGAGTTACCTTAACACCTGATGTAGCGAAGGTGACACCACTAACTACAGATGCAAACATGACAACTCCTACAGTTGATGAAGTTATACCATCACCTCTTGGGATGGAAATCCAACAAATGGCAGTGCAGCCAGAAATGCCTACTAGTATTTATATGCCACAGGACTATGGAGCTAATACATCCCCTGCCATGCCACACTCATCAGTGCCACTAGAAATCGTAGCTTTGCAGCCTGAGCGTGAGACACCCACAGAAATTATAACAGAGGATGTAAGTGTAAGAAGAACTTCAATACCATCAGTGATGCAACCTCTGGCTGGGATGCCAGTTGGAGTCATAACAACTGAAGAAACCACAAGTAGGAGGAGGACATCTATATCATCCATAGTTCAGCCCTCATACACTGCAAGTGACATGTTTACCTATCCCTCAGCATATGAAGCACCAACAGAGGTGGTTACAACTGAGGCCTTTGCTGCCACCAGAAGGGAATCCATAACCATGCAGCCCAAAATACCGCTGGCACAGGTTGTAAACTTGCCAGCTGAGAAGGATGTTCCAACTGATAGTCATCCAGTTCAGTTCTCCTACAGAAGAGGATCTGTTCCTTCCACAGAACAAATACCACAGGTATTGAGTTATTCATCGGAATATGATCACCCTCTAGAGATCATAACTACTGAGGCTTACACCAGGAGAACATCAATGCCCAGCTCACAAAATATTCCTCAGGGTGTCTCTGTGGCTCCAGTCACCATTACTAAAATTCAGCAAGAGTCTATTGAGAGCCAGGAGATTCGAGGACCAGAAAAGGTGGTTTCTAGTATGAGTCACATGTACTCTTCTTCAATTTCCACTTCTGGCCAGCCTCCAGAGAGCCGTCCTGAACTGGTCACTCAGGTCGTCACCACTGAGGTCCAGAGGACCACTGTTTCTGTTGTCCATGAAAGACTTCCACAAGTCCCTACACCCAGTGTGGCAATAAACATACAACCTGACATAGCCAAAGTCCAGCCTCTTCCAAAACAGAATGGAAAGATAATCTACCCTGGTGATGTTATTGATTTGCGTACCATGAAGGTTGGAGTAAAGATGACTGAACAAGGAATGGACCTAACGCCTCCTGAGTCATGTCGACAGTCAGTTTCAAGTGACTCTAGTTTGCGCCAGATAACGGCAGTGCAGCCTGAGATAGTAAATCTCAGTGCAGAGATCACACCTGTAACCACGCTGTCTGTTGTAACTGACAGCATCACAATAGTCACATGCACAGCCACCATTTCCTCATATAACAACACACCAGCAGAGAAACCACTTGATTTGCAAGGCCCTGTAATGTCATTACCTTTGCCTCTAACCACATACAAATCGTTTGAACCACTAGCACAGATTGTATACAGACCTGTTAAGTCCCAAGCTACAGTCAGTCCTGTGCCATCCACAGCTCAGGAAATACCAATTAACCTTTCCTTTGGAGTCCCCTCAGGAGGCAAGCAGCCAATATCTTCCACCCAAGCAGCTATCAGCAATGGAGGACCTGTCCTTTCTCTCGAGGCAACAGGTGCAATGGATTTGTCAAACTACAGACCAGTGAGAGCTATGGTAGCTTTGTCTGGCACAAGTCCAGGAGTAGTTACCACTGTTGTAGAGGATGATGGGACTCCAGTTGACCTCACTGCTGGTAGGAGTGTTTGCTGTGATGTCATCTACAAGCTCCCATTCACAGGAAGCTGCAGAACACAGCCCCCAGTCACAACGCAGCCTGACAACCGTTTTGGTTACAGAGATGATCACTACCAATATGATAATGCTGGACTATACGGTATCAAAGGCATGAATGGAATAAAGTCCTCAATGTCTGAGACAAACCTGACAGAGCCAGGACTCTTCTCGTATGACTCTAAGAATGACTATCTAAGTGGATCAACAGATGGTGCCATAGACCTCACAGCCGCTAAACTTTCTGCAGGTGAGTACAAAGGTCATGCAGTGTTTTTGAAGATTTTTTTTCCATCCTTGATGTTTGTCTTATCAGCTGGTATTTAATTGGTGTGACATGAGTTTTATTTGCACAGTGCTTTTAATGTTAAATTACATGTATACAGAAATTTTTGTTCATTTGGGCATGCTTACTTTTAGTTGTTAAAACTTTTTGTTGCTCAATGTGCATGTATGTGTTGAACATTAACAGCAGCTTTTCTTGTTTTGTCTTCATACAGATGCATGTGTGTGCCTGCGTGTTCTCCCTCAATATTTTGGTTTTGCATCTTGCTAGCCAAAATGACATCAGCTATGCATGCGCAGTGGGAGTCTTTTTTTTTTTTAATCAAAATAGAATCACCTTCAATGCTTAAACAGTACACTTTGTTTGTCTCTGAAATGACACTTTGTTCAAAAAATAAAAGTTAATTTATTTGGTTGTGGCAGGTAAAGCTCTTGACTACACTAGCAAAGCTACTGGAAGCTACCCTGGGATGACGACAGCTCCATACTCTCAGGTCCCTGCGGCTGGATTTGGTGTAAATAGTGTTCTTAGAACCTCAGATGGAATAGTTTACTCCTCTGTAGCTGCTCCAGTGCCATCCACATATGCAATTACAACTCAACCAGGCTCAATCTTTAGCACTAGCTTAACACCTACATCAACAGTCCAGAACCAGTCATTGCCACATCCATATGGTTTTATTCCAAGTACAGACCCAGGGCAGATAATTGCTTTTGACACAGGGATACCCAAGGAGCTACTTCCCACTGCTTTGGCTGACATCATAACAGGTTACCCAGAAATGTACTCTGACACAACTCTCGAAGCAATTGCAGCCTCTCTCGATGCCCTAGCCTCCTCCCCCATATTCCCTGGCTTAGATAATACCAAGATGGCACAGTATCAAATGGAAAGGGAATTTCTAGAGTTAGAAAAGCTCAAGCAGCTATGTCTTGCTGAGGAACTGGAATGGGAGAGGCAGGAGATCCAGCGCTACCGTGAACAAGAGCAGTTCATGGTTCAAAGGGAGCTTGAGGAGCTACAGGCTCTTAAACAACAGCTTCTCATGCAGCAGGAGGAAGAGCACCATGCCCACATGGTGGCCCAGCAGGAGACTTATGCCCAACAGAAAGAGCAATTGCAACAAATACAACAACTCCAGCTGCAACTCCAGCGTCAGCTTGATGATCACTATGGTAGCACTGGAACCACAGGAAATCTTTTAGATGCCAAATATGCAGGGGTTGGAGACAGTGGTCAGTACTGGCCCGTAAAAGATGAGTCTTCAACTCCATCTATTGGGGCACAGTTTGGGGAAAGTCAGGATCAGTTTGGTATGGTAAATAAGCTTCAAGCTGATCAGGATATTGGGAAAAAAATTATTGATAGTGGAGTGCAAACAGATGATGAAGACTCAGCAGAAAAGCAGCATGTAGGAAGGCGAAAGAAAAACAAAAGAAATATTGATAGCTCTGCCCAGACTGATGATGAGGATCAAGATGAATGGGATGCACCTACAAAAGCAAGACGACGTTCACGAAAGCATAGCAGTGATGGGAAACATGGGTCCAAGGTCTCAAGCATTGCTATCCAGACAGTAGCAGAGATATCTGTCCAGACTGACCACTCTGGGACCATCAAACGACCCAATGTACAGATGGACACCAAAGTTGAAATAATCAAGCATATCTCAGCTCCAGAAAACTCTCAGAGAGGTGGCAGTCTGAGTTGTCAGACAGAATCAGACAGAAGGCACACACCAATTGAAGTGGCCTACAGCACACACTTAACAGCTGATGTCCCCTCAAAGTCCAAAGTCTTTTACAATCAAGTTTCTCCCCTGTCCCCGGAAAAGTCACTTGGAGGACAAAGAATGTTGACAGCTGACCCAACCAGATTTTCCTCTGGCCCTAGAATATTAAAGGCCGGTCAGAAGTCTCTCTCTGATCCTAAATCCCTAAGTCCTTCCACAGATGACAGGATGGGTGGATACTATACGGACAGCTATTCTGTAAGTCACAGTAAAAGATGTCCATAATGTTGTCCACAATTTAGCAATTCAGAATGTCTTTCTGATTAAATGACTTTTGGCTTCATCCCACTTTCTAGGGCCGAGGTTCTCCCTCTAGTACAGGCAAGAAGGTGAAGCGGACACTACCAGACCCCCCTCCTGAGGATGACTCTCTGGCTGGGCGATCAGGCTATAGCACCAACTCTGCTCGCCGGCGTCTTGCCCGCAGTACAACCATAGCCCGGGCAAAGATCCTTCAGGACATTGACAAGGAGCTTGATCTGGTGGAAAGAGAATCCTCTAAACTTCGCAAGAAACAGGCTGAGCTGGATGAAGAGGAAAAAGAGATTGATGCAAAGCTACGGTGAGAAACCACAAATTTGACATTAACCTAAGTTAGGATTAACAAGCTTACTTTTTAATTTTTCCCCATGACATCAATTCATCATCTAATACTGAAAGTATCAGTTTTTGAATGCAATAAGTACCATTGCCTGCTCCCATCATACAATCATTACCCCTAACTCATCTGCATGATTCCCCTTTTACCCTGATAGCTTATGGGCTAAAAGGCTGCCTTGACATCATTCAGTGAGACCTCTTCAAACTCACACATAGTAAGGTACAATGTGTGAGAACCAACAATGTTATTTGCCTCTTTGGTTGTTTTGTAAAAAAAAAAAATATCTATATATATAACAGAAATTATAAAACAATATGTGCTTTTTTGCTGTTGCCGTAGATACCTGGAAATGGGTATCAACCGTCGCAAGGAAGCCTTGCTAAAGGAAAGAGAGAAGAGGGAACGGGCCTATCTTCAGGGAGTAGCTGAGGAAAGAGACTACATGTCAGACAGCGAGGTTGGCAACATCAGAGAAGCCAGGGGCGATGGCTTAGAAAGACCGCGGACAGCACCGCAGTCAGAGTTTGACCAATTTATCCCTCCCCAGACAGAGGCCGATTCTCAGTACAACACACTAACAAGTCCCTACTCTCACTATGCCCAGTATGTTCCCCAGACCCAAACAACCAGCCACTACACCCAACAGAATATATATCAGCAACAGTCCCTTTACCATCAACAGGTGTCCCCTTACCCAACTCTTTCCCTTTCACATGCCCAGAATCAGCAAGGCAGCTACCAGCATGCTCTTCTTTTGCAGCAGGGAAAGCAACGGCAATCCAATCTATCTGATTTAGACCCTAAAATCACAAGCAACTATGAAGTGATGCGCAACCAGCCTCTTCTCATTGTGCCAACCTCCTCAGAAAGTGGCTATGGGGTGGCTCATCTTGGGGGAAAGTATGGCAACTTGGACTTAAGATTGGGGCTGGAGGAGAGAAGCATGGCCTCTAGTCCAATGTCTAGCATATCTGCTGATTCCTTTTATGCAGATATTGACCACCACAATGCCAGGAACTATGTACTGATAGAAGATATTGGGGAGCTAACCAAGACCTCAACAGGGCTGAGCAACACTGGCTTGGGTTCTGGATTCAACCTGCCAGATAAGGAGTTGTCCAAGGCAGACAGGCTTCTGAGGGCAGCAGATGTCAGGCGCACAGCAGAGGTAAATAACGTTTCGAAAATCAACTTTCTTCATCTTACTTGTCACGTTATCACTCCCACTTCCTACTGTGTAAAAGTTAATTTTAAAGCAATAGTATTTTTAAACAAATTAAAGTTTATATGACTAAAGTTCTTTAATACCAAGTTAAGAGCACTACATATATGTAAAGACAATGTGCAAGATACCTCCTGGCCAGTGGCCCTGTCACATTAAAAATGTGGGACAGTTACATGATTTATGAAAACTGTTACTGGTCACGTACAGTAAAGATAAACAAATAAAATAAATGTATTTTATGAGCTTAAATCAAGTTGAGAAACATCTCATGTGTGGCGTTTCATTTTCCCTTGCAGGTGGCTGATTTTTTAGGCTCATCTCGGCTTCAGGGTTATGGCAAGGGTGAAGATGACACTATGGAGGAGCCTTATGAGCTGAAGCTACTGAAGCAGCAAATCAAGCAGGAGTTCAGGCGTGGAACCGAGGGGCTAGAACACTTAGCCGGTCTTGGCCTTCCCCAGTATCTCCCCAGTGACAGCAGTTTTCGCCACTTTCCTAAAGGAGAGAAATACAGTATTGGCAGACTTACCCTTGAAAAACAGGCTGCAAAGCAACTTCCAGCAGCTGTCCTTTACCAGAAACAGATGAAGAACAAAAAGGCCCTAATAGACCCCAAGGCCATCACAAAGTTTTCCCCAATTCAGGAGAGTAGGGACCTGGAGCCTGATTTTGGCAGCTACATGGGATCTGGGGCCTCCTCTGTAACGAATCTGGCTGCTACAGCTAGGTTGCTCCAGGATGAAATTACATTTGGGATCAGAAAAAACTTGTCTGAGCAGCAAAAGTATTTAGGCTCTTCACTAGGGGCCAACCTAGCTGGTTCTCTTAATCTTGGACAGTCTATTGGACTAGGATCCACTATCAGGGCAACAGTCCAGGATGATGGGACATACCCAAGTGGAAACCGTTCCCGCCCCTCATCTCGCCCCTCCTCCCGCCCCTCTTCAGTTTATGGCCTGGATCTATCTATTAAGAGGGACCTATCAAGCTCTTCACTTAGACTTAAAACAGAAGGGGAAGTTCTGGATGCAGCATTTGCCCCTGGGGTGGCTAGAGCAAAGCCAACCAGTTTACCAATCAGCCAAAGTCGGGGTCGTATCCCCATTGTGGCTCAAAACTCAGAGGAGGAGAGCCCTCTGAGTCCAGTGGGGCAGCCCATGGGAATGGCCAGAGCCTCAGCTGGACCTCTCCCTCCAATTTCTGCTGATTCCAGGGACCAATTTGGGTCCAGTCATTCCTTGCCTGAAGTGCAGCAACACATGAGGGAGGAATCTCGGACTCGAGGCTATGATCGAGACATCGCATTCATCATGGATGACTCGCAAGGAGCAATGTCTGACAGTGAAGGTAAATGTAACCTGAGACTGTTGCACCAACTCAACTGTGTGGACCTGCTTGTCATGCATGCTAACTGACTTTGTGCATAACTGGTTCTTTCTCAAATCAGATAATTGATGTTAATTGTGCATAACTATATATCCCCCTTTGACGGTTAATGCCACATGGATGTTTGCATGCTATTGCTTTTGAATATCTTATTCACCAATACATAACACTCTTGGCCTGAGTTTATGTTGTTCACTGATGAACTCTATCTGTGTTCTATAATTGCATGTCTTTTAATTTTGTAATGCATTTAAATCTTCCGTTTTAATTTTCATCCTTCCACTAAAATTTCACGACAGTATTTCTAAAATAGGCTTGAGCTACATGCCACATTACAGCTTGCTTGATTCTAAGTCTAATTTCACTGAAATCTCAGCGAAATATATTTTACACCCATCATAAGCTAAGTGTGTACATTCAGTCAGTACATTTATGAGACAGTTATAAAGAATTTACTTCTGCATTACTATTTATGTAAAGAAAGGTGATGGCAGATTTTATGGTGCAGAGTATAATTCCAGTGTCAGGATACTCTGCAGTTTTTTGCAGTTGCAGTCACGGAAATCCCTTTGTGAAGTTACTCCTTGGTTACTTTTAGCTCTTTGCATGTATATAAAAATAATCAAGACTGTAAGAGGTTTTGTACAGTTGTCAATCCTTACTGTAACACAACTACCTTCTTCAAAGAACTATTATGAAGATAAATGTACTTTGAAATTACTCACTAGCATTTAATTGTTAGTTAATGCCAAATGTATGTCTTTGTTGCTGTTTTTCTTTAATTTTCTGTCTATATTTACCATTGCATCCTTGCATGTTGTGCAGTACATTTTCTGTTTCCATCTTAATAAAGTGCATGTTGTATGCTTGCAGGTTATTGTTTTGAATGTCTTGAATGTCTTGTTGCTTTAAGTTGTCCATGTTCCCAGTGATTGATGCCAAATATTGAAATGAGTTATTCCCATATCTTTAAGTGTGGGATTGGTAGTGTTCCATTAGGTTTGGAAAATTAATATCAGTAGTTATCAACACGCTACTTCAATGGTTAGTCTCTGTCTTTTTCCATTCACTTCAACACAGTATGTTATGGACTAGTAGAAACTTAGACATGGCATAGAACACACTAAAAATACAGGCTGTTACTTTTTGCATAATGGCCTGATTAGGACACAGGTGAAATCAACACTGGTTGTCGGACAAGTATTTGAATGAAAACCCCTTAGAAGATGTCTGGCAACATTTAGTTTCTAGACCATTGACTAAGGTAATTGTATGGTTAAAGTCTTGATAAGAAAGTGATATTTGGTGTAACCTAATGTAAAAGTGTCCATTTGCCTTGATTACAGCACTAAGTGAGTCCATGCTGGCTTTGAACAGAGATGATGCCAGAATCTTTCATGAAAGTATCAGACACGGTAGAGTATCTATTAGTTAAAAACCCTTACTGTCCTGGTACTAATATGGCTTATATTCACATCAAGATGTTTACCTGTAATGTATCTTGTATGTTTCACATTGCTTCTGCCTAAAATCTGTGAACTGTCTGACAGGCTAGCAATGTCAGGTGTGCAGTAATTACAAGCATGCATCTACAACTGACTTAAGTGCTTTTAGTGCATGTGCTGGAGCATTGTCACAATATATCTGTAGTCGTAGCACAGCTCCTTTAGTCTCTTTATAAACCTTATTTGAAGACATATCTTAAAAAATACATATATATACAATTTTGTACCCCAGCTGGAGGCCCAAACTGGAATATAGAAGGTGAGACGGCATCCCAACTTTCATGTAGCTACTGAAGAAACTGTATGCCTCCATGCTGCATATCATGGTCCTGAATGATGCACCTCTCTTGTTGATTTGTTGACACACAGCACTCATTCGACAGTGTATAAAACATGCCATACAGCAGATCTTGAGTGGTAGTCATGTCAAATTCATTCTGGAATGAACTCCATCTAAATGGCAGGAGATGTGCAGTAGTACGTTCAAATACATCATTCTGGAATGACTTCACATTACAGTGGTTCTGTGAGCATATCAGACCCATATCCAGTATTCATGTCCATGCACTTTGGCTATCACGTGTATACTGTGTGATCATGCACAAGTGTTTCCACCGAAAAATGTTTGAATTGCTATCCAGTGAGTAAGACATTTTACAAAACGTAACTCAATTCTGAAGGTCGATGTTGCCGGATTTTATTCTTTCTAGGTTATAAAACTCTAGTACAATTGATAAGTGCTGTCTACACTAACACAGGTACACAAAAGGCAACATTTACCTTCAGCATAAAGGGCCACGTCTCTTCATCACTTTTTGTGTATCACCTTGGTTGAAAAAGATGACAGACAATGCAAATTTGACAAGTTTAGTTACATTTCCTCCATAGTCACAATCGTTTGTATCATGATGACTCATTTAAATGCAACACATTACCAACAATTCTGCCTTGTTATTGCAGCTTCAAATTGTCATTAGCAATTCATATTTATTTGAAATTTCCAAGGTTTGCAATAACAATGCTATAATGTGGTATAGGACATTCAGCTTGATTTTGAGTTTTGGTTCAGTTCAATTTTTTAGGACATTACAGAGCACTGTGCTTTTTAATACTCTTACAGTTCAGTGCTACTCCATGATTATGTATTTTTAATGGCATACCATTAGCTCCAGTGGAGGATAAGGATTTAGATACCGTGTATTTATTTCCCCTTTAACCCTGAAGTATTTTTTTATCAAAATCAAAAACAGTAAAAGGATTTTTTCAAGGTAGTTCTGTAAACAAGGTTTATTATTATAATGACTTTTACTATCATTAGTATATATTGTTAAATGGATACACAATGGGACAACTCCAACCCACACTGACCTGACTCCAGCTCTTCAATATTGTATGATCTGAAGAGCCTCTTTCTGCTACAATATTTAATGTAGAGCAGCATTTAAAAATCTGGACAATAAGAGCCCTTACACCAAGACGGGGAGCATTGCATGGTATCAAAAGCATGCCTTATTTAAACCCTCTAGAAATTTTTTTCATCCTTCATTAAGTGTTTGCAGTGATCGTTTGATTTGACAGACTGTATAGATTGTGCAGGACAGCTGTGGCAACTCTTTACTGTCACCTATCCAGTCTGATCAGAGATCTGCACTGCATTCAAGTAAATAGAGATGAAACAAATTTTGTGATGCATACTTCAACTTGATTGCAAGATATGTCTTTTCCCAAGTTGTCATCGCCACATTTAAAACAAAGATTTAAGAAGCTGGGATAGGTCTGTGGGTACATGGCTTTTAATCATTAACTCTCCCTGCCCAGCGTATCATCTGAGGAACGAGGACACTGATTGGTTTGATAAGCCAAGAGAAGGACATCCTCATAGCGGAGACAGGAGACAGGTAAGGTTTCATGCTAACAACATTCAACATCACGCTGTTTGGTTCCTACACTGACATTTTTAGCTTACGAACCCATGATTTTTGTTATAGAAACCCTTTTCTGCCATGCTATAAAATCTTTAAAATCTCTCCCAGATGAAACTGGCCCCATATGCCTTCCCTCACACTCGCTTCAAGCTTAAGAGAGACCTGAAGGACACCAGTGTGTCTGGTACTACGCAAACACAACACACAGATGAAAAGCATCATGCAAGAGTATGTACACAATTGTTTTGTAGCACAGTTTTAATGCGATTATGTTACTCTAAGGGAATGGACTTGGGATCCGTGTGGTCGGTGGGAAGCAGATTCCTGGAAGCAGAGGAGAGATTGGAGCCTACATAGCCAAGGTTACCCCGGGGGGTGCAGCAGAACAGACTGGAAAAGTAGTAGAGGGTAAGAACAGAAGTAGAGAAGAGTTGGCATATTTTTTCGTCCCTGAACCTTCATTAATGGCGCCAGTGCAAATCCTTACCCTGTCAGTGAAATGTAGGAATTTGGTAAAAGTCACTGCCTAAATCAGATGATTATTAATGGAGAAGTAAGCTGCTATTGTAGCCCTCTGTGTTGTTGTCTGTCATTTCTCATTCCCCAACACAATGCATCCAACATAAAAAAAAAAAAAAACACTCTGTCAACTCACCCTTTGTAGCACTGTGCTGTTAGTCATTAGGTTATATTTAGCATCTGTGCAGACACACAAATGCACAAAGGCAGGCATAGAGAAACACACACACACACATAAGGACAGCTTTAACAACACCAACCATGCAGAATTTAAAAGAAGTTTGAGATGATTGATCTTATATTTTGTTAAATTTGAAAAGCCTGAACATATATGGCGGTTTATGAAGTTTGATATGCACAAGACTTAGCCTTTTCTTTCTCCGGTGTAAACTTAACCATATGGGCCGCCTTGACTTTGCAGTTTCACACATCAGCTCTTAAAATGATGTATGTCATTTTGTTTTTTATGAAGGAGGACAAAAATTATGGCAATAAATTTAGAGGGTGGACGGACTGCTAATGTGTACTTCTAGTGTATGCTGTATGCTTAATAACTATGCAAATGTCATGTGATGTGTATGTTCCACAAAAGGACAATGGCAGCAGAACATGCCTCGAGGTGCATAAGAAATGGAGTGGGGGAGGTTGCAGTGCGTTATATTGAGCGCAAAGCAAATAATCTAAATAAGCATAGGCTCATGCAGAAAAATACGGTGAAATTCATTCAAGCCTTTATTGTTGCTGCAGCTGGTGAGGTGTTTTGTTAGCAGAACTGAAGATAAGGTTTCAGCTGAGTTGGCGAGGCCTGATTTAGCTTTTGCTGTGCATGAGGTTTGTATATTTTACAAGTAGCATAAAGAATTTCATTTAATATTTTTAAAGGTTTTGCTATGCATCATCTTTTCTAATTTGTGGTTGTTTTGTCATTGGGAAAATACTCTGAGTGCTAACTATAGTGTCATATTACTCCTCACTATGTGTAATGCTGGAATGCAAAATCAAAACTAAATTATTTAAGTTTTCCACTGGGTTAACATCTTCTCTGTGCACACCAAAGAGGCCAGAACAATGTTTGTTATGTAGAGATGAAGTGAAATGACTTGCCACAGGCTGCAGCATATTGTTTGGCAACTGATAACGCCCGCCTACCATTATCGCTCAACAGGAATGCAGGTGTTAGAGTGGAACGGAATCACTCTGACGGGAAAGACTTACGAAGAAGTGCAGTGCATCGTGGGCCAGCCATGTGCAGAGGCGGAGCTCTGTGTGAGACTGTGAGTTACATCTGTCATCATTTACCCCTCAATCCCCCTGAAACGTCTCCATGTTTAGCTGCAATATGGTAACTCTGCACCCATGTACACCCTCTCTCCTCCTCCCTTGCCTTTATCTCCATTCACACCCCTTCATTTGACAAATACCACTATGACTGATTACTGTTAAGATACACTGGTTGATATTCCATTATAAATTTCCTGTATGGATCTAAACAGTGACCTTAACATGCTGTCTGACCCTGAGCACCCACAAGCCCTGGAGCACCATGTCCAGCTTAAGGCTGGTATGTACAAGGATTTGTTTGATTTGTCTGCATGCATGCATGCATCTGTGTACTTATTTCACATAAATGCATTCTGCTTCACTAAACCTATTTTTCGCAGTGGGTGGGCAACGTTCACCTGGAGTGGACCCTAAGCAGTTGGCTGCAGAGCTACAAAAGGTGTCCCAGCAGCAGGCTCCCGGTATTGGGCCCGGGGGTATAGGGGTCCTCTCTGCACTGGAGCGCTCTGCTCTCCTACACTCAGGTACAGGATCAGCTGCATCCAGCGGTGTACCCAGCCCCGGCCAGCCTGCATCCCCCGCCATAAACAAGAAACAACGGCAAAAGGTAGCAAGATAAACTTTCTGAACTAATCTCTGCAAGCGTGCCTTGGAAGCACCCTATGTTGTGAAAAGGTCCCTTTACTAGATGTAAACGAAAGAAGATGTTGTTGTCAAACAACTAGAAAACTAGTTTATATCTCAGACTTACTGATTACAACAAAAATCTAATCTAAATGAGTCATAGTATGGCTCCATCTTTGAAACCACAGTATACAGAACCCAGTGGGATCCATTGAGTTTCTCCATTGAATTATCCAGATCTATAAAGGGCAGGTTGTAGGTGATAGTCAAACAGTATTTTTAGAAAAACATGTGGTAAAGTGCATTAACCAGGATGTCTGTTACACCTGGTTCTATTCCATTCCCTCTGTTATTCCTAATCCACATTAACCATTTTCATGTCATATCTCAATATCTCATGTTTCAAAGTCTTCTACAGATGCTAGAGATGAATCTGTAAGCTAATGGGAAAAAAATGCTGATTTTAGACCAGAGTTGGGGAATCATTTGCTTGAGTATGAAACAAATATTCTAAATTGTTGAACAATTTTATATTTGCAGCCAACTGACTCAATGAGGTTACCTCATCCAATCACTGGAGAAATTCAGGTACATAAAAGCTACATCTTCAAAACTACAACCTAGCTTTTATTTAGCCATAGTTTGCTCTCTCACGCAGCCCTTACTGCGCTCTTTTTCTTTCAGCTCCAGATCAACTATGACAGGAACCTTGGAAACCTGATCGTCCATGTCCTGCAGGCTAGAAACCTGGCCCCAAGGGACAATGACAGCTACTCTGACCCCTTCGTCAAGGTGTACCTCTTACCTGGGAGAGGGTGAGCACTGGGAGTGTTAGAGTGCTTATGAGTGTGTGGTCTGTGTCGCCCCTCTGTTCACGTGTCTCTCCCCCTATTTCTTTCTGACTTTGTATTGACTGTGCTGTGCTGTGTTGAATTGACTAACTAACTACTTGAGTTTGTTTGAGAGAATGAGACTGGACATGATGGTATCAGGCAGTCACTTAAACTGTAATTTGGTTTAGTTTGTTCGATGGGTGTGTTCATACAAAGCTATTTCGCCACACTGCAGTCAGAGACAAACTACATAGATGCAAATACACAGAATTTTCAAAGTCCTTCTTGAAGTGTTTCATTGTTGTTCCATATACTCACTGTTTCCTCTTCTTATCCTGTTCACTCCACTATAGCCCCTAGAGCCTGTGAATAGCAAAAGACGGGATCGATGCGGCCTTTATCTGCTCTGTAACAGTATCTGCTCTTAGATAATGACCCCATCAGACCTGTTTATGAGATTATAAACCCTCTCAACCTGCAAGCTATGGAGGTTAGGAGTAAAGGCTCAGTGGGAAAGCACTTTTGTTTCCTGCTGTCATATGAAGAGCATTTTAAAATGAATTTGTCTGACATTAGCAGTAGAATGCCGCAACATTTGGAAATTAGTCATTTGCCCACGAGCCTGTTTTTTTTTTTGCGTCACATGCACATTGCTCAGGCACATAAACAGAAACACACCCAGCTGAGAATATTGATTGCTTCGGCTCTCTACCCTTTACTGCCTTTTCTTTGAGCTCTTCTGAGCTTCTCTGACTGTTTTTGTGTTTTTGCTTTTCTTGTTTGTTATATCTGCCCTCCTCTTCCTCTTCTGGACTCCCTCAGCCAAGTCATGGTTGTCCAGAATGCAAGGTAGTGTGGTGCTGATCTTTGCTTTTTATTTTGGGGTGGTGTTATGTTTTGTCTTCCTTTCTGTCAATGCTGTCTCCAAAGTGATTTCCCATCCTTTTGTTGTGACCTTTGTTGTCTGTCCAATGGTCTGCTGTGGTTCATTGTGTTTATTAACAGTCCTGCCATTGCTTTGTCTCTCCATGCCTCAAAATTTGAACTCTCTCTCTGAGAAGTTTTGTGATTTTGTAAAAAAAAAAAAAAATAATAATAATAATGTCTGCATCTACATTTGATTAAGTCCCTGATGTCTCCACATCAGGAGATTGCCTTTTTCACCTGCATCTGTTCGGTGCACATAAATAGAGTATCACGGTTGGTGAATGCTGTCCACATAGTAAGACAGGGTAAAGAAATCTAACTTAATTACTGATAATTCTGAATTTCACACTTTATCAGCGCTGATAACAAGAGAAGGACCAAGTATGCTCAGAAGACCATGAACCCAGAATGGAACCAGACTGTTATCTACAAGAACATCCATCTGGAGCAGGTACTGTGCAGAGTGATGTTTCACACACATACTCACACCTGCAGGTGCATGTATATATTTTCAGTCTGTCTTGTTCAATTATTGTTTGCACTGTGAGCCACTTTAGGTGAGTCAGATGTCTTATACTCTTATTAGGATTCTGTCTTCCTGCCTTGTCCCTGGAGCTGTTCTTAGTTCCCCTGTGCAGCGTCTTATCTGCACTCCTGAAGCTCAGTTTAACAACTGTCATTTCTGTTCAACATAAACAGCTAAACTACATAAAACTTAAATGAAAAACCACGAGAAACTTGTGCTTATTTGTCTGTTATTGCAGTACTGTGCGTACGGACTTGGATTTTAATTCTTAAGGGGTAATAGTTTGCTCAGAGAATGTGTTATTAAAAACAAAGACAGAGACACAACCCAAACTCTAATTACCACTGTGAGGAATAACTGCAGATGTGGTAGCTTTGGTAGTCGGAGCTTAAGAGCTTTCTGCAAAGGCAAGAGGAGTTATCGGCTCCGATAAGGCTAGCTTCTGTTGATCACTGCTCATCACTGGCTGAGGCAGCCTTGAAGATGTTCCCTCATTGCTCATTTACACAGTCTTCCCAGCATCCCAGATATTTTCCATGTCCTCCTCCACACACACACACACTCACTAACCGGTATTGACACAGATGGATGGACATATACGAAAGAAAACGTAACTCCTAACTCCTACAGAAAACAGCATTAATCCACTACTGTTTATGTGTATTCATTTATGCACAGCACATACCGTCCTCTGTCAAACACACATATTCCTCCAGCATACATACTTGTAAATGTGTCATAATCCTCTGTGCCTTCTCTCTCTTCCACTTTTTTAATCAGTTAAAGAAAAAGACACTGGAGGTCACAGTGTGGGACTACGACAGATCCTCCTCAAATGACTTCCTTGGAGAGGTAAGTGCTTTTGGAATCCGAATGCCATGTCTGAAAATGTCAGGTTCATTTAGCCGTCACCTCACAAAAAGAGGTTTCTGCTGCCTGAAATATCAGACAGTCAAGCTTATGCTGTATCATCAGGACATGAAAGGAAATGATACAATATGATGCAAGACAAGGCAATAATACAGTACAATATGATGAGACAGGAAAATGAAACAAGACCATGTGACTCAAAGGAATAATGATATAATGCTATATGATACGGTTTGACACAGCACAGCATGACATGACTATAGATACAAAACACTATGGTACAATACAATGGTAGCACATGTTAGGGTGCCAAATGGATTCGTATGATATGAAATGGTTCCATATGACATGACACAACAAAATAAGATACTGTACAAAACAATTTAAGTAGATGCAGTACAATTGGAGATGATGCAAAATGATAAGATGTAGGGGTGGGGGAAAAATCAATACAGCATAGTATCGCAATATTTTGTCTGGTGATATATCGTATTGTCTCATTTACCAATTATCCATTTTTTTTAATTGATTCCTACTATGAAGTCAAATCTATGATGGAAAAATAAAATCAACTGTTTGTTCAGTGAGGTTGGCAGAGGACACATCATAGAGCAGGAGAAAGTTAGTACAACAAATATATATAAGGTTCGAAGATGTGCCACATGAAAATAAAATACAGTGTAAATAAGACTAAGGTAAAGGAAAGACAAATGCTAAATTAGCTAGACAGTTGAAAAAACTGTATGAATCGCTGTATATTGCATTGCAATGCTCACTTTATTGCAAAATGTTAAAAGTCGCAATAATATCGTATCGTGGCCCAAGTATCGTGATAATATCGTATTGTGGGGCCACTGGTGATTCCGACCCCTAATAAGATGCAATATAATTTGATATGATATGGTATGATACAGCACAATACGATTTGACATGATATGATACAGTTTATGGTCAAAAAAGTACGAAACAGTATGACACAATGGGACACAATGCAATACAGTACGCTACCATACGATTTAGGGAAATCGTCCAATGGTCCCTACAACAACAAACAACGTACGATAAACTGAACATCACCCATGTTCCACATCAAACACAGCCGATACGCAAATCAAGACAAGAATGATAATTACCATGACGATGCCATTCATCAGCCTAAACTTTCTCCCCTCACAGACACTGAAATCAAGTTGTTCTGTAAATTTGCTTTGCAGGAAAACTAACTTGTCCTGATGCTGTTTATGTTTTTTTAGCAGCTGCACCACATTCTCACACTTATTAATGAAGCTTCTTTGTCAGCCTTAGATAAAATACTCCCTTATTGGTTCTACATGGATTTGCTCTAGGCTTGCTTTAAGGGTTGTTTTTCCCTTTTATCAGTGTGGCTGCTCTGTGTGTTAATTGCAATCCAGGTGCTGATTGACTTGTCCAACACGGCCCAGCTAGACAACACACCCCGTTGGCTGCCTCTGAAGGAGCAGAGTGAGAGCATTGAACACAGCAGAGCACATCATGCTGCGCAAGGTCCACCAGGGTCTGGGTCTGGTCCGAGCCAAGGATACGGCCAAGGCCAGGGACACATGTCTGGGCCCGGGATGGGGCCTGGGTATGGCACAGGGCAAGGTCAAGGACTGGGACTGGGAGATGGGACCCATGATTCACTAAAAAACTCTGTAATCAAGAGTAGAAGCCACGGAATCTTCCCTGATCCAGCCAAAGGTAGAATCATTTACAGAGTTACCATGAATGAGTTTATTTTGTGTGACTGCATGAAAAGAATCCTAACACTGATTTTGGCATTCTGAGCAGGCTGCTGTTAGCGACAAAGGCGTAAATTAAAAAATGTCCTCTGAGTTGCCAAATTGTAAGAGGCTGTTACCATAGAAACAATAATGCTAATCGCAACTTGACAGCTGTAATTACACTTCATGTACTTGTCAACAGCTACAAGGCACAATTAGGGTAGCTTTGGAGCAGAAAACTCAAATACTGTCTGAATATTTCTCATCTTCAGCTCTTCACTCATGTCTGTTTAGTAGTTACAGCCCTCCATTTCATCCCCCTGCAGATATGCAGATGCTGCCATTAGAAAAATCCCACAGCAGCCCTGGCAGCTCCAAGTCTTCCTCCGACGGCCAACTGCGCTCCCACGGCCCCTCACGAAGCCAAAGCAAAAGCAGTGTCACTCAGACCCATCTCGAGGACGCTGGGATAGCCATTGCTGCTGCCGAGGCTGCCGTACAACAGTCCCGCCTGCAACCAAGTAATTCCCACCCCTACATGTGTTGAACTTCCTGTGACACGCCTCCTTTCTCCCATGCATGCCAATTTTAGACTGTTTGGTAAAAGCCTGAACCACTATGTTTGTTAACCTTCTTAACATTTTACCTGTGCCTTCTGCTCTCCTCGTCTTATTTTGTGTTTGATCTACTTTGATCAAAAAAGAAAATCATACTAACAAAGAAAATAAACAGAATTCAAAGCAGATTTAAAAAAATATATATGAGACAAAACTTAAAATTGTTGTAAAAATCTTACTTAACTCAGTTCTAAGATCAGAAAATAAATGTATTGATAAATTTATAATTTTGGATTCTTAGAGCACTAAATTCTACAATAACAGTATAAAGCAACTTCAATGTGTTAAATAATCTAAGTCTTTATATGTAAATCTTAAGTAGGATATAATTTTGTCATTATCAGTGGGTTATTAAGACAGCGGGAGACGTGAACCAGCTTTTGAAAACAAATATATACATATTATTTTAAAGTTAAAGCACCAGTCAGATCTCTGTGGTTCCTCACTAGTTGTGCATGTGCCAATCCCAAGTCCATGGTTTCAGTAGTGTGTAGCCCAGTGTGGAAACTTTTAACCCCAGTATAGAAACCAAACTGGGATGGCAAATCCCTGTGAATCCTCGACCATATTAACGTCACTAAAAAAATCATCATCTATGTTTCTGCATAGTTCAGTGGGATGTTCTCAAATAGAGGAAATAAACAGTTACCCCCACCTTGGATAAGTTACCCCACAGTCAGAGCCATCTCAGCATGCAGTTGCAGCTTCCCTGGCTACTGTTCCCTGGCCTGGGAGGCCTTTGTGATGCTGCATTATTTGTGTGTGTGCATGTGTGTGCCATATGAATGAACCCTTACATAAGTTAAACAAACACTCACATAAACACAGACCCACACATAAGTATGGCACACAGGCTCCCTTTCCTATCCAATCCCTTCCTGAACCAACGGCCCATAACAAAAAGGACTTAAATGTGAGACTGAACCAGTCAAACCAAGAAACAGACACACCAAGAGGTGTCAGAATCAACAGGAGGCTCACTCTGCATTCACCTGCCTATGAGAGTAAAGCTGACAGCTAACCACCAGAGGAACAAGTGTCTGGGGAAGGTGAGGCAACATAGGAGCAAAGTACTGATAAACATTTTTAAATTGATTTAATAAACTCTAGATAAATGAAAAAGTACTAACATAAAAACAGAAAAGAAACTCAATTTAGTTTGTCTTAAAACTTAATGTTTCAGCTACTTTAGCAACAAATATGTATCATGTAAAAAATTTAAAATGTGCATTTGTTACCGTCTGTGATTGTGCATGTTTTTATGTTCCATGTCACTGGTATAATTATGTTTTCATGGCTACAGAAACAGCATTCTCGACTTTTTCTTTCGAGTCATGGGTTATGTTTTAAACATAATTTAACAATCATTTACTGTTGTTATTTTTCCTTTTTTTTTCGCTGAATATATAAATAATGGAGACTGTGACCTTAAAGGCGAAGAATGTATCTACCCTTTGTCTAGACAGAAACACTTCATATTCCCTGAACTAATCATTCTTTTTCATAATGTAGACTATGAGCATTATTCAATGGCACCAGGGGACTGGAACAAAAAAAGAAATCTGTAAAAGAGCAATCATATTGTTTAATTCTGTATTCTTATATGAAATTAACTAAGTGGCCTTCATTTATTTTCATAAATGAAGGGATTAGATGTGGCCTGCAGAAGTTAACCAAAGTGACACACTGTACTGCTAAATGCAAGGACGAGCTGTCAAACCCATTGATCAGCGCCTCCCTCGATTTGCTGTTATGTGATGCTCAGTCAAAGTTATGTATGATTGACAGCTTCTCTGTCAGTTACTGATAGCCGGGGGTGTGAAGTGTTTCTGCATATCTGGACGCGCATGCACACGTGTTGAAAAGCTCAGTCAGATGCTTTGTTCTTGTCACTGTGTTCAAATATACACTTACATACAGACAGATGGATGGGTTGATGGATAGATAGATAGATAGAGAAATGGACTGATTGTTTTTCAACCTTATGTCACTATTTACCACTCTCAGGACCAGGACACAGACTGGCTGATGTCTCAGGGTCCGTAGTGTTGTCTGCCCCAAGTCTTGTGGGTGACGCCTACAGTGGCCTTGAAGGGGACGATGAGGAAGGCACTGGTGTGGACAGTGCCATTTTTCAAGTGCCACGCATGTAAGACCGTTTGGGTTTTTCCCTTTTTTTTCTTTTTTGTGCTTAAGGTGTCAAATGTTTTATTGTGACTGTGTGACTATGTGTTTGTGTTATTTTTCTTTCTTAGCGGGAAGACTATTCCTAATGGCACAGACAAAAACCAACTAGAGATGACAGAAAACGAAGGCAAGTTCCAGAAAAAAAGCCTCTTTTTACACTAGAGACATCTGGAGGGGATGGGAGAAAAACACCAACACGCCAGTTTGTTTTAACTTAGTTGTTGGTCTCCATCTACTGGCCACTTTTTAACACAACACTTGCATTTATTTTCTCTTTTTATCACCTTCAGTCTGTGTTTTGGTAACAACTTTATTTAGATATGCATTTAAAATGCTCTCTCACTGTCAATTATGGCCAAAAACAACCCAGATTAATATACTAATGCAAAACCTGGGATAGTGGAAGAGAAGTGGATGTCACATTATCCTACCTGTGTCATAACTATATCTACGTTTCGTGTTGCTCAGGTGTCATGATGCCTCCTATCCATCTCTTGTTTCAATTTGTAACAAAGAGCCCAAGGTCATCTTAGGCTGTAGGCTGGCAGCTGTTACACAAATGAGGGTCAGGGGGTCATTTTCATGGCGCCTGATGACTGATGTAAAACGTTTCACCCGGCCTGTCATTGATAAACTCTTAAACTTAAAAGTATTAAAAAGACACACATGACAGTCGAAAAGTTCTTTTACGTGGTTTCATCCTGCAGTGTGACCCGATTCAGCAGCTGATAAATTATTCATATAATCTTCAGTGATACCAGGAGAACATGCTTTTCTCATGCAACTGTATCTGCAAGCAGGCACTTAGCCAAATGAAGAAGAAAAAAAAAACGAGAAAACCACAACTATATTCCCCAAACTAAATGTCCTTTCTTCCTGTTTTCAGGTGGTAAAACACAAGTGATGGGAGAGATCAAGGTGGCTTTGAAGAAGGAGGTGAAAACAGAGGGAGATCAACTGGTCTTGGAGATACTCCAGTGCAGGAATATTACTTACAAATTCAAGAGCCCTGATCATCTACCAGGTCTGGGAGTGCTGTATATCTGTGCACATGTATAAGTGATGATATATATGTGGTCTCATTAATAATGCTACACAACCCCTTCTTTTCTTAAAAGCATGTTTTCTTTATTTCCCTTTCATGTCTGAATTAATCATGTCTTCTTTACTTACTATCATTAGATTATCACACAGTTGCGATAATCTTGTATATATTCCTAAAACCAATGGTAATTTAAGTTATACAACAGAGCTGCAACATTTAATCTTACAAGCTTAAACCTGAGAGGCCTTAAAAGAGAAAATGACCATACAAAGTAAGTGAAGAGCTGCCAGTGAATATATTTTTGACAGTTACAACACTGTGCAGGTGTTTGCTAGTCATTCCGTTCCTACACACTTGTTTTATGAAACAGCTTTATGATATTTTTCCCACATTTACAGCATCAACAAAATATTGTGCGCTACATTAAAACGCAAAGAATATTACAAGCTGCAGTGGGACTGTTGAACACAAAGTCTATATATAGAATGGACAGCGTCTGCCTCCTCCCTGGGTGAAGCCACTTCGAGAACAGCACCCTCTGGTGACAGGCTGCAGTATAGGTTATAAATCCCGCCTCCACCAGCCATTCTTATGGGGCTGTGCACAAACTTTAGAAATTTATGATCCCTTACTGACCCAATTGACCTACCAGCCCCTCTACTTGAGGACATGCAAGGGCTGATCCTGAATTTCATAAGGAGGACAAATTTTGGACTCAATTTCTTTTCTCTTTTCCTGTTTTCACTTTGCCTGATATGGAAAAACTAATGCCAAATACAAGAGTATTATTTTGCAAATTTAAATACTAACATACCACTCTGTTGGTTCACTTACCCATACTCATTGTTTCTCTTCTTTGCCCTCAGACCTGTATGTGAAATTGTATGTGGTGAATATAGCCACTCAGAAAAGAATCATCAAGAAGAAGACTAGAGTTTGTCGACATGACAGAGAGCCGTCTTTCAACGAGACCTTCAGATTCCCCCTAAACCCAACAGGCCACTCCATACAGGTACTACTCATGCGCATATGAGACAGTGGCAAACAGAGTGACCTGGATATAAAAGGATATATGGAAGCTTATACAGCAGTAGGGAGCTGTGAGCCCAAGTCATGAATTCTTTTAGTTTAATTTATAAGAAGCGGAAATGTCTCAGAGTTGAAGGAATGTCCACTTTTTTCATTATTGGCATGAGTTGCCTTCAAAAATACTAAAAAGGTTTATGCATCAGTGTCAGAAAAAATAGTTCTGACCGTTCTCTTTTTAGAAAGTGTCACAAACACCACCAAAACTGATTCCCTTTGATATATTTCCAGCTTTTCCTGGTGTCAAACGGAGGAAAGTTTGTGAAGAAGACCCTGATTGGGGAGGCCTACATCTGGCTGGACAAGGTAGACATGAGGAAAAGAGTTGTCAGCTGGCACAAGCTGTTGGTGAGCTCAACTCAGACCAACCCATGAGCACCACGTCAAAAAGATGAAGACGCAGTACATCCACGCAAGGCGAAGGGTCGAAAAAAGAAGAGGGTGAGAAGAGGAACTAAAATGATAACTTAAATTCCTCCATTCTTCCTTTACTGTCTCAACTGTTACTTATAAGAAAGAGGGAAATATGTGCTAATACCATAACAACTGTATCAGTCCAACACTGCCAGCACACATCCACCTCCTTACATGCAGGTTTCTTCTAGCTGTGGACTAAGCAGCAACATGGATTTGAGAGCAGAAATGCCTTTTTTTTACTTCAGTTTAACGCCATAATCCAAATGAGATTTTGTTTTCTGGTGCTGTGCAATGAATCAAACATATCTTTAAAAGGAAGAGAAGGTATATTTGACTTGATCACAGAATTATTACCTGAGTAAAGCATTGTGATTTGAGTCGTTGTTGTTATGCTGAATGGTGGTTGTGACGTGTGTTTGGATGTTAGAGGTCTTTCAGTAGTTAAGGTCGAGGAATAAAAATGTTTTTGTATGAAAGTCTTTGAGTTTAATGTAAAAAGAAAAATCTGTAGAAGTCAAAGTTATGGATGAAAAATGTACAGCTCTTCAGATTGTACATATCTCACATGCAGATTACAGAGCATATCAAAGAATCAAATTGTACAGAGTGAGGTTTATATAATATACAGATATCAGATGCAGAATATATCGAAATACAGTGTAAGAGTTGTTCTCTTGTCATTAGAGTATATAGAATAAAATATAGACATATGATCTCTATTAGACTGAGGCTGTGGGTGGTGCACTGACAATCCTGTCGGCTACTTGAGTCTGTGGTGTAGGCAGTGTCAATAGCTGTTATGTGAATGTGGACCTACATGAGAAAATAGCTCCTCGGTCCTCTGATCACACTGATGCACCACTAGATGTTCACTAGATTAATACGGATGAAGACCAACAGCTGGTGAAACATCACGGTTTCACTGGCCTCCTGTCGTGTCGTGCAGGTTAGAGTTACACTTCACTGAAAAGCATTTTGTCATTTTAAGTCCAGATTACATGCTGTATTGAATGTTACGAGTCAACTCAAGAGGATGACCAGTTCTAGTCATATCTGTGTACATTTTACTTTAAGGCTGCTGTAGTTGGTCAGAGTAGACTTATATTTTTTTTTTCTGCAGCCCTTGGTGTACTTACATTGTTAGAATGGGCATATCGTTCACACACCAGATGTGTCAAAACGTGTAGATCTGCAACTGTCATCACGTCAGTATGGCAGCTCTGCTCCCTGTGTATCAGTAAAGCCCTGTAGTTTGAGTTTTACCCCATTTCATTTGCAGAATACAGAGAAAAAAAAAGATCCTTTCAGTCTAATGTCAAGGCTCCCTTTGTTTGTCTGACTGTGCTGTTAAACTCACTGTGCTGTTTGTGTCAGTGACTCCTGTGTCAACACAGTGAACCAGCCTCTCACACTGCCTGTGAACACTCACCCGAGTCTGAAGAACACAAAGAGCCAAGTCTGGGTACCAGTGAGGAGTAGGTGACCCCTGTATGTGCGGAATAGATATCTAAAATATCACATGACCCCATGAACTAATGTTGATGTTGTCAGGGATAGAAAGGGACTGATGCGTTTTTTTTAAGAGAGGTAAACTTGAAATAAGATGTCACTTCAATTCCAGCAAATGAGAATTAAAAAAGAGGATACAAAAGGAAGAGAACATGGCTGATTTTCAGAGGTTATTTTACAGTGCCAACCGTATTTGTTTTTTTCCAGACCCATTGGTTCTTAATTCTATGCAACATATATGTATTTGAATGCATTTGTTTTTGAAAATAAATGTTATATAAATGTTATAACATATGGTTTAAAGATGTCTTATAGTAAGAGTAACTTTAGTTTATACACCATTGAGAGAAAATATTAAATACATTTTTTTTACTGATTTTAATATAAATTGATGTTAACCCTGTTAACATTAACATTAAGCTTGTGCACTTTATTATGACATTGTTTATTTTCTCGTCTCATGTTATCTGTCACATCATGCAAGGTTATGTGTTTTGTGTTTTTGCACTGACATGAAATGGCTCATGCTGTGTATGGTGGCAGAAAAGTTGTGGTGTGCATTTTGTATCAATGTGGCAAAAAATAAAAAACATGCAGACATGTTGGGGTTCCTTAATACAATGCACAATCTGGGCAGGAGAGACCCTCTCTACACCATACTCATAGTCTAAATAACAGTCTGTGTACAAAGTACAGTATATCAAACATAACCCCTCAATGCTCAGTCAGGACTGTTTAACCCCTCGTGTTTTAATAGAACTCCCTCGCTGAATACTGTTTGTTTCAATCAGCTGTTGCTTGTCGTTGTGAAACCATCCATTTGATGTCGTTCAGAGGAGTGTGAATGTGACCTGAGTCCTTTGACATGTGTACATAAAGTGTTTATTTTCTACAAAGATTGAATGTTTATATTGTCTGAAGTTTGAGCATGTGAGTGTCAGAAAATAAAAATAATTATTAGACTTAAAACTGTACAGCAATGCGTGTCTATAGTTGTATAAGGGGAGTTGACTGTGTTATCATGTGCTGTCAACCAATGACTATCTGTGCAACCATGTCCAGTAAAACAGCTGAAACAACACAAAGGGATGAAAAAAAATATCAACTTCAATAGTTGTCTGAGAATTTATGTTCTGGATGTTGCATGTTCTGTTGATGGTTTGTCTGTATATTTGCCCACAGATTATGTTAAAAAAGAGACAGAATATGTAAAGATTTATCTGTATGCTGACTGTAAAGAGACATGCTTGTAAAATTGTCTTGTTTTTCACTCAGTGTAAAAACAGAGAATCTAAAGTTATGGTTTTGTGGTTGTACACAGGATGTGTTGAGATATTATGCAAATTGTGCTGTAAAAATCAGCTGTTTCCCCTGAGTCTAAAGAATAAATATTAAGAAGAGCTATATTACATCTGCAGTATGGATCTGGGTTTTGTTTTTAGGACTGAAATATAAGCAATGAAAAAAAAAAAGATAACGTTCGTCATTTTTATTTTTACCACCAGGTGGTGCCAAAGTGATGCTAGTTGTGGCTTTATACAATCTAGTACACAGTGATGATGGTGCGAGAATGTTAAAAACAGTGAGCATGTTTTTAAGTCTCAGTTCACTTTAGGAAAGATCACTATTTCACCATTTTTTTAACTTTCTCCAAACCTTCTATGCAATTGCCACAACAGCATAATAGTGCATCAAAACTGTGTCACAAAACATGCCAAGAACAGCTCGTTCATTTTTTTTTTCATTCATTTTTCAAGCCAAAATTTTCTGTCAGCTGTATCAGGCGGCACCACTCAAAGGAAAAGTTGTTTTACTCTTGTTAGAGCCATTCTGGTCAAAATGGACGGATGCTCTTTCCCTTGATGGTCACAAATAGTGTTATGACTACAATTGCTGCAAAATTACTTCCTTGTTCAAAAGCAGTACCAAAAACAAACAAGATATTCCATAGCTATGAGAAAAACTATGACATCTCCCTTATGGATCACCTTACTGACGTCCTCACATGCAGCATTCAAGGCATTCAACAGAGACAGCTGATCCTGTGGCTGGTCATCAATTACTTTCTCTACTACTAAGTTGACAAAGCAACATCTATAACTTTATACTTTCAAACTTGATTGTGATTGGCTTATTTTGCTTTAGAGTCCATCACATACTCTCATCTTTGCAGGTTATTGGTCATTTTACCATGGCTACATTACAAACATTCCATGTCATCCAGATATATATTTATGGCTCTTCAATGTATAAGTAATAGATTTGGATTATTGAATGAACCATTTTGCACGTGGAGCTCAAACTATGAAAGAATATTTAGGAGTTGTGGAGAGTTGGACAATTTCACTGAGAATCGGCTGATCAGTTTGGATCTGTGAGGCATGTAAGAGTGATTTTCATGCAGAATTGCAGAGAATTGGTTTCACTCTTCTTCCCAAAGCAATTTGCTTGAATGAATGAAATTCTTAACTGTTATAAACAACACTCTAATTGTTCAGAGATTTGAGCTCACTGTTTCGAAAACACTTTCCTCATCTGAGAATTGAGCCAAAGTGAATGAGAGAAACTTCAGTGTTGCTGCTACTGAATGACTAATTTGTTGGATCTACAGTCTGGTGTTTTACACGTATGGAGCAGAGAGATAAAGAAGTCACAGTGAATATTTAGGATGTTTTCTGTGGTTCAGAGTCTTAAGAAATGCTCTCTTTTTTCCTGTTTGGTGACTAGTCAAAACCAAAACTGGTGCATAAAGTCAGACTGCATGACTGTACTGTTGAATGGTTTAAGTAGCTCCTGAGGCAGCTTCAACTCCCTGATTTGCACAAAAATTCATCCGCTGCAGAACGCCCACTTAAGTTCCAAGGAGATAGTGGATGGCAGACACCTGAAGGTTTCCACAGCTCACACAGCTACTGAATAATTTGATGGGCTGAAAATGTCACGAAGCTTCTCCTGAAGGCCACTCTATTCTCTCGAGTTGTAAGTGTTTCCATCTCAAGGTTGTCATAACAACTTGGAGCTGGTGCAAAGAGGACTTTCCTGGTTTTAAAAAAAGGATTGTATCAGGGCATCTAGTTGTTTCTTATATCAACAGAACTACTGTTTGCTTTTTACATAGTATCTGATGTGTGATCTGCACATACAAGCACGGACTACGGATGGTTTAATCAGCACAGTCTTAAAATGACATTTGTATAAGAGATTTCTTCAGAGGTTGTGCTTATATGGAGCTAAAATTGCAAGAAGGCATTGAGTATATGTTTGTGTGAGCCCATGGCTTCGTCTCTACTTCAGTCCCACCCATTTGTCCCTGGCGTCTGATAACTGGGGATGACCTTAGAGAGTTCTGATTTAAAAACAAATTTCACAGGAGGGGATGGTAGGGTGGGCCTAGCATCTGTCTACATAACATCCAGGAGTGGAGACACAACAGCCTTCCAAGGCCGCTGTGGGGGAGCCACTGAAGATAACAATTGATTTTGGGACAGGCAGACTTTGTAATTTTCCGTCTACCTTCAGTCTCTCTGGTCTCTGATGGCGTTGCTCCAAATATCCAAATTTGGTGGCCAAGTCAGCCAAGCCGGGCTGTCATCTTCTCCAAGGTGATATCCAATGTGCGAAGGAGTTCATGAATCACAACCAGCCTGCGATTTTGATCAAGAATCGCATCCAGCTTGCGATTAAGCTCGCATATCGCTTGAGTCTGGGTGTCGACAGCCCTGCACATTCCCTGAGTCATGACGGGCAGCTTCTCGATAGCCAAAAGTACTGCCAACGTCTTCAAAACTTTGTGATAGATCAGGAAGCTGCTAACTCCAAACAGTAGAATGCCTGTTATCATGATTCCAATTATGTAGATGTCTTTAACATCCTCAACGGAAAGAATTGACAGGCACACAACCCCTTGCTTCTCCCAGGGGTCCAATGTGTATCCGGCTGCAAACGTTCCGTTACAGCAGACAGGTTCTCCTCTACCCAGTCTTCTCGTTGAGAAAATTTGGTCGATTGCGTTTGCGTTGAGAGCCCAGTTGATCAAATCCGTAATTTTAAGTTTTGGAGAGTAATTCAGAGAGAGGCTGTGGCAGTTCAGACAGAGACAGCACACGACAAAGAGCAGCAAGCAGGGCAGATAAGGGTAGGGAGGGAGCAAGAGGAAAAGTGTCCGCCTTCGTTGAGAGCAAAAAGAAGGCACTTAGTTATCAGGTAAGTTAGTTATCTGTTCCGACAAGACAAGACTAGATTAAATAAATTTGGTTGTTGCAGCTAAACCGACACAACAGCCAAGTCATACAATTAAAAAAGTAGTAGATTGAATTAAAACTAAAACAAAATATTGTTATCAGGCTGCAAGATACAGGTGATGTAAACATGAGTACAAGAACATTCCTTTGCTGCCCCTAAATTGATTGTCCATCAACCAGAGGCACCAAGAGTTTCTGGAAAGCATTCATTAAAACTGCAAACATTTAACAACATCCTAATCATGCAGCATGTGTCTGGGACTGCAACCGCGTCTGTCTAACCACGTGTGTAGTGTCCTACAACCGTTGTTAGTGTCTTACTGTCCTTACTCTAACCCCAACTGTTACAACAAAACATGGATCTAAGAAATGTGGTCACATACTTGTGGTCCTGGACTCTGCTGACACATCATTTTGGCCTTCTTTTCATAACCTAATTCTTGCAATGACAATACTCAGCCTCCAGATGGCAGTATCTTGTATCAAATAAACTGAATCTTCTCGGTACAGTCTCACTACGTGTCATAAAAGTAAATCTGCCAAAGATGACATGTCTACTGATAATACTGTCCACTGGGAACAAATAATTTAGATTAGATTTATATTCTTTAAAAACAAATGTTTTTTTTGTTTAACTTTTTTCTTTTTTGGGGGGTTGGGGTTTGGGGGGGGGGGCACTTCCCACCTTCTATGAAAGCCAGACATTGCAAGACCTAGATTACCTACTACCACCGAGATACACTTCAAGTCTGGGTCTTTTTGACAATGCCATTTTTCTATTCAACTCTCTTAATCACATCTCTTCAGAGGTATTAGTCTGACACCTCCATCTATTCAGACTATACTTTAAGATGTTCCCAATTAATAAAAAAAAAGTAGTGAATAAGGAAGTCTGCAGAGGAGTCTACTCTTGGATATTATTGTATTAGTTCACTACTTGCTACCTTTTCAGTTCTCACCATTCCCTCACTTTTCTCCAACCTATCAGCAGGTGCATCTGCTACCCGGGCTGGGGTTGATGAGTGTGAGGAAGGTGTGGAGAGAGAGAGGGAGAATGTAGAGCAGGGCATGTGACAGAGTGTGAGGGAGGATGAGCAGAGTGGGGAAACTAAGTGGGGGGAAGAGCAACAGTGCAATACAAGAAAAGCAGGGGGGGGAGAGTTGGGGATGTGAGAAACAAAGAGACATAGAGGGGGGAAGAACGGGAGGAGGGGAGGGTGAGAGGACACGAGAGATGGTGTGTGGTTGCCAGGCAACGATTGATAACCAAATCCCTGAGCACCCTGCCTATGCTGCCCTGCCCTCCCCTCCAGGCCTGAATTACACACACAGACCCAGAAACACACATAGTGTAAGTTTATGATAATGCTTTGTAATTCACTGAACCAATTTAGAGTGTTGATGCTCTTTTAAATTAAAGTGATAACAGACACTGTTTGTAGCTGCTGTGGTGCTGGTGGGAGAGCTTGTATATATTTCATATACATTCTATTATTTATATGTTTATGCTAGGATGCACATCACACAGCTGCAAACCCATCCTAATAAAACTAGTATGATTGATGGCGCACAGATTTATTGGAGCTTTTACTGTACTTTGCTCCAATAAGATTTTACACCACATGTGCGAAATCAATACATCTGTAACACTAGCTCTGGTTCCCATGTGGGATAGCTTCCCCTGTCTGCTGCCATTCATGCCACACCAGTATGACTGATAGCCACTGCTGCCAAAGCTTGTGCTCTCAAATGCAGTAAATTCTCAGGGTACCAGGAATTGAAAGGTTGTAGGGTATTTTAAAGAACCAATTCTGCATTTGTATTCCGTGTGCATCACCTTGTGCGTGTGTTCTTGTATGTGTGGTACCTGTAGTCAGGCCACCCTTGTAGCAGGTGTTTCTTGATTTGGAGGTAAATAAAACAATTTGTTGCTGCTAATTTGGAGCGGTGTACACCTTGAGGCGGGTCGGAAAAAGAGTGATTCTATTAGTGGCTGATAAAAAGACACTATATCCTTTAAATTCATTATGTTTGTGTGGATTTATTTGTTTTTAAGTACTGGGACAGATCTTTACATGTCCAATCTACTATGTCTGGGTGTAACTATGTAGTCTATGGCAGATATGGTCCAAGATAAAATGAGCATATGTTTTTTTCTTGACTAGATGGTAAAGGATAGGGATAGCAGGGTGCGTGAGAGAGCGAGGGAGGGACAGAGAAAGAGAGAGAGAGACAGAGAGAGAGACACAGAGAGAGAGAAAGAGAGAGAGCTCCAGCCTCAGTACCTGTTAGAGCGCTGGATGGCCGGTTGATCAGATTAAAGGCGTCAGGGTTGGTTAATCTGTGAAGGAGGGACAGACTGACACTCACGGTGCCTCTGCTCACCGTTTTCATTCACCGGCGGAGAGGCGGAGGGGAGCGGGGCACGTTCGCTGTAGCCGGGCGGCGGGGAATTTCCCCCCTCTTTTTTTAACAATGGATACCTGCAGGGTACGAACCTGGGTGTTTCTGCTTTTATTTTGGCAGGACGGTTCCCTGGCTTCGCAGTTTCCGACACAGCTCATGTAAGTATAGCCCCTGTAATCCAATTTTGCGCTGTGGACGAATGTTGTGGTGTGACTATCATATGAAAAGTGCTCGCCTTTTAGAGACAACTATCACATGTAATGAGACACCAAGGTGTGTAAGGGCTGTGCTGTACTGTAGGCGCGCGTTGGGGTGTGAGAGCGGGGTGGGCAGGTCGTTCCATTCATGCTCCGGTGGTCACCCTGATGAAGACGCGTTTGAGGGCGGACGCGATTTCCTCCAGCCGGGCGGTGATTAATGGAGATAACCGGAATGGGCAGCGTGTAGACGGGGGATGTGGACACAAAGCGCCGTGACAGCTCTGTGAAGTTACTGAGGAGTTGGTGTTTCTTTTTTCTTCTTTTTTTTTGTAGCCTACACTAACAAAAGTTGTATCTTGTCTTTGACGAGTTTGCAGTTTTCTTATTGTTTTGTGTAGACTGTCATATCAAATTAACTTTGTCTTGGGCTACTTAATTTTTTACGACCATATGAAGAAATGTAGATAGATAAAATCAAAGCTTATGTCCAGGTGTTGCCTACACTTTTACCTGGAAGCCTTTAATAAAACTTAATTATTACTACTGTTTTTTTTTTATTACAAACACATGGATCACCCACTTCACAACAGCTTGATGGACCAAAGGGCCAATGGTGGTGGACGGCTCCTCTCTCTTCACTACAGGACAGAAAGATTCAGAAGATCTTTTGTACCAACAGCCATTAGACTTTATAACTCTTGTGTAAATAATAGATAACTTTTGGAGACATATTATGTGAGACAACAGACAATTGAATTTCCCTTCGAGGATTAATAAAGTTATTTGTATTCTTATTCTAGCCTAGATGATAATTTGATCATAGATAGATAGATAGATAGATGGAATCTGTGACACATGCAGATGAACTAAAGAGATTTTATCTCATTTATTTTTCATCAAGTGCCCAATGTGTTGACGCTTTACCTCCCCTAAAAGACATGTGTTTTCACGCCACATTTACCCATTTTGCTAACGTCTTACCAGTGATAAAAAAGTTTCTTCACCAAACCACACTTAACACTTTCAAAAAGTTGGATTATTTGTATATCTTGCTGAGCTTATTCATACTGGATCAATATTAGAGATGCTTTGCAGTATGCCCAGAGCACTATCAAAATTAATTTACAGAGCCTCTTGCAAATGTTGAATTGGATTTTCAAAGCTTCAAGTTACTAATTCAAGAGATGGAGCTGCATGTGGAACTGCTGGAGAGGTAAATATTACATTGAAGGACTTTTTACAGCCATAGCTGCGGTAAACTCACAGCTCGTAACTGCAAACACACACAAACTCAGGCAGCCCAACAGTGAAATCAAAGAAGTGCACACATCCTAAAACCAGCTTACTTCATCTGCTTGAGGCAAATAATGGAATTTCTATCTATGAATGAGTACGTGCAGGAATAAGCTGAAAATCAATCCATGAGGTGCATACATCACTCACAGAACTGGATCACAAATTCATCTTATATGTTATATGTTGCTGCAAGAAGACCTGGAGTAGTCCCTTCAAATCTGAGTGCTAAAAAATGGGAAAGCCCTGGCTCTTATTCTAACTGTACATGAGCTGACAGACGGCGTTCGGTTCACTTTGGTGATAGTGTCCATTCAGGATAACTATTTTTATGTTCCCATGGCCTCTCTTCTTTTGTGTATGCCTGATGAATAAAATTTTCATTAGAGGTAGAGGCAGATAGAGGGCCCTTCTATTGAATTCTCAGCAGGGGAAAATCTACAGCCTGGATCATCTACCAGAGAGCCATTGCTTAACATCAAAACATGACCATTGTGCAGACGGCTGGGTCCAAAACATGTAATAAGCCTAACTGAATCAGTGATGCCAAATGAGATGCCACTATAGATACACAAAGAGTTGCAAATGGCTTTTATACATCTATTAAGTTAATTGTTTAGTTTGCATTGCAACATGATGATTGTATTGTACAAGCAATAGCATAAGTGGTCAAAATGAGATAGAGGAAATTAAAATGAACCGGATACAAGTATTCTTCATTGAGTGCATCCTTCTTGATTTCATCACTTAATTTGCATGAAAAAGAGAGAAAAAAAATATTCTGATGATAAAAAAGTACTTTTGCAAACTGAACCCAGCTGGGTTTATGCCTCCTTGTGATCCTTAATAGCTCTTCAGTTCAAGTAAATTCTCAGGAGATGAAACAAATTTGCTCTACCTTAGATGTGTAGAGTCGGGTTTCAAAGGAACAAAAACAGGGATGGAGGGCAAACACAGGATCATATGGGATTTTCTTAGTTTATAACAATGATCCAGGATTATAACTTTATTTTTTTATTATGTTGACCAGGCTGAATTAGGACTGAATTGGCAACTTGGGTGTTTATGTAGGCTATGGAGTGTGCAGCAGAGCACCACTGGTTATTTACTGCATTACTGTCGGTGTTTTAGAGCCTCAGTTCAGCTCTCTGGACTTCGCTGCTCCGTGTCTTTGTGATGATGATGTGTAATTAGACTGTAGTTTAACACAGCCCCTGACTGAGACTCACACTACGGGCCAGCTCATTATTCTTCCTGGTGTCGGAGTGATGGTGCCACAACATCTGCCTCCTCTCTTTCTTCTATTGTCTCCCCGCCTCTCTTTCTGCTTCGCTCTCGTTTGCTCTTCCTGTGTCTGAAAAACAATGTAGGGCAGTGTCTGACCCAGTTGCCATATGCATGTGCGTGAGTGTGTGTGTGTTTAATTATCCGGCGTGGTACCAGAGGCTGCAGTAATCAAAGCCCAGCAACCAGAGCAGAAATATTTTGCTACCTCAGCTTAACAACCATGACTTTATTAGAGTTTAGGCATCTGTGAATTGCTTACATTATCCTCGTGCTAACAATGTAATCATGATGAGATAACCAGCATCACTGTACTTAACCTCATTTGAGAGATACAGTAGCCCTGATTGCAGGAGGAGTTCCTATGCATCAGCTGTGATGGGCTGAATGCAGGCCTCACCCTTTTGGCATTTATAAGCATTGCCATGAAGTCAAGCCACAACCCAGAGGGATTTTTGTAAAGAATGATTTAAGGGTGAGGAGTTATTGTGCTGTGATTTACTTTGCCTGTGGATAATTCAACCAAGTCTAAAAGGCCAATTTAACAAGAGGATTTATCATATAGAGCAACAGGCACGCCGCTTTGGGGAGCAGTAGAATAACTTTCAATTTAATAGTCCTTTACTGTTTATAATGAGCCAACTGAGCTTTTTATAGCCAGGTCCCTTTTGTCTGCATGTTGTAGTGTTTGGTATTTGAACAAAATCACAAATATACACAGCCCAGGGAGTCTGCATTGTTAGCACAGAGCTATTCCGTAAAGAAGAATTTTAGAAAGCCTTTGGGTTAGAAATATTCTAAATTTGTTCACACGGTAAAATAAACTCAGTGTCATCTATACATACAGAGGAACTCATGCCCACATACTGCACCACAGCCTCGGGTTATGTCATCCATTTGTCAGCACCTGAGAGTTTTTGTTACACAGATTTACACTAGTAGCAGTAGATTTCACTCAAGTTAAACTCTGGAGAGACGTCCCTCTGCTTCTCTGAATGCCAAGTCCCTGGAAGCACAAACACACCCACCCACACACATATACACAGACTGCACATACACACTCAGGCACATCTACACAAACTCTAACTCAGAATTGACTTGTCAATGCTTCGGGCTTAGAGAGCTTAGGGTTCCAAGGTCCACTAAAACACCTTACAATCAGTTTATGTGGGGACAAGGAAAGGTGTGGCAAAGGAGAGGATCAACAGAGGGGAAGCTAAGACCAGAAAAACGAGGGAAACCGAGACCAAAAGAAAAGAAGAGACAGGATTTTCTCAACAAATAATGGATGTTCCCAGTTTGTGTAACACTCAATGCAGAGAGAACTACCAGTCAGTCGTAGGTTTGAGCACACGACCAATATCTCCTATATAACACAACAAGAGGAAGCTGTAAGTAAATAGACAAACCATAAGGTAAATATAACAGTGAAATAAGCAGTATTAGACGGTAATTATGCCTGTAAGGAAAGAGTGGGACCCAGACAGCCTAATTAGTCACAAAAAAGGAAATAGTTTTAATCAGCAGGGGGAACAATCTTATCACAGGGGAAACTATCTTATCACAAGGTCCTTGTGGTCACTATTTTGGATCTTTCACCACTTCCCTCATTAGCAGATATAATTTGCCATCATGAACTTGAACAGAAGTGACAGGATCTAATAGATAATGGAATTTGAATGCTTAAAAGGCCGTTCAAATGAAGCAACACATCTAAAAAAAAAGTCAAAATATGTCAGGAAAGATGCAGAGATTCCTATTTTGAGTTGAAAATCTGAATATTAAAACCTTCCTGTGTCTGACATCTTTCAAGCTCCATATTCTAATAGGAAACACAGTGTGCAACTCGGGTTTTCACATGACCTCATTCACAGCACCATTTTTAGGACCGACCTGGACCCAGATGTCAGTAAGGGCTGTTTTCTATGCTGTGAATGACATATAAGTATCAGGGCCACCAAAGAGAGAGAGAACATTTTGATTTTGAGATTACAGTCACAGAAGAATAACAATGAAAAGAATGATAATAATTTTACTTTGTGGTAAAATTTCTGAGCCTGAGTTTGATGTTTTGAGGGGAAGATTATATTAGGAGCCATCTCCTGTGCTAAACTAAGGAACGTGGAGTTTTTTTATAAAATTAAATCCAAGTATTGGTTGGCACTGTCATTTGAATCTGGGTTTTGATTTTATTGTGTCAGAAACTAAGTCTGTTATGAAGAAGAGCAGGCTGACAGACAGCCTGTGCTAGCTTCTGCAACTGCTGTTTGTCCTCAGCTGTTGAATTTAACTTCTCATCATGATCTTGGAGACTAAGCTTGCTGGATGGAAGAAAATAAGGCTCTAAACCCAAATAATTCTTTTACATAAATGTTTTTTTGTGTGTGTGTATTTGTTTGTTTGTATTTTGTCAGCGGAAAAATGGGTGATTTTCACCTGACAAACTGTTTCTCACTGGAGCTTGTATGAAACTGGATGACAGTGCTATGGTCCTCAACAAAAAAGGTCATGTTACTCAAACCCTTGAACCAAATCGTTTCGGCTGATATAAGCACATTATTAGCATATCAATATTGGCATTGGGGATGTGCATAATGAAGTTGTGTTTTGGGGCATTTTTGCCTTTGTTAGATAAAACAGCTGTTGTATGGCCATCTGACCACAGCAGTGCTGAACCAAGCAAAGCACACCCATGACTAGTTTTGACTGCTTTCTGATTGTTTTCTTAGCTTAAGATCAGTTGGTTAGTTGGAACGAGTCAACTAAAATTCAACTAGATTATATCAAAATATACATACTGTATAAAATTAAAGTCTATTGCTGACTGCAGGAAACTAGTCGTTTGGTCTGCATAGATGTTGGCTAATAGGTGATTTAAAACCAAGTGTATGAATCATTAAAATAATGTGTTATCAATACATTATTGTTTTACTGAGAGCAGAGATAACTTCTTCTCTGCTTTCAAATGTAAAAAACTGAAGTAGACACAATGTTGTATGCCTCCCACCTCTGTAATTAGATATAAAGGATGGAAACAAAGAAACGTCAGCAGCTTGAGGATAACTACACCAAAGCTGTAAATAGGGGATTAAAATCATTTTAAAATATGTAACAGTAAGTTTAAAGCTCAGCCAGACTTAAACCTACCAGCTAAATAATGACTGACCTTGCTTTAATACCCTTTTTCCTGAACAGTTTCACACCGAGCTTTCTTCTAGTTTTTTTTTCCCCCCAGTTTTAAAAAGTGTCTCATCTTTCTGCACATACTCAGTTCCTCTGAATTTTCCCTGCCCCCTGTGGATTTTGTGTCCCTGATAAATCTTTCCCATTTCTTTTTCTACTTTCTTTATCCTCTCTACCTTTCTTTCTTTATTTGCATCTTACTCCTCCTTCAGCAGTACTGAGTGTCAAGAGTGTATGTCTGGAACAATATAATGTAACTCTGACTGCTGCAAACTAAACTTTTCAGGGAAGACTTTCTGAGTATTCATCTTTATCTGTTGCTGTGTTTCCTTCAGTTTTGTATTTGTGAGTATCTCCTTGAGATCATCAAGAATCACAGTGGAATTACTGTGAATGTGTTGCAATGAGACTATCTGTACTCCATGTCAACCAGTTGTCATTCTCATTCATTATTCATATAACTGTCTCACTGTGCATGTTGGTTTGTGCATGCATGGCAGCATTTATTGTGAATTAATGCAACCACATGCATACATGTATTACACTCCTTTGAGCATCCCTGAGTAGGTGTGCTTTGAGGTGAGCCTGATTATTCTAAGCCACTGTGTCACTTCATGTAAAATCTCCCAGGTCCTTGTGTCTGTGTTCACAATGCACAGAGTGGTTTACTATTTCAGTACATTAAAGTGCATGCTGGGGGCTTATTTTGGTTTGACAAGATGATTGGAGGAGGATGAGAGGAAGGTATAATCCAGTGTGTGGCACCAGCAGGGCAGACCTGATGTCCCCTGAGCTCTTTGATGTTCAGAGAAGCACGCCGGTCCTGGCTCCTCTCGCCTGTCCGCTCGCATCACCGTGGATGCTCACAACACACGCTGACACTTATCTGATTGGCTGACTTTGTGTTTGAACTCTGACAAAGTAATGGTATTGGTTGACTCTGAATGACACGTGTTTGATTAGATGGCATTGTATCTGTTCCCAGTGATTCAGGCAATGATTGGTTGACATTTTGCGTGACCTATCGAAGAGATTCTTCCAGGCCTCGTTTGCTTTTCTGGACGTTGTGTGTCTGGTTGGTCTCGTTAGATGATGGATGTTGGATAACTTCATTGACAGTTTAATTGTAAAAGTCTGCAATGTGTCTTTAAAGCTGGTTAAAAGATTGATTGTGTGCATTTCTTTGTCCTGTAGGATCAAAGAATGGGTTGATCAGATGCAGAAAGAGCTTGTCACCCTGGCAGACACAGCCACAGGCGGGAACAGCCTCACTCAGGTAAAAAGCACCCACCCACGTGCACATAAAGACAGTGCTATACAAATTTATATTTTATCTCCACAAACAACTTCACAATAATACAGCTTATTCTGTTTAATTTCCCCCTTTTGTTAGCCCTTTACTGCCTGAATCCCATTAATTAAAGCAGAGTATGATTGAAAAATACATACAACAGTGATATTCGTTTTGCCACACTTATTATACTGTATGGTACAAATGAGAGATTTGAAGTATTCAAGGTGTATGTATATGTAAAGTGCTTATTTGTGTATGTGTATATAGATATGGGTGTATATATGTATATATAAGGTTTTTGTTTCAGTATTAATGATTAGTTACATATTTCTGTTAGACTTTGGAGCTTTGGTTACTTTTTGGCAACATCAGAAATTCCAAATTCTAGAGATATGTAAAGGGTCAACGAATAGGAAGGAATGAGGGTACTGTAGGTACTGTACATATAAGCTAAATAGCTTCAACCTACTCCTTTTTGATCTCCAAAAAAATAGGGAATTTCTTGTCTGAAGTTGTACTGTAAATATATTTGATTGAATAAATAATCGCAAACCCTTAATTGTGACAAATTAATATCAACAGTTTGGGAAATTCTTGCATTTCTTACCAGTCATGCGTGTTTTAGTTCCATATGTTAGCTGTTTTCTGTTTCCATCTAGATTTTTCTGCGAAACCAAAACATATTCACTGTGGAGCAAAACGACGCAGAGGAGCTGGTGGCCAGAGCAGCCAGAAAAATTGAACAGCTGCTGCTGAAGAGGTCTGCTGCTTTGGAGGTAAGAGGTACCCCCCTTACAGGAACCAACTGTTGGTTTGTGTTTTACATCATTTCTGGTTTTGCGCACAGGGAAAGATCTTTATCAGGCAAGGCTGCAGAAAGTTTTCCATCTGGTTCTTGTTAGGATCTTGTCAGCTTAAACATGTTTATTTAAAAACCACAGAGCATGGGGTAAACTGTTTATCCTCTTATTAGTGTAGCATTTTGGAATAGAGTTGATGTACTCATGATCTCTAGATAAAATGTATGATTATTATCTATGCAAATTTCTACCAAACCCTCAATGTTATAAACAACCTAAGAGCATTCGGTTTTATGTTTCTTTTTAATGCGCCAAATGTAAATCTACCAGACAACTGGATTTGATGGGATGCAGTAAACTAAGAGAGAAGATCATCAAACTTACAAGTGGAAAATCTGCCGTTTGTGTTTAGCTGTTTGGCCGTCTGGAGGGCAGAGACCTTAAATGAACTCACAGCCCGAAGCTGAAGGGCTTCAGATGCAGAGTTGTGTGTGTGTGTGCGTGTGTTTGTCTGTGAGTGTAAAGATCTAATAGAAGAAATTTCTCAATCCCGAAATATAATATATACCTGAAAATAAACACATCTTATCGTATATTGTATGCAAACTATATTTAGTTTTGCATTTCTGTATTAACCGTTTTTCATTTAACATTCAAAGGAGAGTTTAGCTCAACTGTGGGATAATTGTTTTTATACTCATGTTTGGTCGTTGAAATTGACAAATGCAGTGGGGATGTGAAATAAATAATGATTGATTGGCAGGTGTGAATAGAAAATGCCATATAGATAATCAGAATAATAATGTGAGAGATTTTATTTCCAGAATTCATTAAGAATCCATCTGCAGTTTTACCTCCATCTGGCTAAACTGAGTATTTGTCTAATGATCATCTGGGAGACATTTTGGGCTCTTCCCCGGGTGGGATTCCTCTGGCTTCGGTTGAAACAACTGGAAAAAGTGAGGAAAGTCGCATACAATCAGTTCATCTGCTGGCAACTGTGTCCCGGGTCCCTCTCTGTAGTAAAAGGCTTCCCCTGGGATGCATTTACTCAGAATTGTGACTTTCTGTATGGAAATTAGTTTGTGTTTTAACAACAGTAGAGAGAGCATGCACACAAAAGAATAGAAAGCAAGGACTGAGGATTTTTTTCTTCTTCTGCAGAATTCAATGTGATAATGAGGGCTGTGACCCTGGGGATGTTTGCTCTTTCTACCCCCGCTTTTTTGTCCATTTTTCCCTTTAAGTGGGTCAGAGAAGCTCATCTATATCAGTAGTATAACTGTTTTTATTCATTCACAGGGAGTTCTCAGCATCATACCACATTCTGCCTTTATAAGGCATTATCATTGTTGTCTTATTAGTAATGGAGAGGAGGTATTTATGTACGCTCATAAACACGTCTCCTGCTAAGTGTCTGTCTTGTGTATGCTAAGTAAACACCATGCTGTTCTCATCGTTTTTCCAAGTGCTGGTGCCATACACCAGTAAGTAGCACGAATAAAACTGGCTTTGATGCATCTCAGTGGCAAAAGTGAGATGGATTCATTCCCTCTTTTTTGTCAAGCAAATTCAAAGAGAGATGTAAGGTGTTGGATGGTGGATCAGCTAGTCTGACACTGCCAGTCAATCTGATCTCTGCAATCGATCACGCTTTCCTCTGTTAAGCAACTCATCTGCCCCTAAAACTAGCTGAGGCACAGTGGTATTAGAGTCTTAAATCTTAAACTGACACTGAAAGAAAATATCTATATTTAGCAGTATAAGGAAATTCAATTCAGGACAAATACAAACACCAAAGAGATTTGGCTTGGAAGTTCATCAGACATGCGGGGAGAGAGTCTCCATTGAGGTTGGAAGGTCCTTTCTTGTTTTGTATCTTTTATATTTGTGAATGACTCTCAATGTCAAAATAATTGGAGGCATCCCAGGGCACAAGAACAACTTCCACTTTATAATCAACCACTTTTTCATTCCTTTCTCCCATTTTTGACTTTCTTTTCTGCCTTCCCTGTCTGTGTCTGTGTCTGATCTCTCATTCTGCATGATGACCTTTGAAAAGCAAGGCTTTAGCCACAGGTGTGTAGAACATGTGTGTGCGCGCGCGTTCTTGCTGCCATAAATAAGTGTGTGGCAGAGTGTATCATGCATTTTTAATGACCACTTGGATGCACACTGTTAGGAGGCATCACGTTATCACAGGATTTACAATGTATACTGGGGTCTGATCTTAACGGGAGCACTTTAACACATGAACACATTATTCCCAGGTCTCTGTAGCCCCCCCTTCTGGCCAGAGTAAAACACAGTGGAATAATTTGTTTAATATACTGTATTTCTATTAGAAACTAGAAAAGCCCTCGGAGAGCGCAGACCTCCGCCAAGCAGCTCATGTCCCCCCTTATATTGTGATTCACACCAAAACTTTTACTGTTACGTGTCTTTTATTAACTTTTATTTGTGTTTAAACTGGTATGTTCACTGTTCATAATGTTCCTAAAACAACAAAGCTCATATTAGATACATAAATGCATGATTTATTATGCAATATTTGTAAGCGTGCACTTCCTTGTATCTTCATTCGTTATCTTTTAGCATTGAAAATTCCAACAACACCCTTATTTTTGTGTGTTCTGGATCACAGTATCCAGAATTTTGTCTGGATCAGGATCAACCTTTGACACCTCATAAAACTCATTGAGATCCTTTTGTGTAATTTTTTACTAAAGACTCTGGCCATTTTTATAGAGTTAAATGCAAAAATTCCAAAATTTGCCCTATCTCACAATGATAAAGAATCCTTCAAAAAATTCCTGGATCCAGAAAGCGATCCGGATCACCACCAAAATGTAATGGGATCCTCCTGGGGCTGAGACGCACCTCTGGTGAAAATTTCAGGTCAATCGGTCTGTAACTTTCTCCGTAAAGTTGTTCACAGACAAACAAACAAATGAACAAACCAACGCTACCAAAAACAAAACCTCCTTGGCGGAGGTAATAAATCAAGGAAATCAAGCTAAAGTGCTTTTGGATACATGATTATGAATTACAAACAGTTATAAACATAAACCCTTATCTGTTTTCTCAGTAGATATCCTGGATTTACTGAATAATTTTTAAAGGTTAAGATTTTTTTCTAAATTGAGCAGACCATAATTGCAGACATTACTCTTTTTTTTTGGTTGCTTGCCTCCTGAGCTCCTTTCAATCATCATGTTTTTGTCTTTTAATTCTTGGTGTTCCCTCTTGCAAACGTAGAAAAAACAAACACACTTTCAACATTTAATGAAGAACTAATAAAAGACAAACAAAGGCCGTGGGCAGAGCGAGAACTCAAAACTGATTTAGTCTGGGAAATCACAACACTGTCAGTCGTAATTGTGTGTCTGATTAAAGCATTAGTGTTTACATTAATTAATTATTTACTGAGCAAGCATCAGCAGAGTGTGATTTAGATTTAAATTTTCTTTATTTTGTGAGGATAAAACGTTATTGTTTGTGCTGAGCAAGAGACTTAAAAGCCTAAAGTGTTGAGTATTTGGTTTCACAACAGTAAATCCCTTTTCCTGCCCTTCACACAGATACAACTAATAGAATAACAATATTAGGGATGCACGATATTTATCGGACCGATAAAATATCGGCCGATTTGGGGGGAAATTACGTCATTTTTTATCGGTCCGATAGGTGCATTTTTCCGATAGAAAGATCCGATATATTAATGAAATAATGAGTAAGCCTGACCCCGTCACTACCTGACAGATAATAAAATGTCTTCACCAGCATGGTCGTTTCTCTCAGTGGCAGAAGATGACAACAGCATTGCTATATGCAAAACCTGTTCAGCGAGGATTCCGAGAGGAGGAAAGAAGACGTCAAGTATTAACACAGCGAATCTGATAGCTCATCTGAAAAGTCGCCATCGCGGCGAAGCGGTAGTAAAAGAATATGAGACAGCCGCCGAAGCTGCTAGCGGTACTAAAGCTAAGACAACAACACTACGGAGGATCGATGTCCCCATTCAGCGGGCGTTTAAAAACTGCAAAAGCTTCTCAAGAGACAGCGAAAAGGCTAAAGCCATTAACGACAAAGTGATGGAGTTCATAGCGGTCGACGACCAGCCTTTTTCCGTCGTTGAGAACCCGGGTTTTCGCAAGTTAATAGCACACTTGGAGCCACGTTACACTCTCGCAAGCCACCGCTTCTTCTCGGATGTGTCTCTTCCTGCACTCTATGATATTGTCGCCACATACATTCACAACCTGATCGACAAGAACGGACTACACGTGAGTTTTACCACAGACATATGGACGTCAGATGTTAGTCCGGTCAGCATGCTAATCCTAACGTCTCATAATAGCTCCTTTTACAGTTTACAGTTCTGTTGAACAGTTCAGGGGATCAAATGAAGTTCTGCTTTTTGCTCTGTTATTGTTATTTATAGCAAATGACCACATTTGAAGAGCCAAAAACTTTTGTTTGTTGTTCTAGATAGGCCAGAGCAACAAAAACATCAGTTTTCAATCGCTGCATCCTGCACAAACTGCAGATTATATGAAGATTATAATAAATGTAAAAATATGAATTTATCGGTTATCGGTATCGGTATCGGCCATGAGAGGAAGAAAATTATCGGTTATCGGTATCGGTTGAAATTTTTCATATCGTGCATCACTAAACAATATTCTTCCACTAAAGCCCTAAAATCACAATGACCTCCATGACTCTACATGTATCTGTAACTACCTGTTCACAACAAGAAAATATAAGCACAACAAGTCTGAACTATCCAAATAGCACCTGAATGTGTCAAATCTTTCAGGTACAGCCATCAGTTACTTCCTTACTGGCACCGTATCCAGTTTTGTTTCACCGTCCTGTAATGATGTCCTATAACCCAAGAGCTGAAACTCTGAGCAGAATGAGGAATTTTCCCCCGAAGGACACACTCAAAAATTCTCAGGATCTGTATTACTTTTAAGTCCAACTCCGATCAAAAGTGTTCTCAGTGGTTGTTAAATTTTGATTATGAAGTTTTTAGCCAAAATGTCGTTATCTGTCTCATTTTCAAGGGCTTTTCTTCTGAAGAGCTCCAGTAGATCATTAGCAATTCGCCTTTGAGTCGTGGGCAGGGACAGCGCTGCTCTGCACACTCCTCTTCACGCTAGCGTGCAGCCTAACATTGCCGGTGCAGCAGAAGTGGCAGGTTACATAGGAGCTATTCAGCTCTCAGACACTAATGTCTTTGGGAGCATAATTAACTTTCTTACGAGCGTTGCAATCAGCTAATGCACATACTTGTTCTGCGACCGTCCTCTCTACTTCTCAAGGCTGGCCTGCAGAGCAGGGCGCCGAGGGCGGATCTTAGACTTGTGATGTAGAAATTCCACTGTTTCTGAACCTGCTGTTTGGGTCAGCCAGAGGTTCACAGTGATTTTAATGCAGAAATACTGAAGGATGCAATTTTGCTCTTAGTTTTCTCAGGGTATGTTCTCTAGCATCAGAAAAATGCCATATGAACGTATAGACAACAAGAAAAAAAAGATTTTTATCAGAGTGTGTCTTTATGCTTCCATTTAAAACCCACACTCAAGAATATAGAGCTGCTTAGGAGTCATTAAAGTCCAGATTTTCCTCTGCCACTCATAGATGAAGACAGGGAGGGTAGAAGGGAGAGAGAGAAAACATTTGTTGAAAGAAGGTGACCACAAAGTGAAAGTGTATGATGTGCCTGAGGCTAGATCCAATTACTCCAACATATCCTTCCCTCCCCCTCCCCCCCTTCTGTTCGCTCTTTGTCTCTTTGTCTGTGTACACTCTAATTAAAAACTTATTTATTGATGCCGCACAACTGTTCAGGCAAACTGATAAAACAGTGACGACAGACATGTGCACACACTCTCAAATATGGGCCTTGTCTAAAGTCCACCTTCGATTGTTAATTACAAATTGTGGCTATGGACTTACTGCTATTTGTTTGCTTTTGTTTGCACAATCTGTATGAGATGTATTTGTGTGTGTTTGTGTGTGTTTGTGTGTGTGTGTGTGTGTATAATTTCCTTTCTCTTTCTGAGATGAAAGCCTCTTTCCAGTGACTAATGAGCCAGTCTACAACATCACTTAGAGTAATATCTCAGCTGACACCACTAAAACTCTACAGGACACAGGTGGCCCAGTGTGTCAGTGTGTTGATGTGAGTGTGCGCTGTAAGGCTGCATACTTGTGACTGTGGGTACCAAGTGTACAGCTTATAATATGTGTTTCATAGTGAATCTCCTTTTTTTTTTGAAGACTGGTATTGTTACACCTGGCATGCAGGCTGAGGTCATTGTTTAAAATATGGAAAATGTTATTTGTTCTCCATATCTGCGTAAGAAAGTGGAGAATTATGACAATTACTCAAAAATACATGTCAGCACATTAGACTTTTGTAATTCTTGAGCTAAATATGAGGCTTGCCATGCCTTCAGCTCAAATTAAGTCTACACAGTTCATCAAATTAAATATAATTATATCAATTTTTGCTACAGGGTATACTGTAAATCTCAAAGAAGTAAAATGAAATTTTCACGCCTGACCTGCAGCAGAATCCACTATTCTGCCCTTTATAAAGTCAGTGCATGCCAGCTACACAGTACATGTCGATAAATGGGAAAAGACACCTTGATGTCTCTTACAGGTTGCTCTTTTGATGTCTTCGATTCTGCATCATCGTTTAAGTGACCACATTTGAGAAACAAAGACTCTGTCAGTCTTATATTACCAAAGCTTCTCCGTCTATGCCTAAAGGTAATTCATAAGCTAGCTAATAAGATATTCAATCCAAGTGTTTCTCACAGAATGAGATCCTATTTGTGGTTCTAGCTGCCGGAGCGGTTTATTAGACAGATCAGCCAGCAGCATCAACCTGTCACTCAAAGTGGCCACGCCCATAATTATGCATCGCTTCAAGCCTTAATGTTATTTAAATGAGTGAATGACAAAGATTTATCCAGAGTTGAGGTGTTAGAGATGAGGAGAATGAGCCAGAGGGACCATAACAGTTTTTTGGCAGCAGCTTATAAAACTCAGTTCTCTGCTGTGGAATTTGGCTTTTTAATATCGGCCAAATCATAGACATGTTTATATGTAGATGCCACTTTGGCTGGGTCAGCGTGTCTGCCATACTGCCGAAGTTAACAAACAATGTAGATGTAGAAACTGGGTTTTCTGAACTGACTTCAGAAGTTTACATTGTCCTGATGTGAACTTTCCTGAATGCCCTCAGCAAGATGGCGGCATCACTGACGCAATACCCAGCTAGTCAATGTGAGATCTAAGAGTGTGAGGTCTATGGGTCATATAGGGGTTGATTCATAGATACAGCCTCAAGTGGCCATTCAAAGAACGAGATAAACCTCTGGATTCACTTTATTTTCAGACTTCAGGACTTGGTTCAGGACTAAAACACACACTGTACACTTCTCTTTTATTTCCACAGTAACTTTAAACTGGTTGAAAATAACTTTTGCCCACATTTTACTCTCACTAAACCATAAAAAAGCAGAAAGGAAATTTACTTACACTGTTACATTTATAAGTCCAAACAAGGACCACAGCACACAAATCGTCAAACTCAACATCAAGTCTTTTGTTGCTGTTTTATATACTAACACCTTTTATCATTAACAGTTAGTTACACAAGACATGGTGCCACAGATAGAGCAAACCTGTTCAGAAGTGGGTTTTAAAATGTCTACTATTACCACTATCATTTCTTGTGTTAATATAAACACACTGAAGCCTGTTAAACTCTCTGTCACGACTGCTCACCCATGCCTGTGCTAACATCCAATTTGCCTGCATTACCATTGAAAACACACTTTAGTATCTCAAATATTTTTTCATCAAATTCTTCAACCTTGATTCTTTTATTAGTTGATTCAATAAAGATTTCAGACCGGTAGGATTTAATTTAACAAAATATGTGTCTTTAATTCACTCTGTGTCACGCTTACCAGAAGACATGATGACACATCCAGGCTCATATTTGTCTTCTTTCGAACCATTACCCGGCAGTGTTTGCACAATGAGAGCTATTTTTCCATCTTTATACTGCTCTGGATTCTGCAAGTACTCAGCTTTCTATTCAGGATTCCTCCTTGAAGTCTAACATTAAAGTTGAACATCGGGGGGAAAAAAAAGGTTCGCTAGCGCTTTACAAATACTGGCGCAGAGTGAGCCTGTCCTGTTTTTCTGCATAAGTAACAATATTTCAAATAGCAATTCTGTCATCTCTATAGCATGTATGACTTACTTTGTATTAACCATCTAACTACGTTTTTTATTGTTAGATAGTATAGTGTAATAATAGATAAACAATGGTTGATTTTTAGATTTAGAACTGGCACTAATCAAGATACAATCAGTAACTTCCAATTTTCTGTATCTGTTTGTGTAGCCAACTCTTCATCTGTCATTTATCATTTTTCTGCAGAGGTGCCGTTTAGTGATATTTGTGCGTGTTTTAAATAGAGTCATTGTGCCCCAGGTGTTGAACCATATTTTTATTAATCTGTCGCCTGCTGTCACAATGTTATAATAATGAGCACAAGATGTGACATTATAATGTTTTCATGAGTGTGCCTGTTTGTGTTTGCGTGTGTGTCAATGTAACACAGTAATGAACGGAGGCTATGATACGATCAGAGATATTTCAGTCTCTAGAGCAGATGTTACTCAACCTCCCATCTCCGCTCTGTGCTGATCATATTAAGCAGACGAGAGGTGTCTGCATGTGTCAATGTGGACGTGCCTGCGTTGGTGTTTGCGCCAGCCTGTGTGTGTGTGTGTGTGTGTGTGTGTGTGTGTGTGTGTGTGTGTGTGTGTGTGTGTGTGTGTGTGTATGTGATAGACAGGGGAAAATAGCAAGAGGGAGAGGGAGGGAGCGGTGCAGATGGGAAATTCTAACTAGACTTATGGTAAGCCAGGGACAAATGTCTAATACATTCAGAGAGAAGAAATCCAAGCTGTGTTGGTGGGGCACAACATGCTCACAGTTACATTTCAATCTTTACCCGCGAGGAGATTTCTTTTTTTTTCTCCTCTCATCTAATACAGTAATCAACATTGACTCAACAGAGAGGAGGTGTGTTTTCTGATTCACTGCTGTGGTACTTTGTTATAATTACAGTCATTTAGCTGTGACAAGATAAATAGTACTTTCTCCGTCTACCAGTATGTGATTACTTAACTGTAATACACACAAGCTTTGTTCATTTGTGACACATTTACTGCAATATTTTCAATGGCAAAAACAATGTATAGGAAACACCGGGGTGGACTGTTGGAGGGATATAAGCTAAGACTTTTCTAGGGGTGTGTTGAGACACCAGAATTACACGTTTACAGATTTTTAAAACACTGTCTACCAGAACACAGATGTGTCAAGCTATTCTTATAACCTGACTGAAGCCTGTTGACTGAAGCCTGTCGTGAATCTGTGTCACTCTGCCTCGGTGACTTTGTTTGTATTCTTATATTATCAATATGCTAAATTCTACAATACTTCTGCATGCCAGAGATTATACATTACACACTAACACTCCGTAACAAAGACACGAGGACTCTAAATACTAATTTTGTCAATAATCGATCATACCAGATTACGCTCCATTGGTGTTGAAACAAGGGGAAACATGACAGATAGATGGACAAAGTGACTGTGAACGTGTAAGTATTACGAAAGAGCAAGAGTGAAACAAAAACAGGACATTTAATTGTGTCGTCTGGTGTTGATCTGTCACTGTGAGATCTAACTGAAGTCTGTGTTCACATCAAACAAACACTTGCCTCATATGAGCGACTGCTTCTCAGGGTCAGTGTGCATCCTTTTCTTCTTCTTTGGCACTTTGGCACTGGACTGACTTTGATACAGCGCCACCACTATATCAGTTGTGTTTCAGAAACATTATAGTTAGTGGATTCGCTTGGAATTCTTAACAGAATATGGACATTATAGCAGTCTGTAGTGGAAGTAAATACACGTGTTTACCATACATACATGTGACCCAAAGAACCAAAGCAAGTGAATGGAACAGGCAGCAGCTGTAGAGCTATTGCTCCCGTTGGAGGGTTTGGCCTCTGAGAGAAACCATGTGGTGCAGCAGGGCTATCCCCTGGGCTCTCACAGCTGCAGAGACCTCTGCTCCTGCTCTCGTTTTCTTTTCATTGTCTCATATTAACACATGTCGACGATCTGCGCATCTCTCGCTCTTTGTAGTCCTCCTTTTTCAAGTTACTACATCTCTCTTGACCTTTTGTCACAGTTCTTTGTCAAAGCTGAGTATGGAATCATCCCTTCTACATCTGCTGACCTCTGTCTCACTCATATCATGCTCTTTTCTATTCCTCTACTCTTAAGTATGTGCTCTTTTGTATTACGCCTCTCTTACTTTCCTCTCCTGTCTCCTCCCTCTTCGTTGCTGACTTTCAAGTTTTTCATTTTCCGTGAATTTCTTCTTGTTTCCTCCTCCTTTTGCAAGCCTCATTTGCGATATTGGATATGTTACATTTATGTAACACAGGAACATATGTTGCAAATGGGAGGATGCACTTATTTGCCTCTAACCCAGAAAATGAACTAATTGACAAACCTTTTAACTAACACGCACTTCACCCAACAACCTCCGCCCAACCTGGTACATACAGTATCCGCTTCTTCTTCCTCATCAAACCGTTCTTTTAAATAAGCAAAGTTTTAATGAGAACTTCAAACACTGATCATGCTGGCTGAGTCTGAACTTTTTTTCATTTTGGACCGTCTCCTCTGTTAATCCATCTGCTTCTCCTTCACGATTTTCACTCTGTCCTGTTTCTAAGACTGACCCTTCGCGTCTCCTCCATTTGTGCTTTCTTATCGTCTCTTTGAGTTGGGACTCATTATGGCAAGTAAGTAACAAGCGCCCATGAATGTGGACACGTTGTCAGAAACGAGCGGAGAGATAAGGATAAGGCTGAATGTGGGTGTTAATGATCTTTTAAGCCGTTGCTTCTCCTGCGAGTATTGCTTTGTTGTCTGGGGGTAGACGGCTGTGTGCTCTGAATGGCCCATTGATTTCAGGCATGTGGAGCCTTTAGACACACACACACATACACACACTCAGAGGGAGTCTGGGAGGCTCTGTGAGGTTTAGCAGAGCCTGTCTCATCTTCCCTGTCTATCCTTTAAGCTGTGCTCTGCTTTCTCACTAAATGCATGGAGGGCTGTTGGGCTGCCCTAGCAGAATGACAACTAAGTGAGTAGGGTAGAAATTCCTCTCTGTGGGGCGAGCAGGTAAAAGACTCCGCTGCCATCCAACACTGAGGCCAGCTCCCAATGTTTCTGGGCTTGCCGCAGTATAATGATGTCATTTATCAGTGGAAAGAGCATGGGACGATGATGGTGTTATACCATGCTCCTTATTTGGCAGCTGGAATATTGATGGGTACAACCTTTATTTGGGTTGCTTTTGTGTCCAAATAGGATTGTATTAAAGAAAATCACACGTATCAGTAATCCTGCCAGCATATAACCAAGGATGATTCCTCCACGCTGTGTTAAAATTCATGTCTCCTTCCACTGCTCTTTTTTTTTTTTTTTCCCCTGCGAAAGGACCACATTCTTTGCATTAGTCCTTCTATGGATGACTCAAATTCCCAGTCCCCTTGCATCCATGCATTCCTTATCCCCCATTAAGGCAGCGGGGAAGCCGTGGCTCTCCTCATACCTCCAGCGGTCATCCGGTGACAAAGTGGACTCATTACCTCATGGAGCTTGGGTATCCGTACCACAATAAGTCAGAAGAAGACTAATGAGCAGTTAGATCAGGCAAGTTTCAGGGAGTGTGTTATGCACTCCCATAACTAAGCAGTTGTTGCGCTAAATCTGTGCGTTTCAACTGAGCAACACTGGCTGCTAATCAAATTGGCAGAAGCGGCAACTTGCCGTCACTCTGTAATGAAGTGTTATGCCAGTTTAGTGAGGTTAGCTGTCACTCAGGGAGACGTCTCATCAAATCAAAGCCCCGCAGTTAAAAGCCGATTTTATTGTTGCTTTGCTCTGGGTGGAGGGATTACCTGTCTGTGTGTTTGACAAAAGAGATATAGAGAGGAAGAAAACGAGAGACGCAATTAGGTATCTTTCCTCGCACAACCCCCTTCTCACCCTCCCACATATCTCCCAGAGGGGAGAGGAGCCTCGTCAGAGCTTTATCATGAATTTTTTATCACAGTTGGTCTGCTCTCAGGATGTGCACGTGTGTGTGTGTGTGTGTGTGTGTGTGTGGCGTGTAGATTTTTATACACCAAACCATGTCAGAGAGGGTATTTTTAGACAAATGCTGTGGTCCTATATCACTTGTTAATGTCACACAGATTGCCTGAGTATGATGAATGATGTATCAAGCATTGAACAACTGTTGCTAATACTTCTGCGTCATATCACTTACAACATCACACTAGGAGAGAAATCGTGGTGCAGAGGACAGATCTATAATCAATAAACATGTTCACGCATCCCTTTGTGTGTGTCTGCGCATGCATTTGCAGAAGCATATTGGACAGCAGGCTAATTGAAGCCCAGGCAATAACACGCGGTGGTATTAATGCGATGTGATGTCACACTGACTCTAGCTGATATTAACCTGATGACACAACCTTCTGTACTTGGCATTTTCAACACAGATATGAACTGATCCCCGTTTCACAGGTGGCACATAATTAAAGTTTTAATTATGTGATTTTTTTTCGTGGTCCACACCTGTGGGATGAAATATTAATAACCGTGTTTTTGTTTTGGACGCGCCGCATTTTGTGTGTACTCGCAGTCTTGAATTCCAAATTTTGGCATCGCACATTGTAAGCTCGAGGAACCACACAGATGGATGTAGAACAGAAAGTTTGTTTCACACAAAGAATAAGGCGTTTATCCAGGGTTGTGATAGCAGCTGTCCATGCTAAGAAAGGGTCAAATACAAACTGGTGTAAAACGTTTTGCCATCAATAAAAAAAAGGAGAAGGTGCACTTCAGCGAGAGATAACAGAGATATTAGCGGTTTAGAGATGAACTTATGTTTAAAGGTGATCTTTTTTTGAACAGCTTTAATAATACAAATGAAAATACAAACTCTGAAATCTGGAATAAATAAACTGAACCTGTCATTTCATCAAAATTATGCAGTTCAGTTTTACAAAAAAATCAACATCTATTCTGTGATGAACAGTTGCAGTCAACTTCTTAAAGCATCCTTGACTCAAAATGTATAAAGCTTCATATTTAATGACTTGAATCTTTTTTTTTAAAAACTGATTGTTTGACTAAGATATTCCTGCATACTCAAAACTTAATTAATCCAACTCAGTTTAAACTTCATTTACATAAATTGCAACACATGAGGAAAAGAGTCTTTGCTGGGAAAAAGGAAAGGAAGGGCACCAGCAGCTAAACTTATTTTCTTTCACTGTGGTTTTGTTATCACGCCTGATATACATTTAACACCTCTGACTAGGTATTAGTAAAGTTAGAGCAAAATTAGAGCAGATCTGTATGATGAGTAGGGTTGGGAGGAAAAAATCGATACAGCATAGTATCACGATATTTTGTCTGGTGTATCATGTTGTCTCATTGACTAAGTATTGATTTTTCAAATTAATTGCTAATATGAAGTCAAATCTATAACAATGGAAAAATTAAATCTACAGTTTGTCCAGTGAGGTTGGCAGAGGTGACATTATAGAGCAGAAGAACGTTAGTACAACAAATATGTATGAGGTTTGCAAGATGTGCTACACGAAAATAATAGGTGTAAATAAGATAACATAATGGAAAGTCAAATGCTAAATTAGCTAAACAGTTGAAAAAAATTGTGTATTCTTAATATATTGTCTCACAATACTCACTTTATCGCCAAATGTTAAAAATAGCATTAATATCATATCGTGGCCCAAGTATCGTGATAATATCGTATCATGGGACCCCTAATGATGAGCATATAATTGTAAGTTCAATTAACCTTCAGTCAAATCATTAGAATAAAAACTGGCATACCTGCCTATTTGAATCACACAATGACGTTTTATTAAACAGCATGTTGTGATATAAGTCTCTCCAGACAGGATCATAAATAGACTAAAAGCACTTTCTATGCCCAGAGAAGCATCAGCACGAAGCTTTTGACAGACATTATTCTAATCCGGAAGCACATGACTTGGAAGCTGAAGCACCGATTGGAAATGTTATTTTTGTACATGATTAACACGATGCGTGACAATGTCTTGATCATTATTTTGCATCAGAGTGTGTGTATGTGTGTATGTTTTTTTTTTGGCTCAAATGTAGTGTATTTTTAGCAGCGACAGACAGTGCAGAGGAGGTGGAGACAGGTCTGGAACAGAGCCCAGGACTTGGGGCCAAAGAGACGGGACTGTTGATCAAGAATGAACCACTCCTGACAGCGGACACATGGTCATGGACAGAGACATACTCAGATTCACGCTCAGTTAGAGCATAGATTGACCTTTTCTACGAGCAGCACGTCCAGTTATTGCTCACGCATTGGACCAACACGCCTTATGTTGTCCTCTCCTACTCACTAAGTCCAACAGATGGATAACAAAAATAGATTCTACTACAAATAAAGTTTGTTTCATCTGCTGTTATCGCTTCAGTTAATTCAAAACATATCCCTGAGTAGATTTCTATGAAGCTACCGTAACCTTGCTGTAGAAAAAGTCAACGTGTCAGAGAGGTGGGTCAATACCTTTCCCCACAGGGTTGTCATTAACTAGTTCAGTCAGAGAAGGGCAGGCCAGAGCGAAGGTTTGATCTGTGTGGATTTGTGCAGGTGAGCATGTACACAGTCCAGGGGAATGGTGTCAGTTTCAGTTTGTTTCTCCGCCTGAGGACCCTCACTGCTGTTTTATTTAGACACCTGTACCTTTTCCACATCACAAAACTACACTGATGTAATTGAGGGGATTTTTTGGGATAGCTGGTGGGACTATAAGGAAAAAAGACTCCTCTCTTTTCTGTGTCACAGTATTCTTGTCAGTGTTGCTTTCAATTTAGATCTCTTTGCCTACAAAACAAATAATGAAGACAGAGTCAAAGTGTGGAGGATCACAAAGGAAGCAGATTAAAGTGTTTGTTCATTTGCGTTATAAAACAGCATGAGCTTATGTGGTTAAACAGTGCACTTCTGAGCACATGTATCAGTTTTACAAAAAGGTAAAGCATGGGAGTATTAAGCCAGATCAGATTTTGGAGTGGTTCCTGTTCAACCCTTCTGTTGATAAAGCAATGCTGGTGTTTGAAGCCAAGCTCTGTGATGCATGATGAGTATAGTCCTCAATTTTTCAAGTTTTTCCATCAAAATTCAAATTCTTATGTGCAGAGCAACTGCTCTCTTCTTTTTCATCTTCCAGCTGGTGCATTTCACGCGGCTGGACACTAAATATGTTCTCTACTCTGGTACAACAACCGCTGATTTGTCTATGAGGTGTGTTACCAAAGGGAAGTGGTCTAACTGTATACTAGATGGTATGGTGTAGAACAGCACTTATTACTGGATGCAGGATAGTGCTGCGACACTGGAAAATGAAATAAGTTTTACAAGTGAAGGAATGGTTTGATGAGAAGGCCAAGATCGCTTCCTGCGAATGACTTAGTTATAGTTGCAAGACAAGGAAGACTTATGAAAATATGGGACTCTTAAGGTCCTTACACACCGGGAATGACACAAATATACAACGCAGTACTTTCGGGTTCCAAAAAAAATACTGACATCTGAAATAATCGCACAAAAAAAAACGCTCCCAGTGTGTAAGGGCCTTTATACTGCAGCATCTTGATACAATGGTGTGTTGCACCCTCAGGCTAACTTTTGTCTCCAGTCTGAATTTGTATACATATGTTTATATTGGTGCATTAATACTGTCTCTGTCGGACTCCCTCAGTGCGTTTGTTTGTCTTCTTTTTTTTTTGTTTTTGTCGAGGCTCTGTTTGGCCTTTGTTTGACTCATGTTATGGTATATGTATTATTTTTTCCTGTTGAAAACTAATGAAAAAGTGAATTACCAAAAAAAATAAAAATAAAGATAAAAGGCACTAAATACAAACGTGCGTATCATATAGTTGGTCTATTCTACAGCTGGTATACTATGATGCCAAACAGTGGTTTTAGAGGAAGGATCATGCTTCTGTAGAAATTTAAACATACTTGTTAGTAGGGCTGAAACGATTACTCGAGTAACTCGAGTAACTCGATTAATAAAATTCCTCGAGGCAAATTATATGCCTCGAGGAATCGTTTAAATCCGGAACCATGTGCAGCGCACGGTGTTTGACACGGACGCTTATTTCTGTTGCGCAGAAGCGTGCTCTTTCCGCTCCTTCCGCTGCCGCGCGTTTGGTTCAATCATGGGCTGTGTCCGAAATGGCATACTGCCTACTATCTACTTACCTACTCAAGCAGTAGCTACTGCCTACTGACTACTCAAAGATGATTTGAGTATGCCGCGGCTGCCCGAGCGTTTACATACAGATGCATACTAAATACCCCAGAATGCATTTCGTGCCGGCCGGACGCAGCGCCGGGAAAATTTAAATAGTCCTACCACAAGCTACATAGAACGACTGCATTCTGGACAAATTATATAAATTCATTCAATAATAATATTTTTTCTAGCGAGAAACTAAGTGTTTACATCACGATTATGAGCCCAGTTGTTTGAAATAGTGGCTGTTTGTAAATTTGTCTCGGCGTTTTCGGAGACCGAAGCGTCCGCTTGGTCGGTGTTTGCGTCTATTTACCGTAAACACCGGGCAGCAGCAGCTCCCCCTTTACGTTTCCAAATTATTGCGAAGTGTTTTCATAATCAACATCTACACGACACAAACCGGGCGGCAGTGGATGAAAAAAATCACACAAACATCCGTGTATCCATGGTGATAATGCTATACACCACCTGCTAGGCCTGTGATGAGCAGCAGAGGGCTGCAAAATGACCAACACACAACATAATTATTATGACCTCGTTCGGTTATTCCTTGGCAAATACATCATTTCCCGACTACATTCTTTTCATGTACAATGATTATTTCAGAAACCATCAGATTTTCAATCACAAGTAAGAATTAGTAAAGCTCACATAGATTGTCAACTGGAAACTCCCCCGTTTGTATATTCTGAACCATGTGCTCTCTACCAAAGATACTTTTTATTAATCAGAGGTCTGTGCTTAATATGAGCGACCACTTTGATGATGCATTCAGAGATGAGAAGATGCTCAAACTTGATGTAATAAATACATCTTTAATAGACACTTAAATAAAGTCAATTCATACAAATAGTTAAAAACATTACCTATAATCCTAATTTAAAATACAAATAAATCTGGTAAAAAGATCAAAGTATGATAAAATGATGAAAATTGTGTAATGTATACTGACTAAATATTGTTTATCTATTTATATAAATATCATTATTATTGCAATCACATGCCATCTATTTCTCTTCAGCCTCGGGAAGGAGGGCCATATTACCAGCTGAGGTGCGCAATGCATTGTGGGGCAGAAGCAGTACGTGAAGCAAGCTCCGTTGCACACTCAGAAATCGAAGCCGATTGAGTATACATCCGGGCATTTCTCGCATACACAAAATTCGCATACTGTACAGTGTGAACGCACTGCCTACTCAATTCAGAGGCGGGGTTAGTAGGAGTAGTAGGAGTAGTAGGCCATTTCGGACACAGCCATGGAGGGAAACGAGGACAGACAGAAGCTGTGTCCGAAATGGCATACTGCCTGCTATCTACTTACCTACTCAAGCAGTAGCTACTGCCTACTGACTACTCAAAGATGATTTGAGTATGCCGCGGCTGCCCGAGCGTTTACACACATACATACTAAATACCCCAGAATGCATTTCGTGCCGGCCGGACGCAGCGCCGGGAAAATTTAAATAGTCCTACCACAAGCTACATAGAACGACTGCATACCGGACAAATTATATAAATTCATTCAATAATAATATTTTTTCTAGCGAGAAAGTAAGTGTTTACATCACGATTATGAGCCCAGTTGTTTGAAATAGTGGCTGTTTGTAAATTTGTCTCGGCGTTTTCGGAGACCGAAGCGTCCACTTGGTCGGTGTTTGCGTCTATTTACCGTCAACATCTACACGACACAAACCGGGCGGCAGTGGATGAAAAAAATCACACAAACATCCGTGTATCCATGGTGATAATGCTATACACCACCTGCTAGGCCTGTGATGAGCAGCAGAGGGCTGCAAAATGACCAACACACAACAACATGTAAATAAAAATGTAACACTTTTATATATTGAATAAATGTACATTTGCTTGTCAAATTATGTTAGTATCCAAGAATTATATTATTTCAGCCTATTAATTAAACAAGTAAAATTAGATCCAAAGCCTGGAAATAGTTGTGACTGGTTTAGTGAAAACTGCAAAGATCATTACCATAGCAATTAAAAGACCATCTGCAGACCTTGCCTTCAGTAGTTTCATGTGAACTACATGGTAAAATGTAAAACTTTTGGTTCCTGATTTATGCAGTAAAAATATTCATTTGAAAGACCTGGCCTATTTCAGTTTTGTGTGTTACTGATGGTTTTTAATGAGGCAAACGTGATTCAATGCAAAGTATTACAGTGAGAGCAAAACATTTCTTATCCGATTACTCGATTAATCGACAGATTAATCGATAGAGTACTCGATTACTAAAATAATCGATAGCTGCAGCCCTACTTGTTAGTATTAAACCATTTCTACCAGGTCTGTATCTAAATCCTACCAGCTTTCTACTTTCCTGGATGTCTGCAGAACAATCAAAACAACAGCCAGTTCAGTTTTCTGTTGTCAACGATGAATTTTTGTGTTATTTTTCACTTTTGTTTGACAGAGTGAGCATGTGTTTGTGTTAGAGAGGTGTGTAGAGCAAAGGTGAGGAAGCTTCAATTTTTATTTCCATATTAATAGTATCCGGTTTGATTGACAGCCTCTCAGCTGGTAATCCATTTGCACTTGACTTTATTCAGTAATCTACGATTCCAAACACTGCCAACCCTGCTTTTGCTCTTTACTTCTCTTCCTTTTATACACACATCGAAGCTTTCTCTTGCACGCTCACACACACGCACACACACACACAGAAGCAGACTCTAATCTTCTACAGTACAACCTTTTCAATCTGACATTATGACTTTCTATCTTGTGGCCTTTAGTGGCCAGCGCTATAAGACAAAGACGGCCCTGTGGTTTGAGCTCTGCGAGCGGGGTCATAACCAGGCCTGAGATGGTTTCTGTCGATTTTTAGCATACCCTCTTTTTACCAAGACTGATTCTGAGAGAGAGAGAGAGAAGGATAGAGAGAGAGAGAAGGATAGAGAGATACCTTGTTCAGGTTCCAATCTAATTCTCTGTCATATTTCACTCCCCAGAAACTGGCCACAGCTGCTGAGAACTTCCAGATGGTTCATCAGTGGAAAGACGAGTTTGAGGTAACAGAAGGATGGAAAAATATAGAAATGCCCAAAGGAATACCTGCATAATCACAAGTATTAAGAGTTTTATGTGCAAGTTTTATGTGTATTGCATCATGTTTGGGGGGAAAAAGGGAAGCAGACACACGCTTGAAGTGTCACACAGACAGTGCGGGTTTACTGACCATAAATTGATTTTATTGTTTGAATAGGTTTAATCTGTTTGCGTCTGGGTGTCCTTAGCAGTGATTACAGCTCCATTACCAAATAAATTTATCGCACATTAAATGCTGGGTTATGACGCATTAAGCTCCTCACTTTAAATGACAGATACTCCACTTTCCAAGAACCACACTGGCAGAAAATTAAAACGCAGAGTGAGGCTGTGGTCAGGACAAATCTATGTCACAGAGATGGATCTGTATGTGTCTAAGCTGTGCTTTATATAATGTTGCTTTCTCAATGGCTTTATAATGCTTCCCTGGAGTATTGCAAATGGCTGTAGGCATGCAGACACAGATGTGAAAAGAGAAACCCTCTGCACACTCATCTCAGACGGTATTAATTCGATTGGTAGCAAAGACCAGTGTCTTCATTAGCATAAAACTGGGGAATTACCTAATGGAGTTGTCTGCCAACAAAATAAAGAAGGGTCTAGAGATGGATTAAACGGTTAAAGGCAGAATAAACATTACACTGTTATGAAGCTGCAAAGTCACATTTGTCTGTGTGTGTGTGTGTGTTTACAGGATGACGAAATCGCCTACTACAATGCAAAAGACAATGTAAGTGTGTGTCTTTTTCCCTCCTGCCTTTTAACTCGTCTTGTGTTTTAGCCCCCGCAAACAGAACAGTCACACACTCAGACACATACAGGTACTATCATTTTTTTCCACACAGCATCTTCCCTCTCTCTTGTCCTCCCTTTCACCTCCTCCTCATTCCCTCATCCCCTATCCACATTCACTCCCTATTTTTTTTTCCTACTTGGTTTTCTCTCATTGCCTCAGCCTTTATACTGCAATCCCTCCCTGTTCTGCCTCTTCTCTAGGCTTTTCTTCTACTGTAGCTTCCTCTCCGCCACCCCTCCTCCCCTCCTTCTCTCTCTCTCTTTCGCAGGTGAAGAGGTTTCTGCCATGTTTCTCCTCTAATTGACAGATGAGATGTATGAGCTGGCTACACTGTTGCTTTATTAGGAAGCAACTGTTCACACTCTCCCCCTCCCTCCCTATCACTCTCCACCTCACTACCTCTCCACCCTCCATACTTCCCTCTGCTTCTCATCATGCTTTCCTTCATATATGTCTTCGTCTTGTACTGCTCTCATTGATGTAAATTGCCAAATGCATGAGTAATAAATCTCCACCAGGAGCATAGACAATCTGTCTGTCTCCTACCACACCTCCCAAGAGAAACTGAAAAGCAGGAGAAAAAGGAGAAAAAGGAGAAATCGCTAGGCACACACTCCATGATGGTGTGTTTCCTTAAACACGCTGGGGGGTTGTGGAAAGTGCAGCGATGACATTATCACATCAGACTTGAGTTGATGAGGACGTATAGTCAGATTGTCTTTGAATGTGCCACGCTTTTATGTAAACCCACAAGCTGTTTCATGAAAGGAATGATGCTTCAGCAAATAGAATAAAAGAGGCTTTGAATGATATCCTAAACCTATGGTCAGCTTCACAGTCTGCATCTTGATTTCTTTTTTTTTCATCTCCCGTCAGCTGGATGCAAATGAGACAGAAGGAAGAAAATACAGGATTCGACCCGACTTTAAAGAAGACCCTTCGTTTAAACGACTGACCGACCACAACCACACGGCTGTCCACATCCCCACGGACATCTATGATGGCTGTGAGTAAACACGCACGCATGCACACACAAACCTGAAATGGTTACCATGGATACAACTGACACACGAACCCATTATAAAATGCTGTATACAGATAGTGCCTCCAGCAAATTTGCCCATGGCTAAATGATGGTTTGAAAATGTGATAAAGCATAATAGGATCCTCTACCTGGCTCTGCCGTGTGTCCTTGGGATGTAACTCAACAAAGGAGCTTCTAACTGGAATGAATGGATATGTGCTCATGCCTTTGTTGGAGCAAACCTCCGAACCCACCATGTTTCAATCCATCTTTGTTTCTTTTTATTTAAATAAATAAATTAATAAAAATAAAAATTAGAAAGTCTTTTATCCAGATTTTCATTTTGAGGCCTTGAGTTACAATCATAGAGAGAAAAACATTTAGATAACTTTCGATATTAATCAGATTCTAATTAGTTTCTATTAGTTTTTAAAACTTCTCAACAAAGAGGAAAGATTTCTTTAGGAAATCTGTATTTAAATTTTAGTTCAATGAACAGATTTTATATCCACAAATCCCCTATCAAACAGCACTAAATTAAATCTTATAATGTCTTCACCCAATTGGCAGCGGTTGCCATATTAGTAATGCTGACCCAACCTAACCTTTAGTCCACATACCAGGGCTGGAGGTGGGAGAAAAAATCAATACAGTATAGTATCGCGATATTTTGTCTGGGGATATATCATCTCATTTACCGAGTATCGTTTTTCAAATTAATCGTGAACATGAAGTCAAATCTATGATAATGGAAAAATAAAATCAACTGTTTGTCCAGTGAGGTTGGCAGAGGTGAAATCATAGAGCAGGAGAAAGTAAGTACTACAAATAGATATAAGGTTTGCAAGATGTGCTACATGAAAATAAAATACAGCGTAAATAAGACAAACATAAAGGAAAGACAAATGCTAAATTAGCTAAACAGTTTCAGTATGAATCGCAATATATTGTATCCCAATATTCACTGTATTACAAAATGTTAAAAATCGCAGTAATATTGTATCGTGGCCCAAGTATCGTGATAATATCGTATCATGGGGCCACTGGGGATTCTCACCCCTACCAGGGGTGGTGTCCAAATATTTACGGTGTCCTTTCCTGTCAGTCAAATCGGCTGTGCCTCTCTTATCCTAATACCTGAAAAGAAATGTATTCCCCGTACCAAAGGGTGGGGTTGCTGCTCAATCATATCAACCTATGGAGGGAGTCTAAGGCAAAAAGACTAGTTCCTGTTAGCATTCAAACTTGAACATCACTGCAGCCATGATGTTCAGACTTGTCTTAGAGTCAAGAAATACCAACAATGAATACGCACTATGGTGCAGATAATGCTGGGTGAAGAACAATTCTTGGATTCAAAGTCTTGGTTACATTTTCGGTACAATAAGGGGAACACATACAAATATTGGTACCAACATAGCTACATATTAAAAAAAACTTCTGAGTTTGAGTAAATCTGAGTAAATGTATGTATTCGGTGGGGTTCTGGGGGTGGGTAACACCTGTAGTAGGAGGAGGAGGCGGAGTCATACATTATGGTGATCGTCTCTGTGTTTGTAGCACTACAGCATGGCTATTCCACAGCAGTAAAAAACAGCTAAAAGGCAATTAGGATAAGCAGTGAAAAGTGTAAAGTAGAAAAACTCCACTCCACATGTATGATGTCCTCCTCACCCTGCTCTCTCTCTGTAGTCAGAGAGAAAAATATGGCCATTTGCAGCAGAGTCTGATCCAGTTGGTTTTTCAGAAGTAGAGTGCAGGTGTGACACAGAATCATACTGGAAAATAAAAGAATTTAGCTAAACTTTCCTCTACACTTTTTGATTATGAAAAAAAGCCTGAAATATAAAAGTACTCAATATAATATTCTATAAAGTGTTGCATTCTCACAACCAAGTAAGGATCATACCACCATATTGATGGATGATACAAAATCAATATCAGTGTGGCTCTGCTACTTGTTGTCGTTGTTTGTTGCATTCAAATAAGTAGTTTATGTACTGTGTAAAAAAGTGTCACATTACAATGACACATTTGTGTGTTTGCTCTGTTTGTCTCTAAAGTACATTTCTAAACATTTCCTCATCATGTGCTGACATTTACCTTCAACACTTTGGAATAATTTGATTCTCAAGAGTCCCTCTGACATTAGCACAGCTCAAGCTGAATGTCAATGACTTTGGGATTGTCTGTTGAATACCTTAACTGTGGTCTGAATTATGCATTTTAATCGCTTTCTTTTATTCTATTTTTATATTTGAAGCACTCGGGTGATGCTCTCATCATAGTATGACTTACAATGAGTGAACAATGAAGTTCTCAGTGGCTCATTCACAGATACTTCAGCAGGAGCCACGGTTCGTGATGAGTTCGAAACACGAGTACAATTACAGAAATGTTTCTCGTACCAACAGGCTGCACTGAAGCCGCTCGGCTGGTTCTTGTGTATTTTTATCTGTAGCTGTGTGAGACTGAGTAAGTGTGTCTGTGATTAGTGTGCGGTGGAAAGCAGTGCGTCAGCAGTGACTTTGAGGGACAGCAGAGTGGAGTGATTTCCTCAGCATGGCTGTCAGCCTGCTGGGGAGCCGTCTGGCCCCAAGGTTACTCATTTCACCTCTCCTCTGACCCCAAACACTCGAGCACAAACCAGGGGTGGGAACTGGCACACACTGCTGATGAGGTGTGTTATTTGTAAAGATAAAAAAACAAAAACAAAACAAGCATGGATTATTTGCATGCTTTCGAATTTGTTGCGCCATTTTCCCCCAAGATAGCACTTTGGCCACTATTTAGGCTGGCTGCCATGACTCTTCACTCTGCCTTGTTTTCAATGATGCCGTTTCCTGGGAGCCTGTAATGAGTATTCATTGATACGCTGAGCTGCTGGGACCTATCCAGGCCTGAAGTTTGATCTGAGAGAGATGAAAGCAGCCCAAGGTGTGCGTGAGGAAATCAGGGCACTAAAACTGGAAGAAAACTGAAATAGCTGGAAATGTTTCAATAATACAGGCTGAAAAGCAAAGCCCTTTCAGTTCATTTTACAGTTTGGACAAGCTTTTCAGGTGTAGGTCAGAGGACTTAAATAAGGGATGAGACTGGACATTGTCGTGCCAGCTGGTGAAATATGTCTGTGCCTTTGAGGAAGCACTTATACACTGTGTGAGGTATTGGCACACGTGCGGGCTCACACGCCTCAAGAAAGAGTAACTGAGGATTCATACGTTATTGAGGTTTCAACACTTGAATTTGATCTCCACCCTATAAATGTTCCAGGAATAGCCTTTGCTCAGCTGGAGAAAATTGGATTTTCTGGGTAAAGTGGGAGACAAGTTTATGAAATCACCTTCTATAGGCAGCGGCACATATCGTGAGTGAGAGAGGATGGCGGGATAGAAAACAGACGTTGGGATGACAGACCCATCTCTGTTGGTCCAGCGAAGGACACCGTGTGGGAGACAGAAGAAGAGCTAGGCGGGAAGACAGGCAGGAATGAAAACACTTGGATACAGCCGTGTTGCTCTTGGATACAGAAGTGGAAAATTTATGTATACAATATATATGACACCCAAGGGCTAGAGACAGTTAAATAAATCATTTTGAAGACTGTGCATTATACCCCTCATCTGCAGGATATCAAGCTAGCTTGCAGTTTTCCTCTCATCAGAACAGCTGATAAGAACGACAGAAACACCACACACAGCTTCAGAGAGACAGACAGAGTTTTGAATGATTAACGTCATGTACAGTATGTCCAGTCCTATTTGGTTGGAGAAACCCCAGGTTTTCACATGCACAGAAAGAATATAGAATTGTTTTCTTCATGCTGAGACTATATTATCTCTCTGGATAGTTTTAATTTCACAAGCACAATTCAACCTTTCATGGAAGCTCTATACGCCGTTTAGTGATATGCGTGTGTTCTGCAACATCAGCCTGCCATGTCTCCTCACCTCTCATGTTTCCTTTTGTGACATTCTCATCTTGTATGGATTAAACAAACAAGATTAATTATGAGCTTAAGAGTTGCTGTCGTGTGCATTTTGTCACACGGGACAGGTATACACAGGCTACTTGTTTCCTCTTGTTTTCAGTCTTTATGATACTGTGGCTTTATGATAGATACTGTGCTGTGTGCTGACTTAACCGTCTCACACACACTCACACTTTATAATAACTGTGAATAAGGATAATTCCCAAATTGTCTTACGATTTCCATCCCTTAAATTCCTGATCACATCAGGATAAAACACATGTCTACATGCCTTTATAGTGAAGCTAGAATTCTTCACTGGATATAAGAGTTTGTGATGATTGTTGGAGCCTAAGTGGTTTGGAAACCTGCCCCTTAAGAAACTGTGAAAATCATGAACTCTGACTTATATATCTCTTTTGAGGAAAATTTGGTGGTTCATGCTATATTTATTATTGATTTCCTGCACTCCTTAAACCTCACAGATAGTAGACAGATAAAGTCTTCTCAGGCTGCAGATTCCGTTTGGCATCACAGCCATGCCAAGTGCAGCCTGGGAATTCATTAGTGTCCACAGCAATATAGAAAACTGGAGTAAACTGTATCTCCCATGAAGCACACAAGGTGTTTACAGTAAGAAACATTATGGCTGACAGAAAAATACACGTTTGAAGCAGAATTTTTCCAGAGGTTAGATATTTAAGGTTTGCTTGTTTACACGGGTATTTGAGTGTTATTTACTGTATAAGATCTTTATGAGAACTCTTGAGTGTAAATATTTTATCGCCTGCCTGTACGTCATTCTCTGAAATCAAACGTGCACTTTGTAATTTCCTCATTATCTAACAAGATCTATGGCGTTATTTTGTCTTCATCTCGCTTTAAAATTCTACACTTAATGAGGGAAATACATTAGCGAGCATACAGTCTGCATGCTCTCCCGCTCCTCCTCTCTCTAAAGTAAAAAAAAAATAAAATACATGCACTCCTGGCAACCCAGGCTTCATTAACTCGCTCCTCTAGAGGCATGCATGCAAATGAACAGTGTTTGCTTTGCACATCAATGAGCCACGTCACACTCAATACAGGACACCAATCTATCTCACACACATGCACTCTTAAACATGATCCACACGTGCACACACAGAGCAGCATATGTGCAGCACCGCATTTGTGAAAAGAACAAAAAGGAAGGACAAAAAAGAGAGGCAGCAGAGCGACAGACAGTGAAGATAGAGTTGGGACAGCATGTGCTGCATCTTCATCCATCATAGTGAGTGTTATGTGGCTTTGAGCTGTCTGGGTGCTGTGTCATTACATCCATAATGCCTGTTGCCTCTCACAGCACATGCAATCAATCACATGCACACATGCAAACAGAAACACAGGCGACCAAGTGTTTAGGGTAAAATTAGAAACTTTATCTGTAGTCAGTGCAAACTCACACTGTGGTTTACAGCCAAGACGAGTAGCAGTGCTCACTTAATATTTGCTCCCACAAGGCAAGTGTGCTGACGGTGAGCCGGTCTGTGTGTGGAAACCTTAATGAATGTTTTAAGATGACATGTCCGAATTTCTGGACCACTTTGTCCTTTACAGAATATTAACACAGGCTTGCATGAATTTGCAAACTCATGGAAAGATCTGATGTGTGTAAATATTTACGCTTATGTGTAAAAGTTCTGTCTCTTTTTTTAAATGTGTGTTCATGTGCTTCTGTTTGGATTCCTAGCTACCATTGTGCTGAATGAGCTGAACTGGACAGAAGCATTAGAGGACGTGTTTCGAAAGAATAGAGAGGATGACCCGACCCTGCTTTGGCAGGTGTTTGGTAGCGCTACAGGCCTGGCTCGCTACTACCCAGGTACACAAACAGAAAACCCCAGCCTTTTTCTCTTACAGGATATTTTCCAGCTTTTAAAGTTTATATTTTTGTTTTTTTCATTATCTGAAGCTGTGTCTTCTTTTTCATCACATCAAAGCCCCATTATTACCTGGTTGACCTAAGATACAGCATCTGATTTATAACTATAATGATCTCTTCAATGTATTCACAAGTAAATTTGTTCACACATGACTGAGCAAATAAGGATTTTACATCTTCGTAACCCCTCCCACACTGATTTTATATATGAGGGTATATGGAGAGTCACGCATTCTTTAACCGCATCAGTCTGGAGCTGCTCTGCAGCACGAGTGTTTTCGCTGCCAAGCTATTTCTATTCATGAGATTGCCTGTCATCATAGACTCTGTATAGCTTTACGGGAAAAGTTTATGTCTAAAATTCATGAATTTTCATCTGCTCTGAATTATTCCTCTTTGTTCCACTTTTTAACCTTTTGCATGATTGGCAGATGCACACTCTCACATTGGCATGTTTTTGTGGTGTGGAAAAGATAAAGAGCAGCCAGTTAGTGTTAAAGTTAGAAGATTCTGTGTCGAACTCTGTGCATGAAAACGTGATCTGGTTTTCCTGATGTTTACCTCATCATAGTTAAATCCAACAAAGATTCAACATGTTATGTGGGCAGTGTCAAAAATGTAGGAATCCATACGAGAGACGATCGTCACACAAATGAAAGCCTCATTACATCCAGACGCAATCTTTCATTACCCACACAACATGACTGACAGACACTGCTGGACTGATTATAACACTGCATATTAATATATTATCAATTATTGTCATGATCACCTCAGTCTGACACTCAAGGGTGTCAGTGAAACAATTCAATATTAGAATATGTGTGTAATCTGCTTTAATTATGTAAAATATAATCAACACATATCTAATCACCCCCTGCAGCCTCCCCCTGGATGGATGCTCGTAAGACACCCAGTAAAATCGACTTGTATGACGTCCGCAGGAGGCCTTGGTAAGACAAAGACAAGAGTCATACACAATGCTTTGTAGTTACACTGGCTAGAATTTAAGACTAAAGTTCCTGGGTTTGTCTGATAGCATTTTAGCAATATCAACCAGCATGATATATTAGCAACACTTTTAAAATATGTCATTTGATATGTAATGATCTTAGCTATAATGAAGTGTTGGTCTACTGCATTTTTGAGTGTGTTTGTGTGTGTCTAAGACCAGCTTGTGAGTCATTCATTAATCCTTATCCAGGTACATTCAAGGAGCCGCCTCACCTAAAGATATGCTAATCCTGGTGGATGCGTAAGTCACTTAATAACATCATTGATCTGTAACCTTCACACATCAGCCATGATTTCCCCTGATTATAATTCATGCCTTCTTAGATTTGCCACATAATGTGATGTATTTCCCCGGGCAGGAGCATTTCTAATTATGTCGTGTAAAGTCTCAGGGGACAGTAACAGAGCTAACGGATGGCAGTGAGAATCTGTCAGATATTTATTTGTTTATTTATTTATTTATTCTTCTTGCAGGAGTGGAAGTGTATCTGGCTTAACTCTCAAACTGATCAGGACGTCCGTCAGTGAGATGCTGGAAACTCTGTCTGACGATGACTATGTCAATGTAGTTTATGTGAGTATTATAAAACCTTTTACTTGCTGGGGCCTCTGCTGGTCTGATTGTGTGAAGCAACAGGGGGCGTGGTGCATGCTGGGAAAAGGAGCACAGTGGCGGATAATTCCAAAGTGTGCACATGAATGGGTTTATTCAGACACTCATTCTTGAGCTGTTCGACACATATGAATGAAATTAAGAGCATGTGTGGGCACCTGTCGGCCACCCTTTATGGTTATATAAAAAGATATCCTGTATATGCCCACACATACCCAACACCTGACCGCACACCCACATTTACACACAAGAGAGGCAGAAGGATGGATGACAAGTAATGAAATATGGATTTCTCCCAGGTCTGGCCACCCTGAAACAGACCTTTAATGAAATACCCACTGCTCTATTTGGTGTACAGGATTAAAAGTCTGCACTACATGCCCCTTGCCCCATCTCGTTAGCCATTTTTGTGAGTGTGTGAGTGTGTGTGCTCATATGTGTGCACTCCGACAGCTCCTAAAGGAATTAAAGCTGCACCTCTGACTGGAGTGAACCACAGGAAACACTCATCCATCACCCTCTTGATCTCTCCATCACTCTTTCTTTTCATCATTGAGTCCTGCAATTCATCTCAGCGGTTCCCCACATACCTCCATTTATCTCTCTATGTCAGTGCATGATCCCTTTTTATTGTACACCTCCCCTCCACTATGTACAATATACCTTTATACAGAACTTTCCCACTTCCACTGCCTCCACTTTCTCTCCCTTCATTTTAACTTTTCTTACCGACCAATCACTTCTATCGCGCTCCCTCCTCCACCTTTCTTTCTCCGGCCATCTATCCAAGGCCCTCTGTGCTTGTGATTACACTCAGAAAGAGCCAATCAGGGGACTGTGTGATGCTTAGATGGGCGCTCGTGGAGGCGTTTATTGAGATGGCTCTTGAAAGGGATTGGAGCTGTCTTCACTTTACTTGCACAGACAGCCATTCAGGCTCAGTTTCCTCTCTCCAGGGACCCTTTGTCTTGGACACAATGTATTCTGTTTCATTTCGGACTTGAGATTTGCCAAAGATCTGCAGTTATTGGAGTTTTTTGGTGGGGCTGCGTACACATGTGAGAAAAGTGAGACAGAGAGACAGGGACTGGCTTAAAAGTTGAACTTAGTTCAGAGAACGTCAGTTTGATTGTTTTTCCTACAATGAAACAACATTGCTGTGGTTGTGGGCCATGGAGGGGTATCTCTGATTGTTGGTATCAAGATGTTTAAAGGTGGGGTAGGCAGGGTTCCGTTAAAGAAGCATCTTTAGCTATTAGTTATTGATGACATTTGGAAATATCACAATATCACTGTGTTTTGTTGTGTCTGTGTAGTCACCATTTAACATTTTTTGAGCAGCTCGCTCTCTCTGACTGTAACACTGCTCCCTCGTGTTGTGAGGCATGCTCCACGTCCTCCAATAACTTGCACGAGCCCAAACAAAGTTAGCGTGCTACAACATCAGATGGTAGAAATCAACCAGAAAGTATGGAAAACACAACCAAGAAAACAAAGTAAATAGCAGAGACTCTGGCAGAATAACGGGCGCTTAAAACAGAGGTAGACTGAACAAGCGCTAAGAAGCCGGGTCAACATCAGCATAAACGTTGGGGGACGCCTCGAGGACCTTGTAACCTTTCTGCTGGAGATGTAAACCACTTCAACAAAGTAAGCCGAGTGTCTGTAACAAAAGTGTTTCTTGCCAAACGGGACCTGCTGCTTGTTGTAGCGCCGCTAAACTGTTTACCTCGGGTCCTGAACCAAGTCACTTTATCCTAGTTTTAGAAGTCCTGCAAACATTGTGTTTGCTGGTAGTCTGTTGGCATCTACAGTAGCTCCAATGCTTTTTACTTTCACACTGACTGGGCCCTGTTTGTAATTATCTGAAGTCTGTATCTGCGTTGTATCTGAATTTAATTGGAACGATACGAGCGAGCACGAGCATCTGTCTGTGGGCGGGGCTTGCTAGAGCAGAGAGGGAGGGGAGTGGAGGAGCTGAGGGGAGAACTGGTTCAGAGGGGTGGTGTTTACACTCAAGATTTCTCCCAAAAACTGGTACTTCCTGAGATCCCGCCTACCCGACCTTAAAGATGCGCACTCCTGCTCATAGCGGATGGTAAAAGGCATGTCCTCAGATTAAACAGCATGTTAGCTGCAGTTTGAAACACTGTCATACCCTGACATTAGGAAGTCTTCTTCATAGGAGCTACTTTTCCTCACAGGTGGTCCTCTCTATTCTTACGGATATGTGTGCAACTGACTGATTTTCATTGCTGACTCACTTTTACTGATTGGCTGTCTGGGTTTATAGTGGTCCACAGGCTAGTCTCAATGATACAATAAGTACAGTCCCTAAGCTGCAGTTGCCCAATGATAATGCTGCAACATAATGTTTGTAAATAAACAGTTTCAATCACATCCATTTTTCAGTTCCCTTAGGGAGTTTTTTCTTACACATACAGTGTGTTCCAAAAGCTGAATGTCTGTCTAAATCTGTTGAAAGTGAGGCTGATGAACTCCAGTCTCTTACTGATGCAGACTGTATGTGGGTACTGGCATCCTCTGGTTCAGAGGGATCCTTCATTTGTTTTGGTATCCTCAGCTAGGACTGGAAATTGCTGATATTGTATTGATACCAATGCCATTATCAATCCTGCTGTGGATTTTCTGTGTCAACAATACAAATCCCATCAAACTGCTATGCTAAGACTGGAAAGCCTGGCTCAGACCGTACAGGTCAGCTGATCACACATACAGCCTCTGATTGGTTGATGGACACAAACAATGGTAGCTTTCAATCATCTCAGTCAGCTCACAAGAATAACACATTTTCTCTAAACTTGATGCATAATTCATTACAGATAACCATTTTTTATTTCGAGGGATTGGATCTAGAGTGTCTGTAAAAATACACTGTCCCTCACAGATATGTCATGTCATTGTTTGGCAAGGCACATGGAACTAGTTGGGTACTATTAGGTATCGATAAGGGAACTGTTGAGTACAGAAGCGAATGATGTTGGACTGGTTCTTGTTTACGATCCCTGCTCACAGCACTGACATAAGTTTTCCTTTGAGATGTTTTTCCCTTCTTTCATAGACAGGAAAACAAGCCCTCCTTACACATATACTGTTTCATGAATGCATCATGCTGGCGGCAAAGTTAACAGAATTTCATAAACACTAATTTTGTTTTTCTTCTCTGGGTTTCTTGTTCCATTAATAGCTGAAGAAAACATCTGATCTCAGCATGAAGCAGAAATTCTGTGGTGGTGCAAAAAAGAAGGGCTGACTGACAGCGAGATACTGAAGCAAAACAAGACACTTGTACTGTACTAAATAACATGAGGCGTAATGGGCTCGTGCTGTAGACATCATTTTTACAGTCAGAAGCCCCACTGTCCTGTGGAGTTCAACGTTGCTAAAAATGACATAAATGATACTAAAAGATTGTAAATAGGGCTGTGAAACCAATAATATTTAAACTGAGATTCCAATAATTATGATAAATCACACTTGAAAAGTAAAAAAGTTAAAATTTCAGTTTCATTCATTTTAACAGGCCAAAAAAACTGTTTTAAGTCCATATTAACACTGTAAACAATTCTTATCCGTGTCTTGATTTGGGAATCAAATTAACACAACTGCATGTAGGTTATAATCTTGACCTTTAGTTGAATATCAATGCAGTGTTACACCAGCATAATCTGAACTCATGACAGTGCTTATTCTGTGAATCACAGTGATTTATTATTGTGAGGCTAGTGTTGTAACAGCTTAGGCGATAAACAGGGGAGCAAGTATAAGATGTAAAATCAGTGTAAACATGGCGTGTAGTTCAATCGAAGATAATGATTACCATCACAGGGACCTACAGTATTTGCACTTTCCAGGAGTCCCAGTCTGGCTGTTTCCTTTGTTTCAGAAAGGTCCTGTGCTTGTTAAAGTATGGCTTCCTACAATGATAAGACCTATCAAAGATGCCAACCTGAGGACATCCCGTACAACTTGGTCCTTTTTAGGCTGCAGTCTGTATCCAGCTATTTAGCAAACGCTGCTTTTAACCTCTTCACTTTAACTTCATAAACAGGTTTGTGGCAGTTCACACACTCTTAAACAGAGCTGTGGTGGCTTTTGTGATGGGGTTGCTTGCTGGCATCAGTGTGTTGGGCTGTATCTGTATGTTTAGCTTGTAGGTCGAAGCTAAGAGGTAAAGTACTTCAGTGATGTTTCAATTACGTTTAAACATTTCTTTGACTCGTCTGCTTTGCTGTCTGGTAGTCCTTTTCGAGATCAGAAACCTGACAATGATAAGTCATAATGATAACCCTTAATTGTCTCACAGAAACTCATTATTCATTTTCTCTATCAGCCCTTACTCTGTTTCTTATGTCACTGACTCTTTTCATATACCTACACACACGTATCGCCCTATGCCAAACCCGTAGGGTGTTGTAACCTGACAGTAAATCATTAATCTCTGATATTACCCATAAATCCCTCCTCATTAACAATAGCCCAGGGACTGAGTTGGCATTTGGTCATGGAGGATGCTCACACACTTCCTCAACAGCTGTGCTAGGAAGAAGGCTGATGGCCCTTCCTGTCTGCTCATTTTTTCCCCCCTCTCTTTTTCCTATAGTTATTTCTCTTCTCTTTTGTTCTCACTTTCCCTCGCTCTGCCTTCCCACCAAGCCTTCGTCACTTTTATCCATCCTGCTCAGCTGTGTCAGTGGGTGTCATTGCTGTGAGCCTGCATCAGTCCAGTGGGCAAGCCAGAGTACCAGAGCACAGTAGCAGACAGTCCGGCGGGATTAGAGCTCAGAGATTAGCCTTCTCTCTGTGTCACCGCTAATCCATTCCCAGGGCCTGGACTATCCCACACATGCATACATACACACACACACACATACACACAGTGTGACAAAAGCTGTCGTAACAGGATCACATAGCGATGATGGAATTTGTTGTCGAGTGTATTCACATGTAAATCCAAAGCCTTGACATCCTCTATTAAAGCAGGAATCTGTTCCTTTAACAAACTCCTTCCCCAGCACCAAAAAAGCGTCTATCATTGGTATATTTCCGAGTATCACATAAACTACACAAGCTTATTGTTTTCTTGGAAATACACTTTCCTGCTTTGAAATACTGTATTCATACTGTATTGTGTAAGAAACACACTCCCCCTCCTCTTTCTCTTTGCATCTTCTTCTTGTCACTTTCTTCTCCTCGCCTTCCCACACTCCCATCTCACCTTCCCCACTTCTTTTAGTAGACTGGGTGATGAAAAACCCCCACCAACCCAAGATGGATCCAATTATGTCAATTTCTGTTGCAATGTGGGTAAAAGTTGATGCGAGTTAACGTACTGCCACGATCGATTCTTTTTTGTCAAACAACGGTCTCTCTTTTTTTTTTTCCACTTTCACTCCGACAGAGATGTGTACTTCTGTTATTGTCAATCTAAAAGGAACTTCAAGGCTGTCAGGCTCATTGGAAAAATCTCACACACCCACACCCACACACACATGAAGTCAGGGTTCTTTTTGCCTTCTTGCTTGTCGGTGTAGATCAGAGGTTTCTGCGTCCCTATTGGCCGTCTCAAAGAGACACATTGATTAGTTGAGATCGATGAGGTTCAGTATTGTTTTAGAGGAGTTCTGCAACACAATAGATGTGCTAGTTTATTATCCCGCTGCCTCACGTCCCTCCTATTCTTCTGTTATGTACTTTATTATGTTTATTCTGTCATTTCTACTCATCCCTATTGTTAGCTCCTTTCCGGCTGATCCTGTTTAGGTTTTGTCAATAAAATACAGGCAATCTGTTAAACTTGTATCTCGGCTCAGCGGCGACCGATGGAGGCCTTTGGGTGGAGTGTGTATGTGTAAGGTGTTTGGGGGGGTGAAAAAGATGTGCTCTCACCTTTTAAAAAAGACAGTGTTGCTGCCTAACCTTGTTCTTATATAGCAGAATCTTGTTTCCATGGGTACCAAATCGTTGAGCTCTGAGGACGTGAAGCAATTAGTGGGGCTTGATGAATGTGTCTGTTTACCACTGCTTGATAACACAGCCAAGGCCAGGTGGGAGCGTTGTGGTGTGTATGTTTCTGTGTGTGCGTGCACGCGCGTGTGCGTATGCTGCATTTTTAATATGTGTTAAATATGCACACATGTTGTAATCATAAATAATTTGTAGGTCGTAACTCCTCGCCTCCGTTTCACAGTTTAATACCAGGGTGAAGAAAACAGCATGTTTTGACCATCTGGTTCAAGCCAATGTGAGGAACAAGAAGCTGCTGAAGGATGCCGTGCAGAACATCACAGCGAAAGGAATCACAAACTACACAAAAGGCTTTGAGTTTGCTTTCGAGCAGCTCTCTGTGGTAAGATTTTTCTAATTCACAGCCTTAATGACTACAAATCCTACCATTTTATTTTACATCAGTGTCACCAGAGAGCAGAAGAGGCGTAAAAGAAGTTTTAAGTGAATGCTGTCTGTCGTTCCTCTGCATTCGAGTTTCAGCAGCAGCAGCCGATTCTTGTCTTTCACCGCCATCTGCTGGTTAAACTAAATAATCTGATCTACTGTTCACACAGCTAAAGACTCATCAGACTTTTACAGATGAGTGATATTCATCACAGCTGCTTAAAGACAAAAGAGATAAAGTCAAATCTTGGTCAGGGGCAAATATCATGTCCCCTTGAGTTCAAACTGTGAGATCGAGCTTAAAGGGAAGAACGTAGTTAAGTTCATCACAAGGGATCACGCACCGCCGAGTACTGCTTTGAAGCATAGCTTACACAGCCTGAGCACAGATTGAATTTTGGCGTAATGATGACACTAGACAAGGACGTGTACACATCCTGTAAGAAAGTGTGTTTTCCTTTGACCAGATGAATGTGAGCAGAGCAAACTGCAATAAGATTATCATGCTGTTTACTGACGGAGGCGAGGAGAGAGCTCAAGCCATACTGGAAAAATACAACGCTGACAAAAAGGTACATTGATGACACACACACACACACACACTGATGTAGGCTGGGGTGTGTGATACTGCACTGTGAATTACTTGCTTTTATCTTTGTGAATATGCTCCCATTGTGTTTTTTCATGGAGACTCAGCTTTTTGGAGCTCCCTTTGGGTCGCGACTTCCTTGTGCACATCCTCACTACCCAATAGTTTATGCAGACGGCAGAAAGGGGGGGTTCTTAATTGAGTGTTGGTTATGATGAAAGACAACCCACACACACATACACACAATGACAACAATATGCAGGGAAAAATCCCAAATGTGGACATGAATAAGGTCAGGGATCTGAGTGGGTTGCATTCATGCTCATCCCACATTCGGTATGAATAGTGTTTGTATTTCAGCTCAGATAATATACTTTAAAAGCAGCATGTATCTAAAAGTGTTCAAATGCTCATGTAAATTCATTTTTTATGTTAGTTTTTGATGATTTATTTTAGGTTATCTGTAAATAATCTTATACTTTTTAATCAATAACACCAAGCAAATATATTTAAATTAGATCTCCAATATTATTTGTGTAAGGCAGCTGTGATTCGGTTGTACATAGGTAGTCTTTCAATCTAACACCAGCGTATTAGATCAGTTAGTGCTGAGGCCAGTGTGGTTGACTGAGCGAATGGGACATGTTGTGTTGAAGTACTTTGAGTGGTCGGACAAACTGGAAAAGAACAAAATTTATCAAACTTTGCAGCTGTTACTTTGAGAATAATGGCGATTTGAATCTTTGACACAGGTGAGGATCTTTACCTTCTCAGTAGGACAGCACAACTATGATAAAGGACCCATTCAGTGGATGGCCTGTTCCAATAAAGGTACTGTGCACACCCACCATAAAAGTTTTCTTGTTTCTGTGGATGTGATAATCGTACTAAATTAACTTTTATTTAAATAGCTTAAACCGCAGAATTATTCACAGGAGACAAGGTGGTGAAATGATGAATTAAAATCGTATTTGGAAAGAGGAGCTTCCTCCAAGCTCCTCTGTCATCAATCTTTTCCAAATATCCTTGGTCAAACATTAAAATATTCACTGCTCTAATCTCCCTCACAAAAGTCTGGATGTCATTCAAGTTTGTAACAAAGAATTATATTGCACTAAACTTATCCAATTTTCTTGCATGCTGTATCCTGACTTTTTTTTAATTTTTTTTTTTTTTGGGGGGGGGGTATTTTTCCAGCTGCTTTGTTGTCAGTGTGTGATTTTGGTTTTGTTTGGATTGTTTATTCAGGTTACTTCTATGAGATTCCTTCCATTGGAGCCATCAGAATAAACACACAGGTATATGTTCATTTTTTCGGGTATTTTTTTTCAAATGCTTGACATTTTGTTCCCAAGAAAAAAATCTACATGAAAACTGTGTTTTGTCTTTTTCAGGAGTACTTGGATGTCCTGGGTAGACCAATGGTTCTGGCAGACAAGCAGGCTAAACAAGTCCAGTGGACAAATGTTTACCTCGACGCTCTGGTATAATACTTTCTGCAACTTCATATTACAAAACACAGAAATGTTGTTCCTGTCAGGTTAATCTTGCCTAGTTGGTGTTCCTGAGCTAATGAAGATATTTGTTTGACTGTCAGGAACTGGGCCTGGTCATCACTGGAACACTTCCAGTCTTCAACAAAACTAAGACCAAAGATGACAAAAATGGCGAGGTGCAGTAAAAAAAAAAAAAAAAAAATCTTTGAGCATATTATAAGTTCTTTGAAGTTTCAGGGTCTGATGAGCTTCTTCTTTCCTCATCTTTTCTTTCAGCACCAGAATCAGTTGATTCTCGGTGTTATGGGGATTGATGTGTCTTTGGACGACATCAAAAAACTCACACCACGCTTCACAGTGAGTTTAACATCCTCATGGGATCAAATGCTGCAGACAAATATTACATCTATCACACTCAAGTATGGTGACTCAGTTGTGAAGAAGTAGCAGAGTTTTCCCTCCTGTGTAATTAATGAGTAATGAGTAAAACAGTTAATTACAGCCCATTAGTTTTTTAATGTTCTCTTGTTTTTTTGTCTTACAAACTACTTAACAGGCCGTAACCAGTTGACTTGTTATGTGCTTTTCTACGCACAATGATGTAATTTTCTTGTTAACTCTTAAATTGCGGCAATAGATTGGTCCAAACGGATACTACTTTGCTATTGATCCCAATGGATACGTCCTGCTGCACCCCAATCTTCAGCCAAAGGTAGGTCATGTGATTATATTACTTAGGACTCCGCAGTTAATCCTAACTTAAAGTTTTCTCTGTGATCAGTCTTTGGAAAAGGAAGTGATCAGGTATCGATAACTTGTTTCAAAAAATAAGATTTTCCAATTTACAAACACCAAACGTGTTATTCCCCCGCAAATCACTTATTTGCCTCAGCAACATACTGAATATATCCAATAAGAGTGCAAAGCTGCAAAACATAAAAAAGCCCACAAATTGTTCAACATGCAGAGCAGACCACTTTTCTGCATACTTATTCTTACTACACAAGTGTTTTTGGGATGAAGATTCATGCTGGCTTTAAGAGTCTAGGAAGACTCTATATTGACTTGCGACCAGTTTGTCAGCTTTTGGGTAATGCCGTGGTAAACAAGTGGCTTTGTGGCACTGTGTACCGAGAGACGGCTGGTGTTTATCGCTCCCCAAAACAAACTTGTTGAGACTTAAAGCACTGCTGCAGCCCCTTCTATCATCTTAGCTGTGTGCATTATCTTCAGTCAGTTGGTTTGCATTAAAACTTGCCTTACACTAACAGCTGAATCTAAGAGACCACACAATGTTAATCTCTTGAAGAAAAAAAGCATGTTCAAGTACGCTTTTAACTATTATCAATCAATACTTATTCGAAAGAGTTGCCTGTATTTTAAAGAATTAAGAAGCAGTACGGCTAATAGTTAAGAATGTATTTTTGGGTGAAAGTATGACACTCAAGAATATAATTCAACTTTTGGTATATTTTTTTTCATGCCTGTATCATAGTTCAATCTTACTTTTAGACAGCTGAATTTATCAAACATGTTTTCTTGAATTCTAAAACAGGTACAATGAGGCAGAAAATTGAAGCATGAATGAAATGCATAAAGCAAAATCATGTGTTAAAGTGTCCTTATTTCATTCTTATGTGGCCTGTCTTCATGGGCCAAATGCTCTTGGCGGTCTTTCAACTTTTGAAACAACCGCAGATGGACCCCACTGGCAGATGTTAAGATGCAGCCCTGTCAAATTTAGCCATGACCCCATAAAAGGTTCCAAGTCTACCTTCAGCCAAGACAAAACAGGTTCTGACAGGCTACAAAGTGGCAAGTTGCTGCCAAAGAGTGTGGAGTCAAAATGTTCAAAGAGGCGCTCCTCTAAATCTGAAACAGTGCATCCTTGAGTACACATGCTAACATCCCATCCATCAGTCTGCAAGTTCCTAAACTGATCCGTCAACACAAACGTGGGGCTCCAGTTACTCTCATCTCCAGTTTAGTTTATTGACATGTTAGTTTGAATGTTTGGAGTTTAGCTTTGACTTGGGTCTACTTGAAGATGATTTTTTTTTAAAGTGGCTTGTAAAAAACCTGTGAACTGTTGTCAAGTAAAAAACACAGTGTTCCTAAATAGCTGCATTTAAAAGACTTATAGAGCATTTATAAAGGTCTGTATTTCATGAGATTTTGTCTAGGGAATATCATTGAGGCCACATATACTCTTTCTGTCTGACTCATCTCCTCTGCAGCAAATCTGAATTTCCCTCTCAGTCGTTTTCCCTGCCAAATCTTCAGTTTAGACTAAAACACTCAACTTTGATCTGTTTGTCCATATGTGTGTGTGTGGCAACTTCTTTGAAAAAATGACTTAAAAAAAAGGAGCACATTTGGTTGGCCATTCAAAATCTGGTGCAGTTACAGACCTTCAGATTAAATTTAATATTCTGTTTTTGCAATGTTGTATGAAACAATGAGTAATTAGAAAAGGCATTTGGTAAAAATTGAAACTATTTGTAGGTGTGTTTGATTTAGTTTGATCACTTTTTATTCCCATTTTGAAACACTGTACCTTTGAATTGTTTTTAGAATTTTTAAAATGATCATTAGTTGTCGATTTAAAATGTACAAGAGTCCGCACTTAGTATACCATGACTGCCCCCTGTTGGCAATTAAAGAACTGTCACACATACATATATATACACACACACACACACACACACACACACACACACACACACACACACACACACACACATCAAACTATCAAACTATTCCAACCAAGTGAGGACCTCTAGGCCTGTTTGTCTCGGGAGATGAAAGCGAATGCACATTTTGACTTTTCACTCCTCTGACTCACGAAAATGCATCATGTTGCATATTTTATAACTTTCCCAGAGAAGGATTGATAGATGGAATCGAAGACTCTGGGATAAGAACGCTATAACCTTCCATGAGGTGAGATAAGATAGCTGTGCTGTATACAGCAGTAGTCTAGAAGGTAGTAATGTGTAGGTTGCTGTGTCGTAGTCCCGTAGTTCTAGTTCCACATAGTTTTGATGATATTAATAACTTTTTAAGGCTATTAACCACAGCAAACAGGGTCAACTTTAACATGTAGTTTTAGCAACTTTTAACAATTTCTGATCAAAGTACCATCCCTGATGGAAGTGTATGATCTACTTAAAAAAAGAGAATAAACCTCAGTAATTAACTTTGAGCAGAAACAAAGGTGCTTTCTGATGGTAATTCTTCAGCATAAAACTTATTTATCAGCTCATTGGGTCTATAATGTAAACGAGTCAATTTTGAAACCCAATGTGTAAAGCTGGTCAAGCCTGCATGTTTTTCAGTGATAAATGTATTTTGGTTTCCACTTCAATTTTTCCTATTATTTTCACTTTTTCACCTCACTCCTGTGTAGAGCATGTGCCTTTTCTTAGAAAGCTTAGAAAGCTGCCTCAAATCACTCGCTGAATCATCACAGTATATGATAGAGTGAATACTTATATTGACCTTGAAATCTTTGGTTTTACTTTCTTAGTCCTCTATGCCTTTGCAGGATTTTTTTTTTTTTATGTTGTTATGTTTGTACATATTTCATGAATTTCACAAAAATCTCCCCACCTGCAGCTGTGCACTTGTTTTGATCTCACACCTGCAGCAAACTTCAACATATCTTGCTGACATACAGTGTTCTCTCACTTTCATCTCTTTCTCTTGATATTTTTGCTTTTCTTTTTCCCCAACCCTTATTTCCTCACATGATCTTTTCAATTTGTTACGCATACTGTCTTCATTCCCCTTTTCTGTCTCTTTTGTTCATACAGTATGTTTGATGCATCTTTCTGTGCACCCCCCCAATCTTTCATTCTTTCTTTTCTTATTTTCATGTTGAGATGCTTCATCTGTTTCATCTTCCTTTGCTGCTTCATTTCATCTCACTTTTCATCAAATGTAAGAGAGACAACTCTTTACATTTAACTTAATCCATTTTTGATTGATTTGCTTCTTCTGTAGTTTAATCTTCATTGAAAATTTGCTATGCCAGCAGCGTATATTCATATACTTGTATATCTTTAGATTGACTGTCTCATGTTAACTTGAAAAAAGAAAAAACTATACAGACGACAAAAGCATGTATACAATTTGCCCCCCACTCCACACACCCCCATATTTTAAGGCACAGAGTATAGAAAGTGCTATTGAAGACAGAATGGTATCGGATTCCTTGTACTGCTGTTTTATAGAGAGGCACTAGATTACTGCTACCATTTTATTCCACCATAAAGCCACTCAGACGTATAGGGTTTTTAAGAGAGGACATTAATAGGGTCCAATGTCACTTTGTATCAACTCTGATTCAGCTGTGTCTGGTGTTAGAAATGCATTACCAAAAATGCTGCCACATGGCATCCTTTGTTTTCAATTAGATTCACATGTTTTAAAAACGGAGGACCTTCTTACAAAAGTGAATACAAAAGAACAGTGGGGCCTGAATAATTACAGTGCAATGCAGTGACAGCACAAAGACTCAGATGGGTACGACTGGCCGCCACAGAGAGAAGCCAGCTCCAGGTTACAACTGTAAAATGCTTCACCACAACATTTAATAACCAACTCAGCAGGCTTCAGAGAGAGCGATATGAAAGCAGGTTATTGTACAACAAACTGAGCATTTAGCATAATACGTCTGCTTTTGTCAGATCAATCCTCTCATGTGTCTTTAGCTGTTGTTTGTGTTGTTTAAATTATGTCTTTCCTTTTAACAGAATCCTAAATTCCAGGAGCCTGTCACCCTGGACTTCCTAGATGCTGAGCTGGAGAACGATATCAAAGTGGAGGTAGAGTGCGCCGATGTAAAGACATCCCCGACACAAAAACACACACACATACAGAGAAGAGAGGAGAGAAATCCTGGCAGTTGCAGGATGTCTCAGTGCTCCTCATAAACCCGTTAGAAATGAGCCCCTAAAGTGATAAACTATAGCTGATAGAGTTCCATTTAATCTAGTAGAAACCAATGACTGTGTATTAAAATGAGCACTGCACCACCATGCTCCTCCCATCGTTGGATGTGAAACCGAAATACTGCCTGGATTGGTGCTTTCTCTAAATATTTGTACATTTGTGGTGTGTATCTTAATATGTCGTCAATATCAAGGAATCAAGATGACGTAAGAACAAGCCCGCTCTGTTTCTTTATCTTTCCCTGTAGATCAGAAGAATGATGATTGATGGTGAGACCGGCGAACGAACCATCAACACTCTGGTGAAAACTCAGGATGAGGTAAGAGAATAAAGACTTCACAGTTTATGTGAGATTATTTTTGGAAACTACATCTTTTACTGGAGATCTTCCTGGTCCACTGCTGCATATTTTTGTGGGGATACCCTCGAAATGGTCTCATTGTTCAAGTATTGTTCTCATTGTTCTTATTGTTGAAGCATTACAATTGGACTTCATTTCTTTTTGTCCTTAAAGTAAAACAGTAGAATTAATTCATTCACAAGTTAGCAAGTAAAAGAAACATTTTTACTTATTTTGTTTCACAAATTTTCAGTATTCAAGTATCATCTTAAAATACTCCTTATGTGACTATCACTAGCTCTTCCCTGTAACATCCCTGTGCATTTCATCTCTTGCAGCGGTACATAGATCGGGGAGTCAGGACCTACACGTGGGCTCCGGTCAATGGAACAGATTACAGGTAAGCCACCTCAGCACTTTACTAATATTTCATTATGGTTCATTAAACTGACAGAGTCAGACAATTAACTGAGGCTTAACTACAGAGAGCACTTAAGCTGATGAAGGACACCACTTACACCAACAGGGGTCACTCTCTTGTTTTCTAACACAGGGCTCTGCTTGGTTTAATGAGGGATGTATTACAGAGGTTATTTTGCAGTTTACTTAACGTGCAGAAAGCATTTCAATAAAAACAAAAAGCTCAAATATTTGCACTTTTTTTCTCCCTTTTTGAGATATTTTAGGCTTTTGACCATAATAACTGAAGAACTAAAAAACACATCAACACATTTTTAAATCAGTGCGTTCTAGTCAGTTAAATAACAACCACTTGTATGACTCTATCATCAGCTTATCTGTGATTATTTTGTTTGTTTGTTCGTTTTTTGCAGCCTGGCTCTTGTTCTGCCAAAGTACAGCGAGCACTTCATTCAAGCGAAACTGGGAGATGACATGAAAGAAGCGATGTGTGAGTAGAACCGCCACCTCCATGATTGAAGCGCACAAACAACTCAGTCTGTTTCATTTTGCTGGAGCCTCACATCCAGCTCCCATGCATGCTTTCTTTGGGCCGTACTCCTGAGTATCTCTACTTGCTTTGTATCGCACAACCAACCACTCCTTTGTATTTGCTGCTCAGATCAGCGGATCCCCACGGAGCTTCTCTTTTGTAGTGTAACCCACTGGTCAGTCACCCTCCACTCCCACACACACTCATCCACATGCTGTCCTCCTCTCTGACCCAGCCTTAGCACAACTCTTTTGATCTTGTCTTCATTTTGCGCTCTTTTCTTCCCCTCCTCTGGCATGGGAGAAAAAGAATCCCTGTTCCGCAAAGTCTCCCTGCTTCATGTCTCATTATCACATCCTCACATCAACCTTTCAAATTCTCCTCTTCGTCCAGATTTAAGTGGGCAGTTCAATTCCCCTATACCTCCCTTTCCCCGGGTCTCTCTTTTTTTCCTTAAATGCTTTATCAGGAAAAAGCCAACTAAAATAAACTTCAAACTGGGTTGTTGTTTTTAAAGTCTGTCTCTGTCTGATCTGTAAACCTGTCCCCAGCTCCCTCTCTTGATCCTTCTCTTAATTCCTGTCTTTTTCTTCAGCTTATTTAATCTTTTTTTGTGCTCTCAAGGCTGCCCAGCTGTAACAAAACTCTGGCTGCTTTTCCTCACAGCTCAGATCATGGCTAAAATCACAAGGACATTCACAATGGGTCCTGTATGTGTAGCTGTCACTCTCTATACTGCTCTTTGCTTTTTGATTCTGATGCAGCTTCTCCTCTGTCTTCTCCTTCTTACTTGCTGGGATTTCGCAGCTTCAACTTGGGGCAAGTACTCACTGTTGTCTGTTTTCTTCTCACATTGTGACTCTTCAAATGTATCAGCATATTTATCGTATTCTTGCTCGGTTTTATGCATGCTTAATAATGATTTTATAGATAAGGGCATGGACAACTGCTAAATGAAGTAAGAAAATATCCAATTCAGCGGACAACCATCTGGATTCTGAGTATTTTCATGACTTTGATGTGACGCCACAAATCATAAACAGCTAATGGTGCAGTTATTCCAAAAGATGATAGTCTGACTGAGCGTTTCAGCCCCTGTATCACTCCTTCTCTGCTATAACCAGTCTGTCAGTGCACCATAAAGGCTGTCAGAACGTTTACAGGCCTGTTAAAAAAAAGAAACACAGCATGCCTTGCTGCCACAGACAACTCCGATAGGGAGTTTGGGACTCTTAAGTTCGCTGTACAGCCATATAGAGTTTCACACTGGAGCCAGACCACCAATACCTCGATTCATCTTACCTCTCCTGCAGTAGAGGGCTCCTGCAGCCACTTGTCCTCCTAATACATTAGGATGTGATTCCAAGCCAAGGATGTGATTTATTAACATTGAATTTTTCGTCATATCACAGGAATGCTGCATGCATTAAATAAATGGTCCAACCCTGGGGTTGTGAAGATGATGACAGGGAAGAAAAGAGAGAAAAAAAAGAAAAGGAACTATATGTGGTGTGGAGAGCAACTGGGCAAAGAGACACCCTGCCTGTCTATAGAGACAGAGGGACAATGAAACCGCCCGTTACATTTTATGTGAAGGACATTGCTTCATCATGCACCAGATTTCCATGACCCCAGGGAAACTGAGAGCTCTGTAATATTTTCCGCAGACTGCGCCACACGACTCAATATCTTTTAAAGGCAGTGTCCAAAATGTCTTCAGTTTAAGAGAGTGGTGAATGATGGCTGTAGATGTCTGTCATGTCATTTATGAGATAAGAATTACCAGACAGGGTTGTAAATGAGATCCAGACCAGAACAGACAAAGCACCGAGTGGACAAAACATATTCCGTTATACTACTGTTTATCTACATGTTTCTTCACTTGTGCAGATGCTCTCTCTCCCCGTTCAGATAGTTCCCTTTTCTGCATTCCTAGAAAGCGTACTCTCGTTTATGGACCAAAACTTTGTCCCGTAGATGTGATATCCTTTCACTACTGCAGAGTATTTTATTCCCAACTGTGTGAGATATTTACAATTTCAACATACTTTCCAGTGAATGACATCATTGTTCACATGATGAATGCTTTTTTATATCAGCCCTTTGTCTTTCCTCCTTTTTCCTCTCTTCTTCATCTCTTAATCTCTGGGGTTACAACAGGGCAAGAAGGCAAGTATTTCTCTCTCACTTATTCCCTCATGCCTCCCTACTGCACATGGATTTACACTCCCTACCTTAATCCATCACCTCATAGCTGTCCGGTATTTTATGTGTCTGTGTAGTGTGTATGAGTGTGCAGGGGTCCTTTTAGCCAGATTATGTGCAGGACTGTGTCAGTATTTTGGCTTTTGCCATTTTTAGAGTTTTGATGATACACTTCTCATGTGTTTTTGGATTCATATCTTCATTGCACTTCTCTGAATTATACATCTGCCTCCTTCCCTACATAGAGGTCACACTTCAAAGGAACAAGCATGCTTTTTGGTATGACAATGAGCCTAATCTAGGTAATTTTCTGTCTCTAAAAGCCATGGACACCATACAGCTGGAGCGGTTTGATGAGTTTGGTTTCACTTACATCGCTCCGAGGTGAGTGATTCTGACTCTCCTGTACGACTCAATAAACTGTAAAAGATAAAACGCTGGGCTGTGATTGAACCTGATCGATACTGTATCTTCAGGGAGTACTGCAAAGAGCTGAAGCCGTCATTCAACAACACACAGTTTCTCCTCGACTTCAGCCAGTATATCGACAGAAACACTCCAGATGCATGTGAGTCATGCATCTTTTTCACTGTTATTGGCACACTGGCACTTGCTGTGATATCACTGTGCTACAGTGACTTTGTATCATAATTGTGTCACGCACGTAATTCGACCCTAATCAAGATGGAGCGTATTTCTAAGCTGTGTGTACATTTATAAGAGTGAAAGTATGTGTTTATGTGTATGCTACTGTTAGTCATGCTGAATTTTTCCACTCTAATATCATGACGATCAGCATCTGAAGGTCAGAGCGTGACTTTGGTCATTCGATTAGTTCGGTCTAAGCAGACTGACATCAGCCTGATCTAATGAGTTCCCGAAAAGCCTGATGCTGTCATACTATAACATGACTCATCAGGTTAGTCATCATGTATTGTCTCATCCCCCCAACATGGTATACAAACATCATCCGACAAATGGATATACTTAATGTGTTTCAACCTCTACACTTTCCCTCTTGTTCTGTTTGTGCAGTCAGTTCCCATAGTTCATTCTAACATTGGCTTGATTTGGTACGGACAGTTATAGACATGATATATAAAACACTCAACATTCAAGGGAAACTGGATTGAAACTGTGTGCCAAGGTTTGTCTTTTCTGAAAATAACTTCTCAATGCTTTGGCATCGAAAATTACGTCTGTCTGGCGGTTCAAATGGTCAGTCAAAGTAGGCCTACAAATACATGTCAACATGTCACCCTGCTGGATGATATTCTGAGGAGTGCTAGGACCCCTCCCCGCCTCAGCTTTTAAAAACATTTTATCAAGGGAGAAGACTTGGCTGGACACTTTACTTTAAGTCTGACTACAATCACAAGTCTTGTGTGTATTCTTATTGAAAGCAAGTGAACTCATCTACTAGAAAAATACTGGGTCAAGAGCACTGCCCCGTGAAATCAGCAGTTATTTTTGTGTGAGCCAAAAGAACATCAGGTCCATCCTCCCTGTCTAGATTTTTGACAATTGACCATGGCCTCACAGCAGCCATTTTCCTCATCAGATTCAGGGTGGAAAGCTCACTACTGCTTTGTTCCAGCTTGCAAGTTGTACAAGTGAAAAAAAGACTTCCTTCTCCTACTTACTAGATAATCAATTCAATCTGGAGGGCCTTATCATGTAATTTCCAATAAACACGTGATGCTTTCGTTACAGTTAAAAGAAAAAGTATTCAGTGAGGACATCCCTGCACAACTGCCCCCACATCCGATTGCTTTTGATGCACTAAAAAAACTGTAAAGCCAAGTGATTCACTCTCTGTTTTATGCAGACCCTGGTTGACAACTGAAATGCTGATCCTAATGGGACCCCCAACCTAATCGTAGAACTAAATGGGCAGTGTGACCCAACATATCAACAGATTACTAGTGGGTACCTCCCTTCACTGGTGTCTTGTTAAGATAGGCCAAGGACCCTGAAGAACTCAACCGCGAGCTTTGAAATCCTTGAACTACCCGCATGTCACCACCAATCAAACCCTGGTTGACAACTAAAATGCTGATCTTAATGGGACCCCCACCCCAATCATAGAACTAGATGAGCAGTGTGACCCAACATATCAACAGATTACTAGTGGGCACCACCCTTCACTGGTGTCTTGTCAAGATAGGCCAGGGACCCTGAAGAACTCAACCGCAAGCTTTGACATCCTGGAACTTCCCGCGTGTCACCACCAATCGAACCCGCTAACATCTAATAGTAATTAGCTGTTATCAGACAAAAGATACCATTAGTGGTCTTTCTTTACTTCAGTTAGAGAATCTTGCGTGATGTTTGAGGACAGGATGAAACTACTTGAAAATTGAATTGCAAGATAGGAACAAAAGTTTCTCTCATCAGATAACTTTATTGTAAGTTAAACTTTTAGCAAAGCTTTCATAGTTATCAGGCTAATGCACTAAGACTGCAGCAGCAACCCTAATTTTAGCTTAAGACCTTTGTAATGGACCTACTGAGATGTACAACAGGAAAAAAAGGTTGAGTCAGCTTGGAGGTAGTTGATGCTAATTTCAGTTGATGGCTATTTATAAGTAATAGGCTCTGTAATGTCCCTCATGTATATATTCTGCAGGTAATGTGTCCCTGGTGAGCCGACTCATCCTGGATGCAGGTCTGACGGCAGAGCTGGTTCAAGCTTGGAACGAGCAGACAGTGTGAGTGCCAAGTCTTTAGTCTTTCCTCTTAGTAATGCAAAGAAATCGTCTTCTCCTTTATGCCAGAGCACAAAACTGCACTTGTTAAAAATAAGCCATTCTTATTGCATAGCTATCTTTGTTACATATCTGCGCTGTTGCTTTGAAGCACTATAGCTGATACTGATTTATGTGCTATTTACTGACAAACCAGCTTTACATCTTTATTTTATACCCTGAATGTTTCGATCATGCCTAACAAGTGAAACACGATGAAAGCTGAGCACAAAATCCATATCACACCCAACCATGTCAAGCTCTGCCAAGACATGCTGTTCTGAGTGGAACGTAAAGATAATCACAGCCGCATGTTTCCTTTCATGGTATGCCCGCTTGTCTAAAGTGATCTAAAAACACGTTTACACATACAATGCAGACTCTCTGTTTAATATTAGGACACATAGGAACAAGTTACTTTGGGCGTAAAACAATTTGTGTCACGTCAGCAGCTTTGCTTCACGGTTCAAATACACTTTCTCTGATATGTGTGATGTCTGATTGGCTGTTGCTCTCGATGTTGTCAGGGATGGGATCGTGGCCAGGTTTGTAGCCACAGACGGAGGGATCACAAGAGTCTACCCAAAGAGGTACCCTCTCTCTGTCTCTCTCTCTCTCTCTCTCTCTCTCCCTCTCTTAGTTGTGTGACTAGTTTTAGCATTGCAGCTTAGCCAAAATATGGGCTGGTGTAAATGTGTGAGTAGAAAGTGGATACAGACTGTAATACTCTTGGGCTGAGCACTTTTGGCTGCCTCACTCACCTGCTCCACTGGGTTTTTTCTTTTTTTTCGAGAATATAGAGGATTAGACACTTTGAGCTGAACTCCCACAGCTCTACGGGCCAGAATGGGACACAGGTCGAATCCACAAATCCAACACCCAAATGCAGATCATTTTCCTCTATTTCCTTGCTGCTACTTTTATCTACACTTGGGGGTTCCTCTTGGTCAGGGTATAAAATTCCAGCTGGAGATGAATGCATATTTATCTGGACCATAAAACCTGAAATACAATCAGTTGTAGCCTTTATTGGATCATGCCCTTGACATACATCAACCGCACTGGGTGGGACTCTAATTTCGATGACTAGAACTTGGCTCTAGATTTAAATATACATTATTCAGAGAGATCAAACACATTCGCTTGGTGTTTTATGCCAGTAACTCTCCTTATATAATATCACATGGCCGTATTATTGTTTTCAGTGCCGGGGAAGAGTGGACTGAGAATCCAGAGACATACGAGTCCAGCTTCTACAAAAGGACCCTTGACAATGAAATTTATATTTTCACAGCTCTGTCTTTCAATGGTAAGTTTTCTGACAGGTTCGGTTCTGTCTGTTTGTGTACTTATTTCTGTACGTGAGGCACTTCCCTGTGGTCTGGCACTGATCCTATCCAGCTTTCTGCCTTTGGACGTCCTCCCAACACCACTGGCCGAGATCACACTCTCAGGCCACTGATATCATTCTCTTTATCCTTCTTCTTTCCCCGCTGTGTCTTTCAGCAATTGTCTCCACCCTCCCTCCCTCCCTCCCTTCTGCTCTGCATACTTCCTGTCATCTCCACTGATCACTCTAACAGACATCAGGACAGGCAAACTTGAGTGTAATACGGCCGTGCTTACAGCCACACTTGACTGGATAAGCACATGTCCTGGCTTCACAAACTCCAATTCAATCGCATAAATTACAAACAGTTAAAAATGAACAAAATTTCCCACAATGGAAAGTAATTATTCCCCTTTTTAACTGCAATTCACATACTGAACATTCTCAGCCATGTACTCTTAGACATGATTTTAGTGAAATTGCTGCGATTATTGGTTTTCCTTCTCTTCTGAACTGCAGCCGAGGGGAGGGAGAGTGTTCCTGAGGCGGGTATTCTAGTGAGTAAAGCAGTGGAGCTCACGATTAACGATGTCACGCTCAAACCAGCAGGTCAGTCTTGCTGAGACTAGATTTATTGCCTTTTGTAATGCAAAATAAATTGAACTATTTAATAGCTGTTCAAGCTGCAACTATGTCTGTTTTCTTTCTTTTTTTTCCTTCTAGTTGTGGGAGTGAAACTTAATGTCTCATACTGGATGAATAGTTTTATGAATGCTACATTAAAAGTGAATGTAAGTTCAGTCAACAGTCCACCATCTTTCACACATGAAGAAAGGGGACTATTTTCTCATGTGCATATACTTTTTTTTTCCCTTTTAGTGCAAGGATGAGATCTGTGGCTGTCTGAGGAATGACAAGGTATCACCACTCCTTTTGTTTTGATCGCGCTGTTTCTTGTTTCCTTCTTACTGTGTTGATGCTGTTATTTTAACCCCTGCAGCATGTTGACTGTGTAATCCTGGATGATGGGGGATTCCTCCTCATGTCCAATCAAGAGGAATACATCAACTTGGTGAGTTGTGAGAAACCACCGTCTCCACCTCATCATGGCCATGTGTGTTTCAAACATTTGTCGTCTTTAACATAAAATGAAAGATTTGTTTGAACAGGGTCGGAATCAGTTCTAATCTAAGGTTTTGGGACAAACATTTACCTTGTGTGTCTGTCTATATCTTGCTCATCTTACAATCGTCAGACCGATCCAGTAATCTGATACAAAGGTCAAATAACAGACTTAGCTAAGTTATGAGAATGGCCCGTCAGCACTGAGCGATTTGAAAGCTGCTGCAGGACAGCAGTACATCCACATCTCTGGTAAAGTTCAGCACTAGCCAGTGGTGGAAAAGGATCAAAGGGAAGGCTCTGGTGGGGTTTAGTCAGTCATGGGAGCTGGAGTGAAGTGAGTCCCCTGTGTACGCAAGAAGACAGTTCGGCTGTGTTAACTCCACTTTCTCGGGCTGCTACAGGCTCCTGGTGTGTCAGTGCGAGGATATACTGTGGGTTTGGAAGCATTTCATATCAGTCAATATGGGACATATGCTACCTTTTATCCAGTCTGCTATCTCAGAGTCTGGTATACGGTTCACAAATAACATCCTCCTGGCTGCTTTTGTCTCTGCGTGTGTGTGTGATGCATTCACTGTGAGCTGGGATCAGAACTTCGTCTTTGTCTGCACACAGTCCTATAGTTTCAGTCTCCAAAAACAAGATTGCACATCAGCTCATTGAGCAATTATTCTGTTTATATTTTGTAATCTATCAAGATAGGAGAAGCCAATCGATTGGCATGAAAGCAATTTCAATAACAATTCGATCATTATCTGATGTCATTATGATGATATAGTCCTCAAGAGCGTCTGCACATTGCAGTCAGCACTTACTTAGATAAACAGTAAAGCAAATCTAAAGTTCTGACTTCCTTTCCTGTGCACCTTGCATACTTTACATTTCAACATGCAGCTCGACAAACGACATTAAGCACGGCACTCTTAGCTCGCTTAAAAACATTTCAGCTGTCAAGAGAAAGATAAAAAGCTAGATCAACATCTAATACTAGCTGTTGGATTCAGGAATGGCATTACAGCCAATTTGTTCCAACTCATTTTTCCCTCTTGATTGACTGTTTCTCACCATTCAACTGAACATTTCTCAAAGTACAAACAGAAAAGACATTTGTCTCTTTCCCACGGATCCTGCATTCATTTGCAAAATCTGTCAAAATGAAGTCGTCTTGTTTAAAAGGAATCCAATCACCCAGTTTCTCATCCACCTGATGTTCTGCCGCTTTTGAAACTACACAGCGATGTGTTTTTATGACAGTCAGATGGTTTCAATGTGTAATTATGTCACAAAAGCTTCACCTGGTACTCATTTCGCTGTAACTTAGTCGTTAACATCAAAGTGGCTGACTATAGGAGGGAAGTGAGAAAGTGACTGCTCTACAATTAAAGAGGTGTAGCTTTGTTTGTTTAATGAAATATATTTTATGATGACACATGCTCAGCCAATAAAGATACTGCGAACATAACTCTGGGGGTTGCCTAACAGTTGTTAAAGTGGCTCATTCTGGATAGTTAAGCACGCCTGTGAAAACTCTAACTACCACTGCCAAAGGAAGTGTTTCATCATCTTTTATTGACTTTTGTGTGCGTGTCTGTGCGTGTTTACGTAAACTTGTCTAGATAGGTCAGTTCTTTGGGGAGGTGGATCCTGTACTGATGATCAACCTGGTCAACACCTCCCTGTACTCCTTCAACAAGACGTATGACTACCAGTCAGTGTGTGACCCAGAGAAGGACAGCAAGGCTGCAGCCGGACCGCGCTCTGTCTATGTGGTGAGACTCATACAACCCTACCCACTGCTTCTCACATAACTCAGACATATGATTTACTATGACCTCGTCTCTATTCTCATGTTGGAGTCTGTTTCTTGGGAATTAAATGGTGGGAATAAAATGTTGTCTGTTTTTTTTTTTTTTTTCTCCAGCCTACCATTGCAGACCTGCTCAGTATTGGCTGGTGGGCTTCTAGTGCTGCTTGGTAAGCATACAGGTTGTGTGTATCTGTGAGTGTGTGCCATATGTCCTTTAGAGCAAGATTTCCTTTGGGAATGGGCTCTTGTGCTGTTGACAGATGAAGCTGGCTGGGTCAGTGCAGGACAAGGACAGTTGCACAATAATTACACTTGATTGTCATCCAAACGTGTGTCAAGCTGCATCATAACCTAACTTTTAAATAAAGTGACTGATACTTCCCTTGACATTTACATCACTTGTGACGTTGGTCGACAAACACATGTTAGCTGTTATCAAACAGTGTTTGGTTAATAAAAGTAAATCAGTAAAAGATGGTCTCTTGACTCACCCCTGTGACTCATTCTCTGTTTTTTATTCTCGGGGTCTAGGTCAATACTTCAGCAGCTCTTCTTTGGTCTAATGTTCCCGAACCTTCTAGAGGCAGGTGAGTGACAGTAGTCGTATCTGTGTGAAATTGTCTTGTTCGACCACATTGAACCCTGACGCTGTACCGTTCAGAGTTTTTCTTCTTTTCCATTTATCTAATCGGATCTATCTTCTACTTTCAGCGGAGTCAGCAGATGAAGACATACCGGATGCCATGTTTAAGGAAAGCTGCATTACAGAGCAGACTCAGTACTTTTTTGACAATGATGAAAGATCTTACTCAGGTGTCCTGGACTGTGGAAACTGTTCCAGGTACGCTGATGTTTCTACATTCACAGAGCTGTATATTCTTGTGTTCCTCTGGTTATCAATGTGCTGTTAATGAGTTGGGTTATGAAACATTTCCAGCTCTAAATAGATCTCTTTCCTGGACATCATTCTGTTTATTGGTCTACAGGGATGGGCTCGCTGTAGTATTTCCTTCCTGGCTACTTTTCTGTATCCTAGCCTTATTTCAGGCAGCTGTTTCCAAATGAGCCCTGGTCAGGCGCAGCTTACCTTGATCTGCCGGTGACCAGACTCACAGAGGGAGGCACAAAAGCTTTTTATCTGTTTTTCTTCCTCTGCTCTCTGGCTATACTTCAAACTCACTAACACACACATTCAAGAAGCTCTGTAGATTTACTCCTCTCTTACCTCCTCTTCTGTCAATTTGCGCTGTCAAAAGGAGGTTAAATATGTCTGTAATTACTGGGTATTATGAGTCCCACGTGTCTGGTGCTGTACTCTTCCAAATGTTAACGTCTGTGGACACAGAAACTTTCATGACTTCCATAAAAAACTCCAAGTAGGGAGGGGGGATGAATGTGTACACATGTGCACACAAGTCTGACCTGTTTGAGCTTTATGCAAATAAAATACATTGTGGATGACTTGTATTTGGCGATGTGAATACTGCACTGACTGTATAATTTCTAGGATGTATCGTGCTGAGAAGCTGCCAAACACCAACCTCGTGTTCCTGATCACTGATGCCAAGGCGACATGTTTGTCCTGTGACCCCAGACCACTACGACAGGCCGAACAACCCTGTATCCTTTCACCATATCTCTAAAACAACCTGAACAAAGACTTGCACTTCCTTTACACTCTCCTGCCCTCCGTCTATCATCCACATGACAGTGGGGCTTTTAACTCTTAACACAAGGACACACAGCTAAGAAGTCTGCAGTAGGTCCCCGATGAATGATCTTGAGTGAACAGTAAACCAGATGCACAGCTCCTTGTAGCCTGTCTCAGATTACACCCAGATCAGATTTCTTACTTTGATTTCACCTGGGCTGTGTGCCGCCATCCAGCTGAAATAATATTATATTGATACATTCATATGCATACTGAGGAGATTAGATGGATTTATTCCACTATATCTATTTGATAGATCTACCTAGGGCAGGGCAAAAAACAAAAATTGATCGATACAGAAATTTACGTCAATAACCGACGTCATTTTGCCCATGTCAATATATTCAGTGTCAATTAAATTAATAAATTAAAGTTGGTTTTGGATGTGTGTAGGTAGGCTATAGCCTCATGTCCCTTTAAGACGCCGTCCTACATTGGAGACATGACTCCACTCCATCAGGTCCATAACAAAGAGGGAAAAATGGGTGAAGAGATGGAGGACCGTTTAAAAATTTGTAGCGCCTGGAGCGGCGGCTGAAGTAGACGAAGTTAATGTGGGAGTGGGTGAGCAGCTTGTGGAGTAGTTATCATCCATTTATCATTATCAAGGTGAACTGCTCAATATATTGTGATATTGATTTGAGGCCATATCGCCCAGCCCTAGATTTACCATGAATTTGCGCATCAGTAAAGATGTCATTAATTAAGGTCAACACAGAGTCTCAATAAGAGCTCCTGGCTACGGCTAGGCAACAAATGAGGTTTACATCGTTTAAACATGTGGTTCAGGACAATTAAAAAAATAATAATAATTCTAGGTTCTTTCTTTAACCTACCCAATTAATGTACTGTAAATTAAGTTTAGTTTGTATAAAACTTCAGGGTATTCTTTTTTTAGACCATATCACCCAGCCCTATCTTCAGCTCTTCACGGTTCCACTGACCAGACAAACATCTCCATCTAAGCAATACACGCTGCTATAATCCTTTCAGAATTGTTTAATTCCATCTCTGTCACACAGTTAATAAAAGGATCAGAAAACATTCAGGGAGAATAACCAGGCTGTCTTTCACCAAAGCTGACAACTTGGAGCTAAATGAGACTTTCTGGCTGTGACTTTTAGAGTAAGCAAAGTCAACATCATGTTTTCCTGAGCGTCTGTTCAGCTGAAGGTCCAGATCCATGCGAGCTGGCTCAGAATCCAAGATATCGCAAGGGTCCAGATGTGTGTTTTGACAACAATGAAAATGTAAGAGGCAACTACACATGTGGTTTTGTGCAGAGCGTTGTTGTAAAAGGCTCCATTAGCGAGCTTTCACTCTTGCTTTGTCATTCTCTATCTGCTTTTGATTACATTTCCGCAAAGACTTACATTTGTTTTATTCAGTCATGTTTATTTTTTGTCATTTTGTCATTTTATTTACCTTTGCATGTCATTACAAATTAACTCTGTCAACTATTTTCACTCATTATCTGTCATTCTTGTTTTTTATTTTACTCTGCATCCCAACGGCTATCCCTCATGTCTGCTAGGATGTGCCCTTGTGTCCAATCAGCAGAAGTTCTTCATTGAGCCCTACACCTCTCTTGTTGTTTGTGGTGCTGGGTTCAGGGTTAGTGTCCTCACACAGCTCTACGCAGTTTTACGACCCATTTTAGATCTTTAGTTTTCCTTGGTCACTGAGGTGTTCTTAGCAAGAGCCAGTTAGACACTCCCATGACTTGATAACCTCTTAGCTGGTTGATTTAAAGTCACTTTGATGTCTTAGCTCATTGGAAACGTAGGGTCACATAGTTGTGTGTTTTCATTTTGAAGTTGGATTTACCAATTTTGGTGCACAGAACATCAAACACATTTCAATAAGCGAGTACCCACTAACAAGGGTTGAAAAATAAGGAAGATTTGGGGATTATTTCTTTGTTGCATGCCTTCCTACTTAAAAGCACGCACTCTTTTTTGCATCTTGCTTTATTTTATTTTTCTTCCTGTTTATTACCCCAGCAGATGGAAAGCAGATATCTTGTTTTTAAGTTTTAAATCAACTGAAGGTAATAGCTCTAAACCCACATCACAAAATGACTCTACATAAATACATCAGCAGCCCTTATATTTACATTTAATTGCTTTTCAGAATTAGTTCAAAATCGAATCCAAGCACATTTAGAGTTTTTGATTTTAAGGATATTACCCAAGTGCATTCTTGTGCGGCTCATGGAAATTGTGCCTTTGATTTACATCAGTGAAACAAAGGAGAGAGGCGGATAAATTATGGGTGAGATCACTGCATCACCACCCAACTTTGAACAGTTCGTAAGACTTGTAAATATTTGGAATAATTATTTCTCATATCTCTGTGAACTCAGACTTTCATTGTGTTCTGGAGGCGTAGATCAGACACATAACAGGCATCTAATTCATGTGGCTGCTTGTTTATACTGTGGAGAAGCCGAGAAGCAAAGAGAAAAGGGGGGGAATGACTGAGGAAGTCCATGAACAGAGAAAAAGTAGGCCTCGTCCCTTTCCTCTTTCCATCTTTCCCACTACATTTGGCTCGGATTCTTATAGGAAGACAGTTTGTGTCCAGGCCAGTCCATTTTGCCAGCCGTGTAAACAGAGGAAGCTCCACACGGCTTTCCTGTCCTTTGAATACAGAAGACTCCCACCTCTGTCTCTGAGGCCTTTGGCAGGCACGGATATCCTGAATACTCCCATCAACTACAAGAAAGCCACATGCTACTGTAAACAGGCCCATGAGTATCCACACACACACATATTTATGACAGGCAGAATGAGGTCTGACTCACCTCTGACTGCAGCTAAGCACTCTGTAAACTTGAGAAAAGTCCTATTTTTACTCCCTTGCCAAAAACCAGGAAAAATGTAAATCATATTCACAGTATGGTGGATGTAAAGCTGGGGGAAGTTCCAAGAGTAGCTAAGAAGTCAGCCAAGACATACGTCTCCATATAATCTCTGAAAAAACACAATCTTTCAGTCCTGGACTTCAGTGTGGGAAGGGATTAGAAAGAAAATTACAGAAGGTGTGAAGTTTTGGTTATCAATCTTTTTGATACGTAGGAGCAAAATGGTTACCTTTGGACACAACCAGAACTTTGTATTGATGGTAGCAGAGCTAGTAGAGCTACACCCAAAGCTGCCAGATGTAGGAGAACCTGTTTGACTCATTTATTGACAGCTGATCTGTTCAACAGGAGGATGATTCTGACTGTGGAGGAGGGACCTGCCTAAGCCCGTGTCTTTGGCCAATGCTTGGGCTCCAACTACTGCTGCTGTGGCTCTTCACATCTTTGCAACACTCATGACCCCGACACACATACACACACACACACACTCATACAGTCACACACCAATCACCGTCTTGTCTCACAAGAGGCCAGAAGACACTCCAGCCATGCCATCCGGGATGTATGCCGAATACGTGCAGTGAGATATTTTTATCATTTCCATGTTTCAATGCCAAAGGGTGCTCATTCATTTCCTCCTCATCACTCCAAAAAAACACAGAGACACATTAACTGTGCTCAGCTGCACTCATTTCCATGATACACTCCTTAATATTTTTCCTATGGTGCAAGAGTAAGAGCTAACCAAACCCTTTAATTCTGCCTCATTTGTTCCTCAGATTTATTTTGGTGGAAGAGTTTTCCCACTATGCCAATTGAATATCATTCAAAGTCTGTACGTTCACTGACAGCGTTGATTTGTGTAGTTGTCGATATTGTTTGTTGCTTATTATATTTACTGCGTATGAATCATTATACTGTAACGATCGTTTATTTCAACAACCAGTGCAACTAATAAGAATATCCCTTCTGTTTGAGTGTTTCTTTTAAATGTATCGTACCTATCTACTTATCGCTAAAGTTTATTTAGTTTATTTTTTTAATGAACAAGCATTTCATGACTAGCTGGGTGTTGTATTGTAGCAGCATGTGCTCAGTACAGAGCTAAAGACAGCACTCTGACACCAAAGTTCCACACAGTACAAATACGGGAATCACAAATCCACTACAGAAATGTGGGTGTTCATCTGTTTTAATTTATGGAGAAGGATATTTCAGAGAGCACCCATGTGAATCAAAACTACAGAATCTTACAAACTCAAATCAACTTGGTCAAACAGCTTAAATCGTCTTCAAATTTGATGCATCGAATCCCCAGTGCCTACATCGTAGCTCAAACAGTCTGTTTTCTGAATGAAGTGGTGTAGATGAGTTGTTTACTTTCCATGTATGCTACGATGCTAATGCATATGCATAGCAGGGAGGGGAGCCATTGTAGTGACGTGTAGTAACATGGGCTTGATCTGCTGCAGTTTGTTCATTTTCTTAGGCCCAAAAACACGAAGCAAACTAGATTTAGATTAAGAGAAATAAATATAATTTCCCTCTGTGGTCACAACAAACCAAAAACAGACTTGAGCTTGTGTTCAAACACCTCTCATCGTTAACCCCGTTTCTGTTACCTTTCTGGATCACTGACTCAGGAGCCAGGATGACTTTTGAATGAGATCAGCATAACAGTTTAACTTTTCCTTTCCCTTTCCTTCTCCTTAATGTTCCCCCCTTTATGCTTGTTTCCTCTTTGTGTTGCTCTATAAGTGCTGTGAAGCAGACGCTGAAAGCTCAGTGTCCAAACGCTGCAATGTCATGGGATGAGCTTGTTCTGTGTTTGAACGCTGCCTATGCTCGCGGTCAGCATCAGGGCCTGTTGGAGAGAGCTTCGACTTCTAATAGTGGTAACCTTGCATTGCCTTACTCCATCATATGTCATTACATATGCATAAATAGTATAGAGTGTCAGTGTTATTTTTTTTGTTTTCTTTTTTACGACTGAACAGCCAGTCAGTTCTCTCCACCTCGCCTCCATGGTGACCTGCTGGTGTTGAGTGTTCAGAATATGCCTGTCTATCAGAGTCGCGTGTTGACTTGTGTTTTACTGGGGGGGTCCCGTGTCTATGTGCAGGCATGTGAGTGTCCCTCCGATATCTGATTGTGCTTTAATACTGTACATGAATTACTCTTTTGTGGAACTTGACTAGCCTGAATAAATTTTGTATACATTTGTACACTTATACTATTTACTGTACAAAAGAGAAAATGAAAGGGAAGAAAATTGTTTATAATATGGTGTTGATTATTGTGCAAATATAATATATTCACAATAAAAGTGTTGTATTGTTATGACCTGAGGTGCTCTGGTTTATTCTGTCACATCTGGCCAAATGCTCCTGCTCCTGTGGGAGCGAACCAAACATGTCATCCTTCCTGGAGAAAAAGGCAGCTGCTGCTGAGGAGGGGAAGATCCTCGGCATCTGTGTTTGTGTTTGTGTATGAAGTAAGTGTGGCTGATTGCTCTTATGTCAAACATCCCTAAGCCTTTTGCATTTTGCCTTTTTCCCTCATTGCCTTGTCATATCAAATCAGAAATTCTAACAGAAATTTGGCCAAAAGCTGTTTTTCATTACTGTCTCAGGCTGACAGTCTCAAATTTAGAGTTTTGCAGTGCTGTCAGTGTATTGGCAAAGACAGGGTACACTTGATCATCACTAAAGGAAAGCATGGAGTTAATCCTGGTGGAGTCAGGAAGAGCACAGGAAGTCAGGAAGGGATTATCAGAAATGATCAGATTATCAAAAAACTCCTCTTTATTTAAAAATGCTTGTGTTTATTTCATTATCATGGTTATTTCTCTTTGTTGACAAAAGTTTATTAAAAAGTCCTGACCCTTTCTGATTCTGATGAGTCAGTAGTCAAGAAGCGACACTGACGACATGAACTGTTTTCAGCTTTGAGTGCTGAGAGCCATTAGCGCCTTTACAGCCTCTAAAATCAGCTGATGGTGACGGCGGTTTTGATGGCTGAGGGCTGAAACTGCTTAACTGCATTTGGTTTGAATACAAACTGCTGCTTGCTGCCAGAGCCAAAAAATGGCGTTCATGGCCACAACCCCCAAATCTCCTCAGTGGTGGTCTTGTTTACTTTGTAGGTAACATCGACAAGACAGAATCAATTTCAGTCTGTTTTTAACAATCTGAAATCAAACTTAAAACACACTTTATCATTAGAATACTAGGATGGAGAAGAAAAGTATCCCCTTAAGTGTAAAGTGAAGCATCATGGGAGTGTGTTCCAGTGAGCTCTGTGGTCCCCCTATGTTTCTACTTTTGCAACACTTCTGGCAACCTTACTGACACAGATAGCTCTGCTTTCTCTGCTGGCTGCAGCAGCAGTAGAAAGCCAGATGTTAACACCATAGAGCTCTGGAGCAGTTGTAAAACGAATGCGCTTCACTTGATGGTATTTGTGTTTATCCGATGGTAATCTAAGAGTCAATACAGCCGTGGATTTGAGTGAAGAGCATAAAGACGTTTGTTTTTCTTGGACTTGTGTCAGGCTGGGAGGTCCTCGTGTGTGTGCTATATGGTGATACCTAGGAGGGAGGTTGTAACAGGATACTCTTGTAAATGAGGACGAGGTCTTAGCCTTTAACATTTCTGGCTTAAGAAGTTACAGACGCAGGAGAGGCGGGGGCGACTCCTTCACCTCTTTTTCAATTTGTAATTTAGAACTTTTACTTTTACAAAATGAGTGAAAATTCAAAACACATAACATGATTTTATAAAAGTTGTATCATGCAATCATATTGGTTGTTTGCTCCTTTCAGACAGTTTGTGTTGCATCTTAGTAGTCCTGGCAGAAGTCCTTTCACTCACATCACTGCTGACAACAGGGGCCATCCTGACTGTGCTAATGATGCCTCATCGATGTCAATGCAACACACGTGACAGCTTCCCTTTATCTCAGCTCTGTTGTTTTTCCTTTATTAAACTGTGAACCGTCAAAGTGACAGGGCACATGCTTGGGCAGGAAATGCAATAAAGCTCTGGATAGAAGATTTGACTTGTGTCTTCGACCAAAGGCCAAAAATAAATAAATAAAACAGGTCTATATGTTAACCATGACATCCAAACAAAGGCAGATATTAAAATCATCACTTAGTCTGTCAGGTTCACATCATTTATTCATTTACTTATTTACACTCTGGGTAAACTTGGCCCTAATGTGTCTGCATTATTGAACCTCCCGTAGATTTTTTGTTGGTTTTTCACTCTGATAAATAGTTTGTATAACTGGGCTTGATTTAGGATTTGTTTAGTCTGGAAATTGTGTTTCAGAAAACTCCATTTGGCTGATTCTTTTCATTCATTCTGGCATTGTTATCACGTCAAACTGAACAATTACTCCTACAAAAAAGGCATTCTATGAGTGGCAGGTATTTTTTTGTCACCAAATTCATAAAAAGCACTTTACAATCATGTTTTTTTTTTAAAGATTTTTGTCCCTGAGGTTTTTACCCGATATCAGCTTGTCCATTTCACATATTTCTCTGGAACATCAGTAATGTTGATTCTCCGGGAAAGATGATATTACCCCGCCTCAAACCAACAAACTGAGGCTACATGCGTCATCACTAAGGGTCTTTCTAAAGGCTTTTTAGTTTGTTCCTCCGGCCGCAGGAAGTGACACATGAGATTAATGCTGCATCAACAACATGACCCGTGTCATTAGTCGAGCCCTCTCAAGTTCATTAACATCATTTTGATGATAAAACTGCGTCCATTTGCGTATGTTCTAAGAGTAAGTGCTATTTTTGGATCCGTATTGTAACTCAGTGACGCTTTGATTGTACGATTAGTGCTAAATTTAGTCCTGACACTCTGAGCAACCTCAAGATCATGACACCCGGTGGGGCAATCAACCCGAGTCTGTGTAAACTCCTCTCAATCTGCTAACTATGATGTGGTTTACATTCAGTGCAAGATTTTTAATTGGTACCATTTGTTCGGCTGTTTTTTTTTCCTAATCCAGGAAAAGGAACTCTTCCTGCAAGCAGTAACAGAAAGGTCACAGATTTTCCGTCATCATAAAACACAGCAGGTCAGGGCCATCAGGGCCGTAACTCTGACATCTCCTGAAAAAAAGTCCAAAGTGCAGAGTCTACAGTGTGTTTTCCTGTATGAGACACACTTCTTCCCCTGAGATCAGGCCATATTTGTAGATAAATCTTCTTCGTGTTGCTAACCACCAGTTTGCAGCAAAAGGGAAATACAGATTGCAGTATTGCAGCAAAAAAAAAAAGGTCTTCAAAAGCCTTCAGGTCTTTCCCTGTGATTGTTTAAACTTTCTGGCACCTGTTGTACCTTCTTGACAACAATGTGTGCCAAATAAAACTTTTAAATGCATTATCAAAATGAAAATAAAGAGAATTAAAGTGTTAGACAAACTAGGGGGCTGGCAAGAACACAAAATACAGACTTGGCAGGGATTATCAGGAAATGCCACAGGCTTTCTGCAAACCCATAAACAGAACCACACACTTATCTGTCCTCACTATTTGAGTTTTTCCCTCCTTTCCTCTCATATATTTTCAGCATGCTGTGCGTGTGTACGACTGCGTGCTCAGTGTGATTGGCAGGCATTACAGCCAGAAACTCCATCCAGGTGAACAGTCTCAACGGGACACATTCCTCTGCAGCACAGATTGGGGTCTGATTTGTGGATTTTCTCTGTGTTTAGAGTGGAGGCCTAACATACATTAACTAGTAACATGAGGTGTCAGATTTTTGGGGGGCTGTGAACATTCACTCATGGGGTCAGGTGTTTTGTTAAGTTTCTTTTATAGATTTTTTCTGTCAAAATGGCGTTACATTTAGAAGTTGGGCACATTTTTTTTTTTTCCACCATGATATTTTTGTCTTGTTTGTGTCATGCATGAGCATGAATGGGCAAGAACACCAACACATTTCTTTCATGCCCAATTGGTTGTTCAGTATTCAGTGTTTGTCTGCAGGCCTAACTCTTTGAGTCCCTATAATTACGAACAGTCTCTGGCTTTATTAAAAGAGTTGAAATTGACGTGCTTTCATGACTTGCTTCAATTTGGCTGGCTGGGACCTCCATATTAATATCGAAAAGATGCGGTGAACTAGCACAACCTTGATGAACACCTTTCCGGTAATGAAAACTCACCTTAAGTAATCGATACCTCATGGTGTGCATCAATAACACCAACCCAGTTGATACATTTTCTACCAAAGCTGAATTGTTTTAAAGTAGACAACACTAACTGCCATTTTCAGTGTCCCAAACAAATACCTCGACTACTCTATATGGTTATTTATTGCCATACAGAGCAAGTGGCGTAGCATTCCATGTGTTACATGTGTAAAACATGTGTAAAAGCTTAAGGGCAAGAGCAAGTAAGTATGTTTCATACAGCTATGACAAATCTGTCAGGGCCAGAAGCTTTGTATGAACACATGGATACAGTAGTTGTAATCCTGTCAGTACCAGTACATGTCACCTTTGCAGCTTCTTATCAGATGTAGGCAGCTGATTTTGTTCTGAGAATTAGTTCATAATCTGAGAGTCTGAGGTTCTGTAGTAAGACTGGTAAAGTTCTTCATAGAACTGAGCAGAACATATTCTAATCTCAACTGGATCATTTATAGATTTAGCTTTTTTTACCTCTACTTCCATGAGTGTCTGAAGAAGCCTGAGGGTGCCATAGTTGTCTCATGAGAAGCCTGCAGGCTCGGTCGCTCAGTTTAGAGTATTTCTGCTGTGGGTTGGAAAGTAGTATGCAACTCTTTTTAGAGAATGGTATTATCTTAAAAGTACAGCACTAGCACTTAGTATAATACTCTTGTCGGATTAGCAATTTGACATAACCTGTATTTTGCTTCAAATGGTCTATTAAGCTTTGACTTTGCATGGCTGTTTAAACTACAGCCTTGTTTGTACTGACAGTCGCCTGAGGTGATGACTGGTTAGATAAATTAACACATCTGTTAAAGAAACTCTCGTAGGTTCGACTTTCATCTGCCATCTCAAGTTTACTTGCTCCCTATGACCACCCGAAGTGATCTGAACTTGTTTTTTTCTTGTACATGTTTTCATTAGTGTTTTTTGACTCAAAAAAAAAAAAAAAAAAAAAACACTTCATAACTCATCTTGCCCTCTTTTGACACTTAAATGCATCACTCCCGGTGACTCATTGTCATGGGAACATGTGAAAACGGCTGTATCAGCAGTTTGCAGTTAATCATTTGGTCTGACACCTACCCCCAGCAGAGGTTTCAAACAGTAAAACGACTCAATATAAAAAGGTCATATTTCTTGTG